TTTGTGAAACAACATCGGAAGAGAGCATCTTTTACGAGAACAAGTATATAAATAAGTAGGCATTTCCTCATCTGATGGAAATGCCTAGAAGACTTTTTGTGGTGTGGACCTAAGTGGCTAATCCTATTGGTGGATTGAAGAGTGGGTCGATGCCCTACAGAGAGTTTTCATTCGGTAATGACAATAATATATATATATATTTTACTTATGGCTTTTACTATATTAGTATTAATAGTAATAAAGTTATTCTCCCTTTAATAACAGCTAAAAGATTAATCTAGTTAGTAAATTAATCCACCACTAATCGTCATTAGTATGTATCTGACTAATAGCTAACTGCGTGTGTTATGGTCGTCCAGTCTGGTACAGGTATTTACTTCGTAGATACTTGAGGATGATAGAGGTCTAATCTACCCACATTACCCGATATTGAGTAGCAGGCTTACTTACTTATTCTTAAAAAATTTCGGAGCCTGTTTTACAACTAACGCAGGAGGATATGAAATAAGAAATCCTTGTTTCAAAAAATACGAGCAGCATGTAGCCATCATTTAGTTTATCGTGTCGGCCGAGCCTCTTTTCAAGTATTAACCAATGGCAACAATATCTTAGTGTGAGTGAATCTTTTCAAAATAGTATTATAGAATTTTGCAACTTTATCTTTTTCGAGCTAGCGCCATTATTTTCAGTTTCCATTCATGTTACTCAACTGTAAAAACTCTTTAGATCGGATCTGATACTGGCATGGCAGCTTTGGCTTTGATCCTAGTAATATTAGGACTCTACTGTATCGAGCAAAATGGTTGAGAGGATATAAGGCTTTCAAAACGTAGTCGCAAGATACACCATACAATATTGGACAGTAGTCGATTAGTTGGTATATTTTCGTAATTTAATCTTTACGTAGTTATTAAAGGGATGATTAAGTTAATTCTAAAATTTAATATAAACCAAAGAAGATCTAAACTTGAGGAATCCCTAATGTCCATGATTGACACAGATTAAGAATAAGCTATCATCTCTTGTGGAAAACCTATTTATGCAAGCATAAGATTATCTAGAGGCTTGCTGTCTGGGAAGCTGACACAGTGGAAGAAGATGAATAAGAGATTGAGTAAGACTAAAGATTAACCGAATACTTTAATCTCTTTGTTTCGTCTTAATCCCTCGAGCTGCCAGCAGCAAAGCACGCCCAAAAAGTATAAAAATAAACAGAAAGCAAGGTTTAATTTCCAACTGTTTTGTCGATATCAAGACCATGCTGAGTTTTTTTGAAAAAAAATGAAAAAATTGAAAAAATAAAGAAAACTATATTTAATTTATAATCGCTTAATTTTTTCCACTAAAATACTTTTTTTCCAACCAAAATATCCCCTCAGAGGATAGTAAGTGTATAGAATTGTTGAAAATAACGTTATTTTTGAAAATCCTTTTTATGCTAAATCCAAATATCCTTTGAAAAGAAAGTGTTCTGGACAAACCATATTTTTAGAACGTCATACAATTAGGCAACTTGTCCGAGTGGTTAAGGAGAAAGATTAGAAATCTTTTGGGCTTTGCCCGCGCAGGTTCGAATCCTGCAGTTGTCGTTATTTTTTTCTGTTTAGAATACCATTTTTTTTTTTTAACTTTTCAATGGCATACAATTAAACTGATGTACTTGAAATAAAGTATAAAGCAGGGTTATACTCTCTAGTAGAATGTGAGTTACTCTGTTCTCAAAGGTACTCATTCACAATGGCGGCTCCTCTGCTATTTACAAACAATACCCACGATATTCCAACAACTTCCACTCAACGCACTATATCCTTCGGGGAAAAAGTTGCTGTGGTACTCTCTATGCTCTTCGTCTTTGGTCTCGGGACGCTTGTGTTTGCTCAGATCCTTTACGAATGTGTTCAAACTATTCGAGAGTCGAAAGCCCAAGAAAGAGCAGCAAATACCGCCATTGAAAGTAGCTTTACCCCTGATGAAGACTTACATGACTTGCTTAACGGAACCTTGGAAGAAAGAATGCTTGCTGAAAGGGTCTTCAGCTTTGGCTCCAGCAACCGAAGAAGACCATCTCTCCCTATTGTACCAGCACCACCTTATGAAAGACCCCCAGAGTACTACGATTTGGAAGCACAGGACTTCTCTAGCGCCACAGTGACACCCAAATTTCTGCCACTTCCACCGCCACCTCCTCTATATCATTCCATTGAGCATGATTTGAAAAACAGCCACTGACCGAAGTTTTGCAACTTGTGAAAAAAAATGGCTGCAATGCTTCAAGAGTTTGTCGTATTCTCGCGATTTTTTTTTTTGGAGTTTTTCAGTTGTCGCATTTTCGTCGTTTAAAAATAAAGAAGGTGTTGGAGACAACCAAGTACTTCTAGATGTTACGCCTTATTGATCAGAATGGCAAGTCATTTGAAGGAAAATAAGGTGGCTCTCATTACCGGGACCACCTCTAACTTGGGAATTAACATTGCATATCGTTTAATCGATGAACTTCCACAATCGACCAATCTTACGTTGATTGTAACATCTCGAACTCTACCAAGAGTAAAAGATGTTATTACTGAAATCAAGGAACATACAATTAAGAAATACCCTCAGAGATCTGGTCACTTGGAATTCGACTACCTTTTACTTGATTTTACTGATATGGTGTCAGTCTTATCAGCTTATTACGATTTGAATAAAAAATTTGAAAAAGTCGATTATTTGTTTGTAAATTCATCACAAGGTTCCTTTTCTGGAATTGATTGGATGGGTGCCGTCAAGCAGATTATGGAGAGTCCTTTAGAGGCCGTTACAAACCCAACTTATAAGAAACAACGCGTGGGGGTTATGACTAATGATGGAATGGGTCAAGTATTCCAGGCTAACGTGTTTGGTCCATATTATTTGATACACAAGATAAGACATTTACTTAAAGGAGGTAGAATTATTTGGATTTCTTCCATAATGTCTGAGTCCAAATACTTATCATTCAATGACCTCCAATTAATAAAATCCCCGGAGTCCTATGAAGGTTCTAAAAGATTAATCGATTTGTCTCATTTTGCTAGCTATAAAACATTAAAACGAAATAATGATATTACTCAATACTTGGTTCATCCAGGGATTTTCACGAGTTTTTCGTTTAGTCAATATTTGAATGTCTTTACTTTTTATGGTATGTTATGCCTTTTTTACTTGGCTAGGTTCTTTGGTTCTCCTTATCATAATATCGATGCTTATGTCGCAGCAAACGCTCCCATAGTAGCTGCTCTTGGGGATGAAGATCAATCGATAAAATTGGGTTCTTTATCTGGCAGAAGTGGGAAAGAGTATTTGGCTCGTGATGAGATAGATACAACTGGGGCTGAAGATATCGTTGCCTACTTGGACAAGCTTGTAGTTGAATGGAATGAAAAGTTTAAAGACCAAATTGTTAACACTCGTCAACCTTAATTTGATTATATACATATATAGTTAATACAATACTACTACACAAATATTTATACATGGTAATCTAAACATCTGCACGAACATCCACTAGGACATTCCTGCTCAGACTCTTCAGCACCTTCATTCAATGTCCACCACTCAACTGCACAATCAGAATGCATTACATGTTCACAGCTGGTACATACAACAACTCTTTTGTTGACAATTAAATTACATAATGAACAGCTTTTCAATTCATTTCGTTTGACTGTATTCCATGGGTTGTTTCTTGCAGTTTGAATCGTGGTAGAAGGAACAATCTGATCTTTGTCTAAGCCAACTTTTCTGCTCTCGGCCCTTAAACCAAATTTCAAGCTATGTACTTCAAATAAAGATTTATTCGAAACCGGATCAACATCTTCAGTATTTGGGTAGTTAAACTTCAAAATCTTAATTCTGTTGATTGGCAAACCCCACAGGAACAACATTTCTGCATAATGCTCTCGGTATACTTTTATTTTCTCAAAGTCTTGGGCATTCAATAATAAAGATGTGTACATATCATCATATAAATCGAGAGATTCAGCATTCATCATTTCAATTGTAACTAACGGTGGAGGTCTGATCCTGTTTTTGATGAATGAATTTGCGATTTGTTGTCTCTTCAGCTGTATTGCTCTCAGTTTCTTTGATGATCCAGGAAACAATTGGGTCGAATTTTTACGAATTTGTCTCGTTTGTTTTTGATTCCCTCTGAATGGAAATAAACTATATTCATTGGCAGGTGATAAATCCAGGAAAGGTGTCAATGATTGATGTTGAATATTTCTTTTGAGCGAGGAGTGTCTATCAGGTGAGTAGTCTTTGAAACTTGGCACATCTATAGAAGAGCCAATAGATCTTTCATGATCCATAACTTCACTAATTCCTTTACGATTGTTTGAAATGGTAGAGTTTCTGTGATTTTCATATTTACTCTCGAGTTTGATATCACTCAAGGATTCACGAAAAATTTCATTATTGAACATTTCATCGTTTTCTTGATTGAATGAATTAAAACCTTTTAAATCAACGATTGAGGGTATTGGAGGGTTAGCCTTATAGGGTGTGTTAATTGGTATGTTTGGCATGTTAACATCAGTCTTTTTGATATTTGATGTATTCTCAAATAAGATACATGACAACATAGCAAGCATTTGAATATTCCCTTGTGTTTCAAAATATTTGAAAATTTGTTCAATTAACCAAGTATGCCCAAAAGGATGAGTCCCCCAGTAGAACCTATAGTGTTCGTTATTAGAGATTTTTCTCCCAAAATCCGATGTCAGAAGCAAATGGCTCATTTCAGTACTTTTTTCGTTATATTGATTCCCAAGTGGAGCTCTAAAAACAGGATGAATTTCATTAAGCTTCACATCTTTTATTAAAATCATTTCAAGAATTCTCCAAACATCGCTGATTTCCTTAAGCCCATATTTCAAAGCGACTGCACTGTTGTATCTTGACAAGTTTTCCGGAGAATCGCCTAATACTCTATACTCACAGGCCAACTCATACTTATCAGGAATTAAATGCCGGAAATCAAAAATACCAACAACATTAGCACTTTTGCGATTATGACGACGGCTTCTCTTCTTCAGTAAATTATTTTGATCTAATGTAATATCACCATGAGCTGATGATTTATAGTTTGATGCTGTTCCACCTTGACTGGTTAGTCTGTTTAACGAGGACTTGTTATTTCCATGTGAAATGAATCTATTGCCCAAGCCAACCGTTGTTTTGAACAAGCCAGGTATTCTTGACCGGGAAGGAACGTCATTTTGAAAAATTTCATCCCAATCCTTGGTGAAACTATCGTCCGAGGAAGATGAAGTGATGGATTCATTGTCTGATCCATTATATAAATAAGACTCGGTTTGGCCAACTCCATCACTTTCCAAATCCGAATCAGATTCACTACTTTCTGATGAAGCATCATTATTTTTCAACGTGAACCCACCTTCAGAAAATTTAAATCTTTGAACAGTTTTATCAGGTTCATTATTTCTTTTGGTAAGGAAACAAACAAGTTGGCCAGTATTAGACCAAACAGCACCGCAACCTTTAGGAATCGGTGTTGAGTCAAAGGTATTCATAAGTGGTGCGTCACTTGTACCTTCATTTATCCCTCCTTTATCATTAAGGGAAGTTCCATTATCATATCCATTGAGTTCTCCACTTCCAGCCAAATTGTCGTTTATAACTGGAATCAAATCATCTTCATCTTCGTCTTCAGAAGATGATGAATCATCTTTCATAGCATTATAGTCAACATCAGGTTGTTGATTAATTAAGTCATCCGCCCAGCCTTCAGTTCCAATTTCTTGTATTAATTCTGATTCACCATTTTCATCATTACTTTCAGTGCGTGTATTCTCTAGCATCAAAGAGTCCGACAAATCTATTTTATCACCCAATAAATACCTTAAACATGGTTCTAGGCAGAATTTCTTGTATTTATTAGTGAAAAAATTTGCAATTTCTTCAAGGTGTTTCAACATGTCCTTCTTTATTGATAAGTTTAATTCATGAGTCTCTTCAATATCAAATTTGATTGTATTGCTTTTTTGTAACTTTGAAAATCTTCTGCTTGAAGAAACCTTTCCAAGTTCTTCGAGATAAGGGTAATTTTTAGGGAATTTCACTTCTAATCTGATAAATACAAGTTTTTGCTCAGTGACAGTGTCCTCATTATTTATAACCGTTGACGTATTTGCTGGGGTAGAAGTAATATCTTCACTGTTTTGAATTGAATTATTATGATTTACTGATCCCAGACCAGGCATATTAGTAGTTGTTGAAGTAGCTGGAATTGTTTCTGATTTACTATCACGTTTTGCTTCTTTATCAATTACGGTATTTTCTTCGGTACCGCTTGCATTAGAGTCTGAAGCTGAATTTTTATGGGTATTATTTGATGCAATTACGGGAACCGGCCCTCTTAAACTAACTACCAAATGGCCAGTGGAAACAGAAATCTTTTCAAAACGAATCTTAGGAAATTTATGACCAACAATACTGACTTCTTCACCCAAATTAGTAGGTCCGTCTTCACTATCATTGATACTAGCATTTTTGTCGTGGTTATTGATATGTCCGATACGAACACCTGATATCCAATCTAAATGATTTAATTGAGAAACGTTACTTTGCTTATGACTTTTAGCTAGCTTGAATTTGGTAATCGAAGATAATATATCTCCACTTGAGTTGTTTTTGAGGTCTTCGATTGTCACTGGTGGCTCTATGCAATAAGTATTGTATTTGTAACTAAATCTTTCAGCATTTGGAGTAGATGGTTCTACTGATTCATCATCAATATTTTCAGATATCAGAGCATTTGATTTAACCACACTTTCGGAATCCAGCTCCTCATTGATTAAATCATCAAGAATCTTTTGATGAGTAGGGTTGTAATTAATTTTTTCATACAAGTCATCCTCGGGCCATAACTTAAGATCATAGTCCTGAGATGACCAAGTAACAAGTTGATATTCTTTCCAATTATGTTTATTCTCAAATCCATCATAGTTTTCGTGTTGATGTCTCCACAAGAAATCCTTGATAGGACCACTATGGCCTTTAAAGGAATGAATAGGGTCGCCTTGAATTGTTTGGGTTTTACCAGTAGCTTTTGCCTTATTAAAAGCTCCATCATAATTCAAAATATGAACTGCATCTTGACCTCCTCTTAAAGGCATGACACCACAAGCTCTATCTTTACCAAAGGGAAGGTTCCTGGCTCTAGCCACAGGAAACTCTGTATTTATAATAACCGTTGGGTCCAAAGATCTTCTATTAATACTTTTGTCGTCGAAAAAATTGAAAGAATTAGCAAGATTTCTTGCTTTATCAGTACTCAAATCCCAAAAACGAATCAGTTTGTCGTTAGAACAAGTGATTATATTAGAAATACCATTACTAAAGTCCAATCCATTAATTTTGGCATTATGTGCTTTATTAACTTTCAAAACTGGTAAAGAACCATTTCTGGAGTCCCATATGTAGAAATTATTATCATGACTAGAAGCAATTTCATAAGGATTGGCATGATTCCACTTAACTTGGGTTGTTCCAGCTCTCCATTCGGCCCATTGAGCCACTGGTTTCCTGGGAGTTCTCATATCCCATTGGAAAATAAACGTGTCAATGGAACAAGTTGCCAATATTTCAGGATCAAAAGGATGGAAATTTATATCTGTTATTGCTCTGGTATGCTGATGTAAAACATTCAGTATAGCATTATTTGAAGGCCGAGCTAAATCCCAAAGCAATGCTTTTTGATTAGACGTTGATATGCACCATGAGGGTTTTGCCAGGTGATGTGGCGACCATTGGACATCGGCAACCTCCCATGATGTTATGTGATGGAGCCATCGAGGTGTAGTGAAAGGGTCATCAAGGTCTATTATAAATAGTCCTCTTCTACCAGCTAAGACAGCGTCTCTTCCATTGGGCGAGAGAGACATGGCCCCTATTGCACCGTCCACTCGCAACAGGAGTGATTTGCCAAATGTTATTGAATCGTAAGGGCTGTTCGCTGTCTGTGACATTGAATCTTTGGCTAATGATAAAAGGATTAATCTTATAAATCTTGTAGTTGATATCTACATTTTTCATTATTATTGATCCGTACACCACGGATTTTTCAAATTATCAACATAAAAAAAAAAGTATGGAAAAGAACTGTCTTTTGGAGAAACCATTTGAATATCCACTTGATTGATATCAACCAAGGATTGCAAGTTAAAGAAAGAAATTAAAAATGAGTAAGGAGATAGAAGCTTCTAGGACAGCCGAAGATAGGGAAATGGAGGATGCCGAAATGGAAGATGCCTTTAATGATAATGAAGAATCACAACCTCAAGGTGAACAAATACCAGATAGTCAATCACAACAACAACAACAACAAGAGGAGCTGTCACAATCACAGAACGAAAAGCCTAACAATGCGCCAAAACAAGATAAACCACACGTATCATCAGTTCCACATATACCCGATTTACCAGAACTCACGAGAAAAGATAAAACCTTGAAAGAGGTGCTTGACTTGATGGATGGAGAATTTGCTCCTATAATTCCAGACTCTGTCACTGATTATTACTTAGCCAAGAATGGATTTGAAGCCTCTGATGTTAAGATCAAAAGATTACTAGCATTAGCTACTCAAAAATTTATACTGGATATTGCTCAAGATGCTTATGAGTATTCGAGAATTCGTAATGCCTCATCCGTTTATAATAGTTCCAATCCTCAAGTAAGAGCAAAACAACTTTTACAAGGTCAGCAATTTGCTAATCAACAGTCTATAACTGGTGCTAGTAATGGGTCTGGTACCATAGATGGACAGGGTGAACAGCAACCTCAGCAGCAACATTCTAGTAGTAATGCTGGTAATCAGCAAGGAAAGATTGTATTGACGATGGAAGACTTGAGCAGTGCATTGAGTGAATATGGATTGAATACTTCGAGACCTGATTTTTACCGTTAGGATTAATTAATGATTGTTATTTTTGTATATTATTCATGTATTATTCATCAATTGAACTTATTTTAATGAGTTAATCTTTACGTATTGTAGTTGAATATATATATAAGAAGTATAATATAAAGACTTCATACATGTAAGGTAAAAAAAATAACGACAACTGCAGGATTCGAACCTGCGCGGGCAAAGCCCAAAAGATTTCTAATCTTTCTCCTTAACCACTCGGACAAGTTGCCTAATTGTATGACGTTTTGAAAATATGGTTTATCCAGAACACTTTCTTTTGAGGAAACATTTAAATTTGACATAAAAGTTTTTTTACCCTTTTATATATCTCTATCCACTCTCTTTATCTTCTATATAGTTAGTATTTAGATCAAATATATAAAAAAATACGTGAAAAAAAAGTTTTTGTTGAAAATAACGATATTTTCTGTCAGACCATAAAGGTCTGCAGATGATGTACTGGCCCATCTATATTGATAGGCACAATAGATCATAAAATGAAGACACAAATTATATTTAAAGTTTGTGTTAATCCATAAATGAGGCATTATGATAAATGTGCATATATAAATAAATAGGCATTTCCATATTAATGGAAAAATCTTCTACTCGATGTGGGCCGTGGACCAAAGTGATGCTTCTAATTGGTTGAAGCATGGTCGTCGACCTATGGAGAGTTCTTTATATTCGGTAATAAATATTTCTATATAATATTTACAAATTGGCTTTGGATACTTAAGCTTAATCGTAATAAGTTATTTTCTCCCTTTGAATAACGTGAAAAGGTTAATCTGACAGTATCGAATTAATCCACTGTGCTACCAAGTATTAGTATGTATTTGACTAATACTATTTATGCGTGTGTTATGGTCAACCGTACTAGAACCATGTATCTAATACTAATGGATACTGGTGGTTGATTATGGGCCCGATCTACCCACATAACCCGATATTATTATCCACTGAGGGGACTCTTTTGTTGGAAAAAGTGGAAAAAAATTATCCTAGTTTAAGTTCGACCTTTCTTTTCTAGTAATACATATCTTACTATATAATATAACTCTTTATAAGTTTCCAGAAGGCTTGATTTGCAGCCCATTAGTATTAGTGCGCGAAAGGACTTGAAGAACTACATCATTAAGAGTAAGAATATGAAATAATGAAAAATTTGCAGCTTAATTTTGTAAAGAAAGGATTAACGAGGATATAAACTGGTGGAAATGAACGGAGTTCTTGATTTAAGCAGAAAAAATTCATCAAATGCTTAGATTTTATCATATTTTGGCTCTGAGACTATAGATTGAAGTTAGTAGTTTATCAGACCATCAAGTCTGACGATGATCTTTCAACCAATAAAGATCATCAATATGCAATATAACAAGCTAGTTTGGGACAGAATCTTCGTGAGTATCCTTAATTTTATTATGTATTCTTTGATTGGTTGTAATAAGTTATTCTTCCCTTTAATAGTGGTGATCTAAATGATAAATTCGATATTAGTCCGTGTCTGACCAACTCCTTAATGCATGTGTTATGGTTGTTTGTATATTGGAAACTATGTCCAAGCTAAATGTATTTGGACGATAGAGCTCTTATCTACACATAACCTAGAGTCTATCAGGTGAACTAAGTAGTTCGAAACTAACTCTATGAATTTCCTCAAACACAATATTTTGGGCTCTTCAATTATTGGATTTTCCTACCTAAGTCACCATCAATATAAATACTATATTCTTTTAGTCATACTTTTTATCTATTAGCCTCAAAGTTTCTCTATATACTTGGTCTTTAGTGAAATATATAAACATACGGAAGAAACATATATCGGCTGCGAAAAAACTCAACCATCCTTTCGTCATCCTGGTTTTCTCTATTTCGCAAGTCAAGATTGTTTATGAATACATAAGACGAGTACAAATGCTACATGGTGCCGTTGAAACATTCTTATCAAAACAACTGTTAAAAAAATAACTATGGAAAATTACAAAAAAAAAAAGAAAAAGGAGAACTAGTCCAGCTTAGCTTATTCCTTTGGGATCAAAGAACCAAATCTCAAGTGAGATGGGAACCCTTCGAGGGAATGGAAGACTAACCAAACCAATTTTTGCTTAAGAGGAACTCTATACTTAATCAATCTTGGTAAACCAACGATCCCAAGCTCAAAGATATGGACAGCATAAGTTATCACGGCAATCAACTTGAAGTTCTTTTCCGACCAAGAATAAAAATTAGCTAAGAATTGAGGAACATAAGGTAAAATCTTAGAAAAAATAGCATCATGTTCCACAGTTCTTCTGATCAATTTGGGGTCAATACACCCAACAAGAACAATAACCGAAAGTAAATAAATGATCCAGCCATCGACTCCAGGAGTTAAGACTTTCTTAATTTGAACATGGGAATAACCTTGCTTCTCAGCAGCATATTTAGCCATGGAAATCAATTTGGACTTAATATCACCAAAAGCAACAACCTTGATATCTTGATCTTCGGGAACCTCATTCCAGTTCAAGCTAACAACCTCAGTCTTGCCAATTGCCTTGGACTTGTAAGTAATGGTAACATCCTTTTCACTAATATCAGAGATTTTGGCTGATCCTTCAGCAATTTGAGATGCTGGCACCTTACCATAAACTACAACATAATCATGCACACTCAATTGATGATCCCCATTCATGTGGTAGATGATCCTTTCCTTATGTTCACTCATTGTCTTAATGCTTTCTAATATGAATACCTTTGAATAAAAGAAGACTAGTTGCCTGATGACATTCTTTTAGCATGAGATTTAGGGAAAGACACTCAACAGAAAAAAAGCTATGAAAGGACACTTTGCCACTCATTGCCGTAAACGGAAGTCTATATTGGTGTACGGCTGTGCACCCCAGATGTACGGGTGTAAGTTCAAAAGAAGATAAATAAAGAGAGTGGTACGATTATGAAATTGTATAAGCGCAAATCGTATGCTTTTACAAGAGACTTTGCAGTATATAAGGTTGAGATAATTATTGCAAAAAGTATGGACAAGTCGATACGGCTTAACCGCAAAATGACAACTACATATATTCAATCAGCTTATACTGCATCGCCTAGACGGAAACAAATTCCCGATGGTTCAAATGAACTTTATCATTGTACGTCTAATCAAGAAAAGGATACTATTGAGATAACCAGCAAGTTGAGTAGTGATCCAATAAGTTATGTTCACTGGTTTGATGATATAGTGACAGGAATAGTGGGGACTAATTTTGAACAATATTTGGTGGGAGAATTAGTCCCCATTAATGGGCAATATTCCGAATATATAACCAAGATTAATTTAGCAAATGAGTTATGTAAACAGAACGAGATGGCTAATTTATATTTGAATCTGATCATATGTGAATCACTTGACGAAGAAACAAAATCATTAATGCAAACAGAATGTTTGGCAAGTGAAAATTTTGAAATGATTAAATCAAGTTTTGTACCGAGATTGAATGCTTTTTATTTACTTGATTTAGAAAGCAAATTTGATTTTGATCCTAATAATGTATTGGTTTTCTTACACAATTTAGACTCTTTAACCAAACTTTATTATCACATTTTCAGAGAATCTGCCGATTCAGATTTAAAAATTCAGTGGATAATGAATGCTTTGAATAAAAATTACCTTTTAAATAAACCAATAATTGATCAGATTCAAATTGATTGGGGGAAAATATCAAAGGATCCCTTTTATATCAGAACCATTCTCACAAACTTTCTGTTTATCTATAAACATAAACGGGTTAGAAATACTTAAATATTCCTTTTAATATAAACGATGTCATGGTTTAAATCTTCTCTCTTAGTAGTCCTCTCAATGTTTTAAGAAATATAACCAACTCTTTATGATCATCGTATTCGTTTTCTAATAATTCAATAATTTCTTGACCTAATTCTGGATTTGACCTTTCGACTTTTAACGATTCTCCTCCAACGTTAACATCGCACCATACTTCTCGGTCAATCTCATGGGGATCAATATTATCGAATACAAACCTAAGTACATTCTCTTTGATCACTTCAATCTTAAGCCCTAGATATAATTCATACTTTAGTAACTCGGGATAATCTTTTTCTACTTGATCGGCTAAATTTTTCTTCAGGGTGTCGTATTCATTGGTCAATTTGCTAATCGATTCATTCAAGTCTTCTATCTCTTTGTTAACGCTCTTCTTCAATTCTTGTAAATGCTCCTCTTTCTTATTCAAATCATCAACAATAAGTTGTTGATTTTGTAAATCTTCTAATGTCTTGCTTATCAACTCCTTGGTCTTGTCTATCTTAACCTTCATCTGCTCAATGTTTCGCTTCATGGACTGCTCTTGGTTTTCGAGTTCGTGTACTCTAACGTAATGCTTTTGTTTATCGTTCATTATATTGGTTCTCTTATCAACTAATGAATTCTCCAATCGAACATAAAATTCGTCCATTTGACTCTGCAAATTCTCAAACTCATCGATGTGTGATATATTCTGCGGTGCCAAAACACCGTACCCGCCAGTATTCATCTTTGGTGTCTTAAACCCTGTTCTTTGAAATCCGATAGACCTTGTTTTCGTTTTTCAATTACTTCAAAGTTGGTTGTTATGATTTTGTAGGGTATTTTTTTTTTTGCGTGGTGCACGGGTGCGTGTCTAGAAAAGTATACATTTTGACAGTTTTAATCCATCAAAATTGATTTCATTCTTCTTTAAGTATGGCAAAACAGATACATTCAACGGATCCAGAAGAGCTTCAGTCGATAAGACTTCTTACCTTTAATACATGGGGGCTCAAGTATGTATCAAAACATCGTGAGGAACGACTCCGGGCAATTGCTGATCGTTTAGCTGATCCAGAGACTGATGAGGACAATTATCATGTTGTTGCCTTACAAGAGGTTTGGTGTGAAAGTGATTGGGCATACTTTGATGCTGTTTGTCGAAGCAACTACCCGTATCGTAGAATATTTAAATCGGGGATAATTACCGGTCCTGGTTTAGCAATACTCTCCAAGATTCCAATTGATGAAACATTCTTATATAGATTCCCGGTTAATGGAAGACCATCAGCTTTCTTTAGAGGTGATTGGTTTGTTGGTAAATCATTAGCGGTCACGTTACTCAAGCCACATACTTCTAATGCAATTCCACTAGCATTATTGAATAGTCACATGCATGCTCCTTATGCACAATCTGGAGATGCTAGTTATTCAACGCATAGAGCTTGTCAGGCGTGGGACTTATCCAAAGTAGTTAAAACATTGACTAAAGCAGGATATGCAGTTATTCAGGTGGGTGACTTGAATTCAAAACCAGGTTCGTTACCTTATAAGTTATTCACCATTGAAGGCGGGCTCACTGATTCATGGGATGTTTTGAATGAATCCAATCCAATTAGTTCTGTTGAATTAAGCCAAATGTCCCCTTATGATCAAATAATGAAAGGAGGTATTACGTGTGACTCCCAATTGAATACTTGGAGAGCTACAAGAAGATTAGATGAAGCATGTAGATTGGACTATGCTTTAATTGATTCAAATTTAATTAGGCCAATTGGCGCAAAAGTGAAATTCACCGAAACTTTACCTCCTCCTTTGAATTGTTCTTATTCCGATCATTTTGCATTCAGCGCCGACTTATTGATAAGTAATCAAAATGAAAGTTTCGGTGGGAAGCATGATAGGATTCCTGAAAAATTCGAAATTTATCATGAATTACAATCAGAAATTCAAAAATATCGAAATGAAACTATTCCTTATCAGTCAAATTGGCGTAAATGGCATTTTCTTTTATCTTTGATTGTTGTTATATTAATCCATGTTGGAATTACATGGGCTGCAATTCGCCAACCTTGGTCACCGGTATTATTATCCTTATTAAGTACGGTGGTTGGTATAACTGGTGTCATCAATGGTATGATTTGGTACTTTGGTATCAGATCCGAACTGAGAGCCTTACAAGAAGTTCAATTGGAAGTTGAAGATAAGCTTTTTTCACTAAAGAATGAATAATGAAAGTCTATAGAGTAGATAGAATGCATTCTTTATTAATAATTAATACTTAATACTTAATACTTTAAAATTAATGTATTCCATCTGGGTTCTCTACTTCTTCCGGTTTACCTGATGAACTATTGTTCACGTAAAGCACATAGCCAAAGACTTATCCTCTGAGCCAACTTCTCTCTCAGTTTGGGCAATAAACTTTCAAAAACAAGGCGTATCTTCCCTTCTTAATGCCGCTGATGAGATAGGTGTTGCGTTAAGATGGCTAACTGAATCTACCGGTGAAACATGTTTCTTCTACATTTTTTAATGATTAATATTCAAAAGGCATATATTTATTTATAAAACAAAAGCTAACTAAGAGTAAGCCAATTGGTAAAATAAAAAAAAATTTACCAAGCAGCCTCGAGTCTGATTGGAGTACATCCCTTGCCTGCAAAATATTCTTCGTCTTTTGAGAAAAGAATAAATGGTCCAGGTTGGTAGGCAGTAACTTCGGTACAAGCTCTGAAGCAATCGGAGGTGCCATTGTAAGTGAAAACATGATTGTGAAGTGAAACTTTTGTGTCTGCACGGGCTCCAATTTCAACTTGATTTTGGTAGACTCCAAGAGCAGCAGATTCATCATCCGTCACGTTAAGTGTTCCTTCATAAGTGAAGTCAGTTGGATTGTTGTCGGACAAGAACACAGGACCGTAGTTAGTACCATCCGGGTAGCTACTTAAGTGTAATCCATCGTATTCTGACCCGTCATCTTTGACGATTAAGGTGAAAGCATTGGAATAGGATAATAAAGCAGCAGCAGCAGTTAAAAAGGTAGCGAATTTCATTTTTTTGTAATTGTAGTGATTAATAAAAAGATGAATTGACCACCATGGTTGGGAATTGGGTCTCCTTATATACCATTGCCTTTATCTATCTTCGTTGGTCTCTTCTACTCTCCACGAACACTTCATCACAAATATAATTTGTATGTTTATTGATATACTTTTTTTTTTTTTTCGCAGCCGTTCGTTCTATTTTTGCTTCACAATAGCTTTACACGTGAAAGCCCCTTGATAAATCTTCATGTTTGAGAAAGCCTCACGGAGTTACTCTTTTCGTTTCAATTGGATATAGGATAAATGAGTCACTCTTCATTCCAATGATACTTAAATTAAACCCGAAAGCTAAAAATAATTCGTAAACAAAAACTGTTTTTCTCAAATAGATTGATAAAATGTCTAAATGAAAGATGAAGTTCGCTCATTACGAGTGATATGACCACTAATGTTCTAGATCCTGGTACTCTTTTTCGAAAAGACTAATTAAAGTAGATCTTCTTATGTAACATAATGAAGAAGTATAGAATTAAGCTAAAGTAAAAAGCCTGATGGAAAATCAATGGTTGCAAACTCATGCGAGAGAACATAAGAAATTAATAGTTTATTAAAAAATTTTGAAAGGTCTACGATAATATCAAGAAACCGAACTGTTCGCACCATTGTATTATTGAATTGGCAGAATTTTAGTTGAACAACTTGTGATTTGGGATGTAACCTATGTTCATGGTCATGAACACGAGTTCGAGTTATTCGGGTCTAAAGAAATGAATCATCCAAAGCGTTCCGATGAAATCCCGCTGAGCCTTCTAGTAGATATTGCAGTTCTCCACAATAACTCGCTGATAGTTTAATCTGTGAAATTTGCAATAAAGTTTTTGAATAGTACATTGTTTTATTTAATCACATTTAAGACGTATATTTAACCTAAACAAAAAAAGCTACATACGGCATGAAAGCGGCTATCGATAGGCACTTAGCTCTGATAAACACTGATTCTAACTTTAGTACATTCCTTGCCTTCAAGGTCTTTTTCATCCTCTGCATAAAGCACATATGCTGTGTCTCGACCTGGAATGACTTTCTTACAAGCACTAAAATTATTGAATGATCCATTGTAAGTTAACCAATTATATTCAACATCAAAAGTTGAGGAATGGGTTCTTCCAATTACAACTGCATTTCCAGCAACACTCAAGAAAGAATCGTGATCTCTGTCCAAGTAAAATTTGTGGTTTTCAGAATCATGAACAAAAGCGACAGCACCAGTATCTATCAGTGCATAACCGTAACCAGGACCTGCACGGTCATAAGAAATCTTCTTCCCGTCAAATTCGGTTCCCTTAGCTTCAAGAGTAAGAATGATTGCTTCGGAACAGGAGAATAAAGCAGCAGCAGCAGTTAAAATAGTAGCGAATTTCATTTTTTTTTCAAAGTTTTGTAATTGTAGTAATTAATGAATAAACAAATTGATATACATTATAAAAATTTAGTCCTGTTTATATACCATTTGGAGTATTGCCTCTTTCCTCTTGACTACCTTCGAGGGGACCCTTCCACTTACCACCAATATTTCAGTATTTCATATTTGTATTTTTTTTTTCGCAGCCGTTCGTTCTATTTTTAGTGGATATAGATTCATAATCGCTTTACACGTGAAAGCAATCTGATAAAGCTTAAATTTTGATAAAGACTTATTGAAATACTCTTCACAGTTTGTTTATTTGGTAAAATAACCAATGGCTAAAAATAGTTTGTAAATAAAAGCTAATCTAAACTAATTGGAGAACGAAGTTAGAATAACATGAAGATTGAAACAATAGCAGTTACTGTTCTGTTCTAGACTATTTCCTATGCAATAGTTACAAAACCCCAACTAGATAGACTTTTGATCAGCCCATGATTAACGAAAAGGTTGATCTTTGAAAATTCATCTGTAAAATTTATGGCTGCAAAGTTACGAGAACGGCACACAATAAAGTTCGAAAATTAGTTTACAAATCTACATTGATTAATATTCATTAAATAAAAAAAGAGTAGTTCGATACCATTTGATACTTACCGTAAAGCTATTATTGAATATATAACAATAGGGCATACTTTGTTGCATAGTCAAAGGCTAATAACGATATAGAATTATATCAGTAATATTTCACCACCAATCCACCAATCGATATTAGTTTGTTCCTGGCTAATATCACATTAGTGTTGTAGCTATTCTAGAACTTCAAAGAGCACTGCCATAACTTTACGAATGATTCCCTGTGGCTTTAAGTGATTACGACTAAAACTCCTTTCTTGTTCTTCGGCAATGATATAGTCCAAAGGTAGTATAGCTTCAAACAAAAGAAAATGACGTAAGTTAGATGTCTTTTTGAAATTTTCAATTTCTTTTGATTTTTGGGTATTTCAGACATTTCCAGTAGTATGGAGTAAATCTACAAATGGACAACCACCTAGCATGGTGTTATATAGAGACGTACGAAAACTTTTAAAAGCGATGGACTAGTTCAGATTGATATTTTGAAATTAAGCTGAGACTACTAAAAGCCAAATAGGTTGACAGATAACATCAATACAAGAACACTCTCAGGTCGTTGGCCAATATAACTCATTCCATAAGTCCACGATATTTATATTTTGGTTGTAGGATCAGTAAGCCTCTTTGAGAGATTGACTTATCCACTTAGAGCTTTATTTTATGCCAGTATTTACTCGATAGTATCAGAACTGATCATTAGATATCTGGTTATATGGGTATATCAGGCCTCTATCGACCACATATATCTATACTATACATAGACATATGTTCCAGTATGGATGACCATAACACACGCAATAAGACATTAGTCATATACATTCTAATAACTGATTATGGAGTAGATGAATTTATCATATATAGATTAATATTTTTGTTATCATTCAAAGGGAGGAAATAATTTATTACAATTAATACTGAATAACAAAAACAAATATTAAGTATATATAAAGCGTATATCACCGAATGGAGAACTCTTCATGGGAATTGCCCATACTTCTTCCATTAACCAATAGGAGCAGTCACAGAGGTTCACGCTCCACGAAGAGTCATAAAAAGCATTTCCTTTAACAGGGAATCACTACTTATTTATATGTACATGTATCATGCTATCTGGCCCGATGACATTTCACAAAGGATGTTTGTAACATCTCTCTGTTATGATTCGGCTTGATGAATTATGAGGCCTGTTCTGACATAAATCAGGCTTAGACATCATCGCCAGACTGTGAGGTCTGGCGATTTTTCCGATTTTATTTAGAAATAAAGTCGTCTTTCTCTGTGAAATTAAATTATGGCCTTTTTCGCTCTCCCTAATAATGGTTTTACTTACTCGAATGATGGAAAGGAGCTTGATTAGATATTTGAAAAAAAAACAGATTTTTAAAATGCCGGAGCTGAACGTCTTGATAAAGATCCCGAATTTAAATTTGACGTCTACGGCCATATCCAGCATAAAGCATGATTACCCGTCCGATCAATAATTATTAAGCTGCTGAGAGCGATGCTGAGTACGTTAGTGGGAGACCATAATGGAAACCATCGTGCTGTAGACTGTTCTTTTTTGCAACTCTTTTTTTTTTGAACAAGTTTTATAAGGAGTAGCGAGGATTGAAATTGTCTACGTAATGTACTTCAAAGTAGTTTAAACATGCATTCGTAGCGAACCTAAATCATGAAATAGACCTGAATCGTAATCACATAGATTCAAGTTTTAATTAAGTGACCTTGAGCCTTATAATTGAACAGTCCTTCTCGACAGGGGCCTTATTATCGTAAGCAAAGAAAATAGTTGGTAAATTATATTGATAAGATGTTTTGATATTGTTGCATGCATAGAATCCTTCAATGAAGCCATCATAAAAAAAATAACCAACTTCTATATCTGTTCTGTCAGCACCTTTTACACCCATTTTAGCAAGGTTATTTCCATCGATACTGAAGCGATAACTGTTAGCATTAGATAAATACAAGAATTTTTCTCTGGAATCATAACTAAATTCAACCCCAGTAGTTGAATCCAAATATAAGTAGTCAACGCCGGCTTCTTGGTGGAGAGAAGTCACGTTTAACCCTTTGAATAAAAGGTTGTCTGATTCTACAGTTAACTGGAAAGCTCTAGTAAGGGAACAAATAGTAATTGCATAAGAGAGAAAACTGAATATTCTCATATTCATAGGACTTATTATGACAAATTGTAGGAAAATCTTTGGAAAAGGTAAAGACTTGAACAGGAATTCAGGGTATAACAATACTCTTTTATATGATTTCCAATGAACAATGCAGTTCCTTGTTCGTAAAGAATACTGCCCTTTTTTTTTTTTTTTTTTGCAACCGTCAAAACTTTCTTCTTGGATTGTCTACATTTGGAATCTTGGGAATAATGGATAAACGGTTTGCCCTGCTTAGATCATACTTCAGATGGTTATTCACCGGATGAGACAATCGCTAGTTAATTGTTTTGCGGAACACAAATCCATTCCGTTAAGGAATTTTAAAACCATAACGAGATTTAGTCTGTAAGTTGCGAAGTCAAACTAGTTGACGAACTGTCAACTTTGGGTAGCAGAAGTATGGACCCAGTGCTGCAATTGCGGGAAACGAAAGTCGATGACTTGTGACACCTACTCATTACATCATTTCGCAGTTTCGTCTTGTGTCATTGGAATTTCCAGAGTTATCCGGGGTTAGCTTAAGGACTCTGTTTGAAGATGAAGTTGCTGGAGAGATTTTTATTAAAAGTTGACTTTTATGAAAAGTAGATCTTTTGAGCCTTTGATTGAAAATAAGTTTTTTGTCGAAAGTTGCAAAATTTACAAATAATGTAAAATTTACAAATAATGTAAAATTTACAAAAAATTGCAATGACTTTCCAGAAAAGTAATCATATAACTGCTGAGAAATGCTATTGCAATCATCTAAGTAACAAATCTTGAAAATAACACAGATAAGTAACAAATCTTGAAAATAACACAGATTTGCATAAGTAAGGAATACAGCGGTGTATTGTTTGAAACGAACAAGGATTGTATTAATATAACTGTAGGTTAATTTTGGCATAATAAGCTTAATTAGGATCAATGAACAATGGGCTTGACAATATAGTGAAAAGATCTATATCGAAAAAATCACGTTGACTAGATAGAAGCAGTTCGTTGTTTCAATTTCTTCACAGCGTTGAGCTCAAGTTTTGATATCCTTTTCTGTTTATATCGGGTTATGTGGGTTGATCGAGCCCATAATCAACCACCAGTATCCATTAGTATTAGATACATAGTTCTAGTACGGTTGACCATAACACACGCATAAGTAGCATTAGTCAAATACATACTAATACTTGGTAGCACAGTGGATTAATTCGATACTGTCAGATTAATCTTTTCACGTTATTCAAAGGGAGAAAATAACTTATTATGATTAAGCTTAAGTATCCAAAGCCAATNTGTAAATATTATATAGAAATATTTATTACCGAATATAAAGAACTCTCCATAGGTCGACGACCATGCTTCAACCAATTAGAAGCATCACTTTGGTCCACGGCCCACGTCGAGTAGAAGATTTTTACATTTAACATGGAAATGCCTATTTATTTATATATGCACATTATCAGAATGCCTCATTTATGGATTAACACAAACTTTAAATATAATTTGTGTCTTCATTTGATGATGTATTGTACCTATCAATATAGATAGGCCAGTACATCATCTGCAGACCTTCAAGGTCTGACAGTTTACTTAAATGTTTACTCTTGTGATGTTCGAGCAGATGTTCTTTTGAAAACTTTGGCAATGACCTATACTTTCAGCTTGAAAAATGCCGACTTGATATAAAGAAAACAGATAGAGATATATAAACGGGTAAAGCGGAAAGTCAGAAAACACTTTGTTGAATAAAAGAAAGGTGAATCATACGAACCACCAAAACTAGCTAAATCATTCAAATTCTCTCCTTCTGCTTTTAATAATTGAGCAACACCACCGACCTCTAATATTCCTGTTCTTCGTTCTGCAGATGTCTTAATACGTAGACATTTTAAGATAGAAATTTGTGTGGGCCTTAATTAGGGTTCTCCTGTTTTATCTATTCCTCATATGCAACGGGACATATTTTATTTGAATACAAGTAAAGGAATATGCCTTTATTGTCAAGAAAACCGAATTCGTTATAGCAGTTTCGTCTACTTATGAAAATAGACAATTTTTTTGCTTTCACAAAAGTGCCATAAAAAGGCTCTTTTCCACCAGAAAAAACCTAAATCCATACTAATAAGCTATGCCTTTAAAAAACGTCTAATAAAACCCCCAAATTAGCCTTTTTAAAACTTTTTTTTCACACTGAAAAATTTACCCTTTAATAAAAATACCAGGATAGAAAACCACAGGCTCATTTTGTCATGAAATGGGCGTGTGGTCTAGTGGTATGATTCTCGCTTTGGGCGACTGTTCAGTACACTGAACGGAACAACACTAAGCATGCGAGAGGCCCTGGGTTCAATTCCCAGCTCGCCCCTTTTCTTTTTCAAATTTTTTTTTTTTGCTCTTGGTGGATTTTGCATCCACAAACTTATCTAATTGCAACTACTAGAATCTTCCTACAACCACGATCAAGAAGATCCGAATGCACGAGAGAGAACCAAACGACGACAGCCCAGACGAAACTTCTATTCCCGAAAGCCCAATGTGGCCAATGATTGAAGATAAAACGAAATGCATACCGATTCAAAAGTACCAGCAAGCAATTTCCGAATTGAAGTTTATGGAGGTATTCAATAACATAATACTAGGTTTATCCACGATTCTATTACTCATGACCATATACAATCTCGATAAGATATTTCACGTTGGTGGCAAGCCAGGGGAGGATGCTGTGGGATGTTTGGTCAATGACTATATCAAGATGCTGAATAAAGAGAAGGTTCTAGTGCTTCAGTATTTAACTAACGGGAATCGTTAATTCGACCGAATAGGCAGGTTCCGAAGCGTTAACTCCACCGGCCAACTTTTTTTTTAATTTTTTTTATTTTTTATTGTATTTTCAGCCTTATGTGATTCACCTAGACCAACCTTCAACTAGTGGGGGTTATCAATATGAGTCATATAATGCATACAATTACTATAGTATACCATTACTATAGTATACCATTACTATACTATGTAATTGGTTAATGTAGTTACAATTGTATAAATACAAGAGGAAAGTAGGGTTTATAAGAATATAATTCATATAATTTATATAATTAATATAATTAATTTCATTAACTGAAAATGTCACAATCTAAAAAGTCAATGGACTCAAATAATACCTCGCTGCAATCTATTCAAACTAGTAGTACTATAAGTTCTAAAGCTAGTCAATTAAAGAATAAGCTATTCAAGAAAAATAGCCATCGGAAAGAGACCACATCTCTGATGAAGAAAGAGTCTACGGCCACCTACATGTCTATGAAGAGCTAGTTATTTCTATAATATTAATATATTACGAATTAGTATCCTTTGCAGAATTGTAATTAATTGGGGGAACCCAATACGAAGTAGATCGTAGATCAAGTTAGTCATACGCCCGTGCACCCAGAGATGTTCGTTCGCCAACCAATTAGCAAAACAAAAAAAACACCCAGACACCGCATAAAAAACATCAAATTTTCATCGAGAGCTACGTGTAATCGATTGATCTATTCATCCAGTCAGTCAATCAGTTGAATAATCCTCCAATGTGGCAGCTTATCATACTCCTAACACTTGTCGGTCTAGGCCAGGCCTCGATCTTTGATTTCCTCAACCACCAGTTCCACGGAAACGGAGAAGAACAAAGGACCGAACAAAACCCGCTCAAATTCGAAGAAGATACCTTGAACAGAAACTGTAATAAGTACCTATGTCCCGACACTCTATTGTGTGTTGATAAACCCAAGTTGTGTCCCTGTCCGTATCCGTCGAGTCAATTGAAGTGCATGTTGCCCAACGAAAGGTATATTTGCATCAGCAAGCCCAGCGGCGAGGACCTCGAAGGGAAATACGACGATCCCAGAAACAACTGGAAGGTCGATGCCAAAAACGATGATATAAGAGACTGTGGTTGGGTAAATAGAGCCTGGAGAGATTTACTTTAATGATTTATAACCAACAACCAACATAACCATCACTCACCAATATAATTACCAATATAATTACCAATATAATTTCCAATATAATTACCAATGTAATCACAATACATCACAATACATCACAATACATCACAATACATCACTGTAGATCATTGTAGATGAATGTGATACATCACATCCACACATCACCAACTTCCTACTTCTGTTAATGAAAATTTGTGTGGTTGATTCTGCCAACACCCTGTCTTTTCTTTTTTTCTTACCCCAGACGATAATTGCTGATACCAACCGCACTTTTTTCCTTTGTGTGAGTGACTTACTCAATGGAGTAAGTTTGCACCTGTACTGAACTAACAAGGAGTGCTAACCACAAATGACCCATACCTTCTGCTATTATCAGACGGTTTTGATTTGTATGTGAGTTGTCTCCACCTTTCAGTTTTTCAGATTTCTTCTTTATCTTCATCTTTATCTTTTTGTTATACTTCATCTTTATCTTTTTGTTATACTTCATCTTTATCTTTTTGTTATACTTCATCTTTATCTTTTTGTTATACTTCATCTTAGTTATTACCTTCATATGATTCAAAGATGAAGGATATTGAACAGGATTCTTTTGTGAACCCGGTACCGGTTTCTAAAATTAATCACCGTCGTAATAGTAATTATTATAAGTGTTTCCAGAATAATTACCATGCTCATAAACTTCTAAATGCCAATCCAAGTTATATCACCCCGGCCTTGTCAACGGTTAAACACTGGCAGTTAAGAGATCTAATCCAAGTTAATAACTCTAAGGGATACGTTCATTACACTAATAATAAATCGATCAAATCGATTAATTTACAAGAAATGTCCTCGCCAGTCAAAGACTGGAACTTGAATTATACCCCCTGTTGTTATAGCTATACAAAGGACGGTTCTATGATCACTGGAGGGTTGATGAGTCCAATGGTATCGGGAGGAGGAGGAGGGGGAGGAGTTACCCCGGATATTAAGAATATAACCCCAAGTCATTCAAATCGATCATCCAAGGGGTTATTTTCCTTTCATAATAATGAAACTAATGAATCGTTTGATTATATTTTGGGGGAATTAATTAATAATTCAGTTAACATTTATCCAAAACTGTCAAATCAATATAATGCTTATGTTTGCAATAATGATTCTTATCTTTACACTCTTGATATTAATAACGAGGTTAAAGTTGCTAATCAAATTAAATGTCAAGAAGGTACGGCTTTAAACAATATTTGTCAATCAAATAAGAATTTGTTAACTATAACTGGAGACTCGGGGTCGATTTTCTTGATTGATTCTCGTGATAATTCTAAAATTAACACTATTGAAACAAATCACGATTCCGGTTTTGGAATTTCTTATCATTCAAATGATCATATTTTTTCAACTGCTTTCCAAGATGGTACTTGTTTATTATATGATATTAGAAATTTGAAAAAATCATTATTTGAAATAAAATCAACTAGACCAGGCCATCAATCGGGTGCTTTTAGAGTTTGTAAATTTAGTAACTCTAAATTTGGTGGTTATAATAATGATTTATTAGTTATACTGGAACACGTCGGTAGAATTCATTTAATTGATTTAAGAAATTTAAATCAAATTAATAATCATCAAGTTATAGTTTTACCATTTGCATTAGATCAATTTTCAAATTATAAATTAGAAAGAATTAATCGAATCGAAAAAATTTATAATGAAAATCATAATGAATCAAATCATAATGATTTATCAATCTATAATGAAGATGAAATCGAATTCACGGCTCCTTTGGTTTATGACTACGATTACTTAACCAATCATAATTCCAAATTATTTAAAAATTACACTTATCAACCTCCTCCTCCTCCCTCATTAAAAGTTCCCTCCTATGTTCCTCCTCCTCAATTTAATATTCCTCAGTGGAGTGAAAATGATTCTAATTCTAATTGTAATATTAATTCTAATGTTTCTCCAACTTCTTCTGCTAGACCTTCGTTACATTATGATCCTAACACTGGTGTTTCAAATAATGACTTTAATGATTTTGTTCCTCCAAATTCTTCTACCGTCTCTGATCATACCTCAGTTGATTCTTCTTCAATGTTGTCCTTTTATGATGCCTATCAACAATCAGTTAACCATATCCATGGTGAATTGAATTTAAGTGGTGTTGATTGGTTTAATGATCACTTATTAATTGGTTGTGACGGTGGTGGGTTGGTCAAGTGGAATATCAACTCAACCGCCCGTAGAAGTTTCGACTTGGCTTCTGTGGTTTAATTCTTCTCTCTCTTTCAATTCTTCATTCGTTGACTCGAACATGTACGTTTCCTTTCATTGATGTATTAATACTTGCCTGATGTAGATGTTGTAGATGCAATTATCAAACCCGTACACCAAAAACAAACTTATTGATGAAAATATAAACGCGTCTGTTATTTATTTATGATTCATTACTACTCTGCTCTTTGACCATGTACATATCACCGCCAGACTATGCGAGAGTCTTCCAGGAGATCAAGAGGACTTCCTCCTCGCATTCGACATGCAAACTAATCATCTTTGTCTCGTGTCTTGATATTGATAGCATTTGCACGGGGAAAATCTTAAGCATTATTTTTAAAAAAAATTTAATCCAATATCAATTAATTCCAGTGGTGGGTTATACTGATTTGAAAAACCATTATTCGAAGTTAGACGCCGAGATTTCCAATGTTATATTGATAGGGTGTGGCGCTATGTTGGATCTAGAAAGCTTTTTTGACATTAATTCCAATGATTATATTATTGATGATTTACCTCCAGATATTAATTCTTTAAGCCATGATTTACAAAACGATCCCATATTCAATTTAAAGAAATTGAAAAGAAAAATTTTCATTCTTGATGGTCATAGACCTTGGAATTTAGATAATCTATTCGGTTCAAATATGATTGTTTGTTTCGATGATGGTTATATTGATTCTAGTTTAACGAATGAAAAAGAATCTTATGAAAAATTATGTGATGCGGAAGAAGTGTCGTCCGAAGAAAGTGAAGAAAGTGAAGAAGAAGAAGAGGAAGAAGAAGAAGAAATTACAATACTCTCCGATGATGAAACGTCAAATCGTAAACGTCAAAAAATTGAAGATCAACTGAAAACTTTAAAACGTCAACGTAGAAAAAATATTTCGAAATGGGAAGATGATATCTCGTCTTATTATAATCAAGGTACCACTATAATAACATCAACAACCGCTACAATTTATGCACTACTTGGTTCGATTGGTGAAGCAAATATCGAAAATTTATGGCTTTCTATAATTGGTACTTCCTCTTTAGATAATCATTATCCAGAAGTTTACGATAAAATTCAACCCCTTTTCAAAGATGAAGTTATAAGATTGAATCCTTTTAATAATCCTCAATTAGTAACTGATAATAAAACCGCTGATACTACCACTTTATCAATTGAAAAAGATTATCACTTATTTTTATTACGTCATTGGACTTTATATGATTCATTTTTCTATTCTTCTCATGTAAATTCAAAATTAAATTTATGGACAGAAGATGGTAAAAAACGTTTACATAAATTATTTGCTAAAATGGGAGTATCATTATCAATTGCTCAACAGAAATGGCTTTATATGGATATTAATATCAAGAAAAAACTACCAATAATATTTGCAGAATATTTACCAAGCTATGGGTTAGAAGGTATTGTAAGAGATGGTTTCATTAGAACTTTTGGTTTTGCAGGTCAATTATCAGCAATGGAATGTGTTGAATCGTTAACTGCTCTACTCGAGTGTGATAAAAGATTATTAGAAGATACTAATAATACTAATAATACTAATAAAATTAATGATGACAATGAAACAACAAACGATGATGACGATATTAATTCAAAAATAGCTGAAAAAGAAAAAATATGGGTAAATAATTTTTGGTCTTCTTGGGATGCATTAAGTATGAATAATGGCTCTTCAAATAATATAAAAAAATTAAACTCATCAATGAATAACTCAATTTCAAATTTTAAAAAATTAAAGGGACTTGATTTACTTCTACAAGGTTTAGATCATGCAAAACAAATTCAACAAATTATTTTCAAAACCGGTATGTCATTATTAGAAAGAAAACTAATAAAAAATTTAAGACTTTATAGATTATGTGTTTTAAACGATGGATCAATTCCCGATTTGAATATCTTTAATAATCCTTTAATTCTATCTAAATTAGGTTCTTGGTTATTGGAAAATATAACAGAACTTGAATTCAGTAATTTCGATGAAAATAATATCAAATCCTTGAAACCATTGGTTGTTGCCAGTTTGGACGTTTCAAGTGATACCTACTTAGTCATTGGTTTGGCCCCAAAATATCCAAGAGGAATGAATAATGCCACCAGGGCTAGACTTTTACGTAAACAAAAGGAAAAACTAGGGGAAAAAATTGATAATAACCTCATTGATGAGTCTACCTTGACTACTAGATTGAACACCTTCAGTATTGCATTTCAAAAAACTGCTACTACTTCAGGAGCAAAAGTTAGGATTGATAGCTTCGATAGTTCTGTTATCGAAATACGGAAGGACGACTTATCTCCTTTCTTAGAAAAATTAACCTTGAGTGGCTTAATATAGATCAAAGTATATACTTATACCAAACTAATGTATTATAGAATCTTAATCAAATCTACCTTGTAAAGTAAACCCATATCAAGTCGATTGCAAAAAGCAAGAGANATTTTGAAAAAAAAAAAAAAAAAAAAAAATTACGACAACTGCAGGACTCGAACCTGCGCGGGCAGAGCCCAATAGATTTCAAGTCTATCTCCTTAACCGCTCGGACAAGTTGCCAAATTCGTGCAATTTTTCCAAAAAAAATGTACACGTCGATAAAGTTACCAAGGAAGCTTTGAAACAGCAGCTTTTTTAAAATTTGAAAAGAAGCAAAGAATTAGAGACAAAAGGCACTTATTCCATAATAACTATATTCCAAGCTTGTAATGCAGCTTAAATATTTGGCTTTTCTTCAAAAATCGGTTTTTCAACAAAAACAAATTCCAAAAATCTTACCTTTTTCCGTCCAATGACAGCCCATGTCATTTGACAGGAGCGGTACCCGAAGAATACTTGAGTAATTGAAAACAATCTCAACCAATTATAGTGGAGAAATATAAGCAAATTTGGCTTTTCGTTTTGTTCACTTTTCTCCAGTTATGTCCGTGCAACCAAGAACAACTGTTTCCCCATTGAATATTGTTTATCAATTCGGTTTCCAATTCATATGGAATAAAGCATTCCATTACAAATCTTATGTTCCATTACAAACCTTATGTTCCATTGCAAATCTTATGTTTCATTACAAATCTTCTGTTCAATTACAACTTTAGTCGGCCTTATCTCATATTCCTCTTATTGCAACAACACCTTAGCACCTCCACGATAACAATGCCAATAGACAACCGAATAGCTTTCATTCCATGTCCTTGAAGCCTAAGAGACCAAACTGAAAAATTTCTTACATGAAAAAAAAACCACTAACAAAACAAAAAAAAAAAGGCAGAAAAAAAGTTATAACCTGAATTTGATTGTTGAGAGAAAAACTAAAGGGAATATTGAAAAAAAAGGTAAAATAAGGAAATTCTTCATTTTTGTTTATCAGTTTATTCTCCAGGTTGTGACGTTCTAGTTCTAGTTCGATCTTCATCTTTTTTATCTTGAGTATCTTGTAAAGGAATTAGATTCTTTAATTTCAAGTCATTTTGCTTTAGTATACAAGATCGTTCAAACGTGAAAACTCAAACTTTTCATTTCTTTGTATTCTAATGATAATTAGTTATTAATAGATACAGTTTTCGCTATAATGTCATCCGAAGATCTTGGGATAAGTAATTTTCCGAAATCTCCAAGATTTTTCAATCATGGAACTAATCTACCGGATCTTAAAAACTACAAACAAACCAAAGACAATAAACTAGTGATATTTAATAATCAAACTTCCAACTTGAATCATCATCCTTTTAACTCAACTCAACAGAAGACCAAAGCAGTATTCCCGGTTGATTTTTTCCATCTTCAAAACAGAATCATTGTGACTGATATTGCTGCTGATGGGAAAGGAGTTGAGAAGGAAGATGAAAAGGAGGATGAAAAGGAAGAGGAGAAGGAAGATGAGAAAGAAGATGAGAAAGAAGATGAGAAAGAAGATGAAATACCCGCATTGAAGTTAGACCCAGATGACTGCAATGATCCAATAAAGATCATTGAATCTTTCAAAGAATTGGGTCAAAAGCATGGGGCAATAAAATTAATTCTCCCTGAAAACCTTGAAAATCTATTTCGTTATAGTTTTCAGTTGAATCCTGACTTTTTCATGTTTCAATCAAATAAGCTTTTGAATAATCCTGGTCATAATGAGCTTGAAAATAGATTACTATTTCACCATGAACTTATAAAATTTCATATTCAAAACTTAAAGAAACAAAAAGATAGAAATAAACCAGAAACTGATCAAAACGTACCTGCAATTAACCAAAATGGTAGCTTCTTACCTACGTATCCAATATCGCAGTCTAATGGAAACCTGCCTTTCCAATCAATCATGTCTCCAGAAAGTACTCAAATCAATGGCTCACCATCTTTTCAAGCATCAGAGGCTTCCCCACAAGCTTTCAAAGAATCAGACCCCAAGTCTGCAAAAAATAAGCTTCCTCCGTTCTTGAATAAACTACCAATGATTGACAAAAGACCAATCGACCTTTACAGACTATTTAGGTCTGTAGTTATGAGAGGTGGCTACGCCGAAGTCGTTAATAGAAAGTTATGGGCCCAAATCGGTAGAGAACTTGGTTACAAAGGTAAAATCATGACAAGTTTAAGTAGTTCTTTGAAAGCTTCATATTTTAGAATCTTATACCCTTTTGAATGTCTGTTGGGCGATGCAAAATTTGGTTTGGCCGGGATCCAAGAACCTAAATCGGACACTATACAAAATGACAGCTTTAATACAAATGGTAAGCGTCTATTGAATGAAGAAAACAGCGAAACTCATAAATCCAAAAAAGCGAAACTTGAAAACATCCCTTTGATCCTAGGCTCCTCGAAAGATTTCAAAAGATCTATTAAATTGAAATCATCGAAAGGTATTCTTTTAAATAGCCCTCATTTAATTGATGTCAAACAACCTAATGTATTTTCTTTCAAGAACATAGATGAAAAGCCTATAGAAGACTCCAAAAAACCAGACAGTCGAAGAAAAGACCCGGAAGAACGTGTACAATGTCCTATAACCCCTCAGTCTCAGGTTAACCATTTACTCAAGTCATACTTGGAAAATCAGTCTTGGTATCAAGATAAGTCGAGATTAGAGTCAAATGGAAAGCAAGGTTCAAACTACTCATTAAGACAATTCATGGAAAAAGATACGAAGTTTCAAGAATTCCTACTAACACGCCATAAATCGTCCTTCGCTAAAAATCCAAATTTATATCAACGTACTTCTCATAATAATACTCATCAAAATGGTAACTCACATCATCATTTACATGCCAGTAATAACCAACACCAATATCATCACCACCAACAACATGGTAATTCTCATAAACATAGTTCTCATGATTCTGCAGAGTCTTCCATTCTAGAAAGGAATGCGATTGATATCAAAACTTTCGAAAAACTATACTGGAATTCAGTTTCAAGTAAGCATAAGATGGCTAATTTGTCTGATCTATTGTCAAATGATGGATTAGAATTGGAAAATGGAGTTGGATTAACAAGCTTAATCAATGGGTCTGGATTTGCTAAAATTGGTGATGACTTTCTTAACTATAAAAACCAACTCACAACCTATAGCTATACCCAAACACATAGTGTCTACAGTTTAGTGGGAAGTATAAATAATTACGCTTCAATAAATCAGTCACCTCAACCAAGTCAAGAGCAAATTATTCACCAAATAAAAAATGACAACGGCCATCAGCATACCTCTCCTAACTGGAGTCAACATAACCAAAGGACCGGTACCTCCAATAATTTTATATCTGCTCAGCAAGGCTCCCCAATCAATGATATTAATCAACAGCAAACATTTATTTTCAATAGTAATGAAGTCTCATATCTAAACTCTCCAGATTATATTTCAAAGTTGACTTACGCTTCTTTAAATCCTTGGAACTTACATAATATACCCGTATTACCAAATTCTTTATTAGGTTCACTATCAGAAAATGATATTAATAATCAGGATTTGGTTAACCCGGTATTGAACATTGGTATGACCTTTAGTACAGAAAACTGGAAGTGTGAAGATCATTTTACACAACTAGCTAATTATCAATTCTTTGGCAGTGAAAAAAAATGGTACTTTATTCCAGAGTCAGAGTTTGAAAGATTTGAGGAATTGATAGAAGAAGTCAACCAGTCTAATAAAAGCAGGGTCAATTTGAATACTGGAGACGAGAATTGGAATTATGATCAATTGATGGATTTTTTCAATAGTGATCCAAATATTGGCAATGTCGAATATGAAGCTTTGATTAATTCATTAGAAAATATTATAAACCCTTTCCCTGAAACCAGAGCAGCTCATTCAAATCCTCATTTTCAAGCTTTCATTGATCATAAAAAGCAAAACAAAAAGATTTCTTTGAATCAAGATTTTATGATTTCACCTGATCTATTGAGGCAGAAGGGAATTAAGTATACTTCAACAGTTCAAAAACCAGGTGAATTAGTCATCAAGTTTCCCAAAACTTATAGCTCTACGATTTCTTTTGGCTTAAATTTGAGTGAAGAGGTCAACTTTGCTACAAGCTCTTGGCTCGATTATGCTTTGGAAGGTGAAGGCTGGCTCGAAAAGCAATCGGTATTACCTAACTTTTCCACCTTCAGATTATTAACTAATATTGCTCAAATCTATGATTCTGGTAATTCGAACTACATCCATTTCAACTCTGATGTTTATGAAAAAGTCTTAACACTCTATACTAATATTTATAGTGAAGAACTACTGTTAAGAAAAATCGTGAGAGACAAAGTTATGAATTTGAAAGAAATTCTTATCGATGAAAAAAGTCAAGGAGATGTGGATATTATTTCGGATGATTCCCTAGCTAATACCTTTCCTTCCAAAATTGTTCTCATTGATTCTGATACTCGTCAAAATTTTAACTTGACTCTCAAAAGTTTTTTGGAATATTTAGAAATCGAGACTTTGGCAAAAGATAAAGTAAGCTCTTCTCAGATTCCTCAAATTATTGGTAATCCGTCTATCAAAATCGAGCTTCATATTTTCTACTCTGATGATAAGCTTAAAGGATTTTATAAGATTTTGAGCAATTATGCTTCCGATTACTGTCAATGGATGTCTTCTTACGAGGAGCTTATGAAGTCAAACTCTGAATTACCTTTAAAAAACTATAAGCTCTTGCTAACAGAAGGAGAAAAATTATATGCAACAATTTCTTCATCAAATTATTTATCTCTACTTGATTCATCCTTTGTGGATGACACCACTAAGACAGCTGATTCTACCGATGACATTTTAAAGTTAAACATTTTCAAAGGATATATTGAAAATTTGAGATCATTTGTTAAGACTTCCAATGCATTTATTGAAGAATGTCAAAATATTTTGGCAATAAAACATCAACAAAGGATACGAAGCAATAATCCCTCATCTTTTTCAAGTGATAATGAGACGAAAGCAAACCCGGAAACATTGAATAAATTAATAGAGCTTGTCAGTAAAATTCCACAGTGCAATTTTACTTGTCCTGAATTTGAAAAGATAATCGAGTTCAAAAATGAAATTGAAAATTTCGATAGAGCATGTAAACTACTCATCGCTAAACTGAATAAAAACATAGATGAATTTGATGATTTGATTAATCTTGGTGAGTCCTTTGGAACATCCTTGCCAAGTTTGAATTTCATAACAAGAATCAGAAATATTTTGAAATGGAATGAGACTTATGAAATCATAATATCTGGTGGTGATCCGTTTAGCGATAAAAAGTATCACTTTACTTTGAGTCATTTGAAGAGTTTTTTCGAAGAAGGTGTGAAAAATTTGGGTAAAGATTCGATTGATAAAGTACAAAAAATTGAGCTACTCATCAAGAACAGTGTGGAATTTATGAAGTCTTGCAGCGAGTTTTTAAATGGATTTTGCTATGCTAATCTTGTTGATACAACCAAGCTTCATTCTTTAATCAAAGAGATTGAGCGAAGAGTTCGAGCAGAAGGAAGTAATCGATTATTTGTTGATTTAGAAACTTATGATCGTATGATTCACTTGAGCAGTAATACAGATTTGATTACAAAGTTCAATGAATTTGAAGACTCTTCCGTCGAATCTAAGTTTCTTTACCATGAATTAAAACAATTAAAGTCACTGATCGACGAATCTGACCTCAAGTTCGACACATACAAGTTACTGCATCATTTAGCACTCACTGAAAATTTGGTTAACGATATCTGGGCCCAATTTAAGAATTACCCGATCATCACTACTTTTGACAGACTGAATATTCCTAAAGATGTTCACGATGAAATCAATCCTCGAAACTCTTTAAACACTGACTTTATCAATTTTTTGCAAATGATTTTATTAAAGAGTGAATTCAACTTCGCAATTGATTCTGATGTTTACGAAAAGTCTTCGTCTTATGCTGTTCTTCAGGAGAACTTGAATAGACAAACTGAAATCAAACAAGAGCACATTGTTGAGGCAAACCATGAAGAGAAAGAACGCTTGCCCATGATTTATTGCTTATGCCGAGAATATGAATACGGCACTATGATTGAATGCGACCAATGCAATGAATGGTACCACAATGTATGCGTTGGAGAACCCGAGGATGATCAAAGTGATCCAAATGCGTCAGAGGACGATAGTTATTCGTGCCCTATATGTAAGCTCATTGATTCAAACGAAACAAAGGACTCATTCCTCAAAGGCCAAGCAAGTATTGAAGATCTAATCAAAACCGTTGACCATATCAAGACATTTAAAGTACATCCTTCGAACGAGCTAACCAAGTTGAATAAGCTTATCGATGAAATGAAAAGCAATGAATCTTTATTCAAGGAAATCTTTAATAAAATCAAAGGAAGCTCAGTCTCTTTGAAAGAAAAAATCAATTGGCTTAAGTTCACCTTGAGAAAACTTTACGGTGCCCCCATATTGATTGAAGATTTGTTCATCGCCTTATTGGCGGACACCAGAGCGTTGTTAAAGCTAGAAAATGAATCCCAACTTGGTCCAGAAGAATCCAAGCCAGTTATCAATGGGTCACCAATTTTTGCAACCAGAATCGATAAACCTGAAGCAGAAAGACCCACTCCAAACGAACAACCCATTCATGAGTCGGCTCCCACAGCAGAACACTCTAACAAAGTAATAACCAACCCTACCCCTGGCCTCCCCGATGCAAACATGGCCATTAAACAAGAATTTAACAACAGTTTCCAAGCAGACAGAATAAAAAATGACGAAATCACACCAGTTTCGAACTCCTAATTCATCTACCCATGTCTTTCTTGGGCAAACTGGCTCTTTCCTTCTCATATGTATTATTTCCACCTTTTCAACTACATCATTAACCTGTATAAATAGCATTAATAGATTTGTATAAATACTAATTTTCAGCCATTTGTACGCGATTCTTCAAAAGCGCAAAAAAAAAAAAAAGGCTAATGAAAGTAAACAAATATCGAAGACGTCAATTAGAAAGACAAAGCTGGCCATTCTACCAAGGCGAAGATGAGTTATACTTCACGAATAACAGATGATGTTGTCAGGATATGCTGGAATAATACGGTGCTGATGTCAGCTAATAAGGAATATATCAATATGTATCAAGTATTTGATTTTATCCAGGAACTTCAGGTGTTTTTATCAGTTAAAACCTTGCTTAATATGGAAGAATTACAGATGTTAAAGGATATGGCAGAAAGATCACCTACTTCGAAGCTTCATAAAGTTGAATTGAGCAAGTTTTTAAGTAAATTAGTGCTGGCGCCGAATTTAGAAGTATTTTTGAGAGAACGATCAGGCATAACATCACTGGAATTACAAAGAATGATCCGAAATCATGAGAGATCCAAGGTATACGATGATTCCATCAGGCTTCAAGCTTCTTTTAGAAAGCCATTATCGCCCTATAGCACAGAACGAGCTAGTAAAAGGGACTTTCCTACGAAACCAATAAATTCAGCACCATTATATAACGATTTAACAGACAAAACCAATTATTCAAGCCGAAGAAACCCAACATCAACCAGACATGATTTCAAATCGATCATATCGCCACCAATTTCTCCGGTCAAGCTAAGTTCAAGGTTAAGATCAAGAGATGCAACGGAAACAAATGTATTTAACAACAATAGAGAGTTGAATGAACTTCGAAGATTATTGAAAATCAAAGATCAGCAGATCAATGAACGAGAGAAGCAAATCGAAATGATTTCAGATGAAAATAGTCGTCTTAGTTTAGAAAATAGACGGCAGAAATCCAAGCTTATGGAATTTGATAATAATAAATTAAATTTGACCAAATATATTGAAGCTCTTGAATCACAATTAGAAAATAAACGGTATAATAAGAATCCAAATGATCAAAATGAAAGGCTTATGATCAAAGAACTTATAAATAAGAATTCACAGCAAGAAATATGGATTAAAGAACTCGAAATAGTATGTGAAAAGTACCAAGGAGATATTAAGAAATTTACCAAACAAGATGAATCTAATCAAAAATTAACCCTAGAGTTGAACCAAAGTTTGATCAGACAAAAAGATTTAATAGATGGATTAAAGGCTAAATTAGAGCTCAAGCCATCTTTTAATAATGGAAAGAGTGAAAAGCTTGAAAAATTCTTACGAAATCTTCCATTCATCAAACAATTTTACATTTATCATAAGTACCAACGAGAACATAAGAATTTTGGAATGATATTTATCAATTCGATAACATTGCTATTCACAACTATCATCATATTGAATATGTTCAAGTTATTGTTATACATTACAGTATCATTCAAGACAATTGGAGGAAATAACGATAACTTACTTGACTATGTCTATGAAGAAGAGAAAAGATCAATTTGGTCAACCGAGTATTCAGAACCAAAAATTGAAGGATGGAAACAAATACCGTGGTTAGAGTATATAGCTTATAGAATTCAAGATTGGTTATATGAATAGATTAAATTTCAATGATATTTATTTTGTACAAAAAAAAAGAAAATTAGAAATCAAGTAAGTAGACGAAATGAAAATAGCGTAAAGATGAAAAGATAAAATTTTATATTCATTTTATATAGAAAGAAAAACAAATAAGAAAATTATTCCCCTTCATTTATATAATACAAAAAGGTTAAAAAAACAAAACAAAAGCTAATAAACTTAGTTCATTTGTTTAACCAAATCGTTAATAAAGTGTTCTCTGTTACCAGTGTCACCACCTTGGATAAAGTGGAAGAATTTTCTGGCTCTGAAACCACCGTTAGGGTTAGATAATTTGAATGGCCATAAGAAGTTGTTAACTTGTTTGAAGTTTGGACCAACAGTGTAAATTTCGTGAATTAAATCTTCGATAGATAAAATACCGTATTTACCCAAGTTAGCTTCAATAATTTGGTTATCAGATAATGGGATTCTTTGTTTGTTAACTTTACCGTAACCTCTTTTGTAGATTAATTTTCTAATGGTAGCCAAGTTTGGGTAACCGTAAGCAACGTAAGGTTCAGCTAATTTGATTAATTCAGCGGTAGCTTTAGTTAATCTAACGAAAACACCAGCATTAATTTGAGTTAATCTTAATAATTGTAAAACCTTTCTTGGTTTAGGTGGGATTTTGTTAATACCCTTGATTCTGATAACGTAAACTAATTTTGGTTGAGCTTCAACGTAGTAAGAACCAGCAGCTTTAGCTTCACGTTTAGCGTTAATGACAGCACGTTCAGCATCAGTGTATTCTTTTTGGTAAGCAGCAGCTCTGTCAAAGATGATTTTTCTTTTTTCTTTGTTAGACTAAAAATACTAGTTAGTATATTAATTTTCCAATATCAAATGTTTAATAAATTATCTGGTTTTTTTTCTCAGTCCCGAAAGATGGTTAATTGAAAGACAACATCGCCGTGGCTAGTCATTTTCGAAATGGTTGATTTCATCTTCAAAATACTTCAATAATCATTAAACACTCAACTAAGATTAATACATACAGCTTTACGAACGACTTTTTGAGCAGCACGTTCTTCAGCAATTTTTTGTTGGTCTTTAGATTTTTTAACCAAGGATTCTGGTTTCAAAGTACTATTTCAATGTTAGTATTAGTCTTAACTGATCATCACGCCACTTAGACCATTACAAGAGAAAAGAATGGTAGGAAAACCAAAAATAACATAATAGAATGGACCAAGTCCATCTGAGAAGACCTGCAAACGCAAGTGATACAACGATTATCGCACGAGGCGAGTAACCAGAATAATGTTATTATTACTTTCATAAAGGAATCATCTTCCAATAGAATAGTAATTTCCATAACTGAGACACCACACAAGATGATAAAGTACCAAGACTAAATCAGATGCTGATGCAATGTCTCCCACATCCAACAGAATGTGCATTCTTTAGACCTGTAACAGTCCAAACAAACATAATGACTCCATGATCTTATGATCTTAAACATACGTAGCCATCTTTAATGTTTTGAATAAGGAAAAAAGTAGGGAGATTTTAATTTTTCACCAGCCAAACGAGGTTAATTTATATTTCAAAGTGAAAAATTTTGGTGCTCGCGGGATGAGCGTGCGCTAACCAAGAGCCCGAGCTGCTTTTTTCTTCTTCTTCTCGGAGACGAGAAAATGGCTACACGTGACAGGATAGGGCGCGAGCCCTAGATGTACACCCGTACCACAAGAAGAGCATATTGGCTGCAATTCCTCTTGTGGCACTCCAACTTCGATTAGCAGATAATAGAGCAAGAGAAAGAGTAAGTACTAACTAAACACAAGCATGGATATAAGTGTGGTTGTATAGTCTGGATATAAGTGTGGAATATACATATATATAGTATAATATATAGTATAGTATAGTATAATATAGTATAGTATAGTATAATATAGTATAGTATAGTATAATATAGTATAATATAGTATAATATAGTAATATACAGTATATAGATTGTTGCAGTTATAGTATCACTTGTTTCGGTTTGTTATATAGTAATACCATGGATCTGGTTATTGGCCACGTATCAAACGGTCCAACGGTAGCAATAAGGCATTTAATCTCGATAAGACTCTAACACAAGATGCTGAATATGCTTTTGCTGGCATCTCGCTAGGGGAAGCTGTCAAGCAGCTTATTCTCAAGCTTTGGTCCAATAAGCTTGCTCGATAAGATTGGTTGATAAGAGTTCCATTTTGAATTAGGAATGATTTTCCGCAGCAGGAAAAATGCGTCAAGTTGACGTTTTTTTGGCAGCTTTTCATTTAAAGCGATGCCCCAATTAATTATGAAGGATAGAACGGGCAAAGATCTTATTGATAACGATGGGGATGGACTAAAACCAGGTTCTTGAGCAGAGTTATATAATCCGAGCAAATTCAAGTTACCTTTTTTGCTTTTTTTGTTTTTGAGTAGGACTCAAACTTAAAATGACTTTACATCCAGTTCTCTCTGGTGAACAGATACTAGAACAGGTTAAATCAAATAAACTGTTTTATAATAATACCCAGAATGTGGAAACACCCCATATTTCGGCGGTATTGTCTAATGACGACGATGAATTATTGGCCCAGATTGGGTATAAGCCGGAGTTGAAAAGACATTTTTCCACTCTCCAAGTTTTCGGGGTTGCGTTTTCAATCATGGGGCTATTACCTTCGATTGCGAGTGTGTTATCGTACGGTTTTCTTGCTGGTCCTAGTGGGTTACTCTATGGGTGGATTATCTCATCGTTGTTGATTTTATCAATTGGTTATAGTATGGCAGTTAATGGTTCTTCGATTCCAACCTCTGGTGGTCTTTATTATTGGACTAATTATTATGCTCCTCCCAAATTGAAAACAGTGATCAGTTATTTGGTTGGTAATACTAATTCAATTGCTTTGGTTGGGGCTCTTTGTAGTATTGATTATGGGTTTTCTCAAGAATTACTTTCAATCGTGGTTATTGCTAAAGATGGGGATTTTGAAGTCACTCCATCTAAAACCTATGGTGTTTTCGTTGCTTGTGTTTTAACCCATATCCTAATCACTTGTGCTTCCCTGAAAAATTGTTCTTGGTTACAAACTACTTCAATCATTGTTAACGTTGTTTTAATCATTTTTTTCATTATTGCTTTACCAATTGGTGCAAGAAATAATTTTAAAAGTGCTAGTTTTGTTTTTGCTAATTTTGATAACTTGACTAATTTCCCAATTGGCTGGGTACAGTTGTCTCAGGCCTGGTTGCCTGCAATTTGGACTATTGGTGCCTTTGACTCAGTGGTTCATATGTCAGAAGAATGTGCCAATGCCACTAGAGCAATCCCAATTGGTATCTTAGGTAGTATCACTGCTTGTGGTTCTATTGGTACTATAATCATCATTGTCATTCTTTTCTGTATTCAAACCGATGATATTGAAACCCATATTCTTGGTTCAAAATTTGGTCAACCTTTAGCTCAAATCATTTACGATGTCTTGGGTAAAAAATGGGCTATTTTCTTTATGGTTTTCGTTGCCATTGCTCAATGGATGATGGGTGCTTCAACCCTTACTGCTATCAGTCGTCAAATTTGGGCTTTTGCTAGAGATAATGGTCTTCCTTTCTCCTTTTGGATTAAGAGAGTTAATAAAAAATTATCAGTTCCAATTAACGCCGTTATCACTGGTGGTGTTTTGGCAATTTTAATTGGTTTATTATGTATAATTGGTACCGCTGCTTCTACTGCCTTATTCACTCTTTATATCGCTGGTAATTATTTTGCTTGGGGAGTTCCAACCTTGTTAAGATTAACCACCGGTAGACATTTATTCGAGCCGGGTCCTTTCTATCATGGTAAACTTATCAATGATGTAATTGGATGGATTTCAACCATATTTATCGCCTTCAGTATAGTGATGGTTATGTTCCCAAGTAATAGAAACCCCAGTGTGGATGATATGAATTATACCTGTGTTATAACGCCAGGAGTTTGGATTCTTTCTCTTGGTTATTACCTCATCTATGCCCATAAAATTTATCATGGTCCTCGTAAAACAGTGGCAGAAGAAGAGGAAGATGCAGATGAAGAAGAGAGAGCTGGGTCAAGCTTGTCAGATAACGCTGGGTTTTCTCCAGTTAAAACCGAAATACTTGATGGTGTTGAAGAAAAATTATCAAATGGTGAAGCCCATGTCAGAGAACGAAAAGTTTAAGAGACATACATATATATTCATTTTTATATAAAAAAAAAAAAAGAGATAACTTTTAGAGTAGACTAACTTTTCAAATCAATAACCGTAAGAATATTCACCTTGGATCCATCTGTTAACCATGTCCAAAGAGTTTTCTGGTTGGTCAAAAGGAACCATATGGCCAGCATCGTAAACTCTTAAGAAAGTAAAGTGTTTATAATTCTTAACTTCCCCGGCCAATTTGCCATCTTTAGTATACCAAGGTCTTAATGGAACTTTTTCAAAAAATTCATGATCTTCGTAATCAAGAGAATCGGTCCAGTAGTGATTACCCAACCAATTACAAATGTAATCTTTATCACCAGCATAAATTAAAACAGGAATGTTATATTCCAATAATTCACTGACAAAATCTTGAAATGGTTTTTGTTCATCACCATTTAAGATAAAGTTTCTAAATACAATATCATCACAACTAGTGAAGATATCAATATTAGAAGCACCAACAGCTTCTTTAACGTAATCTAAATTCAAATAATCATCCAAGTAATCCATTTCTTTATAACAATTACCGCCTTCGTCTTCACAGTTTTTTCTAATATCATAAGGATTTAATCCAGTATCAGAATAAGGGCCAAATAAGGCACTTTCACAATAATATGTAGCTGGAACACAAGTGATTGCACTTGGTGCTTTATAACAAATGTCGGTTAAAGTGGCACATTTTGGATAATCTCTATCCATCTTTTCACAAGTTTCTTCTTCCAAAACTGGTTTATAACCACCTTCACCACAACCCATTGGTTTATAAGCACCGTATTGAATCAAAGGATCAGTGATACCATTACCAATTAAAACAGAAGATAATTCAAAAGACCTATCAGCGTTATTAATAATTTCAGCAGCAAAACTTGGAATATAATGACCAGCATAAGATTCACCAGCGATATGGAATTTGTTTTTCAAAAATTGGGGGAATTTTTGATAAAATAACTCTAAAAAGATATAAACATCTTTAGCAGCAGATGCAGTATTCTTAATTTCTTCACCTTCAGTGTAAGAATAACCAACTCCTACCGGTTGATCCAAAAAGATGACTGTAGCATTGGAGTTCCAAGAATATGGATTATAAACCGGTTGAATGGTAGAATTAATCAGTGAAGGACCCAATTCAAAAAACAACCCGGTAGCCGAGGAACAGCCTGGGCCACCGTTCAACCACAAGATGACTGGGTCATTCTCGGGATCGTTTCTTGACTCAAATAACCAGTAAAACAAGTGTTTCCCTTGTTTAGCAATATCTAAATAACCAGTATATTGATTAACAGAATCCAATCCCAAAATCTCAGGATTACTTTCCTTAATTCTTAATGAATGATCTCTAAACTTTTCATTTGATACAACTTCAAATTGCAAGTCTTTATCAAACACCTGCTGATTAACTCGGTTGTGTAAGCGGTCTGACTTCACTACAAATTTTTCATTGTACTTATCAATCAATTTTTGCAACTTAGACAATCCCAATTGGTCTTCCATTTCTCTCCATGCTTCCTTGACTTCTGGATAGTGACTCTCTTTCAAATTACCAATCTTCTTTCTTTGCTTAGCCAACATATCATCTTCAATGTAACTAGCAGGGTCTTCTAATAAGACCGAGTCTTGGTGAGTAGAATCAAAGATAAATTGCTTGATATCTTCGGCAAATGGTACTTGGAAAGCATTCGTGGTGGAGCTAACGGCCCCGAGTATTGCAACTAAGCTGGTTAATCTCATACTTGTTAGCAATTGGCTAAAATAAGCAAATTGGCAAACCCTGGACTTATCTCCCTTTTTATAGTGCCATTCGGTTATGTGATAAGGTCAGTTTTGCAGGTTGTCGCACGTAAAGTGCATGTTATTAAAATTACAGTTTTATCAAGACAAAATTACAGGTTTGATGATTTTCGCTCGCGCACTACCTTTTTTTGTTACTGGAAAAAAATCAAAGAAAAGGAAACTCAAGAAGTAAACAGAGAATAGTTGTGAATTTAAAAGAAGAAACAAAATATAGTCAAGATGTCACGTCGTTCTGGAGCCAATGGAGCTCCTGTGCCGGTTGCAGTGAAGCCCAGGGGTCAGCAGTTTGCATCAGGTGGGCTTGGGTTTGGAGGAACCGGTCGATTTAATGGGTTTGGCGGTTATCAACTGCACGTATCAGAATACTTTGGCTCAGGACACACTGGGGTTACGCCAACTGATAGAATTGTGATGGCATTCAAGTGTGGAATTGATAGCGAGATTGAACAGTCATTAAGTACGTTGGCGTTTTTTTCATGTCATTCACCCGAATTAGTCAAATTTGAACAAAATGAATATTTAGGTAAAGAATTAATTAAGTTCTTTCTTAAACCATATTTACTCATACTTGAGGGAGAAGAAAATAAAGTGACTTCAAAAATTATTAATTTGAGTCAAGACTCATTGATAGTTCTACGTAATGCTACTCAAGATCTCGATAATCAACAATGGTTATCACAAGTTAAAAATTTTAAAAAACATATAGTGGAAGTATTAAAATTACTTGTCAGTTGGATCTATAGTAGCGAAATTAAATCATACCATCTTTCTACTTTCCAAGATTTATGGAATGAAGCATTACCATATCTTCTTGATTTGATTGATCCACTATCTTGTTATTATGTGGATAACAATAAACAAGATCCTTTATTTAATCAATTGCTTTTGATATCTACTCAATCAAAGGATAAATACATTTTAACCACCACCATTAAGTGCTTGGGACATTTACTTTTCATTTCTGATAAAACAAAAAATGATGAAAATAATGGTAAAAATGGTTCGATTACAGAAAATATTAATGAAATTAAACAAAATCCTCATAACTGTATTGATGCAATTACTGAAGATCATTTACAAAGAATCGTCGGCCTTTTATTTATTAACGATGATGAAATTACTCATGCAGTATTATCATTTCTCAAACAATATTTAACTTCAGAATCATTACATCCAAATTACCCTGATTCAGTAAAAGAATCACAATTACATAGATTGAAAAAATTGGTTCAAATTAATTCTTCTAGACTTAATTTACAAATACTAATGAAACAATTACCTCAGTTAATTTTATCGAAAATCCCGTTGATTGATCAATCGAAAATCCCAGAAACCCCTTCGATATCATTATCAAAAAGATCCACCTATTCAGGTATTCGCTCAACTAGACCAACATTACCTGCTGACTTATATAAAGTGGTGGTTAGATTACCAGAACCTCTCAGAGCCACTACGTGGCTCCGTTGCTGTTATGAACCTTATTATCCTCCATCCGAGGCTGCAAGTAATATCAATGAAACCAGTGAAGTTGCCCCCGGTGAAGTCACTCAAATTTCTTTATGGAAAGCTTACGAAACCCAATTCGAAGAAATTTGGAAAAACGATTCAAAACTGGATCATGCAAGTTTATTAGCGGCAGTTGAATTCATCAAAAATGTCACCTCTGCATTCCCAGAATCAGAAACCATGGTTGTTAATATCCCTTCTACCGACCCTTCAAAACCAGCTAAAAAAAAATTCGTCATTAAAGGTATTCAACCAAGACAATTCCCAGTAAGTATCGAAATTGGGAACTACGAGGCTCTCAGAAAACGCCAAAACCAAGCCATGATTCTTGGTAACGAAAGCTCCGGCGATAGCTCGTTACCGGTTGGCCATGTGGACTACGATAAATTCCAACATATCATATCTCTGGTCAATGACAAAATCTTAGAACCTAATCCAGACTTACCCAAAATTGAAAATCACTTCTTGAACTCCTTGAGTCATGACATCTTGGATTACATCATTACAGAATTATTAGATCCTGACACCGACGGGGAATACAAAAATATCTTTAGATATTATAACATCGATTGGTTGCCCGAACTAATCTACGCCAACCCAGGATTGATCCAAAACGGGTATATCAATACCAAATGGCTTCTCTACTTGGTCTAACCATGTTTTCTCCTTGTATAATTGGTGTATATTACTATAAATTGTATATTTAATTACTTAGATTGTTGATTATGTAAGCGGGATTTAAAAACTTAAAAAAAAAAAAAAAAAAAAAATCGAAAGAGAAAAATACAAAAATCAAAAAAGACTTCAATCTTCCTTTACTTGAACCAAACTTTCGTCAGACTAAGCAATAAACATGGCTTACAAGATCCCTAGAAGAGTTTTCGTTACTGATGTCATCCATAGAGTGTTTGTTCTTGGGTTGTTTACCTTTTGTGTTGTTGGAGTTGGTGGTATCGGATTCAACATTTGGGCAAACTCCGATTATGCTAGAATGAACAAGAACAAGTTAACCTTCGATAAGAAACAATACGAAGAAGCTCGTAAGCAAGATGAAAAGGAAGAATCCAAGTAAACCTAAACTTGCACGCATTTCATAATTAATTTTAAGAAAAAAACTCAAACTCTTATCATGTTCTTCTGTAAATAGTTTAATTTCATGTCAATAAAATGTTCAGCTAGCTGAGACTTTTTGTAATTTTTTGGGGTTGGAATTAACTTTAGCTTCCCGTTTCCTTTTCTTATCGGTCTTCTTTGTCTTGATTGGTTTTTTACAGTGATGCAGCTTTAACACATCACGTAGGTATTTATAGCTGCTCTCATTAACTTCGGCGATTCTGCCGTCATTGTTTGGATTCAATATCACAATATCGTAAGCTAGGTTGAATTTAGCTTCACAAATCGGACATTCTTGTTCTTCTTCTTCGGTCTTGACGTGTTTACTCAACTCTTGTAGAAACTTGTACCCCATTACACACCCACAAGGTCTCAAGTAAGCATAAACGCCCCCAGAATGGGTTATCGGGCAGGTGATGGCAATTTCGTCTTTGGCCCAACTAATTTGCAACTCGATCAAATCACTCATTGATTTGATATGTGCTAGCAAGATATTCCCACTAGGTTTCTGTTTCTGCTCGAGAAGGTACCCCAAGATCTTTTCCTTCAAGTAGAGTTTCCCTTTGTAATCGCTGACTATTGGATCTGGCGGGTTTGTTCCATCATTAAGCGGTGATGATGAGATTGTACAAGTATTGAGGATTGTCGAGGACTTGTCGTCAAGTTCCGTTTGTTGGTTGGCACTTATACTGTCTTTCGAATGAAGCAATAACAAGTCCTGCCTTTTGGCAATGGTTCCACCTTCATTCCCCATTATCGTAGAGTAAAGAGTTGGATTTCTATTCTTTTTGTTCAGCTTTTGGTCTCGTTCTCAAGTGAAAAAAAAAAATGAAAAAATCAACGATTCGAAAAAAAAAAAAAAAGATGTATAAACTCCAGATCAACAGATTTCATTGAATAGTACCGTTGATAACTGTTTGAAAAGTAATAGGAAGAATGGCAGCTGCTCAACCCAGAAAAATTGATTTGACAAAGCTTCAACCTCAGCAAATAGTGGAGTTTCGTAAATCCACTGAGGAAGAAATTAACCATTTCACTCAGTCATTACAAGCTTTACAAGCAGCACAAACCAAACTAAAAGACTGTATTACCAGTGTTGACAGCATGGAGAGCTCCAAGGGAGAGGAATTGTTGGTTCCGTTGACCAGCTCATTATACTTGCCTGGTAAAATAACTCAAAAAGATGAATACTTAGTCGATATTGGTACTGGATACTTCGTTGGAAAACTGGCTAAAGATACTAAAGTTGTTTATGAAAATAAAATCAGGAAATTAGATGAAGACTCCAAGAAATTGAAAGAGATTTTGGTTCAAAAAAATGATATTTTAAACAGTATTAATTTGGTTTTAAGAAATAAAATGATTGAATACGAAAAACAGCAAGAAGGTAAAGAGTAAATTCCATTATAGATTTCTAATGAAAGGCCATGCATTGTATAGTATAATATATATATATATATAGTTTCAACTTATTTGGTTGTAATCTTTATTGTAAATGAATGGTTCAGAAAATACCGATTTCATATTATTTAATTTCTTTGTCCCTAAACCTTGAATATTCCCCATTTGTTTGCCATTACCTTGACTATTCTGAATAACAATGTTCTTAAACGATTTGCAGTTTGCTAATAAGTTAACCACATCGGTTTTATTCACCGATTTGATCGATGTGAGAGTATCAACTAAACATGAATGATAATCATCCTTTTTAACTCCTTTAATGGTAGAATTCACCTTGGATGTCGATAACTCTAATTGCTTGCAAAAAGCAACGTAGTTTCCTGCCTCTTCGAAAGACCAGGCCAATACTAAAGATAAATCGTGTTTGATACAAATATCAGCCAATTTTCTTAAAGACTCTTGATGTGAATCAATGTCAACAACAACCAATAGAATCCGAAGCGCTCGATCGTTTTTGGAAACGTCTCCTACTACCGTCGACCCTTTATTTAATCTTTTCAATCGCGTCCATATATATTCTGGGTGTAATTTATGATATTTCAATGATAAGAACAATATTTGAATTAGCGGGTTGATATAATAGTCCGATAGTATCAGGCCATTATACTGCCACGACTGTGTTTTCATTAGAGACTGCGATAGAAGAGGATTCCCCTTTTGCGAGTTGGCTACCTGGATAGCTGAATGACTCTGAACTTGTTGATTTTGCCGTATATTCCTGGTTGATGCATTATCTGGTGTTGGGGACGGCGATGTTCCGGACGGAGTTGCAGAACGAGAGACACCCGTTCTCTCAACTCTTGTTCTGGGAACCACAACGGGCCTCTCTATACGCGGTCTTGCTGGTGCTGGCCGTGCTGGAGGCGTTGGTCGTTGAGGTGCTGTGGATGTACTTGCTGTTTCTTGTTGATTGGATGACTTTGGTTCATACTCATCTCTCATCCGTTGAACCCCAGCCAAAATACTAGCAAACGAAGATTTATCCATGGCATCATTCCCCTTTGGTGGATCATTCTTTCCGTTGGGATCCGACATGACTTTACTTAAATCAGTTGGTGATAAGATTATTAAGTCTTTTTTTTTTTTTTTTTTTTTCAACTTTTCAACTTTTCAATTGTCGCAAAATTTCTACTTCAGCATTAGATAAAGCATTATTAAAATACAAATAATATACATAGAAAACAGAGGTCATAAAGAATAGTCGGGAAATAGAGAGGCCCAGTCTTGGTCAAATAAGTCAGAAGTCATCAAAACAGGAGGACCACCAAAAAACTCTGAAAAATTACTCATCAAATCGATATCAGGATTCACTTCATTGAGAGGTTGATGCAAATGAGAGTCAAGGTTTGGTGTAGAGACCGGATGATCAGGGGAGTTTTGTTTTGACTCGAATTCTGACAGAGGAATATCAAAAATGACTTCATCGTTTACGATTTGGACTTTGATTGAACGATCTTTTTCTAATTTTAATTCAATTAGTTTGAAGGATTTTTCAGCCAATTTCCAAGTACGTGAACAGCCATGGAGGACATTTAAAAAGAATATTAAGTTTTCGTTGAACTTAGAGTACATGGGTCTGTTAGAATTTGAAAGGATGAGAACTGATAAGGATAAAATTGAACAATAAACGATAAACACTGAAGCTTTGCGTAGACCATGAACTGATTTAAATCTTGTAATGGCATGAATCAAATCAACAATGACTTCGTTGCAAATAGTAGAAGGAGAGTTAGATGAGTTATTTTCGATGATTTTATTTTGTTTAGTGATTTCAATAAAGGGACGATTTAAACAAAGTAGCAAGATATAGTAGTAATATCTCATATTCATTAGGGTCGGGTCTTCAGCGTTGTTTTTCAATAGATCTAGATCCCAATTAAGGTAATCGGGAAGGCTTTCTTTCCAATTAATGATTTGAGAGTTATAATTGTTGAGTTTTTCAAATTTCAGCGATAAATTAAAATTATCATTATTATGATCTCTAGTGAAGACATCATTCAACATATTTGAACTAATATTGATGAGATTAATTAAACTTTTCAATGGTAGTGAGATGAAAACCACTAGATCAGTATCTAATTTTTCATTTTTGGAATCATTTGGATTAGTGTAAGAATATTCATCAATCCATTCGAGATCGGGTAAATCTTTAGTTTGAGGAATTGAACTATCGGACATTTTCAAGATTGAAGGTCTGCCTAGCAACAAACTAATAAAATGGTCTGCTAGGTAGCATCCCCAAAAAATTCTTGATCGAATGGCAATATTTAAGTTTGAAATTTTTTCATTTGAAGTTAAAAACCATATTTTGGGGTCTAATTGGAACCCCAAATCAAACCCCATTCTTATCCCGTTCCCCGATAGCATCCATCCAGATGAGTTATTCCCATTACAAATGTCATAAAAGGCCAAGAGAAGAAAGCTTTGCATCGAAGTAATGGAAGGTTTATCTAATTTTGACAAAAGCAATTTTTTAGCATCATTATAAAATTGAGTGGATTTACTGTAAATTGAATCATCGTCAGACATACTTGACCCCATGGCACAGATGGAATAGATGAGTTCGACTGAACAATAGACACTTTTAGGTTTTGGATTGAAAAAATCAATTATAAATGCTTCTCTAAACACAAAAATATTATGATTTGGATACTGCCATTTGAAAAAAATCTTGATACACGAGATGATTGCCGGATTCTTATTGAGTTTCATGATCTCCAATTGCTCTGAGTTGTTCTCCGAAGAATTCTGAATCAATTCATTATCGAAAACACTAGTTGGACCGTATACTGCTAAATTCTTATGCTTATCTAAGTTTTCAAAATCGGTCGGATACGTATACTTGGAATTATCAACGGGGACCTGGCTTTCAGTTGCTGGTTCAATCACTGGGCGACTGGGGTTCTCGCCATTGACTATACTTTTAATTGAATCAATCATGTTTTCAAGGTTTTCAATCTTTGAATGAAGGTTTTCAACATACTGATTCAGAAACCGTTCTTTCCTCCGATCATTCTTGATCCTGATACAATCGATATTGTTTTTGACACAATTAGTACACGGGGATTGGAAATCACAACGGATCTTCCGGGCCCTACAACCTTGGCACAGTAGGGCCTGTCGTAAACGTTTCTTAGGGGGAGACATATATTGAAGTAGTGATGATTCGCAGATAATTTTTCAATTTTTTTTTACTTTGAATCATCATTAAATAAACACTAAATAAAGATGAACCCTAAATAAAGATGAGCATTAAGCAAAGAATAAGACTAAATAAAGAGATAGACTAGCATCAACGGTATAAACCAATTACCCACGGTAAGACTGACCCCCATCGAGGTTTTGTCTTCCTGCTTATCGGCCGAATCACCGTCAATAGAGTAACTTCCATTATGATGGTTGTGATAGCCTGCAACGTAACCACCAGCAAGCAAAGCACCGGTTGCACAATAGAACCTCTGGCCACCTCTACTACAAACCCTGGACCCTGAGAAACGAGAAGAAGTATAAAGCCCGTTGGGAGGGTACTTTGTATAGTAGTTGGAGCTTGACCCTTTGGTACCTGAGCCAGAACGACCTGAGCTTCCTCCATAATGACTGGAGCTTCCTCCATAATGACTGGAGCTTCCTCCACGACTTGAGCTTCCTCCATAATGACTGGAGCTTCCTCCACGACTTGAGCTTCCTCCGTAATGACTGGAGCTTCCTCCGTAATGACTGGAGCTTCCTCCGGAAAAACCTGAGCTTCTTCCTCCGAAACCTCTTCGAACGAGTTCCTTGATAGCAGAATCATGCTCTACGGCAGCTTGGTTAACAGCAGCTGAGCTTACTAGTACGGCCAATTGTAAGTAAGTAAATAAGTAGATAAGTTTCATCTTGGCCTCCAAGTACCAACTGCTGCTACTATACCCGATACTTATACCAAACAAGTCCGTCTTTAGTTGGGCAATAACCTCAGCCGGACATGATCATATTGACGTGAACATGACATTCTATTGACATACAAATGACATCTGCAAGCACCGTAAAGCCTCGATCAGCGAACAATTGTAAATCGTCCTCGATCCACTAGCACAATCTGATGGTGAACCTAATCAAGCAGTACAAACACGGCCCATTTACCAACCGGGGGTCATGTCAGCCCTACCTCGTTATCTTTCGCAGCCTCCATCATGACTTATTTTTTTCAAAACTTACTTAATACTTACAATAACCTACTTACGGTAACCTACTTACGGTAACTGATTGGCTACTGCTGACAAAGGCTATCCTTGCTAATTACAGCAGACTTACAATACTGCTGCTAATACTAATGGCAGCCAATAGTTCCGGAAGGGTGACCGGATATCCGGGTCTGGTCACGTTCTCGGAAATGAGTCTCGGAATTAGTGCGGTTTTCCGGGATCTCGGTTTGTGTCTGTAGCTGCCCTCGGTGCAAAACCGGAAGTGTCAGTGAGGTAATACTTTTTTCAATTAATTAATTACAATGCTCCCAATAAACCCCGACTGGCCTCCTAAAGTGCAAGCAGCTCCAGGAAGCATGCTCTGTGAGCACTGCTTGCACCTGCCGTTCCCTAGGTGTTTTGCAATTGGGACTGGTTGGTGTACGTGCTTTATCCTCCAGCCAATCCTCCAACTGGTGGACCAGAGTCAAAAAAAAAAAAGAAACACCCATACATCCAACGTCCACCCCCATCCCAAAGATATAAAAACTGAAAAATTCGCTTTCCGAACAACGTTTGCTAAAGATTTCCCTTTTTTTGGTTGGTTTTTGGTTTTAACGGGAAATCTCTGTTCATTCCTTAAGGGTCTTATTTTAATAAATTAATCATGTGTGACGTTGTTTTAGGTTCTCAATGGGGGGACGAAGGTAAAGGTAAATTAGTTGATATTTTATGTGATGATATTGACGTTTGTGCCAGATGTCAGGGTGGTAATAACGCTGGTCATACCATTGTTGTTGGTGAAACCAAGTATGATTTCCATATGTTACCTTCTGGGTTGGTCAATCCAAAATGTTTGAACTTGTTAGGATCAGGGGTTGTTATTCACGTCCCATCATTTTTCAAAGAATTAGAAACTTTAGAAGCAAAAGGTTTAGATTGCAGAGATCGTTTATTTGTTAGTTCTAGAGCTCATTTGGTTTTTGATTTCCATCAAAGAACCGATAAGTTGAAAGAAGCCGAATTATCAGAAAATAAGAAATCAATTGGTACCACTGGTAAAGGTATTGGTCCAACTTACTCCACTAAAGCTTCTAGATCGGGTATTAGAGTTCATCACTTGGTTGCTGATGATGATGATTCTTGGAACGAATTCAAAGTTAGATACCGTCGTTTAATCGAATCTAGATATAAAAGATACGGTGATTTCGAATACGATATCGAAGAAGAATTGGCCAGATACGAAAAATATCGTCAATTATTAAGACCTTTTGTTGTTGACTCAATTGAATTCATGCACAAGTCAATCGCTGAAAACAAAAAAATCTTGATTGAAGGTGCTAATGCTCTTATGTTAGATATCGATTTCGGTACTTATCCTTATGTTACCTCAAGTTCTACCGGTATTGGTGGGGTTTTGACCGGGTTGGGTATTCCTCCTAAATATATTAAAAACATTTACGGGGTTGTTAAAGCTTATACTACCAGAGTTGGTGAAGGTCCTTTCCCTTCTGAACAATTAAATACCTATGGTGAAACTTTACAAAATATCGGTGCTGAATATGGGGTTACCACCGGTAGAAAAAGAAGATGTGGTTGGTTAGATTTAGTGGTTTTAAAATACTCTACTTTAATTAACGGTTACACCTCTTTAAACATTACTAAGTTAGATGTCTTGGATACTTTTAAAGAAATTCAAGTTGCTGTTGCTTATTACTTGAACGGTAAAAAATTAACTAACTTCCCAGAAGATTTAGACTTGTTAGCTAAAGTTGAAGTTGAATACGTTACTTTACCTGGTTGGGAACAAGATATTTCTAAAATCAAAGATTATAAAGACTTACCTCAAAATGCTAAAGATTATTTGAAATATATTGAAGATTTCGTCAATGTTCCTGTTCAATGGGTTGGTGTCGGTCCAGCCCGTGACTCTATGTTGGTTAAAAACTAATCTCCTACTGCTTCTACTTCTCCCTTTTCTATATATATATATAAATTTAGATAAAATTGTTATTGTATCAAGCTTTTGTAGTACTTTGATTAACGAAAATGAGCAGTGAAAAATTTAATTGAGACGAAAAAGACACCAAATTGATTGCAATTCTTCATCATAATGCTGGCTAAATCAGATCTAACCTCCAAGTCCAGATGGTTCTTGATCATTCTCAATGTTCTCATCCGAGCATACATCTCCTTTTATATGATAATTCCTGATTGTGATGAAACTTTCAATTATTGGGATCCTTTGAACTTATTGATTAGAAAGTTTGGTAAACAAACTTGGGAATACTCTCCAGAATATGCTATAAGATCATATGCTTTCCTAACTCCATACTACTTGATTGATTACCCTTTCCATTATTTAAATCAATTTTACAAATTTCCTTCATATTTTGAATTTTACTGGATTAGATTAATTGGTTTAAATGGATTAACTAGTTTAAGTGAAATTTTATTAACTAACTCCTTAAGTGAAAACTTTGGAGCTAAAATCGGCAATTGGTACTTGTTCTTATCTTCTATTAATACCGGGATGTCCCATGCTGGGGTTGCTTTATTACCTTCGAGTTTTGCAATGCAAATGATTATATTTGCCATCAATAAATCTTTAAATGCAATTAATAGTAATGATTCCGATTTCAAAGTTAAGAATTCAGTGAAGACTTTCTTCTGGTTTGGTTTAGGTGGACTTTTTGGTTGGCCATTCATTCTTGTATTGTCGGTACCATTTGCTTTTTACACTTTATTTTCATCTAGTTTGAATCAGTTATGGCAAATTGGATTGAAATCGGCAATTAAGGTGTTTGGACTCATTTTGGTGATAAGTGGGATTGATAATTTATATTACAAGTTCAATCACTTCTTCTTCGTTCCATTGAATATCGTGTTATATAATGTATTTGGAGGTGAAGGTGAAGGACCAGAGATCTTTGGCGTTGAACCATTTAGTTACTACGTTGCCAATTTACTATTAAACTTCAATCTAATAATGATCTTAGGTTTTGTTGGGATCTTGGTGAATTTCTTCATTTACGAATATAAATACAAATCTAAAATCTTGGTTGGTATAATAAGTCCCTTGGTTATTTGGAGTACTATTTTCGGTATTCAACCTCATAAAGAGGAAAGATTCTTATATCCAATTTACCCATTGATTATTATAAATGCTTCATTGTTAATTAATAAGTTATTTATTTTACTCAACACCATTAGAAATAAATTAAGATTACCGAAAAGTATTACATTTTCAATTCAGTTATTATTTGCAATTTCAATTGGATTAATTTCAATTTCTAGGATATTCAATTTGATTGAAAATTATCGAGCTCCATTAACGGTACCAACTGTTTTAGCACAAGAGTCCAATACCGATTTGCAAAACGTTTGTGTGGGCAGAGAATGGTACCATTTCCCAAATTCTTTCTTCTTACCAGATAATTACCGATTGAGATTTGTGAAGAGTGGATTCGATGGATTATTACCGGGAGATTTTTTGGAAGCCGCCGCCATTCTGGACTCTACTTCAAATATACCAAGTGATATGAATAACAAGAATGAATTTTCCGAATCCAAGCTTATTGATTTCGAGCAGTGTGACTATTATTTTGATAACTCCCAACCAATCAATGAAAACGTTGGTGAGCCCCAAATGTTTATTGATGGACAAGTTAGACCGGATTGGCAGTTATTGAAATGCGATAAATTGATCAACCCCGATGGGAACCACCAAGGGATCGGAAGACTACTTTACATTCCAACCATCTTAAGAAACCATATACCAAACGAGGTTGTTTATATGGACTTGTGTGTTTTTAAGAAAGAAAAACGTTAATTTAACTATATATGTTTTAATACGAAAAGAAAATAGGCAAAAGCAAGAGCGTAACATCAACATTGCATGAAAGAAATAAAATAAAACAAAGAGAAGGTGGGAAGGTGAAAGCTCAATGCTCATCAACTATATATTTTGTAAAAATTAATTTATTTCCTTGTTCTTTTTGATTCTTTTTTTTTTTTTTAAAAAAATTAATTTTGGGGTTTTTTGTTAAAGTCGTTAAATGTATGAAAGAAACAAAGAAAAATCTAATTGGATACCCAATAAGAAAAGATAGACATCATTAAGAAAAGTTCATTGGGGTATAAGTTTATAATTCATCATCAAAGTAATCATTTAAAGCCGATTTTGATTTTTCAAAACCATCTCTGGCATTCTCTAAAGCATCTTCAATCAATTTAATCCAAAAATCATCATCGGTATCCTTCAATTTCTTATCTTCTTCCTTTTTCAATTCAAAATTATCAAAATTATTCTTATGTCCATAATTTTGAATTCGTTCACATTGACTACTGATTTTGATCAATCCCAACGCAGCAGCTGACCCCTTCAAGTAATGGCCCAAACTCGACAACTTATCCAAGTTCTTTTCCTTTATATTATCATCAATTTCTTTAAATGTTTCGATGAATTGATCAACAAAAGTCTGAAATAACGATTTGGAGAAGCCTTCTTCATCTTCGTCCATAGCAATCAATTCGCTGAATACCGACCATTCAACCAATCCTGACTTCTGTAAGTTTTGCCTTTTCTCTTCTGTCATCTTTAACTAAAAGAATTGAAGTATTATTGAAATAATAGTGCCAATCTTGATCCTTATATCGTTCTGTTTATCTAGAAAAAAAAAAAAAATAAGGAAAAGTTTTTTGGCGTTACGTAATTTTTGTGTGTGCCACTAACAATTTTTCGATTTTGTTGAAATTTTTCACTTTCTTCGTTTAACAAAATCAATTTCCATTAATTATTCATTGTAATTGCAACCGGAGAGTGTTGGTGGGCCGTGGGCCGTGGGTGGTGGGCAGTGGGTGGTGTTGCTGGTGGGTGGTTGGCTGGACTGTTGGTAGGGCAATTGCTACAAGGAGAAAATGTAGAGATACGATTCTAGAACTATTTATCAAGGTTATTTAGTCAATTGGTAGAAGTCACCTAACTTATTTGCGTAGTAGGTTGGTTTTATATTTGATTGTTCGATGCTTTGTAGTGATTCTATACCGGTGAGAACTAGTAAAGTATCCAAACCACCTTCGAGACCAAATCTCATATCGGTATTTAAACGATCCCCAATCATTAAACCTCTGGCCGGAGATTGTTGTAAAGGAGGGTTATCAGCTTTGATGGAGTCCATCATGGATTGATTTGGTTTACCACAAATTGCATCTGGTTGTCTACCAGAGGCAAAACTAACTGTTTCAATGATGGAACCAGCACCAATCATCAATTTGCCCTTCATTGGGAAAGTAGAATCGATATTGGTTGCAATGAATGGTAAAGATTTATTGTTTTTCAATAAATATTGTAAGGTGATTGATAATTTTAAATAATTAACATTTGTAGTTAATCCAGCAATTACTGCCCCAACCGAATCATCTAGTTGATTCAAATCAGGATGGTTTTCATCAAATTGAATATTGTACGCGGGATCACTCCCACCAATGGTTTTATAACCTAATTCGCTCAACTCCTGTTCAATACCCTGTTCTCCTAAAACCCAAATTTTTTGTTCTTTAGGCAATTTTAATATCTTATCGATATAATTAGCACTAGCATACGAAGATCCGAAAACCTCTTGTTTTTTAATACCGTCAATTCCCAATTTGGCAAACTTCTTTAAATAGTCATTTCTGGATTTAGTAGAGTTATTAGTAACAAACACTATGCTTTTGCCCCGTTGTTTTAACAAATCAAGTGTTTCAACCACCCAAGGTAATAAGTGATCTCCCAACCAAAGGACTCCGTCACAGTCAAACAAGAAGTAATCGTACTTGTCGAGTATGGCCTCCACCTGTTCCTTGCTATTGATATGAGCCGTCATTCTATCGATCTCTATGTCTATGTCTATATCTATACTTGGATTTATTAGTTGTATTACTGAGGATTTTTCATCCTTATATACTCCTTTTGGGGGAGGGGCGGTCACGTGCAACGGGCCTACTACGAAACTAAGCTAATGCTGTAATAAATATTAAATAAAGTACATAAAGAGATGGAATTGAAATCAACCTACCTAATGCATGGCATACTATGAATAGTACTAATTGGTGAATGATCATAAGTTAGTGAATAGAATGAGGAATAAAATAAGTTGAATAGAATAAATTATAAGTGATGTTGGTCCAGTCTGATTAACGGTCGGCTGGATGGACCCCAGCAGTGTATCTTGGGAAACGGGTCTTGGACTTGTCGTGGTAGATTTCTTCGTCGAACTTGGCCTTGTTTTCTTCACTCATGGATTCTCTAACAAGTTCTTGTCTGGCCTTTTCGGAAAAGTATCTTCTGGCAATGTTACGGTCTTCTTCTGCAACCAACATTGGCTCCAAAAAGAATCTGGCCCAGTTTCTTTCTCTTGCTAGCTCACGCTGTTCGTTGATTCCTTGATAGTAGCGGTAGAATCCAAACGAGATTAATCCGGTGATCCCCCAAAAATAAATCGATGGTCTGAACCCACGGGCTGGCACATTTCTCTTCCATTGGACTGGCTCGTATCCTCCAATAGGTGGTAAGTCTTGCATCTTGCTTGTATCTAGTGAAGGAACTGGTGAAGGAACTGGTGAAGGAACTGGTTGTCGGTGCTTCTCTTTTTCTGAAAAAAAAATTTATAATGAAAAACACTTCATTGGGTGAGACACAGACTTCCTTTTCAGGAAGTCTGTGCGCATTGCGACTAGTATAGTTACATGTATAGGTCTTACTTTTAGATAGATATGTATATTGTACGTTCATCATTAGATCTATTTGATGTTAAATACTGGTTTTAATTTCTTGATCAATACCCAGTCATCTCTGCTGACAGTATCACGGAAAGCAGGATCTTTCAAAGTATCAATTGATCTACGAGAAATTAAAGAATATAAGTTATCCTTTTCATCAACATGACGGCCCCAAACAGGTTGGGCAGATGAAGGGTTTTCCAATCTCATGGCAACACCAGCAGCAGTTTGACCCTTTTTGACAACGTCGTGAGATTTGTGGTTAACTTCTAAGGAAACAACTTTACCTAAAACCATGACATTTGGTTCTTTGGTAGTTGGATCTTGACGAACGGCACAAATTGGGGTACCAAGACGAACGGCCCCTTCGACAACGTCAACCCCAATGATCATTGGGTTACGTTTGTTGATAATTTGAATGGTATTTAAGACACATGGTAAAACGGCGTATTCCATAAATTCTTTACGACGATTTTCTAATAATTTATTTTGATAAGCAGTAAAGGAGTCGAATAAGTGATAAATGATATCTGCATTGAACAATTTGACATTTTGTTCTTCTGCGTATTGTTCAGCTTCTTTATCAATTTTAACGTCGAAACATAACATAACCGCATATTCTGGTGCTTTTTCTAACATGGTGGTTGCCTTCATAACGTCTCTTTTGAAAACTGGACCCAAACCAATTGACATAACTGGAATCTTCATGTCTTTTAAGAAGTCCAATAAGGCTTCTAATGAACCTAAGGTTGATGCTTGAACTGTAACCCCTCTACCTGAAGTGTCAACAGAATCCAATAATCCAGTTAAATCATCCATAACTTCATCCATTATTTCATCTTCGTCATCATCTTCATTAACAACAATTAATCTTGAACCAGCAACCGCTTTTTCTAAATCATTAGCAGCAATTTTAACCCCTAATGCAGCTTTAACTTCTTTATTATGGACATATTCAGATTTAATACGTAATTCACGAGATGGTGGTGGAGTTAATAATGCCCTAATGTTGGTTGCAATTGGTCCATTTAATCCACATAATACAACTCGGTCACCTTCTCTTAAAATACCATTAGATAAAACAACATCAATAGTATAACCAAAACCTTCTACTACTTTCACTTCTAAAATAGTAGCTTCAACCTTAGTTAAATACATTAATTGTTTAGCCATTCTCTTTTGAGTCAATTCTAATAATAACCATAATAAATCAGGAACCCCTTCACCAGTAACGGCAGATGTTGGAACAATTGACACATATTTTGACATATTTTTATTTTGATAGTATAATTCTGAATTTAATCCTTGTTCAGCTAAAGCAAGTTTGATTTGTTCATATCTAGTTTGAAATTCAGATTGAACTGCTTTAGATTGTTTGGAAAATGAATCACGGAAAGAATTGTTAGGTATTTCTTTCCAATCATATAATCTATCAATTTTATTTAATGCAACAACAAATGGTGCTTTTCTATCTCTCAATAATCTAATCGATTCCATAGTTTGTTGTTCTAAACCATGCATAATATCAATAACTAAAATAGCAATGTTACATAATGATGAACCACGAGATCTTAAATTGGTGAAAGATTCGTGACCTGGAGTATCAATAATTAATAAACCTGGAACATCAAATGTTTGTTTTTCATATTTAGCCATACTAGCAGTTTTGGTTTTGATAGCATCAACTGGGAAATAAGTGGCACCAATTTGTTGAGTAATACCACCAGCTTCACCACCTTGAACATTGGTTTGACGAACTTTATCTAATAATTTAGTTTTACCAGTATCAACATGACCCAAAATACAACAAATTGGAGAACGTAAATCTTTATCGGTTGATGGAGATGGAGATGATTTTTTAGTAAGAGCAGCTTTTTTAGCAGCTTCTTCTTTAGCTTTGGCGGCAGCAGCAGCTTTTGCTTCGGCTTCCTTTTTAGCAGCAGCAGCGGCAGCGGCAGCTTTTGCTTCAGCTTCTTTTTTAGCAGCAGCTTCAGCTTCAGAATCATCTTTAGGTTCTTCAACTGATTCCTCAACTTGTGGGGCTTCATCATCATCGTCACCTAAAGCATTTTCCCAGTCGTCAGCAAGAGGTTCGTCATCACCGAGTTGTTCCCAATCTTCGGCAACATCTTCATCGTCATCTTGTTTAGATTCGACTGGTTTTGTTTCGGTCTTTTGGGGTTTTTGATTAAAAGTTTTTGGTTTGGTAGATTTTTTCTTTTCATAGATAATTCTTTTTGGTTTGGTAGATTTATCATCTTCAGATTTATTTAAACCAGCAACAGAAACATTACCACTTTGTAATAATTGTTGACGACGTTTTTCTTGTAATTTCTTCTCTTCTTTTTGCTTTTTGGTTAATAATTTACCTTCAGCCTTTAATTTTTCTTTCTTTAATCTTTCCTTTTCCTTTTTAGCCGCTCTTGAAGCTTCTAACTTAGCTTCTTCTTCTTCTTTTAATTTTTCTTCTTCTGCAAGACGTTTTTCTTCTTCTTCTTCTGCAAGACGTTCTTCTTCTTCGGCCTTCTTTTTCAATTCTAATTGACGTTTTAAGGCTGCAAGACCAGCTGGTGCCTTCTTACCACCCTTTTTAGCTGCAGGTTTCTTTGCTTCTGGTTCGGGAGTAGCTTCAGGAGTAGCTTCATTTGATGAAGCGGCGGCGGCAGCGGCTGCATTCTTCTTATTGGCTTCTTTGATTTGCTCCTTTTTATCGGCTTGTTGAACTTTCTTCTTAGCAGCTTCTTCCTTCTTTCTTTGTTTTTCAGCTTCCTTCTTTAATTTTTCCTTTTCTTTCTTGGATAAAACTTTTGGTGCATTAGTATTCTTCTTTTCTTCTTCTTCTGCAGCCTTGGTTTGTTTCTTGTTCTTCGATTTACGAATAGAACTTAAGAAATCTCCTGGACCTGCCTCTTCAGCTTCTGCTGAACCGGCTTCTTCTGCGGCTTCTTCTGCTTCTCCTGCTTCTCCTTCGACTGGAGTACCGAATTCTTCAGCTGGAGCAGTTTCCATTTCTTCTTCGTCCCAGAAATCCCCTCCGGCTTGACTCTTCTTTGATTTTTTACCCATTTTCAACCTATATATACAATTCTTTGTGGGTATAACTTGATTTCTTCTTCAAATCAATCAGCTTTTCAATAGGAAGAGATTGAAATTTTTTTTTTTTTCCATTTTTTTCGTCCTCTGCTTGGATTTTTGGTAAAAGACACTAACCCACCCAGCGTTGGTCTCGGCACGATTTTTACGTCAGCGCATTAAAAGTTTTTCAGCAATTGATATCTTGATCTTAAAACCAGGACTTTATTCTTTATAACATATTCAATAAGATGACTACCGTGGAGAAGATCAAGGGTATTGAAGATGAAATGGCCAGGACCCAAAAGAACAAGAACACCTCGTTCCATTTGGGTCAATTAAAGGCCAAGTTAGCCAAGTTAAGAAGAGAATTAATTTCAGATAGTTCCTCTGGAGGAGGTGGTGGTGGAGTTGGTTTTGATGTTGCAAGAACCGGGGTGGCCACGATCGGGTTTGTTGGTTTCCCATCGGTTGGGAAAAGTACCTTGTTATCTAAATTGACTGGGACACATTCTGAAGCCGCCGCTTACGAATTCACAACTTTAACTACTGTTCCAGGGATCATTAAATATAAAGGTGCTAAGCTTCAAATGTTGGATTTACCCGGGATTATAGAAGGGGCTAAAGATGGTAAAGGTAGAGGTAAGCAAGTTATTGCGGTTGCCAGATCGGTTAATTTATTATTTTTGGTTTTGGATGTTAATAAACCATTACAACATAAAAGAATTATTGAATATGAATTAGAAGGGGTTGGAATTAGAATCAATAAAGAACCACCAAACATTGTTATCACCAAGAAGGAAAGAGGTGGGATCAATATCACTAACACTGTTCCATTAACCCATTTGGACAACGATGAGATTAAAGCCGTCATGGCTGAATATAAAATCAACTCTGCAAACATCGCTTTCAGATGTGATGCTACCGTGGATGATTTAATCGATGCCATTGAAGCCAAGTCAAGAAGATACATTCCTGCCATTTACGTCTTGAATAAAATCGACTCTTTTTCCGTTGAAGAATTGGATTTATTGTACAAGATCCCCAATGCAATTCCAATCTCTTCTGGTCAAGGTTGGAATCTCGATGATTTATTACAAATGATGTGGGATAAATTGAAATTGGTTAGAGTCTACACCAAACCAAAGGGTAAGTTACCTGATTTCAGTGAACCAGTGGTGTTAAGAAACGACCGTTGTTCAGTAGAAGATTTCTGTAACTCCATTCACAAGTCCTTAGTCAGTGATTTCAGAAATGCTTTGGTCTTCGGCCAATCGGTGAAACACCAACCCCAAGTCGTGGGGTTAAGTCATGACTTACAAGACGAGGATGTCATCACCATTCTCAAAAAGTAGTCCTTGCATCCTGTATATTTTTGTAATGTATATTATCTTCTGTATCACTAGTATGTATCGGTATATACCCAAAAATAAATACATCCGTACATCTTTGTCACGTGATTTTTTTCTCTCTACCCGATAAATTTTGTGTAATTTTTTATCTCCCGAGCAGAGAAAAAAAAATTGCATTGAAAAAAAAAACTGTGAATATCTTTTGACAACCCCCAACACCCTCCAGTGACAGTCAAAAGAGCATTGATTTGATCTTCAAGTGGTTTGAAATCTGCAGAGGCACACGATAATCTTTCCCGCGAGTTTTTTGGCGAAAATTTTGGCTCTTTTTCTGGTGCATGGATAGAGAAATATTCAAGTACAAATAAATTTATATCATTTGGTTGATTTAAACATTCCAATTGATCATGTCCTTATTGCCAACCGATGTGCATCAGGCGCTTAGCCAGCTTTTGAATGGGTTGGCTTCTGCTGATAACAATATTAGATCAGAAGCAGAAAAATCATTAGAAACCGAATGGACATTAAAACAAAATGTTGAAATGTTATTATTGTTCTTAGCAGAAAATGCATCTACTCCAGGGAATGAAACTTTACAAGCATTTTCGGCGGTTTTATTCAGACGTATTGCAATCAAGTCTCCCAAAGATTTTTCTAGCGTTACTGATCGAACAATTGGAGTAATAAGTGAACCAGTTCGAGCTCAAATACGTAAACTTTTATTAAATGGTTTTACTTCAAATCAAACAAATCAAGTCAGACATAAACTTTCGGACGCTATTTCAGAAGTGGCTAAAGATGATGTTTCTCCTCCTGGTAGCTGGGATGAATTAATACCTGCTTTATTTCAAGCTACTACTAATAATGATCCAAGCTTCAGAGAATCGGCTTTTAGAGTTTTCTCTTCTGCTCCGGAATTGATTGATAAATCTTATATAAATCAAGTGTTACCCATCTTTAAAGCTGGTTTTGAAGATTCAAATGATGACGTTCGTATTGCTGCTTGTACTGCTTTTGTGGCATTTTTCAGAGATATACCAAAAAGTAATTGGAATACTTTGGCTCCTTTATTACCTGATTTATTAAACTCTTTGCCTAGATTCTTACAAAATGGTCAAGAACAAGCTTTGGCTTCAGTTTTAGAATCTTTAATTGATTTGGTGGAATTGGCTCCAAAAATGTTTAAATCAATGTTCCCAACTATTATCGAATTTTGTTCTGCCGTATCTAAAAATAAAGAGGTAGAATCAAATGCCCGTATGGCTGCTTTAGAATTATTAACCACCTTTTCAGAAGTTGCTCCAGTTATGTGTAAATTGACTCCAAATTATACTAGTGAAGTTATTTTAATCACTTTGGTTATGCTTACTGAGGTTTGTATCGATGATGATGATGCTGCTGAATGGAATAATAAAGATGATAACGATGATGAAGATGAAGAACCTGAATATGATGCTGCTCGTCAAGCTTTAGACCGTGTCTCTTTAAAATTAACCGGTAAATCTTTGGCTCAACCTCTTTTCCAATATTTACCAGATATGTTACAAAGTAGTCAATGGAGAGAACGTCAAGCTGCTTTAATGGCTTTATCTTCTGCTGCTGAAGGTTGTGCTGATGTTTTGATTTCAGAAATTCCAAAAATTTTGGATTTAATCTTACCTTCTTTACAAGATAATCATCCAAGAGTTCAATACGCTTGTTGTAATGCTTTAGGTCAAATGTCAACCGATTTTGCTGATCATATTCAAATAACCGCAGGTTCTAAGATCTTACCGGGATTAATTTCAATGTTAACTAATAAATCTGTTCCAAGAGTTCAAGCTCATGCTGCTGCTGCTCTTGTTAATTTCTCTGAAGCTGCTTCAAAAGAAATTTTAGAACCATACTTGGATGACTTATTAAATAATTTATTAGGTTTATTACAATCTCAAAAAAGATATGTTCAAGAACAAGTTTTGACCACTATTGCTATTATTGCTGATGCTGCTGAAAAAACTTTTGTTAAATATTATGATACTTTAATGCCTTTATTGATTGAAGTTTTGAAAACTGATATGGGTCAAGAATCAAGATTATTGAAGGCTAAATGTATCGAATGCTCAACTTTAATTGCTTTAGCCGTTGGTAAAGAAAAATTCGAACCTCACTGTAAAGAATTAATTCAATTATTTGGTGTTATTCAAGAATCTTCTCAATCCGATGATGACCCAGTCATTCAATATTTAGAACAAGGTTGGGGTAGAATTTGCCGTATCATTGGTAAAGACTTTTTACCATATTTGCCAGCTGTTTTACCACCAGTTTTAAGTGCTGCTAAAGCAACTCAGGATATTTCTTTATTAGAAGAAGAAGAAGCCGAAGAATTTAATAATAATGAAGAATGGGATGTTATTAATTTATCGGGTAAACTTATAGCTGTTCATACTGCTGCTCTTGATGAAAAAGTTTCTGCATTAGATTTATTAAGAACTTATGCAATTCAATTAAAAGGGGACTTTTACCCCTTTGTAAAGGAAATCGTTCAAGATATTGGACTTTCAGCTCTTGATTTTTACTTACATGATGGTGTTCGTGCTTCGGCTGCTTTAACTTTGGCTGCTTTATTGAAATGTTCAGTTTATGCAACTGGTAATAACTCTGAAGAATCTTTAGGATTATGGTCACAAATTTCTAACAAATTCATAGATGTTCTCACTAATGAACCAGTACCAGAATTATTGGTCGCATATTATACTGCATTTGTTGAAGCAATTTCAGTTTTAGGACCAAATTGTTTATCTCCAGAACAATTACAAAATTTAGCTATTGCTATCAATACCAATTTAACTGATATTTTTGAGCATATTAAAGATCGTGATAACGAAGATGATGAATACACTGAAGAAGTTGATGACAATGATAATGACTACTCTGATGAAGAATTATTGGATGAAATAAACAAAGCAATTTCATCCATATTTAAAAACACTAAAGCCAATTTCTTACCAGCCTTCCAATCACTCATTCCAACTATTGCATCTTTCATTAATGACGAAAATATCAATGTTAAATTATGTGGGTTATGTGTCATTTGTGATCTTTTAGAACATGCTGGTTCCGAGTTTGCTTATAAAGAAATGTTTACCGATGTTGTTGCAGAATCCCTTGTTTCTCCAGAGGCTAGCATTCGTCAAGCTGCTGCCTACTCAGTTGGTGTTGCTGCTCAATATGGTGGTTCTAACTATGCTGACTATTGTTTAGCATGCTTAAGACCATTATTCGAAATTGCTGTAATCCCAGAGGCTAGATCAGAAGATAATATCACTGCTACCGAAAATGTTGTAACTGCCATTGCTAAAATTTGTAGATCCTATGGTGCTAGTGTACCAAATTTGGATTCCATAGTTCAAGAATGGGTCACTTTATTACCAATTATTCAAGATGAAGAAGCTGCTCCATTTTCCTATTCCTTCTTAGCAGAATTGATACAAAATCAACATGTGGCTGTCACCAGCCAAATTCCAAAAGTTGTCGAATCTGTTCTTCAAGCTTTGGCCCATGCTGCAATTGGTGGTACTACTGCTGAAAAAGTAGTTACTGCTACCAAACAATTACTTGGTGCATTACCCCAAGAAGAAGCTGTTGCATTATTACAGAAAAACCCGGCCTACATTGACGTTGCTCAAAAATGGTTCTCCTAGATATCTTTCTTATTCTACCCTTGATTATCATCATAATCTCTTGATCTTTGCTTATTCTATTTTCTTTTCATTACTTTTTTCCTATTCTCTTTTCATTTGTATAGTCACATAATTCATAATTTATTTACATTTCTCTTTCTAGTACTCGCCACTGTTACCTTACTAGATTTTCCATATATATATCATCTAATTGAAAGTACATCAGTAAAATCATTTGGAAATCTCCGTAGTTTTTAGTTTTGCAATTTCAAGCTGAAATAAAAAAAAAAAATTTGCCTGTATGAAATCGCGTTGTAGTGCCAAAGTTCATTAAAAAGTCAGTTTAAACAAACAAAAACAACAATAACTTGTTTAAAGCTCTTCTTCTTCCACAGTCTTTCAGCAAGAAGTCCGATATCAGAAAGTTTTCCATAGTGTTTGCACAGGGAGTGTATCCGAACACTTTTTTTATTTACTTTTTAATCCGGTCGAACAGTTGTATTTTCATTCGAAGAAGATCATTCCCATTTTATTTGCAAGGTTAGATCAATTTTGATTGATTTGATTGGAAAATCCATGTTGATTCGTTGATTAGGTATATTGATATGTCCAGTTACTCATCGACTTCATCTACAATTCTGTCGTCATCCAGGTCTCAGGGTAAAAGACAGTCTTTAGGCACTATTGAGTCCAGCGTTACTAGATTATTGGTGTCAACTAAGCATTTACTTGAAAGCTTGACCAGATGGGCAAAACAAGAGGCAGATGATAAATATGTTTCCGATGCCTATGTGAAGTTGGGCAATGATTTCCGTGCAGCAACAAGGGCGTTCACTAATGCAGGAGTAGATATATCAGATATAGGGGATGTACCTCATGCTTTGAGAATCATATTAGAAGCTGCATTGAGTGAAGCTCCTAGTCAAGAGAACTTAGATCGCTTTTTACCAAATATTAGAAATATCATTGTCACTTTACTTCAAACTTTGAAATCAAAACAATTAAAAGCTAAAACCTTGTCTATAGATAAACTGCAAAGAGCAAAACAGTCAGAAGAGTCAAGCCGATCCAGTTCAAGAGCAAATTCCCAATCTCATACTCATACTCATTCTCACACTTCCTCTAAACAACTTTCAAATCCTGAAGCTGTAAATGATAAACTTAGCCCCAGCCAAACTGCTACTGTATCTAGACAATCGTCTTCTCATAACTCTCCCAAAAAACCTTACATTCCTCAGGCTCCTCCCATTGCCCCTTTTGAATCGGAAGATCCTGGCTCGGGTCCCAATCTGCCTCGAAACTCTCCCTCCAAAAAATTGGGCGTTGAGCTGAATGATGCTCTAGCTCAACTTCAAAAGGGTAACTTCTTACAAAGAAGAGCTTCTAAAAGATTTAGTGCTTATCAATATGCTAAACTTACAAATTTCACTCCTCCAGGAAATCTACCTAAAATCTCTTCTGCCGATTACTCTAGTTCTACCCCGAATAATAGTTTTGATTCCAAAGATTATCCTCCAACTCCTACAAAGCCACCTTCAGCTGAAAATAATGCAGAACTTGTCCCTATCTTTTTACAGATCCATGATAGAACTAAAAAAGTTAATATAAAATTACCAGTAAGCTTTGCAGCACTAAGATTATTATTCGTTGAAAAATTTGCTTATTCCCCTCGTGGAACCTCATTCCCTGATATTTATATAAAAGACCCTCAATCGAATGTTTCTTATGAACTTGAAGAACATCTCTTAGAAACTGATGTGAAATCAGGTTGTGTGTTATGTTTAAATGAAGAAGATCCTCAAAAATCATCTATAAGAGAATTAGAGGATAAAATTAGTTCATTAACTTCTAAATTCGATTCATTGAACTCTAACTTATTATCAGAGGTCAAAGATGCGATTAAAACTATCGAAATCCCAACACCAGTTGTTTCGGCTCCTACTCCTGCTACAACTGCGCCTGCTAATACTAAAGAACCAGTACCGGAGAAAAAATCAACTAAAAGTATATCTCAACTCAGGGCCTTGAATGACCTTCAACATGAATTGGGTGTTATAAGACAAATTCAAAGCTCAAATAAAAACGATTTGAAAAATTCATTTGAAGAAATTTTTGAAAAAGTTAAGGAAGTCGAAAATAGCGGTCTTCAAGCTTCTGAATCTTCGAGTAGAGCTTACATGAACAAAAGTAACCTCAAACTTTCTGAAGATTCTGATGCTTTGTTAACCAAGGTTGATGACTTACAAGATGTTATGGAAGCATTGAGAAAGGACGTTGCTCAAAGAGGTGTCCGTGTAGGTGAAAAACAATTGAAACACACTCATAAAGAAATTGAGCACGCTAAAGATTTGTTAAAAGACTTGTTTGAGTACATTTCTAGTGGTAAGCCTATCTGGAAAAAAATTTGGGAATCAGAATTGGATAAAGTATGCGAAGAACAACAGTTTTTCAATTTACAAGACGACTTAACTCAAGATTTGCAAGAAGATATTAAAAAGATTGAAGAAACTTTTGATTTGATAGAAAAGTGTTCAACAGAACAAAGTAAACAAGGGGCCTACAAGAGAAACAAAGTTGTCGCAAGGTTGCATATTCCAGAACCGGGTGAAAACCTTCATGATTTGAAAGATGCCGTTTTAAATGAAGTGGTAACTTTAAGACCTGATCATGCTAGTAGGCTCGAAGCGATCGCAAAAGCCGAGAAGCTTAGAGAGAAAGAAAGAGAAATGATGCAATTAACGAAATTTCAAGAAGAACTTGGTGATTTTGTTGGTGACTCTAGGCTCAAAAAATCAGGAGGCATAGAAGAACTCGAAAGATTAAGAAAGGAAAGAGATAACGAAAACTTGAAAAGTATATTTGGTGTATTTTAAATTCTATAAAGTATTTAGTAGGTCAATTATATTTTGAAACTTGAAGTGTTTATTCTTCAAACTATTTGTAACACAATTTCTGAAGCAGTCGATGATTCTATTATTCAATTCCAAATCAAGATTTTTAGATTTGAATTGTTCCAACGTAAACTCTAGTAGTTTCAATATAAAGACGAAAAATGTACCAGCTTCAAAATTGTCTTGTGATTCAATTCTTGAAAATTCACGGTAAAAACAATCTAATACTGATCCTAAAATTAAATCTAAACTAAATAAAGAAGACTCCAATGATATCATTTCTGTGTCTAATAATGAAGGGTTGAGTCGTGTTCTGTATGATCCTTCCAAATATTTGTAAATAGACTTGAAAGAGTGCTTATTAGCAGCTGTTATTGGGTTGATGGTATCGCTGCTCTTCCTAATATCGAGGTCTTCTTTATTTATTGTAAGACCAACAAAGTTAAGGTTCTTGTCTTTGTTCGAATCATCAAAATTAATCCAATCACTTTTCTCTTCGTTTACAAATGCCCCATATTCTTGTACCTCTTGACTTTTAAGCTTTTGATAAACTTCTTTGCATTGTGTAGCAGAAGTGGAAATGAAAAGAAAATCATCAACTAGTCGTAATAATAGTGAGTCGGTTTTGGATCGTAATAAAAAGTCAAATTGCTCATCAACAAGCGAATTGTATACCATATCACAGAAAGTTGCCAGTAGAGGAAATCCTTGGAATACCCCTTGTTTCCTCTCGTATTGCTTTCCATGGACTAGAATTGTGGAGTGAAGAACTTGACCCTTGATTATATCTAGGATTTCTGACTTGGTGAGTTTATTAGTTGTTGTTCTATCAACCAAAATTCTATTCTCTATCTTGTTCGGTAAACTCAAATTATAACTCTCTAGAACATTTAACTCATCTATATTAGAATGATCTTTTATAAGGGCCCTTAATCTCCTACCGAATTTGTTTGATTCACTATGTTCTTCAATCCTTCGAATGTAATACCCAGAGGTATCATTGTCATTTTGAAAAAGCTTTTCAAAGCATTCGATTATCTTGAATTGGTTTAGCTGATCATAGCAATGTTTCATGTCGAACTTGACCATGAAGATTTTTGATAACAGTTTGTTCTTCGATAACAATTTCAGTTTGAATTGATTTATATGATAAGTGATGTCCAGAAGAGAGTAACACCTTGGGTGGTGTAATTTATTTCTTGAAAGTACTGATGCATTCTTATTCGCAATAAGCTGAAGAACTGGGAGTACAACATTATACTTGTGACTATTATATTTAATTCTTTGACGTTCGAATTCAGATGCTGATTCCCATTCTTCCAGTATATAGGGCCTCTTTATGGGAACGCAAAGAGGACGAAAGTCATTCTTTTTTGGTATTAAACGTAATTCTCCATAGTTGAATTGCTTTAATTTCAAAATTTCATCATCTTTAGTCTCCTCCTCCACAACGCTTAAGTTATCTTGTATATATTTTCTAAGCCAAGGAGCTGTTAGTTTCATCCATGTTGAATGAGTGAAATATAATAAGCCTGAAGTTGAAAGATTAGTATAGTGGGTAGTTTCAGTGACATGCCAGAACTTTGCAATTAATTTACTAATAAATTTTTGTAAGAACCACTCCATAAGCTTTGTAAGAGTTTCTAGTCTCAGCTGATAGTCTTGTTTTGAAGTAATGGTTTGAGATTTTCCAAGCCAATGTATATCAGTTATTTTTACCAGTTCCAAGATTGTTTCTTTATTAAAACGATCATTTTTACCGGCTTTGATAAAAGTGATGAGTTTTTTGAATATCATAGATTTGTTGTTTTGGGAACCCCAAATTGCAAGAGGAAATATCTTGCCAACGATTGTAAGGGTGAATTTAATTACATCCTCTACCGGAGAGCTTTGCATTAGGATGTTTTCATTCGACACGGGTCTTGGTGATAGGACTTCCCTAAAAATCGATCTATAATGGGTTCTTCGGTCTTTCTTTATCGAGAGCTCTAATAAAGGTACTAATCGCTTAAACTTTTTGGGTATTGATAATTTTGAGGAATCGAGCCCGAATATCATATCCAAAATAGCCTTTGGATCGTCAGGAAGTATTTGGAGACTGTCACTGCTGAACCTTGAATTTTTAAAGAGCATTCTTGATTTAGTTAAGCAAACTGGTTTCTTTTTAAATGGGAAATTCACCAACCCAAATAATTGAACATGATTATCATGAGAAGTCTTGACATAACAGCTAGTATTCAAAATCATTTTGATAAACTTATTTGCACCAATTCTTGTATATAGCCTTTTCCAATTAACGTCTTTGATTGCATTAACTTGGAAATTGATGTAACGGTTATGGGACTTCTGAGTCCCATTTGAAGGATAATAACCATTTCTTAAGACATTTGTGGATTTAGTCTCAGTTAAATAAGCAATTATTTTATCGATAACATCATTGTACTCCAAGTCTGGATCAACTCTCAATGCTGGTGGGATTCTTTTAATCTTCTCTGAATCTGACCGGTCTTGAATTTTTACATCATTTAGAAATTGGACATAATCAGCTGGATCTTGGTACAAATCGTTCGTTTCGTCTATAAGACAGCCCACTAACTCTGGATATTCACTTTCAAGATAGAATTTTAGCAGAACATGACTCATTTTCCGCTAGTTGTATCATAGTCACTTGCAATTGGTCAGAATGAAAGCCTTACAGTGCTTATACTGCGATATTTAGCTGATCTTAACTTTTTTTTTTTTTTTCAGTGAAATTTTTCATCTTACAACGATTTAGTACCGTTCCATATTTTTCAATATGGTGAAAGCATCCAACAATAAGAACCATGTTGACCTAGAAAACGCCGTAATCGGGGGGTCATTGAAACAGATCAAGTGTCCAACGTCCAAAGTCTCGGATCCCAAGAACCCTGAGCTTATATCGGTTTGGACCTGCGATATAAGACCTATTCAGACAAAAAGCATAATCAAACTCATGGCCGAAGAGATAACGCCATATGACGAAGTCTCGTTAGTTCACGTCAAACGATTAAAGAAACTAGACCCTGAGGAAAAAACTAGAGGGGTTGTTATACGGGCAATATTATGTTCTACTGAATTTTTAACTTCTAAAGCAGAGGTTTGTGCATTTATGAAAGAGAAGGATACAATGTTTGATGAAGAATTCAGCAATATACAGAGGCACGAATTACCGAGGTTTCTTCCGCCAACGAAGGAAACAGCCTTGTTGTGGTCTACCCAGTATTGGCCAATGTCCTGGAAAGGTAATCCCAATCACCAAACTTTGTTGACCACCGAGTTTGATTTAGATATAGAAAGGAATATGGTTTTAAAACTAGAGCAACTTGCATCGGAAGAAGCCAAGTTGGGGAAAGTACCTATCGTGACAATTATTGCCAAACCTGAGAGAAGTAGTGATGAACTAAATAAACCAATTTGGCAGATATTGGCAATAGGATACGATACTCGCCATCAGTATCCATTGGAACACAGTGTAATGAATGTGATCAAACTGATTGCAAATAACGAACTTGAAAGGAGACAGAACAGTACTCAAGAGGAACAAGATGATTCCGACAATTATTTATGTCATAATCTCTTGGTGTATACCACCCACGAACCCTGTGTGATGTGTTCGATGGCATTGGTCCATTCTCGGATTGGGAGGTTGGTTTATGTTAAAGATTCACCAAAAACGGGAGCATTGGGCAGCTGTTACAATATTGGAGATCGAGATGGGTTGAACTGGAAATTCGATACCTGGAAGTGGATTAACTCAGGGGAGGTCCAAAAGTTGGAAAACATTCCAAATATAAACCTTGCCAAATCATATAATGTTTAAATAGATTAATAGAATAATAGAGTAAATGCTGAAGTATTCATTGATAGAATAATAGAATAAATATTTCATGGTAACATTTTTTCACATTTGGCAATACTCTTAAGTGTTTCCTGAACCAACAGAGAAACATCCGCTTGGGACCCTCCTCTTATCCAAGACTTGCCGTATTTCAAGTCATTCAACTCGTCGATTATCAGTTTGATTTCTGCAATCTCCTCCTTGATCTCAGAGTCTATTAACTCATTATTCGTCTTGAAGCTCTCTTCCAAACTTTCCAACTTCCCCACTAGTTCGTTCAACGATCCTTTATCATCTGGTATAACGTTCGATTCCCTTGCCTTCTGTTTAGTTACTTCCAAAGGAACATTGAACTCCTGGTCGATTCTGTCCCTCACAGACTCAACTGTGGCACGACGCTGTCTGACAAGCACGTCGTATATTTCACGAACCCTCTCCTCGGGAATATCCGGAGGACACTCCTTCTTGAATTGTGGGAAAGGTATGATACTTTCAAGGTCTGCTTTTGCTAGGAGAAAGTTCTCCAAGATAGAATGGGATTCCATTACGCGTCTTAACTTGATCAATTTCACTTGGAATTCAAACCGAAAACAACCTCTTGAACACCACGATCGCTGACTTGCTGGACTCACTTCTCCTGATCTTCTTGTGAGCTGCTATTATCGTTAAAAGTTGAAATTCTAACATGAAAAATGAAAACTTATGTCTGGTTATGGAAAAGTCGTAGAAAAGGGTCGTGTGGATTGGTTCAATTTTTGAAACTAGGAAAAAAAAAAAAAAAAAACAAGTTCAAAAGTTCGATCAGACCAACCATCACATACTTCCACCAAACACAACTGTTTGACTCTTGTTTGGGTACTTTGACACAACTTAGCATTGATACAAAAGACTTGATGTCTCTAACGTACGAAAGCACTTCATTTCAACCGCAGGCCTTATCCACTGGATTGCATTCTCGAGTGACTAAGGATCCCGAGAATGCTCTTATCATAAACACGGCACCTCAAGGAAGGTCAGCTAAAAGGAATGCACAACAGATCAATTACGCTGAATTCGACAATGTGGATGATTTTGAGTTTGAAGACACGCCAAGTTCTACTTTGAATGCTAGTCTAGCATCAGCCAATGCCCAATTTAATGCTAATACACAAAAACTTCTACTTAAACCAGCTAAGATTATACATTCGGTGGTAGGAGGTGAAGATGAGTCTCAAAAGCTACAAGAGCTTGTTCATAAGCCCCAGGAAGATATACTTATTCCTATTAGATTAGATTTAGAATATAATGCTGGTAATTCCAAATTAGTTGATTTTTTCATGTGGAATCTTAATGAAGCTTTAATCACCCCAGAACAATTTGCTACTTCTTTATGCAATGATTTGGATTTACCAGGTACAATAAACCAAGAAATTGTTGAATCGATAAACAAACAGATTGAAGATTATAATTTTGTATCTACTTTACAACCTCCTAATAATGTGGAAATTCATGTTGTAATTGATTTGGCAGTCAGTTTGGATAAAAAATTATATCAAGATAAGTTTGAATGGGACTTATATCAAACCGATGTCACCCCAGAAACTTTTGCTGATATCGTTGTTGCTGACTTGGGTTTATCATTAGAATTCAAACCTGCTATTTCCCATTCTCTACACGAAGTAGTTCTTAGATTAAAGAAAGAGATTTCCGAAGGTACTTATAATCATGAATTACAAAAATACCAACAATTAGCCGGTTTGATTTTTGAAAGTGGTATAAGAATTAGAACTGAAAGTAGTGTTCATAATGGAAATAACCATTGGGAACCAATAATTGAAGTTCTCACTCCTTGGGAAATAGAAAAGAGAGAAATTGAAAGAGAAAGAAATATTAGAAGATTAAAGAGAGAAAATATGAGAAGAGAAGTTGACGAATTCAGTAGTAACAAAAGAAGAGCTATCATGAGTAGGAGAAGATATGATGAATTAGAAGGTACTTGGAAAAACTAGTTTTAAAATTGATGATTTCTGTATAATATTATTCTTAACGTGCTTTTAATTCTTACTTCTCTTCATTAATTCCTATTTCATTATATCCATGAATGTAAGTTGTATAATAAAAAACTGTTCATATTCATCTGTTTCTATAGCGGTATATGTAGATAAGTATAAGATTAGACGAGTTGCTCTACAAGTTTCACTGTTCACTTAGTGACTACTTACCTTGGAGCCCCAAGTCCCCATCATGGTTCGAACTGAAAAATGGCCTCCTCCCATTAAATCAAAGATAGCTAAATTTTATTTTGACATTTAATAAATTCCACATTTGACAAGCTTTATTTGAAGAACACGAAAGATACTTTTCATGGTGTTTTCTTATTCCTCAGATTTATATATTGGTTAATTTTTGTCAATTTTTTGCCTAAATTCAAACAATTGTATAAAAAATTTATACAAAATAGACCAAACCATAAAATGCTAACTGCAAAACAAGTAAGATACATCCACTAACGAAACATATCTACTTGGTTTAACCAAACTCTTACTTTAATCGTGACCAATCATGCTTAGCTGCAAAAAAAGATGCTATGGGATATTTTTTGAAGAACGGCAAAACTGCTCGCTTGGATCTTGCAGCCATACTCATTGAATACCTAATAAAGACCAAAAGAAGTATGCCATTTTTAACAATTTATAAAATATTTCTTAACATACCATATAAATTAGACCATAAAAGCATCGAATAAATCACAAAGGCGTTGGGTGCAATTGCATTCAAATATCAATATCAAAACTAAATTTTGTTATTTCGTAGAAACTCAAGCAATAACAACCAGGTCACCGTCAATAAGCTGAAATGTCTATATTGAAGGTTCTTCAAAGAAGATACTATGGTGTTCAAATGTCTGTTTCTAAACGCTACATTTCTTTTCACAATTCTATGAAAATAATTGACTATATGGGTTTTTTGTATCTCCATGGCAATGAAAACCAATACGTGATGGATTACCAGACAAAGGACAAACCAGAAACAATTTAAATAATGCCAAACTTAGCACGTACCGGGTATGGACCTACAAATCAAGGATCATTCTCTCGTCACCTGTCTCATATTACCATAATACCCAATACGCAACAAATCATATTGAATATGAGTTCAGGTCAGTTCGTTTTTCTCTTTGATGAACACCTATCAAAATTGAAAATTCAAAGAACAGAGCTATCAAATCAAAAGTTTTTAGTAAGATGTTAAAGAGATTTCAATATTTTGTACTGGCAATTTTGCAATTATCATTTTTGAATAAGAGTTTTCATGATGCATAAGTATTAATTCCAAGTAGCGAATATAGATTTTTCAAAAAAATGCAGTTATATGCTCTATATTAAGTTCTAATAAGACATGTTTTTATAACAAGAAATCCAAGTTTGTATCAAGCTATATCGAATAATAGGCATGTACATGCAATGTTTAGAAGAAAAACTCTTATCTCAATAGATCTTTAGTAATCCCATTAAGAATTAACAAAATAAATTAATTCTCATTAAACTGAATTTACTCATTAGTACACACAACGATTATACGTTTATGAAATAAACACTTCCTGTAAATTTTCAAGATAAACAAGATAGATTGCAAATAATTATAAACTGTCAAAATCAAAATGTAGCTCATGATAATATGTTAATTTCTCAAGAACTACTGTCATTAATCAAAAACAGCATATCGAGAGTGGTACCTATTTGTCTTAGTTCAGATCATTACTAAATTCACAAGCTACAAATACCATGTAGACTATCTCAAAAAAAAAAAAAAACAAAATTTGATTGACGAAGACTTGTAAGCGATGTTTTGAAATCAGCAATCAAATCCTAGCTAAATTCAGTAAGTTTCGATGCAATTATTGTAGGATCCTTACGGATAACCGCACTTCACTAGTCTAACGATCCAGCAAATATGACATGAAGGCATCCTACACCAGAGAAATATCTTTGAAAGCCACTGGAATTTTCTACCACCAGCCACCTCCGACATCAGTATCTAAATTAGTTTCGAGTACAACTGAGAATTATTCTCAAAGACGTCCAGTTGGGGCTGCATTATGAGTATACAATCCAAAACTCGATGTCGATGTTTACTTTGTAATTTCACTCAATAAGTTGAACTTCCAAAATTCAACCCAATTTCAGTCGCATTGAGCTCTCTGGGAAAACAGACAACTAAACCTAATGCATAGCGACTCATATGTTTAAGTCTGAGATTATGGATAATTTCAGAGTTCTAGGAACCAATCCCATAAAGAAAATACAAACTCAAACTTTCAGGTTTAAGCCTAGTGTAGATCTGCCTTCATAGACATCGGCTGCAAAATAAAATTATGCTTTAGACACCATAGATACGATACAATTCTACTTATTCAAAGTTTCTCATAAACGACAATCCTTAAAAGAGGCTGAAATGAGTTCGTGGTAATAGACTGTATCTGAAATTGTTCTTTCTGATCTCCAAGATATGTCTCTTGTCTTTTAACATGTGACTAAGTCTATAACATATTCCACATGGTGTATATTTAATCTGGATATAGATTTAACAATGTAAAGCAACTTTCAAACTATCATCCGAAGCGGGATGTGTACCATGTAGAATTGGCATCATTAACGCTATTGTGAAGAGATGTAAGTATACCTGCTAAGAAATAGAAAGACCAAACATTGAAGCCCTTCTTACGATCCTAGCGCGAAAAGGAGTGTGATGTAACCTCCAAGTTGTATGACAACAACACTTTCATTACTTTATTTTTAGATTTGAGCGTTTTAAAAAACCAAGATCAACCATTTCGGCTGACAATTAGACTACTCAGCCCAGATTGAAGACTTTGCAGAAGTTCTCTGAAGGGGATATATAGACATTGGAAAATATCTCTTAATGACAACAGATGTTGCTGCAAGAGGTATTGATGTCCCAGATGTAGATTCAGTTACACAATTAGATCCTCCTAATGGCCCGGATGCAACTGCCTTATTAACTCCATCAATATCAGTAAATTCTAAATATGCAAATCCTTTAGGTCAAATATGCTTGACTGGGATAAAAAATTTGAGATTCCAAGTAGACGCTTACGTGGGTTTTTAGAAAAGAGTTAATCTAATTGAGTACGTCCATATAGATTTAATTATTACTTAGAATTGGGCGCCACTCCAATTGACTGGTATCTAGTAATACGACTCGCAACATCAACACAACATCAAGATTATGTTCGCCCCATGCTTTTAATATGTATATATGTTGCTACGTTGAGTTTTGAAGACTTATCATCATTCATCATTTAGTTTTACTGGGATGTACAGTCTGGAAATAACCAAGAGCCACAAATTATGAGCTTCAGAGCAAACCCGAGTAGGCCCTATTCTTTACATGTACCTGGCTCTTTTACCAGCCTATCGACACCATGATATGCAGAATCAGAATCTATATTCAAGAAGTGCTATAGCTTCTGAAAATGTCAATGCTGAAAGTTTTCGACGCTAAATAGATCTGAAAATAGAAACTATATTCTTCCTTCTTCGTTTATCACAACCTAGTATCAATCGGTATTAAGTCATTCGATCCAAACCAAATATACAAGCGCTTATGTTAAGTTGCTGAATTATCTTATGGATTCAATCAATGCCCGAACATCTAGTAGTAGCTTATTAAAAGAAAAAATATGGTTTATCAGTGCTGAACGCTTTGGAATTATTGAATAATTGCAATACCATTCTTACACTTACACTCTAGTTGTAAATTTAGCTGTGTACGGATATGGAGATCTATGTTGAGTAATCAAGGCTTAAGTATGGGGATATAGACAACTCAATTGTATTCGATTGTATTGTAATATTAAGGCACATATCACAGCTTAAGCCGGTCAAAATATTTTATTTTTTGGCGATCAGAGACTTTTGATTTGTTTTTGAATTTTCATTTCATCTTTCTGCGATGCTGATTAATAAGTTTAGATTCAAAGCCATTAGTGGAAAACCAAACATATTTGAGTCTAAGTTATTAACTGGTGCGGGCTATAGATTTAGAAGCATATTAACCCCACGATACTTGTGGAAGTCAGATTATCCTTCTCCACAGAATCAGGCAAAGTTACTTAAACACTTTTACAACTTTAGAGTATAAACGGAATCAAATAATTGGACTTTTTTGTAAGATAATGTGTTGTGTTTGGGTGCAATTCCTAATAAATTCAAGGTTTTCAGTGGATTCATTTACCAGGAATCTTTGGTTATTACGAGAAGGTTAATCAATAAGATCATCCTTGTTTACTGCCAGTATATAGAGTTTTTGAGTTCTGGTTTATACATTTTCCTTTACTATCCTCGTGGTATAGTACTTGCTTACAAGCATATGCCCTTTCAACCTCAGTTGAGAATTTAAGTGCCTAAGTAGAATGATCGTTCAACTTATGCTAAAGGTAGTAGTTTGATTAGCAAGAGGATTTTATGTAATGCTTAGATGAACAAATTTATTTAGTTTATGGAACTCATCTCCTTCTCAGAATTATTTGTTGTTCAATATATCTGGGCTTTTGCAAAAGGCTTATTTTCACTTTTATCACGGTTTGTTTTTTGAGGGTCAAGTAATTCTTTTGCTTTTCTACGTGTCAACATTATTAGTTGTGAAAATTCATATCATTAGTAAGTTGGACCTTTTAATACTCATGGGCGTAAGTTTTCTTCTTCAGTACATATTCATATAGCTAAAAATTAAAGTCGACTTTTTGATCTTAATACAAGTTTATGAATCTTAAGTAAAAAAGCGTATATGGTGTTCATGAAGCATTGTCAGACTGCTTTGCCCTTATTGGTTTTCCAGTATTTTTAGTAAAAAAATTTATTTGGCATGTTCTTCGAGGTCTCCATTTTTAAGTTTATATTTTTTTACTTTCCGTAGGTTACCATCCTTCTTTTTGATTTCATGCAAAATAAAAATGTGAGACAATTGCTTTTTAAATAGTTCAATATAACACAATTCTGGTAATATTCTTACTGCATTTTTCATAAGTGATAAATATTTCTAGTTCTGAGATCGCTACAATTTAATTACATAAATAGATTATTATCAATCTTATTTTCCTCTGGTCGATCTCGACTTTCAGAGTTTAATTCTTGTAGATAATGCTAATGATTCTTCCATTTTCCTTCAAGTTATTTCTATTCTTATAGTTTTAGTTAGTAATTCAAATGCTTTTCAATTTTACATTAAACTTTAAAGTATGAGTAGTTATATTTAAAAGTTAAATAAATAAAGATGCTTCATATATTTTTTTTTTTTTTTTTTTTTTTTTTTTCATATAGATTGTTTGAATATTATGAAAGTAAGTAACAATGGATTTCTATAATGTTCTGATGCTTTAGTCAGCTTTGAGAAAAGGATGTTTCAATTTTAAGTTTACCTCGAAGTAAAAGTATCTTCACGAAGCTTTAATCCATGATAAACTTTGTTATGAAATCTATGATCGCCTGAAAATGCCGTTATGGTTTTCTTCAAATTTAGTTCAGGTATGGTCTCAAGGGAAATAAGGTGTCGTTTGTTTTGGAGAAAGGTTAACGTAGGTGCTCGTCGGGTTTTGTAAACATAGCCTAGTGTATCCTCTTATTTGATCAAAACTTTACTACTGATACTGGGATAGTTGTAAATAGTGTATACATGTGTCTTGGAAGGATAGATTAGGTTGTGTTTTGTTGTAGACTAGTTTCAACTGAATTCTTCAAAATTTTAAAACTCGACGCGATTTTCCAACTGAATGAACATTCATGACTCTTTGTTTCGTCGAAGGCTTTTGGATTTGGTTGATGCTAAGGATGAAGCTCTCGAAGAAGAGAGTGCAGCTTTAGATATACATATATACTTCCATGAACTTTCCTTGAAATGGCTGAACTTAACAAACATGTTGTTACTTCTTTAACTAATATTGATACTAGTTGTACATATTAAACTCTAATTCAACAGGGATCTAGTCTAGTTCCCTGACCCTGAAACCTTAACTAATTTCTTAAGACTTGTATTCAATGTGGTTAAAATGGTCGCATTGGAGCAATAAGTGTGAGTAAATCTTACATGTATGATGTGCTAAGATGGATGTCCGTATCTAAAAATACTCTTCTATAAGATTCTGACCAAAGTTGTGAGTTAGTTATACTCATAGGATTGTTTAAGCTATGTCTATTTTTTTGCAACTTAATAGTATAATTTGATATATTTTAAACATTTTCTGAAGAAAGTTGCGAAAAATACAGAATCTGCTGCAAAATAGATCCAAACTTCATAATTTAATGAACAGTGGGCAATGGGCAGAGGGAAATTCGATGATAAATAACGATGAGTTGATACCCTACGTTAGAATTCTTGGATTCACTTCATTTTACATTTTATATATGCTTTCTAAAAGAAGACGTTTTCGTTATTCAATTTTCCTAAACTTTTTTTTACAAACATTGTATGTATTAGGACGCGATAACACAGATGTCAATGAATGGCCTTGAGAGACTTTGATTTGTATAATTGAAAAACCACTTGAACTCAATAAAACACTTAAAGTTATACAATGATATCTTTCAAAATTTGTCGAAGAAGGATTATCAATGTATGCTTTGGAAAACATTGATATCGGTGAATTTTCCAGTAAGAGCACACAGGATCAAGGGCGAACTCATTGGAATGGCATTTGGAATTTTGATCTTAGCAGTAGAATTTAAAAATAGCTTGGACCATACTAAGGCTGCTAGAAGAATTCATAACCAATACCAGGAGATCTCAAACAATCTGCTTCTTTTGGTAAATCACATAGGTCAACCATGTCAACGGCGGAGGTTAACCTGCTTGAATAGAGGTGTGTTAGATAACACTCCCTTCCTTCGATGAATTGCAAAAGTTAATGAAAAGAAAAGAAGTTGAGATGTCACTCAATTTCAAAATTGGTTGAAGGTGGTAATAAAAAACTGATTCCTCCTCAATTAAATTTATGTTTTTATATAGTATTAAGAATAAAGGTTTTGACTTTCTTATGAAATGAAAGGCTATATATGTAAAACAAAACACCAAGAAGTCGTCCTAACTTTCTCAAAGCTGATAAGAATTAACGGAGTCGTGATTTTGATTCTAGCTTCCTGACTTACTGAACTAACATCATCATGATTCTACTAAATATTTTTATTCATTTTATTATAGGTGAGTGACGGCATTCATCTCTCAACTAATTAATATACATTCCGAAGAGAATCAGTATTACCTGAGAATTATTGATAAAAAAAAGACGAAACTGTTGGAAAAATAGCTATTTGTTAAGCCTGCCCTAACTTGAACCATGATAAATAATTATGCTACGATTGGATCAATGGGGGATTTCAAGCGCTACGAGATTAAAGCTTTTAGATTTGTGGTAAAGCTGGTGTGATTTTATATGGTTGCAAAAAAACAATTTTTCTTTGCATTTTTCACGAATATTTATATAGTTGAGTAGACTCCAATTGCATAAGGAAGTAGGTAAGGAGAATAGATATATGGGAGCATCTAAAAGTGCACAAGGGACTGCTAACAAGATTAAAAAAGTTTTAGTATTTTTTCTAGCAGGTAAAATTATATTCTCATTACAACCTGAAAATTTTCAACCAACGTCTACGGCCATATCCAGCATAAAGCATGATTACCCGTCCGATCAATAATTATTAAGCTGCTGAGAGCGATGCTGAGTACGTTAGTGGGAGACCATAATGGAAACCATCGTGCTGTAGACTCTCTTCTTTTTTGTAACATTATATTTTTTCATTTTTGGAATCCTCAGGTCTGTGAAGTAACTGAGAAGCACCAACTATTTGTGATCGAAAAAGAAGCAAGGGGGACGCTTACATAGGGAGAGACCAGATTTAATAAAGAAATAGAATCATATTAGAATATATAGTGTATAAGTCTCAAGTATATAACCAGTATATAAGAACAACAATAAATAAGTTAGCTTTCATTGAGTAGAGCGAAATTTAAAATCAAGCCCAGTTTCCCACAGCCAACACCGTCATAACCACCCTGTTTTATAGTCCAATTGAAGTTATCAAGAACGTCATTAGCGTAACCCGAGACATTCAAGTCGAAGGTTTTATTACCAAAAGTCGGGATACTTACGGCGTATTTCGAATCGGCTAGTTTCAAATAGTCAGAATCGAATTGGATTTGATAATTAGTTGACTCATTAAAGACGAAATTTTCACAATTTGAAAGATTAGTAAAGAATTTTTTCCGTTCTAAAGATTTTGCAGGAATTTTAAGTATATTATCGATATTATCATTCAAATTTTCGACGAAATTAGTCAAATCTGGAGCCTTGTCTTCATTACCATCGATAACCTCGCCCACATGATTTGATGATCGATCTTTAATTGACATAAATGTAAAACTATTCAAGGCCAAACCGTATAAGTAAGGTTTATCGCAGTAGATATCACCTTTCACTGTTTTATTGATAAACCAAGTAAAGAATTTGAGACCAGTTGCCAATAAAGTCGTTGGAATATAATCTTTAATTGGAACCAAAAAATCATTACCGAATAATAAATCCGAACCTTTAATTGGATATTTTGGTTTAAAAGTTATGTTTAATCTTAAATTCGGTAAAACATCATTTGCCATATCCAGATTGTCATAAGAAGAACCATCCAAGTAAGTTTTATCACCCACATTATATAAACTATTTGATTTATGGGGAATTGAACCATCAAAATTTTTTATACTGACCGACAACGAGAATAAGCCGATTTCTGACTCAATTTGAACTGGCTGATTGCAATTGACCGGGACAACCGTTGAATTGGCAAAATCGTAATTATTCGATGCCTTGATAACCAATCTTTTGGTAATTGAATCCCCCATGCTGTGGTTATCAAGTGAAGATGTTGAGTTTTGGCTAATTGCTGGTTTTTAGGTTGCTTTTATCATCGAACAACCCCCGTACACCAAAAAATCACACCGACCCGTAAACCAGACCCTCGAAAAGAGCCATTTCCCGGAACTCGCGAGTGATCAGACCGGAAATCACCCGGAAATGGTCGGTTCAACTCAACACCCGTACACACCACGTTTGATTCCCACGCGCAGGATTGCGTCATCCCCTCCTTTATGTCGCGGATGGCTAAACATCCCACGACATTTGCCGGAAGATCCCGCGACATTTTGCCCGAGAGAAAGAATGCAAAAGGGTTACCCGAAGAAAGCTCATTAACGAAGGGAAACGATTGTGAATCAGCTAAAACAATTCTTGTCCTAATAAGTATGACTGGTGGTATAAGAGGGTAAGGCTTGAGTAGTAGTTTTGTATAATTGCTAGATCTGAATAATGATTTATAAGTAATTTTCGGAGTCTTTGACTATTGGTTTATTTTGCGGTTGGGGGAGAGTGCGCCCAAAAAAAGAAAAATGGTTACGGTACATATAAAGGCCAAATTCCCAACTTTGCTACTGAAAATTCGGTTACTTCTTCTTTATTAATCAATTAACTATTTGAATAAGATGTCTAACTCTTTAGAACAATTAAAAGCTACCGGTACCACCATTGTCACTGATACTGGTGAGTTCGAATCAATTGCCAAATACACCCCTCAAGATGCCACCACCAACCCATCATTAATTTTGGCTGCTTCTAAAAAACCAGAATATGCTAAATTAATTGATGTTGCTGTTGATTACGCTAAAGATAAAGGATCTACTAAAGAAGAAAAGGCTTCTTTAGCTTTGGATCGTTTATTGGTTGAATTTGGTAAAGAAATTTTAAACATTGTTCCAGGTAGAGTCAGTACCGAAGTTGATGCTTCATTATCTTTTGATAAACAAGCCACTATTGATAAAGCTATCAATATTATTAAGATTTATGAATCCATTGGTATTTCCAAAGATAGAATTTTGATCAAAATTGCTTCTACTTGGGAAGGTATTCAAGCTGCCAAAGAATTAGAAGAAAAACATCAAATTCACTGTAACTTGACTCTTTTATTCTCTTTTGTTCAAGCTGTTGCTTGTGCCGAAGCTAAAGTCACCTTGATTTCTCCATTCGTTGGTAGAATTTTGGATTGGTACAAGAATGCCACTGGTGAACAATACACTGCTGAAACTGATCCTGGTGTGGTTTCTGTTAAAAGTATTTACAACTACTACAAAAAATTCGGTTACGATACCATTGTCATGGGTGCTTCTTTCAGAAACGTTGGTGAAATTAGAGCCTTAGCTGGTTGTGATTTCTTGACCGTTGCTCCAAAATTATTAGAAGAATTAATGAACTCTAATGATGCTGTTCCTCAAGTCTTGAAGAAAGAAACCGCTGTTTCTTCTGATGCCGAAAAAGTTTCCTACATTAACAATGAAGCTGAATTCAGATTCTTATTCAATGAAGATGCCATGGCTACTGAAAAATTATCTCAAGGTATCAGATCTTTTGCCAAAGATGCTCGTACTTTATTGAAACAATTAGAAGAAAAATTCTAAGTATATAATTAATAAACCGTTAACTTGTATTGAATCGTGCCTAAAGGGTTTGTAGGTTCAATTGTGTATTTGTAATGAATAAAAGCCTGGAACTTGATGACTAAACGGATATTTGTAACATTTTTTAGTCATATTTTTCAGCCATATTGCACGACCGCTTTTCAAGTCAACTTGACACTTGATTTTTTTGTTTTTTGTTGATCTTAATACGTTTTCCACCAATAAATTGATTACTTATCCCATCAGGATGTCTAGACCAGAAACCATAATTCCAGATACAATTCCTGCCCAATACCCGGTGATAGAAACCTCTCCAATTATAAGTGGGTTTGGTAGAGGGTCGTCAGAATTGGGTATTCCTACCGTAAATTTACCAATTAATGATAAGTTAAACTCTTTAGATACCGGGATATATTTTGGTTGGTGTAGAGTTATACCAGTGGTGAAGGAAAATCATATTGTTAAGAGAAACGACGGAAAAGAAATTCTATTTAATAATGGATCTTCATTGAATTGTGATAATAACGAATTAACTGTTCTACCTATGGTTATGTCAATTGGATGGAATCCATTTTACCAAAATAAAGAAAAGACTGCAGAAGTTCATATAATTCATAAATTTAACGAGAATTTTTATGGTGCTAATATAACTTATAGTGTTTTGGGTTATATCAGACCCGAATTGAATTATACTACAGTTGGTATGTAAATATCTTTGATTTTATTTGAATAACACTAACTTTTTTATAGAAGCATTGATTGCTGATATCAATCTTGATATCAAAATTGCTTTACAGGCGTTAGAAAAAGACGTTTATAAACAACGTCGTCATGATCTTGATCCATAACTCCATTATTTAATTCATAACCCCTTGATTCTTCCTTTTGAACATTTCACCGGATCCACCGTCCGCATAATCCATAAACATCCCTGTTGTTCCATAAACGTCCCTGTTGATCCATAAACTTTAATAATAACCTCTTAGTTAGATGCAAAACCTTGATAAGGGCCATTTTATCCTTTTGCCTGCACATAGTCTCTTTTTTTAACTTAGCGAAATATCACGGGCAGAAAAAGACATTTCATCACTAGTTATTTTATATAGACTGATATATATTCTAACTTAATAAATATAACCACATGAAGAAAGTCACAGTATGTTTTCTAAATCCAAAGATCTTAAATGGTGGATAGCAGTCTTTCTTATACCGATAATTTATTTTATTTTTGTGGTGAGAAACCAGCAGATTGACATATCTAAATTGAATAATGAAAAAATCTGTAAATTACCAAAAGATCAAACCAATATTTGTTCATCGTTGAAGGCCAAATGTAATTACGATTACTTTAAGATTGTCATTGGTTATTACTGTAATGAAAGCTATCCAAACATAGGATTAAAAATTGGTTATAGTTTTGTTATTTTAAATGTTTTAGCAATCTTGATAATTTTTCTAAGTGTTGTTGTATCAAATTATTTGATTGATAATATAAATCATTTAACCAAACTTTTAGAGATCAATAACCAAATACTAAGTTTAATAATAATTCCTTTAACGAATTGTTTACCAGATTTGGTTAATTATAATATTGCATTAAGATCAAATTCAATTGATTTAGTAATTGGACAATTGATTGGAACTAATTTGATAACATTCACCTTAATAATTGGATTAATTAGTTATGTTAAACCATTTAGTATTGAAAAACATAAATTTATATTGTTCAACTTTGGATGGGTATTAATAATAATGATTTTTTTGATATATATTCTATCTGATTCCAAGATTACTAAAACTGAATGTTTTATGATGTCAGGGGTATTCCTTGTTTATATAAGTTACTTAATCTGGTATGATCAACGATTAATTGATGAATCAATTGAAGAAGAGGAAATTCTTTCAGTTAGTTCATCGAAGAATTCAATTAACATTGAAGAAACAATGGCTTTGTTAAATGAAGAAGAAGTTAGCTATGAGGCAGCTTTAGATGAGGATGATGACAATGTGTCTGATACTGCAAAAAATGAACATTCAATTACTCATTACATTCAATTTTTTTTCAATTCAATCGATTTTTTATTTTTTTTTGTCATTCCTTCAAATGGTCATCAACATAATCAAGAATATAAAAAAACCATAAGAAAATTTCATATATTCAATATATGGTTAATAATTGAATCAATAATATTGATTAATCATCAATTTATTAATGATTTAAGGATTGGAATATTAATTATGATTGCAATTATAATACTCTATGAAGTTAATCATCATTTTAATATAACTCTGAATAAAATTGATGAGCTATGCATCAATTCGTTAGGCGTAATGAACTCCTTAGTTATAATATCGAATACATCCAGTGAATTTTTAAAAATATTAAAAAACTATGGAATAATTATTCAGATATCAGAATATAGATTAGGATTATTAATTTTCTCCTTAGTTAACTCAATTAATGATGTCATAATGAATTTATCATTATCAATCAATATCAATCCGATATTAGGAATCAATGCATGTTTGGGAGCACCATTATTAAATATATTAGTTGGAATTGGAATTAATGGATTAAGTACATTAATAATCTATCAATCTAAATCATTAAAGTTTCATTTAAGTAATGATTTAATTATAAGTACAATGATATTAACCATGATGATAGGGTTTTATCTTATTTATATCCCATTGAATAGTTGGAAATTTGATAAAAAAATTGGAATTATTGCATGTTTTATATGGATAAGTATAGCTATATATAATTTTATACTAGAACAATAAATTTTTTTCCATTATCGAATCGAATTTATTTTGGTTGTTAGAAAGTTTCAATTTATTGGATAAGATGTGATTAGATTCAATATGTTCAATTGGAATTTTTGAATCAAATTTATTAAATTTAATCATTATAAAAATGAAAGCATTCCAATAATAAGAAGAATGATTAAATTTTGTTAAATGTTTATTGAAAAATTCAAAAATCAAATCACAATTTATTGAATAATTGGGGATGATTTTGAAAAACCAATCATTCCCAGTTTCATCAATCAATTCATCAAATAAATCAATTAAGTACGATTCATTGTTATTAATTAAATGTTCTAAATTGATTAATTTTTCATAAATTTGTAAAGGAATGTTGTAATTTTTTTTCAAATAGTTTAAACATAAATTTTTTGCTTTCAAAATATTTTTAGTATAAATTTCCAAATCGATTAATTTGATTAGTAGGGTTTGAATATTATTTGATAATTTAATTCCTCGGTTTAAGATTTGTTTACTAGAGTTGAATTTATTTTTTGATATATAATAATCGGAATATCTTAACCAAATTTTTGGATTAGTTGAGTTTGCAAGTAGGCAACGTTCATAAGCCAAGATGACGAAACCATTTGAAAACTTATTTAACTGGATAAAATCCAAGTAGTTTAACCAATTATTGAATTCGTTAATTGAAATAGAACTATCAGGGATGAAATTAAGATGGGAGAATTTTTTTTCAAATCTGAATAATTGATAAGTTTTAAACTGAGTGGTTATATAAGTATTAGTAAAAATAGTTTTCAATTTTGATTTCACCAGTTTTAAATCATTTTTATAAATTTGTTTCAAATGGGAAAGGTCATGTTCAGGAATAAGATTGGGTAAATCTTGGAAAGTTACTTCATCATTTAGGCAAGTGAGAAAGGCTTCAAAGTTGCTTTGGTAATTGTAGCAAGGGATCTCGATAATCATTCTTAATAGGAGAAGTTTTTTCAGTTTAAAGTTATATTTATCATTATCGAAATTCGAGTAATGAGTTAAAAAGTCCAAGTAGAGTTGGTAAAACTCGTTACTATAGAAATGAAGGCCTATTTTTGATCTGGCTGATTCAAAAATATTCAAAATATCCAATAGGTTATTTGAAATTGTATTAATTTTAAAATTCAAGTAACTTATCCATAATTCAATACAGTAGGGTAATTCCACCAAGGCCTTTTGGTAGACAGTACAAGCTTCTTCGTAGTGGTGGGACTTGAACTCCAACTCTGCCCAACCACACCAGTATTTGTATAAGAGGGGGTATTTTGAGAGAAGTGATTGATAGGAGGATCTGGATAATTCTAGGTTGGACGAGGTATGGATGAGCTGTTGCCAGAGGGAGAAGTTATCGGGGTCTGCCAAAAGGGCAAGCGACGTGGATTCCCAAGATGACATGAATAGGCAAAGAGGTAAGGAAGGTGAAGTGCAGAAGGTAAAGTGCAGAGAAGATGAAGTGAATGGACAGAAGAAGTATGGAGGATGTGATGAGTATTTTTGTAGCCGCCAGAGGTAGCCGCCGGGGAGAAAGGCCCATGCACCAGAAAGCACGACACGCCTGCCTAATCGGGACAAGAGGACACACGCGCCGTTTTGGGAAGAAATCAGACAGGGTTTCCCCAAGCAGAAGACCCGTGGACACCGAAATTTTTCAGACAATTTCGATTCGGCCGCAAAAAAAAGACAAAAAAAGCAACGGCGACACAAAAAAGCCCAACATCATTGAGAAAAAATAAAGTCACGATAAGATGACGTGAATCGTGAATCGTGAAAGGGTCATATGTGAAATTAGTCAAGATAATACCGTTAATACGCGACTACATGATACAATACGTGAGTTTATCTATTAAATGAATCAATCATTTCAACAAAGAAAAAAAAATGCAAGCGAGAAAGTGAAATAGCAATAAAGCAAAGAAGGAAATGCAGAGATGCGAATTAAATATGAATTGAATCACTCAACGAATGAAAAGTTGAAGCGGTCGAGTTGAAAGAGTTCTTCTCTGGAGCGCCATAAAAACAATAACTTTGTAGTAAGTCAGAGTATGATTTAGAATTGAAAGAAGTAGTGGTAGATTGTTTTGATTTGTAAGAATTGGAGTATTTTAAAGGTCTTGATAATGGAGAACGAGGAGTGTTTAACTCATTTGATAAATTATAGCGATGGTGTAATTCTGATTTGGGATTAGTATTTGCTAATTTATAATCTAATTCGTGATTATTTTTATAATCATTTAGTTTATTAATCAAATCATCAAATTGATTATTGTTGTAATTTTTATTTGTTGATAATTTAATGTGGTAATTTTGATTAAAATTATTATCCCAATAAACCTGGTTATTTACTTCATATCTGACAACCATTTCTAAATTTATATGGCAAGGTAAATTTGATAAATCGATTTTAAATTCAAATTCATCAAAATTATTAATTGATTTAACAAAATTGATATGATTATTAATAATAATTTTTGTTTTCCAATTATTAAAAGTTAATTTTATTGATATTTTTTTTTCAAATGCAATATTTTCAACCATAATTTTGCCAATCAATTCATCTTCTGCGAGATAAACCTCTTTTAAATTGACAACTTTATTCTTATCTCCACCAGTTACATCGGATGATATCATTTGATAAGGGTGTACAACGTCAATTTCCTCTTCTGAACTGGTTTCTTCGTCGTTCCAATTCAACTGGAAGTACGAGTCCATTTCTTCGTGGTGTGGTGATCCCAAGGGGGTGTTTTCCGCCGTCGCAACCGTGCTGGGAGAGTCGTTCCCGTCAAACATCTTCACGTTGGCTAATCGAGATGCAAAACGAACGCTTTTATTAGGGGACAACATTCCTGGAGATGACACACTGCGGGCGAGGTTGGGGAGTTTGAGTGATGATTTGACCAACTCTCCCAGTTTTTTACGAAGCAATCCGCAATCATCGCTGGGAGGAGTTAATTTGATGGTCGATAATGACAGCAGCAGCAGCAGCAGCAGCGACAGCAGCAGTGCTTGCAGTAATAGCGATTCACTAGAAGAAAATGAGTCTATCATACCTCTATACTGGAGTATCTATTTAAATTTTTGTTGGTGGACTCTTTCTAGAGCAATGAAGGGAAATTAATCACTTTTTAAAGTGAGAAATTTTAACCTTTTTTTCTTTTTCTTCTTTTTTTATTTTTTGGCGCATCTTTCTTTTTTTGCTGCGTTTTTGGAATTATTTTCTCAGTTACTCCACCATGACTCCACTATTTATGCAAGGTAAACTTAATCAGGAGAGAAAAAATTTATTGGGCATAAAATATTGGATTGTGGTTTGCATTGTGTTTTGTAATCCGCATTGTCCCCTAAATCTATTGTGATATATAATTATTATCTCTATCTCTATACAAAATATTATTTGACCCCACCGAAAATATAAGGAGGCTGCTAAATTTCCCCCATTTTGTGATTTACATATATTTTTTTTTTTTTGGCGTTTGTGTAAAAATTGAGCTTGCCTTTTTTGCAGTCACCTCCTACACTTCACTTACACTTACTACACATGCTTAACCCTCACACGTAATATACTATTGATTAGTTCTTAGAAGAGTCCTCCTTCAAAGTGACAATTCTATTTAATACTACATCGTCTCCACTGTCCTTGTCCATACAGAAGTAACCAATTCTCAATGCTTGGAATCTAACGGTTTGAGGACCGTATTTTTCCTTAATGTTAAACTCACTACCGGCAATTTCAACATTCATTGGACTCTTACTCTTAATTTCTTCAAATGACAGCTTTTCGATTATACCACCTCTAACAATCTCTTCACTATTTTCATTGATATCTTGTAAATACCCTTGGGGATGAGCAGATGGATTTTCACTCTTAAATAATCGATTTTGAATACGGATTTCTTTAATCTTTAATACATCGTCTTTGCCAATCCATTGAATAAATGTCTTTGGTTTCTTATACTCTTCTTTATTATTATCGTAATTAACAATGATTTTTTCAATCTTGTCTCCATTTCTAATAACCTCTTTAACACTAACATTAAATGGAACTCTCATTAATCCAACCGGTTGTCCTGGAGCTAACCTACGGTATTCTTTATCAAATTCATCTCGGTAATCTTGTCTATCAATATAATTATACTTGGTGAATTTTAATTTTCTAATACCAAACTTAGCATCATCGCCCGGTTTATATGGCATTTCAATGACTTCTTCATAATCTTCGGCAACGTTATCAACCTCAATCAATATTGGTTCTAAAATCATCATTAATCTTGGGGTGGTTTGATCAAGATAGTTTCTAATACTACTTTCCAATCTAATCTCTTGGATATTGGTTACGGAAGTAGTTACCCCCAAGGTATTAATAAACAGTAAGATGGCCCCTGGTGGTACCCCACGACGACGTATAGCTTCTAAAGTATATAATCTTGGATCATCCCATCCTCTAACAATTTTCAGATCAACTAATTTAGCAATCTTTCTTTTGGATAATACAGTACCAGTAATATTTAATCTACCATATTCTCTTTGAGCTGGTCTATAAACATGTAAAGCATCACATAACCATTCATACGATTCTCTAGATAATCTGAATTCGGTGGTACATAACGAATGACTAATGTTTTCAATAGAATCAACTAAACAGTGAGTGAAATCATAAGTGGGATAAATCTTCCATTTATCTCCAGTACGATGATGAGGAGTGTTCAAAACTCTATAAGCAACCAAGTCCCACATTTGTGGTGATGGACTATCAATATCTTGTTTCATTCTTAAAGTGGCTTTACCAACTTCATAATGGCCATCTCTCATCTTTCTAAACTCAGTTAAATTTTCTTCAATACTTCTATCACGATGGGGGGAGGCAAATCTTTCTCCTCCTAATGTTCCATCTTCTTTTAATCCTCTTTGTAATTTAACTTCTTCAGCGGTACAATGACAAACGTATGCTTTACCACGTTTAATCAATTCTTCTGCTAATTCATATAAGGTATCGAAATAATCACTACTATAAGTGATCTTCCATGGTTTAAATCCTAACCAATCAATCATATCCTTAATTGATTCGAAATATTTGGCTTCTTCTGCTTCGGGATTAGTATCATCAAATCTTAAATAACATTTCCCATTATGAAATTTGGCATATCCAAAATTAACCATAATAGCTTTGGAATGCCCAATATGTAAATATCCATTTGGTTCTGGTGGGAATCTGGTCCAGACTTCTCCCTTGGTGGCTTCTAAATGTTCCTTCATTAATTCGGGATATGCTTGTGGATTTTCTCCTGGTTTATGTAATTCTCCCAAAAAACCTTCACTAAACATTGATCTTTCAACTTCCGGTTTAGTTTCATTATTTTTAGTTGGTTGTTTCTTGGCCTTCTTCTTCTCCTTTTTAACAACATCTCTTTCGTCTTTTGGTCCTAAATATTCCAAAGCTAATTCATCAATAATCGGCTTGAATAATGATGGTGTTGCCCATTTTAAACTTGGAATTTTTTTGGCTTCTCCTAATAATTTAGGGACTCCACTATATCTTTTAGCTAAAATATCTTCCTTATTAGCTTCAAAATACTTACGGAGCTCCCCCTTAATATCTTCTGCACTTAAGTCAACTCCTACACCACAATTCTTATCAAAATCTTTGATATCAATCTCTTCATGATTAACGATATATTTGAATCCTTCGCTAACTTGCAAATTGGTCTTCAATTCCCCATCCAAAATCTTTTGGGAAACAACCGAACGGTTCTTGATTGGCTCGTCACTATTCTTACTTTCAAGTGCTAACGAATGTAATAAGGAAAGCTTCTTCTCTTCAATTGGTCCTTGAACTTTCAACTCTTCAGTTAAAATATAGGAAAGGGTGTTGGATACTTTTTTGTTCTTGATAATGTCATTGGTCTTATTCTCAGCAAGACCAACTGACTTGAACAAACTAACAAGTTCTTCTTCGCTTGACATGTTGCCTTCTTAATCGCTTTAAGTGTTAGTCATTATAAAATTTTTTTTTTTCTGTTTTACGTTGATTTTTTTCCATTTCGATGCGATTTTTCGAGATCGTCTTTTGGAGAAAGGGCACGACCACAATCTTGATATTCAATTACGATACATCACATCAACACTTTCACTTAGTTTTAGCTACTTCTCTCATTATTCTCTTTAAAAGGTTTGGATTTGGCTCTAGAACTGGTCCGAAAAAGATAATTGGAAAGTTACTTTGAGTCTTTCTCCTTGTTGCAAGTGATACGCGCCGGTAAAGTCAGTTTTTGCAGCTATGTTTCAGTCTTCATTTACAGAATCAACGCTTCAAGCGGTTTTAAAGCAAATCAAGCTCTTGAGCGAGGTCATTGATTCAAAACATTTACGCATAGAGAAGAGCGTTATTCATGAACTTTATGAAAAAAATTGCTTTGATTATGAAATAATTGATGAAAATTTGGTAAAAGATTTGAAAAGAGAGGTAATCAAATTGTTTAAAACAATTGGCGATAACTACAGTAAATTACCAACTAGAATGACTAAGCAAAAGATCCATTTCGCTCAATTTGTGTTTGGGATATACATCAATCCAGTGATTCAAAACATGGTCCCAGAAATGGTTAAATATTGGCCCATTATATTAGTAAGTATATTCAAATTTTAAGGAAACGAGATTTTACTAACCGAATACCCAGTTACTCCGTCTGTTTATCGAGATAAGAGATGCAATTAAATCACGATCTTTGATCAATGATTGCATCAGTGAGAGTCCCACTGGATGGGTCAGCTCGATTATTTTGGGTAGTAACGCTAAAGATGCTGCTCGGTACATCGATGCTTATCAAGTAAAGCAAATTTCTAAACTTCTAGAGGAAAATCAGGATTTTACAAAGCTGAATTATTTGATTGAAGCGCTTGGTTCGTATGTTCCACTAGAATTGGTTAAGGGAATACCAGAAACCATATATCCATTTCCATTTGATTACCGGGCTGGCCATGCTAAAATCTTACAATTTATTGAAGCTAAAAATGAGAATTTTACTGATCTTTTGCAACTAAATTCTATTCATTGTCAAGATATTGAAATTGAATGTATAAACCAACCCGAAATAGTGCTTTTACTACAAGTCGAACCAATCGGCTATGCTTTGATTTTATGGAAAATCCACCTCAAGTCCGATCAACCCAAGGATACGGTTACATTAATCAACTTGAATAATTTGAAAAATTTCACTTCCGCTTCAAATACTGTGCAAATCAGCTTCAAAAAATCCAACGATTTTGCTATTTTAACTGGTCTTTATAAGCAACATCATACAACATGTATGGAGTTAAAGTTTACCAGGCTTGATTACACTCAGAGATGTCTTACAGTGTTGCAAAAGATAAAATCCTCACAACCCCAAGCAAATTATACCTTGTTAAGCTCAGACCCATATACAGAAGATGAAAACTCACCTCCAACCAAAAAGATGAAATCAGTCAAGCAGGTGCCATGCTCCGATGACACTCCGATAAACACATCTACTCCGATGGTCCAGGGTATGCCATACTCAGAAATGTCTGCAGTCTCCACTGACATCAACCTTTCTGATCGACGTGAGGCAAGTCTCCAATATGTGCAGCCTGCTAAAACATCCTGTGCACCTTCCAAATCCACCGATGAAAATACAATTAAAATTACACCTCAGAATACACCAAAGAAAGGCAATATGCAAAGGAGGCCCCGCTTGAGCATTTCAAACCCTCTGAACAATGCTGCCCCTCCTGAACTACTGCCTTCAAGAGACACACAAGAATTTGCTATGAATCAATTACAAAAGAATAAAAAATACAGTAAGCACAGCATGAGGAGGTTCCAACAAACTGGGAAAGATGTTTGGGAAATTCCATTGACACCAACACAAAGGAGAAGTAAAGATAATGTTAAAAATATATCAAAAAATGAAATTAATAATGGAACCGATGAAAAAATAAAAGTACCAAAAATAGGATTCGCACCCAACAATTTACAAGAAGTTGATACCTCAAAGAATGAACAAACTGATACTTGTGAAGCAAACAAGATTATGGATATTGTAAGTCCGTCAGCAACAATTGACACATCTTTGAGACATCAACAAGAATCATTTGTTGACTCAAGATCAGAGTTTTCTTTGTTCTATGAATCTTATTCAATGGGAAAGGGGCAAATGCTGAATAGACAACAGAATCGGCCACAAAATGGGATAATTATTGAACAAGATATTTGGGGGTCACTTGATTCAGTTTATGAAACACTACAGGTTTTCAGCCAGAGCATAATCCGAGATATCAAGAAAAGGGAGTTCATGTTAAAAGAAGTTTATGAAGAGTTTGCCAATGAGACTTCACAACTTGAACAAGAATTTGAGAACCAAAAGAATTTGATTATAAATGAATCGAAAAAAATATTTGCAGAAATTAAACTTAAATCTGATGATATTTCAAATCGGTTAAAGGCTAAAATTGATAAAATCAACAGCCAATTTGTATTATGAGCACTAACAAACAAACGAAAAAACAAAAAAATTCGTAATCTTATCTCGAATAAAGTACGAATACAAATAATGGGTGTATTGATAAATGATCATATGTGTAATATAAAATAAGTCTAAAAATATAAAGAAAATATAGGGGAAAGTATTTAACAAGAATTGAAGTATCAATGAGATCGATATGTATTGACCAAAAGACAATCACTTTTTGAAACCTAAAAATTTGAATACCACTTTTGCAAAATCAGGAGGGTTGTCAAGGTATAAGTGATGGCCAGCATTTGTAATGTATCCGAATTGAGCCAAAGAATTGATAGGAGGGGATGTCTTTTTAGCTAGTTGGTTAATTTCTGCAGTAATTTCTTGACCAGCTTCATCATTCATCCAGTCTTTATCTCCGTATAACCAAAGGGTTGGTAACTTCATATCAACAACTTTTTGAGGAACACGATCAATAAGAGGTAGTCTAGCCATGGCACCAACATCTAAAACTCGGGTTATGGCGTACTCACCACTACCAGGACCATTAAAGATTCTATAAATATAATTATGAACATTGAAAAAATGTTCAGGATTTTGATAATAAACATGAGCAAATCTATGAGTAGTCCATCTTGATATGAACTTTGATCTTACTGGGCCGATATTACGAACAATTCCGAATGGAGAATAGTGATGTCTCCATAAATGATATAAGAATTTTCTTCCTCTAGTATTTTCATCATCATTCTCAACTTCTGGTTGGGTATCAGTTCCTTGAACAATACTCTCTTGATCGGCAGTTAATTCACGAGTTAAAGGGACTTGAGATTCTGATTGATTTTCCAAACGGGTTTCCAGATCAGTATCATTTTTAATTAAAGAATATTTACTTCTTTCAACCCCTACCGGACTAACCAAAATCATCTTATCAATTAAATTCTGAGCTTTTGAAGATGCGTCAATTAATTTACGATTATACTTCATTGCGTAAGCACAACTAAGGTACCCACCAAAAGAGTGTCCAATAAGGATGAAACGGTTAATGTTACGTTTGATTCTCCATTCTTCCATCGAATCAATAAACCAATCTTCAACTTTATAAATATCTTCCTTAGTGTTATTTGGAAATTTTGGGAACTTTGGTCTTGAACTAAATCCAAAACCCAATAAGTCAATAGCGTGTATTTTCACCCCGGGGATACTTGATAATGAATCGAAATTATCAATGAAAAGTCCTAATGATGCTGCATACCCGTGTACCAATACAACGTCAGTTACTTCTGGAGGGGTGAGTGATTTACCTAACCCTATTTTTGATAATACTCCTTCTTCATTTCCTTCATTTGAGTCACTATTATCACATTCGATGTTCTCAATACAAAATTCATGAATATAATTACCATCATCTAACTTAGTATCAATGATTTTTGCCACTCTTTTACCATCGGATACTGGATAAAATGGTAAATGTGAAAGCAATTTCGATTCAACTTGTTCATCAGTATAGTTCTTCAAGATCCCGTGCTTGAACCAATCTTTGAATGAATCAGACCACGGATATATTGGACGTTTTCTTTCTTCATCAAACTCAGTCTTCTTCTTTCTTTTAGGCCCTTCAGAACGTACCAGTTGACGCGACGAGCTCTCCATCTCGCTCGAAGCCTGTTCTGCTGGTTCCTCGGTCTTGTAGGTAGTTGACGTGGACATGCTGGTGCTATATATTCGAATACTAGTCAATCAAAAGCTTAATAAACAAAGTAATTGAAAAACTCATTGAAAACCCGTTTGAAATCGTTTGTTGATAAGCTGCTATTCATCGGATGCTCGGTTTCTTTTTTTTTAAGCCTATTTCCGTCGGCGATAACCGGTGCACGGGTGTGAGATACTGCCGCCGACTAAACTGCAAAAAACGAAAAAAATCCACATATTTACAGTTTAGAAGGAGATCAAATAATTTGCCACGCGAACGACTTTTCGTCTTTTTCTTTTTCCAATTTTTTTTTGTCGTGCGACGCACTGAAAAATCTCCTTCCAAACAAACTCAACTTCATTGAAAAAAAAAAGCTAAAAATTTTTTCTTTCAACTACTTTGAAAATTTTCATATCTTAGTATACACATTAACATAATCATACAAAATGGTATGTACTGATTGGAGATGGAGGTCGAGACTGTTCAACATAGAGAATGATGATAGATCCATGATGTGGAGATTTGAAGAAGAAAGATGACGTGAAGGTGAAGAGAAGGTGAAGAGAAGGTGAAGAGAAGGTGAAGAGAAGGTGAAGAGGAAGCGAAGAGAAAGCGAAGAGAAAGTGAGAGGTGAAGATGAATAGCTATGTGGATGCAGAGGCTTCTTGGATCAGACCGTCTACTTGAATTTCATACTAACATTTTACAGGACACTAAAACTCCAGTTACTTTAGCTAAAGTCATCAAGGTCTTAGGTAGAACCGGTTCCAGAGGTGGTGTTACCCAAGTCAGAGTTGAATTCTTAGAAGATGCTTCAAGAACCATTGTCAGAAACGTTAAAGGTCCAGTTAGAGAAAACGACATCTTATGCTTAATGGAATCTGAACGTGAAGCTAGAAGATTACGTTAAGATAGTTTCATATTTTATTTTTCATTTGGAATTAAAGATAAAAAAAATGTCATATTTAAACTAAAAAAAGAATTTGTACAAATATTTCCCCTTCTCCTTCTACTTATTGGTATATTTTATCAATAGAACAATTCATAAATACACTATTTATCATGTATAATGAATTAATATACTCCATTTTTTAATAAAAGGTTTTATTCTTAAAATTATCAGTTTTACTATCGTGGGAAAAGCTTAATAATCGTATTCTTTCTTTTATCGTTTGATTCCATTTTTAACCTTCTTTTGCATCGAATGAAGAATTAAATTGTATCGTCATCTTATTTCTCTTAGTTACATTAATATATTTTCTTATAATCTGTGAAGCTTTGCTTTCCATCTACATTCAGTTGACTTTGATTTATGTGAATTGTGGAGTTGGAAGATTGTAGCACTGTAGACCATTACTTATTGATAGAAGTAAGAAAAGAAAAAACAGTCACTCGGTCACATGACCTCGCAAGAATGAAAAACTTTGGCACGCACAACACAAACCCTAACCTCACAACCAAACCAATTCTTTTTTCCTTTCATTTTTTTCCTACTTGAAAAGTTATCATTTTTTTTTTTTTCATTTCGAAGCTTTTACTCTTTCATTAAGACAAAACCTAACTATAACAATGGCTCAACGTATCACTTACAGAAGAAGAAACCCTTATAACACCAGATCCAACAAAGTCAAGGTTGTTAAAACTCCAGGTGGAAAATTAGTTGCTCAACACTTGAAAAAACAAGCTACTAGACCAAAATGTGGTGACTGTGGTAACGTTTTAGCTGGTATTTCTACTTTAAGACCAAGAGAGTACGCCAGTGTTTCCAAAACTCACAAGACCGTCCAAAGAGCTTACGGTGGTTCTAGATGTGCTGGTTGTGTTAAAGAAAGAATTATTAGAGCTTTCTTAATTGAAGAACAAAAGATTGTTAAAAGAGTTTTGAAAGAACAACAAGAAAAGGAAAAGAAAACCGCTTCTAAAAAGAAGAATTAAAAAAGATAGATGTTAAGTAACTTATTATGACCTTTATGATTTCCTTTTGCTTAAACAAGTTTTTACCAATCAAAGTAATGACGCAACCCCATTTTCATTTCGATTCATTGTGATATTCAATCACGGGAGTTAACTTTTAGTTTACTCAAGGCTAATCTAGCTACTTCCTGTATTCTATATAATTTGCATTTAATACATAAAATATTTAACTTGAAACATTTAAGGTGTAGATGTACGGAGGGGAGACAATGTCGCGGCTGCTTTCTTCTCCCAGGATGCACGACATTTTATCAACATCGAAGCTACAACGAAAAAAAAAATGAATAACTAAACAAATGAAAGCATTAATTTTGGATATAATCAATTAAAATTGGATAAGAATGTCTGACTTGGATGATGATTTGTTAGCTCTTGCAGGTGCCGGCTCAGAGGAAGAAGAAGCTGGTGTTTCCGGTGGCTCTGATAGCGATGTTCCATTGAAAAGAAAGACCAAACCAAGCGGAGGAGCAGCCAAGAGAAGGAAGGTGGAAGAAGAAGACGAAGAAGAAGAAGAAGAAGAAGAAGAAGAAGAAGAAGGAGACGATGACGGCGAAGGAGGAGATGATGACGAGGGCGAAGAGGAAGAATTGGTTAACCCGTATCCATTGGAAGGTAAATACAAGGACGAAGAAGATCGAGAAAATTTATTAGATATGGATGAAATTGAAAGAGAACAAGTATTATTCGAGAGATCACAAGAGATGGAAAAGTATAATGAAAGAAAGTACTTGTTACAAAGAGCCAAACAACAACAACAACAAAGCAACCAAACCAATAAGAAAGCCACTAGATCGAGTAATCGTAGTAAAGCCACCACTGGAGCCAAGAGTTCTAAATTGGATAAGTTAAGTGAGCTTAGGAAACAGAGGGAGCAAAGAACAACTGGTAGAAGAAGAGATGAAGATTTTGAAGATTTTGAAGATGAAGATTTAGAAGAAGAAGAAGAAGAAGACGAAGAAGACGAAGATGAAGGATACGGGGAAGACGAAGTAGTTTGGGGTAGTGGGAGTAGAAACAAAACCAAAACACGAAGTTATGAACGAGCCACTTTTGAAGATATTAGAAAAATCAAAGTTGGTAGAAGTATATTACATAAGTATTGTTTTTATAAAGATTTTGAAGAAACCATTATAAATACTTTTGGGAAGATTAATTTAGGAATTGATAAGAGAAGCAAGAGACCGATTTACAGAATGGTTCAAATAGTTGATATCAAAAACATTCCGGATAAAGTATATGATTTACCCAATTTCAAGTGTGATATATATTTATTGGTATCCCAGAATAAGAATCAAACCAAGGAGTTTCCAATCAACATATTCAGTGATGGGGAGATTGAACGAGAAGAGTTTGATCGGTATGTGTTTGAATTGCTGAAGACCAACGAAGAATTACCGTATAAGGAAGAGGTTGAAGAGATTTCGCAGCGGTTAAATAATTTAATGAACAGATCATTAAATGACCATGATATTAATGAAATGATTGAAAGAAAACAAAAATTACAAGGAAACATTCAAGGATTTGATGCTGTTTTCCAAAAAGCCAAATTAATGGATCAATTAAAAATCAGTAAACAACAGAGACAAACCGGTGATGTTAAGAAGATTATTAATAAATTGAAGGAGATTGACGAAATCTTGATTAACCAAACCAAACAACATAATAATTCGAAATCCTTGAACACCATGTCAAAGGTGAATGAAAGAAACCGGAAATTAAATCAAGAGAATATCCGTAAAGCAGAAATCAAATCTTCGCAATTGAAAAAAATCATCGATGCTAATGAGGGAGGCGATCCATTTTCAAGATTGAAGACCCAAACCAAAGTGTTTTATCAGGATTTAATGAAACAGGAAAATGAAAAAGCCATCAATGAAGCAAAAATGAATTACGATAATCTTATTGCAGAAAAATCTGAACTCGAGTCAAAAATCGCAACTTCAACTTACCGAATCCTAGGTAATATGGATAAAATGATTAAAGACATTGATATTAACATTGAAATTGATATTTAACCTATATACATATTTACCCTATATACATATTTAATTAATTAACTTTCCAATTCTTTAATAAATTGTAATCTCAATTCCATGCGTTCCTTATACTTATTAAACTCTTCCTTCATATCTTCTTCATCTTGATATACTTCATAATTATTCAAATCGGAATAATATGAATGGATTGATTCGTCATCGTAAATCTCATCATCGTAAGACAGTATCGACTGCGAATCTGCTGGTGAGTTGGTGTTATACTTATTCAAATTGAACGATGGCTGCAACAAAAATTCGTCTCCAAGCCCCGACATGAGTGAAATATCATCTTGGTGGGAACGGGTTTGTGGCAAGAGCATAGCGGGCTTCTTTTCCTCGTTGGACTTTGACAGTTTCAATGAAAACGCAGAACTTATCCGATGTAGTAAGTTTTTCGAGGTATTACTTCTTGGATGATGACTCTTCTTACTCATTATATGATTGATAAAACTAGTGTTATTACTGGAGGTATTCTTCACTTCACAAGGTAAATCAAATGATATTGAGTTATCCTTGGTATTTATATAGTAGTATTGTTTAAAAGTATCGTCGTACTTGAACTTCCAAATGGTTTGATCTTCAACAGTCATATTGTGCTTGCTGCCTATCCCTATTCTATAATGAATTCCATCAGCTATTTATATATAAAGGTCGATTCCATAACTTTTGTAATCAACGGCCCGGAGATACCACCTCCCCAAACAGTCATAATCCGAGACGCATTTCCGAGAACCCACTGACTAATCTTTGCAGCCGCGTATTACAATTACAATCACATTATCAATTACATTACAATTGCAACCGCGACTGCGGTAGCCGATAGGGCCACTGATAGCACATGGTAGTACTAGTCTGGTAGAACCTGATAGCGAGAGCACTAACCACAAGGACCGAACGCACGGATGAGTATTTGATGCTTGCCAACCGGATTCGGCGGCGGAAATACGGATGGTGCCCGAAACCCCGACACCCGAAGGTGGCAACAGAATAAACAAACCCGTAAAGGGCAGGCATCCGTACACCACTATCTCCGCGGCGATCCCGGCCGAAGACTGCGCCGAACACTAAACCCGAAGCAAGCCCAGACCGGTACACCACATATCCTACTTGACACTAATATAGCTTGTAATATTGCAATATAACTTGTAATATTGTAATATAGCTTGTAATATAACTTGTAATATAGCTTGTTATATTGTAATATAACTTGTAATATAACTTGTAATATAACTTGTAATATAACTTGTAATATAACTTTTAATATAACTTGTAATAACTTGTAATATAACTTGTAATATAACTTGTAATATAACTTGCAATATTGCAATATAACTTGTAATATTGTAATATAGCTTGTAATATAACTTGTAATATAACTTGTAATATGACGGATGCTTAGTTGTTAGCTTGTAGATTTACTGCTTGATCTGGAGATATCTCTGCATTCTGTAGTATATTAGCTTACGGGCCATTCAGGAACACCTAATACTTGCGAACTGTAAAGACACGTAGTAAATAGTTAGCAGAGTTTATATCATGATTGTAGGTGATGTTGCAACAAAATGGTCCGATGAGCCTGGCGAAAAGACCCGTTCACCACCCCACAATTGCTCAACAAATTTATCGAGGTCCGGTGTTGGTGGCCAAATACCACCTTCTTCTTCTTTCAACATAATCAATTGATCATGGTTTCCCAAGAATTTCAAGATAAAGTAAGTATCTCAACACCCAATGGTTGAAGAAAAGTACTAACATCGCCTAGGCTGCAGCAGTTCAAAGTTTAACTAAACGTCCTTCGGATGACGAATTGTTAAAATTATACGGTTTGTACAAACAAGCCACCGTTGGTGATAATGATACCCCTAAACCAGGTATGTTTGACTTGAAAGGTAAATACAAATGGCAAGCTTGGGACGATTTGAAAGGTACCAGTCAATCTGATGCCGAGTCAAAATATATCGAATTAGCTACTGAATTAATCGGTAAATATAATTAGGTTTACTTTAAATATATATGTCCATTGATTATTGATTTTTTTTCGTAATTTCGATTTTGTTAAACACTTTTATGTTTCTAATAAGATTATCAATCATCATTACCAAAGGTATGATCAAGTATGGTACATAGATTAATACCAAATTGTAGATTTCTGCTCTAGTTAATCCAAAATTGTCTCCCTCAGCGATTACCCAAATTAAACAAACTAAAGTAGTGAAAAATGCATTGAACCCGTATATCATCATAACCGGGGTTATTCTTTCATCCTTGTTACGTAGAAAAATCGATCCAATTACGAATATAGGTAACTGAACCACCAATTCAAATAATCCAAACACTTTAAACCATAAGGGCGATTCAATTAACAAGATATCTTTATTGGTTTCAATATGAAACGATACAATCAGTTTCTGGATCCATAATTGGTATTCATCAGGAATAACAATGGTCGAGTCAATTAACAACGTAATTGGAATGTGAACGATGAAGTACCAGTAGTAGAACTTATCGAGGTACTGCTTCATTCTATCAGTGGTGGAAAAGTTAATTTATTGAAAAAATCGGTTTACTGAAAAGATCAAAATACTTTTTTCAGGCCAATTTTTTTTTCTTCATTTATTTTTTTTTAGTGCTTCTTCAACAATGTTAAGAGGGTGGAAGCTTCCTTTACAAACTCGATACTTACATCGCCCTTTCACCATGGCTTCCTATAAACCAACCATCAAGAAACCTTTGGTCTGGATAGACTGCGAAATGACCGGCTTGGACGTTTATAACGATAATATCATTGAAATTTGCTGTTTGATAACTGATGCAGATTTGAATATCATTGATGAAAAGGGATTCGAAAGTACGGTTTACGTTCCAAAAGAAAAACTAGATCAAATGGGAGAATGGTGCATTGAACATCATACCAGACTGGGACTTGTTGATAAAATCTTACAAAACCCTGATCGAACATTACAAAAAGTTGAAAGTGAATTATTCGATTATATTAAATATTACATAAATGAACCAAAAAAGGGATTATTAGCTGGTAATTCTATTCACATGGATAAATTTTTCATGATGAGAGAATTCCCAAAAATTATTGATTATTTGCATTATAGATTATTGGATGTCTCTTCAATTAGTGAAATTTGTAGAAGACATAATAATGATTTATTAAGTAAATGTCCAAGGAAAAGAGATAGCCATACCGCTAAAAATGATATACAAGATAGTATTGCTCAATTGAAATGGTTTCAACAAAACTATCTTAAAAATTCAAAAGAAACTGAAAATGTTACCAATCAGTCAAAAACTGTTTATCAATTATAAATCCTTTCTATAATAATATATACATATACATTTCCTAATGGAATTCAACAACTTCTGAATTATGACCAAGGTCATTTCTTTCATTTCGATACTTGGTGATGCATTGTTTTAAAGAATTTAAATCAATCGGCTTCTCTAAAACATCATCAAAAACTCCCAGCTGAATAGCTTCTTTAGCAAATCCAGTTAAGGCAATTAATGGAGTCTCACAATTTATACCAGTAGTGTATTTGATTAACTTAACTGCATCAATAGAATCAACTTTTGATATTTTCAATGCAGTAAATATAAGATCAAATTTAACTTGACTTGTAGCCCTTCTAATTAATTCATCCCCATCGCTAACAGACACAACTATACATCCTAATTTTTCTAATAATCGACTAATCGTATGACGTACAATTGGTATTGGTTCACAATATAATACATCCAATTCATTACTCAACACATTACCCGAATGATTAAAAGTCTGTCCCAGAGTACCCGAAGATATCGAGGATCCAGAGGTATTGTTCATTGCTGTACCCGATGAATTAGATAAATTAGTACTAGAAGTTGTGCTATTGAATTTTCTTGAACTTTCTCTTCGTTTTCTTACTCTTAATAGAGCTGATGATTTCGTATCTTCGGTGTCAGAACTAGATGGTGAATTCAAATCGTTAACCGATTTATTGAAAACTTGTTTTGATAAGGAGTGTATTGAAGACCGGTGACTCACTTTGGGAGTTGCTATATTTATACTATTTGAACCACTTTGACTATGTCCAGCAAAGCTTTCATTCAGGGGAGAAAATTTACCTACTTCAAATGGAAATTCATCACCACTTGAATAGGTACTTACTGCTGACCCAACTCTCTCATGTCGACTGACCGCTGATGGCGAGTTAGAGGATTGTTGCTGAAGTTGTAATAATAAGGGAGTGGGTCCGAAACTTCCCACACTACCAGCAGTACTTGTACTAGAATTCAAATTTGTCGCTGATAACCCTTCTCCTTTGGATGGCGATGGTGCACGATTCAAAGTAGACACCGGTGAAACAGGCCTTTTGAATGGGCTACCAGGATTTGTGGATCCATTAAACGAATAACCTCTCGATCTAGTGGTAGATTCTGACGAAGAAGACGAATAACTGTTTCGATGCTCTAAATGTTCATTCTTCAATCTGTTAATCACATCCTTATTAGCCTTTTCCAAAACATTCAAGTTACGGAAATGAAACGACCCAAATTCTCCTGTTTCTGCCAACTTACTACCTCTTCTTTCCCGTTTTCCTGTACTAATTGAGCTATTACTTTCTTGTCCTGTGGTTGCAAGAGTTGGTCTATGACTTGGTATATTAATATTACTCGATGGAACCAAGGGTGATCCAGACTCTGAAGCCTTGATTTGGCTATCACTGGTATTTACCATATTCATGGTCTCTTCTTCAAAATCATCCTTAGGAAAGTGCGATATATCAGCACCCCTTGAATCAAAATAATCTGTAGATTCTGGGTCGTCCAAAGTTGGAATGAACGAAGGTTCTTCATCATATAAACTTAACCAATCAATTTCTTTGAAGTAAGGGTGTGATTTTATTTCATCTGCTCCGTTATAACCTAATCGTTCTTCTGGATCTAAAGTCAAAAGTTTTTTAATCAAATCTTTGGCAGTTGCAGGGCAAATTTCCAGTTCCTCTTCAGGGCTCAATGGTGGCCAATCGATCTCACCTGACAAAATATTTTTGAAAACCTTGTCAGGGGTATCAGCATGAAAGGGCGGATATCCAAAGATAAATTCAAACAATATACATCCAACGGACCACCAGTCAGAATGTTCCCCTTGATTCGAGCCGTCAATAGTCTCAGGCGATAAATAATCTGGAGTACCAACGAATTTCTTGATCTCATTGTTATCTTCGTCTTTGGCCGGATCAAATAATGCAAATGAGGTAATGGTATTAGGATGCTGCGATGGACTCACTTGGAAGTCATCGTCGATTATGGCAAATGATGATTCAGATGAGGTTCTTGGTAATTGTGGCTTTAACAGGGGTGATTCTAAACCACTTGAGCCTGATCCCGTTCTACCACTTCCACCACCATATCTGAAGAACGAACCAGATCTGTTCAAAGGTTGCGAAGATAACTGTCCAGTGGGGGTACCAACATTTCCACGATTTTGATGTTGCAGGAACTGAGAGGAAGCCGTACCCGGTTGACCACCATGGATACCTGGATTGCTGAAAACGTCGGTAAAGCCAGCAGTTGGTGATGACATCGAAGCAAGTCCTGATACTGAGCCCGAATTAGACCCGGAGTTGGAACCAGGGTGAGAGTGTGAATGATTTGACAGTAATTGTTGAAGTTGCAGCTGTTGGAATGCAGAATTTGAGGAAGCTAATTTGGTATGTTCTAGAGTTGGTGATAATGAAAATGGAGTCACGGAATTGTTTCTCTTATGATTGTGAATTTGATTAGAAAAGACGTCCAACAGAGGAGAATCGATTCCGCTACTTGCACCTGAAAAATTAGCCAAGGGACTTTGATTAGGTTGATTTTGGCTTGTTCCGAGACTTTTTCTGAAAATCTCAATTCCATGTTCAGATGTAGAGCTTTTACGATGTTGTCTTGTTTGTCTCCCTAATACTCCAATTCTTGATAAACCAAAATCTGTTAACTTTAAATGTCCCTTACTATCGATTAATAAGTTATCTGGTTTCAAATCACGATGAATAATACCTCTTCTATGAAGATCGTCGATACCAACAACAACTTCGGCAATATATCTTTTAGCCCATTCATTACCTAAGGTTCCCAAAACTTTTAATAACGTAGAACAATCACCACCATTCAAATACTCCATCACTAAGTAAAGATAGTCTCTAGTTTGGAAACTGCAATACAATTGTGCAACATAAGGGGAATCAGTTTGTTTCATCATTACCGCACGTTCAGATTTGACATTTAAAATTTGATTTTTTGCAATCATATCTCTTTTCTTCAAACACTTTATAGCGACATAATCACCTGTTACTTTCTTTTTGGCTAAAAATACCGAACCAAATGCACCTTTACTTATAGCCTTTAGAACTTCATAATCCTTAATACTACCAACCGAAGGTTTCGATGGAGGAGTCAGAGAGACTAACAATGGCGACAAGGGGGGTTTGGCGCTAGGGTTTTTACTATTCGGACCAGTATTGATCGATAAATGGTGAACATTGTTATTAGCACTGGATGATGTGACACTTCCACCTGAGTTAGTTCGCTTCTCCAGCAAGCTATACTGAATAGAAGGTGGGGCTTGAGGTAAAGAGTCATTAGTCACATCAAGGTGTTGCAAAGAAGGCGAAGCCATAGGTGAAGATGCTTCAAACCTTGAATTGGGATTTCGTTGAAATGATGACAAATTCTGTTTCTCAACATAAGGAGCTGGCGATAAATGTCTTCTAGGGGAAGAAAAAGATGAATTATTCGAAATTGCTTCAGATGACTTTTTCAGTAGTTCCAAATCATTGAATGAATCTATTAAATTTAAGTCCCTAGAATCATGCCTTGAATTATGTGCTGATATAGATGAAGCTCTCGAAGAAATAGAAGCATTTGATCCACCCCTAGGAATTTCAACTGGTGTTGTTCTTCCTCTCAATAAAATATCTTTAGGGGTAATTGAGGTAGCTGCCTTACTTGAACTTTCGAATGATTCATTGATTAGCTTTGCCGAAGGACTTCTAGTCCTTGATGGTTGAGGTGAGTGGATTAAAGTAGAGTTAGGATTAGAAGGAGTTGGTGATAAATTAATCGGTTCAGACAAAGTTTGATCATTAGAATTACGACTTTGGCTTGAAGCACTTGCACTATTCAAACTAATGGCACTGGTATCGCCAATCGTTTGCTCATCATTATTTGATTTCGAATCGTCGGCAGTACTATTGTAGAAGAAAGATGATTTCTTCAGTAAAGTTGACGAGGTTCTATGATAAAGCAGTGATTGCAGTTGTTGTTCATTAATACGTATTTGTTCCCTTATTCTTTGAACAGTTGACTGGACAGTCTCTAAAACTAATTCATCCACTTCTGCTTTTATTTTATCACTATACTGTAAAATTGAAATTAATCTTGATAAAGTATCGATTTTATCATTCACTAAAGATTTAGTATCTTCAATCATGGTTTTAAGGGCTAAGTCATTTGTATCAAATACCCTCCAATTCGCCACGGAGCTAATTGCCTTTTCAGTATTTGGAGAAAATTGTAAAATACCATTATCTTCTAATTTCTCAGCTGGATTAATTTGTAAAGCTTCATCACATAATTCTAGTAATCTTCTGAGGATACCAAAGGGAAATTTTTTCGATTGTAGTATTGATTGAACAGATGAAGTATTTTTGATTAGTGAGTGACTTGATAATCTAGGTGATGAGCCACTTGTGGGTTGTGAATCATGAAGAGACATAGAAGGTAATGGAATACCTTTATAATCGTCAATCAATCCATTAGTTGAAGAAGAAGAAGCCGAAATGTCCAGAATCGAGCTATTTGATGAAGTTGGGGTAGAGAATCCTGAGCTATTAGGTCCACTAGAAGTTTCAGAATTTGAACTATTGACACCTAAACCTAAAATCTTCCCAGAAGTATTCGGAGAGGGATTAGAGTCATATTGTTGAAACCATAGACTTTCTGTAATTTTCATAATTAATTGACGTTGGTCAGCAATAGCATCATGACAATTTTGTAGCTCCTCATTAATACGATATTCCACAATACATAAATCACTATGTTTTTCAATAAACCAAGCAGGGATATTACTTTCACAAATTCTACATAGAATAGATTTTGGTTGAGGAACACTCTCTTCATCAGTGATACCCATTTCTTTCAAATTAAACAAATAGCCTTCAAATATTTCTGAACCGAATCCTAAAAGGTTAATTAAGCTTTCTGGAATTGTTAAGTCCAAATCGATATAAGCAAAAGGTTTTATTGTCCATATTGAATGAGATGGTAGTTTAGTTTTTGGGTCATGAATCAAAATTCCTTGAGCTTCCAATTCAATAACTTCTCCATTATTTGAAACTTTTGAGCTTAATGAGCTGGATTGATCATCAGAACTAAGGGTTATATCAAAATCTCTCGGCATTTGTGGAGTGTTTGCATTAGAGCCAAAATAATCATCAGTATCAGAGTTAGACTCATTTTGAGAAGAATTTTCAATATCTGAAGCTTTAACCACTTTGCTTACATTAGTGCCAATCAATTCGAATTGAGTCTGTTCTTCAATTACTTCATTAGGTTCACCTGATCGTATTATATGATCAGTTTGAGATTTATTAAAATGAAGATTATCATTATCATCATTAGACTTATTATTAATAGAATTACTTGGAGTAATTTTACCACTTGAATGAGATTCATTTATAAAATCTTTACGATCATTAGTTGCAGTTATAAATTTAACTTTATAGGAAACATCATCCTTAACCATTTGATCAATAGCGTTATTGAAAACTTTTAGATCATCTTCGCTATTACCAATTAAGATATTAGAAATCGATTTGCCAACCAATTTTTTAATATTGGTACCAACTATAACTTCCCAATTTCTACTCAAGTATCGTATATTACCATCCAAATCCAATTCCATAACCGCAGTTGGATTATTTGAAGAAGCTAATCTTAGATCGATTTGTTCTTGGAAAATCTCCACAAAATTAGGTACGTTAATATTTGGTTTTCTTTTAGGGGAAGTTTTGAAAGTATTTTCATAATTCAGAGCATTATGAAATAAATCATTTATCGGAGAACTGGTTTGATTTTGTTGTTGTTCAAATTCTTTTAATTGTTTTTCATCCTTTAATTTTTGTTCTTGTTTATCATTATTACTAGTTGATCTTGATATTTCAAATGGAGAAACAGATCTTTCAAGTGGGGCAGGACGCGATAAATTAAATTCCGGTTGATGAAACAATCCATGATTTGAAGAATGAGAAGATAGACAAGACGCTGATTGGGCAATCATGGGGGATTGTAAAGATTCTTTCAATTCATCTTTAGTAGAATCGGTGAAATCGGTTATAATTGAAGATGGAATCTTATCATTTTGAGAGTAATCATTAAATTCTATAGAAGAAGAATCTGACCCGTCATTATTAGTAATAGTTGAGCTTGGATTAGTATGAGGATTCAAATTTGAAGATCTATTGGGAATTGAATGGTGGAAATAATGTCCTTGTTGTGTTTGTTCTTGTTGATGGCTAGAATCAGAAGAATCAAGATTCTTCATATCGAATAACTAAAAATACCCTTTCCCTATAGCTGGGGATATAATAAATGATAATATTTACACTAAATTACCAATGATTAGTTCAATGGTTGCTTTATATAAGAAAGGTGGAGTTCCTTTTAAAAGATAAGCGGGTAAAAGGTAAAAGCTTAAGACACACCTGGGGAGAAGAGGCAAGCAAACTTAATTGAATAAAGATCAAAACTTATCAAGTTTGAGCGCTCATATAATATCAAAGGGTATTAAGGTAGAAGGATAATCAAGTAGTGAAAGGCGGTTAATCAGAGTAGACGGTGAAATTGTTTGACTTTATTATTTTTATTTAGTGCTTTTAGCGCGCTTAAAGATTTACGTGAGGTACAGGGTTTTCCAGAGTTGGGGGTATAATAGAGCAATTGAATAGTTAACGGGTTACAGAGGTCAAGCGATGACATGGTAGGTATGGCAGGTACGGTAGGTACAATAGGTTAAGTAGAGGGCACAGCGGGATGGTGAGAGGATAAATAAAAGGGTAAGTTGAAAAGTTAGTAAAAAAATCAGTAAGAGTAAACCCTCGAGTGAAAATTTTCAAGTTAGATGATGATATAGTTGGCATTACAACCCAGATTAGAACTTTTAGTGTATATTTAAAATCATTTTCAAAAGAAATATACATAAGAAAAGCAAAAGAGAATTAAAAGGAAACCATAAAATAATAAATAACAAAGTTTTTAGGAACAAGAATTGTATCTACATCATTATATCATAAATGTGTAATAGAGTTGGATCTATTACACTCGTAAACATTAGGGGTTAGTCGTGACAAGTAAGCAAGGGGAAACTGCTTGATTAAAAGTTGGATTTTAACCAAGATTGTTGATATAATTGAACTGGGAAATATTCTAAGTAGTAAATTGATAATCAGAATCTAATCTTGATCTCTTTTTAATACTTTCTAATAAATCAAAGTTTTTATCTTCATTTTTCTGTAATATAAGATTTTTAAGACATTTATTTTCCATTTCCAAAGTCTTCATTTTTTTTTCCAAACTACCAATACGGTCTTGTAATTCTTTGGCATGTTGTTCCATTTGTTGTTCTTTCAACTTCTTTTTAATTCTAAATCTAGCACTGGCTGCAGTATTTCTTTTTCTTTTATCTTCAACGGCAGCAGTAGCAATTTTTCTAGTTGGAGGAATTAATTGTTCTTCTTGAGGTTGAACCTGTTCAGAAACTTCTTCGGAAACTTGATTGGATTCCGCTTTTGGGCCGGGAAGATTTAAGAACTGGGACAAATCATCTTTTTGTAATCTTTGTTGTTGTTTAGAAGGAGCAGATGAATCATTTGAAAAAACATCCAAATCAAAAAATTCAACTCCAGAGAATAGATCCAAGTCGTTGGTGCTGGTGGTGGATGGGGTATCGTTCAAGCGGGGGCTGACGTCTTGATCAAAGTCAAGGTTCAAGTTGGTCAAGTAATCAGTAGGTTGAAAGTTCATCGTTGACTGAAGAAGAGAAGAAGAGGAAGCAGTTGGAAAACACGGGCACCTTCGATATATAAGGAGACAAAAAAAAATTTTTTTTCTTTACTTTTGCTCGCTCAACGTTAGTCATAATAATTAATAATCCAGTGCACCGTTTCAGGTTACTGAATTAGGCCATTCAGTCCATGTGTTATTGTACTGGTGTCTGATTAGTGATTGTACTGGCGATGGCTGCAATGGGTATAGATTGTATCGATTGGCTTAGATTGTATTGAACGTATTGAATATTGTATGAATATTGTATGAATATTGTATGAATATTGTAATCTGGTTTACAGAATGGTTTACGGATTGAGAAATCCGGCCCGGAAACGGAGAACCGAGTCAAAAGGTACGGAGGTGAAGTAAACATCTATTCCTATATAAATAACCTATATACCCATCATTAATCATTAAAAGTTAATTGAATCAACCAAAGACTTTAGCATGTAGGACTCGCCGGGCGAGTCCTTTTCGTCCTGGTTGTCAATTAGCTGTCTAGGTGTAGCGGACCAGGGTTGGAAGTTTGGAGCCGATTGGGGAACCGATTGTAATTGTTGGATTGGCTGAATTTGTTGAATTGGCTGAATTTGTTGAATTGGCTGAATTGGCTGAATTGGCTGAATTGGCTGAATTGGCTTTTGAACTGGATTTGGTGCCGACTGGGGACCTGATTGGTGAGCTGATTGAATAGCAAAAGGATTGTTGTAGTGAATTTTTTGATTTGAGATATAGGGGATCCCCGTAACAGCACACATCCAAATTCTAGTTTTATAAATTCTAAATAATTCTCTTACTAAGTCTCTAAAATCAATTCTATGATTAGTGGAATAATAAAAAATCAATTTTTTACGATCAAATTGATATTCAGCATCGATTAATTTCATTTGTTTTAATTCGTTTGAACCATTGGATAAATTGTTAGCTATTTTAGCTAAACATAATCTACAAGCTTTTTCTTCATCCTGTTTTTTATTTAAAATTTGAATGATTTCATTTGGTTGGGCTAGTTGCAAGATGGATTTAGGGAAATGTAAAGTTGGGGGCAAATTATTTGATTCACTTTTAGTGATTGATAATTCATTCATCCCACCACCATTAAATTCATTCAAGGCAGCTTGTTGTTCTTGAAATTGCAATAACTTCATTAATCTAGCTTCATCAATTGAAATATTCAATTTGAAAACTTTACCAATATCGCGACCGCGATCCGCCTCCACAATCACCAAGTCGCCAAGTTTGATATTTTGCAACTCTTCATTATTGGAAGGTAAATAAAAAACATCAATTCTTCCCGCTTTGAAACCCACAAGAACTAATTGGTAGTTTCTCAACAGATTCTCCACTGGAAATCTTGGTAATTGGTACGAATCTCCCAAATATTTTTCTTCATTGAAAAATCGTTCTTCCAAAAAATTTAAACTAACTTTAACCCGTTCATGAAAATCCATTTCAAAATATTCATTAATCGATTCTAATGTATAGCTGTAATCGGGTAAAAATGAAGGAACTTTTGGTTGTTTGACTTCATTTGAAATCGAATACTGTCGATTATAAACATCTCCGTAAGAATGTCTTCTTAAATTTAACTCAAATTTGGTTAAATTTGGATTATCAAATGGATTCACTTCATTAAGTTGGGGAGAAAATTGCGGCGAGGAACTCACACCACCTAAAGATTTGCGATTGTAATTGGGAGTATTCCAAATTAACTGATTAGAATCGGAATTCGATCGGGAATTGGGCTGAGTATTCGGTTGAGACCAAATACTATTCAGATATCTTCGTTCTTCGAGATACTGGTGAGGCGAGGGACTCTTACCAAATAGATTAAACTGATTCATTTGATAATTTGAATTCATTTTTTATTAAACGAGTAAGAAAAACTAGTGACTCATGAAGCTAGTCAGGGGATATATATTTAACGAAAACTGGTGATTTTTAAGAAAAACTAATTTAGAGGGGTCCAGCAATAAAGGGGAAATAATAGACAATAAAAATTGGGTTATTATTTGATCATCGTTTTTAAGTGCAAACATCATTAAGCTATTGCTTTTAGATATGTCTCAGATGGTACCATTAGCATTGAACCCTTGCTATCCCCGCTTTCCCGGCACCCACACCCGTACCCACACCCACACCCGTACCTACATCCATTTAGTACACACAAAATATATTACAAAGTAGAATTAAAGATACATAATTATTGATATTGTTGTTGGTTTGGTATATTACCATTTTGTAAGTTGGAGAAATATTGTTGGTAAACGTTTGGATCACTGTAAGCTTGAGCGGGAATCCCCATGTTTTGAGGGTGGCCAGCAGCTGGATAAGGAATTCCATGAGGAATGTGAGCGGCTCCTGGAGGTAATTGTTGGTGTTGAGCAGCTTGCACTTGTTGCGCATGATGGACTTGAGCAGCCTGTTGCGCCTGTTGTTGTTGCTGTTGAGCAGCACTAGTTGAGTTGGTGGAAGTAGAAGGATTCGAAGCACCAGTAGGAACTGGACTTTGATCAGGAGATTCCTGAGAGTTACCGTCAGATTGGTCGCCTTGATCATCGCCCAAACCTTCTTCTGGAGCGTTAAGACAAGCTTGAATTAAATTTTTCCCTTCGGATTTAGTAACCAAAGGTTGCAATTTTGGCGTAGTGAAAGTATAAACCAATCCGGTTTCACTAACAACCAATAATAACACTTGAGTACCGGTTAAGACTGACAATTCATACGCCTTTTTCATGATACCGGCTTTTCTTTTACTGAAAGTGATATGTCTTCTTGATTTATCCTGGATGAATTTGATTTCAATTTTTCTACGTTCCTTTTGTTGCTTACCACCAGAAGGTTCATCGTCGTCGTCGTCGTCTCCCCCTCCTGGAGCACCAGCACTAGCATTACTAGATGCAAATTGCGTGGTGGTGCCTAATTGGTCTTCGGTATTTTCTAATTTAGCTTCAGTAGCGTCCGTCATCTAAATTGTTAGTATCAAAGTGAAAACTTGTGGTAATGTTTGTCAATCTTGTGTTCTTCAGCTTGTCAATCTTGTGTTCTTCAGCACTTTGTCAACCTTGTGTTCTTCAGCTTGTCAATCTTGTGTTCTTCAGCACTTTGTCAACCTTGCGTCCTTCAGCACTTTATCAATCTTTCAATCCATCAATAGATGGTGCAACCATAAAGGGAAATAGATTCGTGCCCCAAAAAGGTAACCCACCAGAGTATGTTGTTGTTTTTCTTTTGTTATTTTTTTTTTTTTTTGTTTTTTTTTGTTTTTTTTTTTGTTTTTCAGTGGAAGTGCACTTTTTTTCTTTTGGAAGTGAGAGTTTTGACCCTTAAAGGAGCTTACTTATTTTGGATTAACGAACAAATCATTACCAATAACATCAATTCTAATATTGTCATTGCAATAGTAGACTGACAGAAATACATACATTGTAATCGAATTATACTCTTTATGATAAAGATTCAGTGGAATGGGGACTAAAACTTGTTTTCAATCTAAAAAAAAAGTGTACTAAAACTGAAAATTTAATAAAACAAAAGAGAATTTTTTGGAAATAAGGAAAAACTTTTTGGGAATTTGGTGGGTGGCATTTTTTGCATGTTGGCCGGCTTTGCTGGTTGGCCGGGAGGGTTTTACTGGTTGGCGCCGGTTTTTGCGGGTGCAACCTGCAAACTATTCGCTCGGATGGCCCCCACTGGGTATTCCCCGGGCCAACCTGCAAAGCGTGCGGGCGCAACCTGCAAATGGGCGCATTTGGTATTTTTATTGATAACATTTACAGTGTATTTATCTATAGCTATACTTGGATGGGAGTCCCGTTGGATACGGTTAGTTGATCTTGCTGGTGGGCAGGCAGGTTGGGGTCCGGCAGGTTGGATTCGGGCTCTAACTGCTCCTTGGTGATGGATGCCACCAGAAGATCAAGGTAGTCTTGAAGAATACCAGATATCTTGTTTCTGAGATTGGTATTAGCGAAAAGCTCCTGGGGTTTATGTAGAGTAACCAACATTACTTTGTATAGAGCGCTTTTGATGAAGATTGATTTGGGGAAGTCGGCGGTTAGTATCCCGCTTAACTTATCGAGTTGTTTGTTGATGAGGGATTCGTTGATTGTTTCTTGCATCAATAAGTCAACCAAGGTATCGTTGATTGGTTCGAAATGGTCCTGGTATTTATTCAAAGACTCGCTGATTTCGCTAGCACTAGGAAAATGGCTACTGAACTCGATTTGTTTCTTTTCATCCTGGAAAATGTAATTTCCTTCTTCGTAGTTGTATTCATTGATATCTTCAAGCCCCCAATCGTCATCAAACTCCACCTCTTTGGGGGGTGCTGGTTTTGCCTTGGGCTTGGGGCCTGGTTTGCCCTTGGGGCCTGGTTTGACCTTGGGTTTGGGGCCTGGTTTGCCCTTGGGCTTGGGGCCCGGTTTGCCCTTGGGTTTAGGCCCCGGTTTCTTTCTTTTCTTGGGTGGCTCTTCAACCTCGTCTTCCTCTTCTGGCTCCATCTCAAACTCTTCTGGTTCAGGCTCCTCTTCGATATATTCTGGGGGGCCCTTGGACCCCCATCGAACAAATTCTGCCATATCCGGAGGATTCTGACATAACTCATAGGCTTCCTTTAATAAACCTTCCTTTTTGGTTTTGATTCCCTTGGCCACCATCTTGCTCAAGGACTCGTCGATTTGTTCTTTGCTAAGCGGCTTCAAATCACCAAGTTTTATCCAAATATAAGTATCATCACTGAAAAATCTAACCGCAATATTCTTGGACTTGGTTTTACTTTTCAAAACATTTTCGGGTAAGATACCTTCATCAAGCACCATGGCAGGCCATGCCGGATACCCTTTGACCTTGGCCAATACTATACTAGTAGGATCCATTAAGAAGGTGTGTTGACGTTGTTGGAGTTGTTGTTGAAAATTGCGCATTGAAATTTATATATTAAAATACATTTTGCCAAATAACTACTTTATCACTAGAGGTTCCAATTATTTGGTTACCATACTTATTAAACTTTACTTCACTTACTACGTCTACCAAATTGTTTGCTAGCGAGTCGACGTAACCTTCTTGATAATTCCAGACGTCGATTTTTGATTGATTCCCGGCAATTATCCAATGATTACCATTATAATCAATCAATTGAGCGTTATACTTATAATTTCTTTTAAAGGTACTAATTGAAAAAGAATCAATTACTAAGTCACCATTTTCAAAGAAAAGTAAATCTTTTTGTAATGTGTCGTTATAATAATTGGACATAATTGATCCTTTATTATACTCATCGATTATTTGATTACTATTACGTAAATCAATTTGATAAAAACAACCATCGGAATTAGATATTCCAATCACGTCTTGGTCTTTATAATTAATATCATTGATTATATCCTTACCTATATTCATCGAATAGAAGCTTTTCGATACTCTAGAATCATAAAAATATAATCGATGATTGTATCCTCCACAACACCATAATCGGTCATTTAATTTAGCACAACTAGTTAAATTATCTTTACTCTTTGCATAACCAAGTTTTTTCTTCTGTTTTACCAAGTCCCAATTAATTAGTTGTCCATCACTACTCACTGAAATCAAATTATCTTTGAAATAATCAATCCCATTAATTGATCCATTATGTTCTTTGGGTAAATTCAAGAGATCATCATCGGTATGAAGCTTGATTATTGAATCAGTACCTCCAGTGACAAATATCGAAGTTGGTTCAATCAAACATAATGAATTAATCGTATTAAACTCATGACCAACATATACTTTTGAAGTTATTTTCGTGTTGAGTATCATAATCCCTCGACAAACAAACGAATAAGTAAATTGTAAATAAATAATCTTTAACGCGAATACAATTCATCAATTCAACTTAACAATCCATCTCAGGGCTACTTTAAGGTATGCTTGGCGATTTCCAGTTGAAAAGAGTAGTTTATACTTTAGTAGCTTTAGTCTTAGTCTTAGGCTATTAGTATAGCCTGTTTTTGTTTTTAGCCCTAATGGTCGTGCAACCTATACATTTTGTTTTTTTGCAATCATCAAGAGGATTGACTGATTACTTTATTTGGTATCAGTCAACAGGCGTGTTGTGCATAGGAGTTGGAGGTTTTGGAATAAGTGGGTGGTTGGATAGGTAGGTGGCAAGGTGGCAAGGTGGTCGAATAGGTAGGTGGGTAGATGGGTGTTGCTCAATGAAAATTTCAAACCTCATTGTAGTTATTGTTTAATAAAGGAACATTCATACTAATTTGTGCCCCTTTATTTATTTATCTTATTGCCATTTGGATTGATTAGGAATACATCATACTACCAATGAACCTTTGGGCTCATATGTCGATTATATTGACGATTCTGTCTTAGCGAGGTTATAAATATTCAACTCCTTCTTCATCAGGTTTTTCTTCTTCAGTTTGTAGAATCCATCTCCACACCCACCTATATTCATTCGCTATGTTGTCTAAAGTATTCATTGGTGCCTTAATGGCCGTTTCTTCAGTCCAAGGTTTTATTTCTAATATTCCTGATGTTAATAAATTAGGTAATTCTCAAGGTAAAACCGTTGGTTCCATGAAAACTCCAAGTGACTTATTATACTCTGGTGATCATGTTTGTGATAAATTCTCTTCCACCATTCAACTGAGTAACAACACTAATGATTTCCCTATTTCTTTTAATTTGTATGTTGCCGCAAATGAAGATGCTCCAAATGATAATTACACCATTGACTTATATTTCAAGAACCCAAACCATCGTTCTTTAAATGATTTTGCTATTTTGAACGCCAGTGATTCTGAAAGCGTTTTGGAACAATATAATCCAATTTTAATTTCAAAACAACCTGGCTTTGGTGTTGAATTTAAATTCAATTTCGAAAAGGGTAAATTATGTCAATTCTTATACCAATTCACCGTCATGTACCAATTAGAAAAACAAGATGACCACTCTAAAACTTCCGACAAAATCTTCTTGGTTGGTTCTTGTCAAGAAAACAAAGCTTATCATCCTGATGCTTACAACGATTTAATTGGTCAAGGTTTCAGATGTGTTGAATACAACAGTGGTTATAAATACGATGGTGGTAAAGATTGGTGTTCTAAATTCTACCAGGCTTCCCAATGTTGTGACTCTTTCCAAAATGATGAATTGGCTTCCAGAGACTCTTGTCCTGCTTCTTCTTCTGGTTATACTTCTTTGGGTCAACCAACCTCCTCTGTCTTTAGCAACCCATCAACCTTAAGTACCGTTACCACCACCGCCGAATCCCACCAACCAACCATCTTAACCTAAGTTTAAGTAGCTCCCTAAATAGTTATACCCCCAACTAACTGAATATACCCTTTCTCTTATTGAATTGTAATTGTAGAGCAAACCACCCGTACATACACGGAATGTACGGGTGTCTAGTAACCACCCCCATGGGCTTTTCCCCCCACAAATGCAACCCTGCCTAATTAAACGACATCTCCCTAATTCAACTCCCAAAATTGTTCCATTATGGACCTAAAATAGCTGTAAAAAAGGGGTCCCATCCGATTTTTCCTACTTAACAGCTGATTGTATTTTCTAGTCGGGATCGGGATATCTTAGCATCCCTGAAAGCAAACAAGTAGAGTATATAAACCCATTGGGGTATTCGTTTAGAAAATATAGTTTATTTAGTATTGAATATTTAAAGAAAAAATGGGTGATTATTTAACTCCATCAGATTTACCTCAACCTAAGTTGAAAAGAACCAATACTGGGTTCACGCCTAATCAAATTATTGCTCTTGATGCTTCGATTCCAGAATCGGCCAAAAAATTATGGAATAAGTATAGTCAATTAGCACCTTTTGACTCGAGTTTGAAAAACAAACAGGATTTGAATCAAAAGGATACCGTTATCACTAATAATGAAAGATTCCAAGAATCGTTTGTTAATCATGTTGAAACTACTTTAGCCCGTAATATGTATAATTGCGATGATTTAGCAGCTTATCTTGCTAGTGCACAAACTATTAGAGATGGGTTATTGATTGATTGGTCAAATACCCAACAAAAGCAAACTATTCACGACGGTAAAAGAGTTTATTACTTATCTTTGGAATTCTTAATGGGTAAAGCAATGGATAATGCATTGATTAATTTGAAAACCAGAGATCGTACTCGGGATAATTTAGATTTGTTGGGGTTTAATTTAGAAGATGTATTATCAAAAGAACCCGATGCCGGGTTGGGTAATGGTGGCTTAGGTAGATTGGCTGCTTGTTATGTCGATAGTTTAAGTTCGAAGAATTATAGTGGATGGGGTTATGGATTAAACTATCAATACGGGATTTTTAAACAAAAAATTGTCGATGGTTATCAAGTTGAAGTACCAGATTATTGGTTAAAATTTTCAAATCCATGGGAAATCGTACGTCACGAAATTCAGATTCCAGTTGATTTCTATGGATATGTTCATGAAGAATATGATTCAAACTTACAAAAAAATGTTAAAACTTGGCATGGTGGTCAAAGAGTTTTGGCAATTGCTGTTGATTTCCCAATTCCTGGTTATAATACTACTAATACCAATAATTTAAGATTATGGAATGCTAAGCCAACGCATGAATTTGATTTTACTAAATTCAATTCTGGTGATTATGTTCTGTCAGTGGCTCAACAACAAGAAGCTGAATCGATTACTTCAGTCTTATATCCAAATGATAATTTTTATAAAGGTAAAGAATTAAGATTAAAACAACAATATTTTTGGGTTGCTGCTTCATTACATGATATTATTCGTCGTTTTAAGAAAAATCATAAAACAAATTGGAAAATTTTACCAGATAAAATTGCCATTCAATTAAATGATACTCATCCAACTTTGGCTGTTGTTGAATTACAAAGAATTTTGGTAGATTTAGAAGGTTTAGACTGGGATTTTGCTTGGTCAATTGTTACTAGAGTTTTCGCTTATACTAATCATACAGTTATGGCTGAAGCTTTAGAAAAATGGCCAGTAGAATTATTAGGTAGATTATTACCTAGACATTTAGAAATCATTTATGATATTAATTACTATTTCTTAAAAGATGTTGAACATCGTTTTCCTAATGATCGCGATTTATTAACTAGAGTTTCCATTGTGGAAGAAGGTGATCCAAAATCCATTAGAATGGCTTATTTGGCCATTATCGGATCTCATAAAGTTAATGGTGTTGCGGAATTGCACTCTGAATTATTAAAATCTACTTTATTCAAAGATTTCGTTACCATTTTTGGTTCTGATAAATTTACCAACGTTACTAATGGGGTTACTCCAAGAAGATGGTTAAGACAAGCAAACCCTGAATTAGCTAAGTTAATTAGTGAACAATTAAATGATCCAAATTATGACTATTTAACTAATTTAGGTAATTTGAAAAAATTAGAACATTTTATTAATGATGATAAATTTTTAACCAAATGGGATAACATTAAATTTAATAATAAAGTTAGATTAGCTAATTTAATCAAACAAGAAACTGGTATTGAAGTTGATCCAACTGTTTTATTTGATATCCAGGTTAAAAGAATCCATGAATATAAAAGACAACAATTGAACATTTTTGCAGTTATTTATCGTTATTTACATATTAAAGAATTGTTAAGTCAAGGTCATTCAATTGATGATATTAAAAAGAATTATTATGTGTCAAAATTATCTGTAATTGGTGGTAAAGCTGCTCCTGGTTATTATATGGCTAAAACTATTATTCATCTCGTTAATGAAGTTTCAAGAGTTATTAATAGTGATGATTCAATTGATAATTTATTGAAAGTTGTCTTTATTCCAGATTATAATGTTTCAAAAGCTGAAATCATTTGTCCAGCTTCGGACTTGTCAAATCATATTAGTACTGCTGGTACCGAAGGTTCAGGTACCTCTAACATGAAATTTGCTTTAAATGGTGGGCTTATCATTGGTACTGTTGATGGTGCTAATGTAGAAATAACTAGAGAAATTGGTGAAGATAACATTTTCCTTTTTGGTAACTTGGCTGAATCAGTTGAAGAAATTAGACATAAGCATTACTATGAAGGTGTATCAATTCCTCAAACTTTGGCTAAGGTTTTCGGTGCCATTGAATCGGGTCAATTCGGTAATCCAGATGGTTATAGACCTTTGATTGAAAGTATTAGAAATCATGGGGATTACTATTTGGTTAGTGATGATTTTGATTTATTCTTAGAAGCCCACCAAAAGTTAGAACAAGTCTATGGTCATCACGGTGGTGATGCCTCTGATAAAGACCACTTACATAGATGGGTTAAAAAGTCAGTCTTGTCTGTTGCTAATATGGGTTTCTTTAGTTCTGATAGATGTATTGATGACTACGCTGAAAATATCTGGGAGGTTGAGCCTCTCAACCAATAGACTTTAGATCTACTCTCACTACATTTATATTTCAATTCCTTGCAATGTTTCAATTTCTATGTTCTTTTATATTATCTTTATCCTTGTAATGTTGTAGTGGTATCTTTGTAACTGTAATGTTGCAGCCAAAAATTAAAGTCACACCCGTACATCCTTCCGGGGTGGGAAAACCAAATCGTCCCTTAAAAAAAAATTCGAAACACGGAAGAAAACGAGTTAAAAATAACACTTTTTGACGGTTTTTCACAAAAGATACTTACATTAGACTAGTGTTCCTAAATTAGAATACTCAGGCTTTGAGATATCTGAGGGAAGTATCTTAATAACTCATTTTTTTTGCTTTTAGCTGGGTTTTTCTGCGTCGTTTTGGACCCAAGCGAGTGATTTCCCTTTCAAAGAGAAGATAATTGAAAACGGAGGAGTTTTCACATCCATCAGATACTCTGATAAGTTATTAGAGGATTGGGAAGTTTCCTTTCATAAAAGCAAGAATGATTTTAAAAATATTCATCTTATTGCTCATCCACACCTTGAGTATTTTAGCCAATCCTTTAAAGAATTCAGGTTCCTCGGATAAAGCTAAAGACTTTTTGGTGACAGAATTACCAGGTCTTTATCAAAATGTTCCAAAAGATGATATACCCACCATGTTTGCTGGCCAGTTGGAACTTTTTCTGGAGAATAATACTAATTATTTTTTTTGGAAATTTAGCGATCGTGAAAAGATTCCAGAAGCTAAGAAAAGAACTATTTTTTGGCTCAATGGAGGTCCTGGATGTAGCTCAATGGATGGAGCATTAATGGAGTCGGGTCCTTTTAGAATAGATAGACATGGGGAAGTTAAGTTACTAGATGGATCATGGCATAAAGCTGGTGATATGGTATTCGTGGATCAACCAGCAGGTACTGGTTTTAGTTTCACTGATGTGTTTCGTCATGATTTAGATCAGATTTCATTAGATTTCCTTAGATTTCTCGATAAATACTTTGAATTATTCCCAGAAGATAGACAAAACGAAATTTTTTTCGCTGGTGAAAGTTACGCTGGTCAATACATTCCTTATATTGCAGATGGTATATTGAAATATAATAAAGCTCATAACGATAAGCCTTATAACATCAAAGGTTTATTAATAGGTAATGGTTGGATATCTCCAAATGAACAAAGTTTATCTTACTTACCTTATTCTGTTCAAGCAGGTATTATTAAAACCGATAATTCAATGTGGTCATCAATTTTATCACAACATCAAAAATGTCAAAAAATCGTCGATGAAATTGATTCTTTGACTGATAATCAAGTTCATTTGGTTGAGGTTGATTCAAGTGTATGTGAAGAAATTTTAAATATGATTTTAAGTGCAACTCGGGATCGTGACCATCGTTCTCAAGAATGTTTTAATATGTATGATTATACTTTAAAAGATACTTTTCCCTCGTGTGGTATGAATTGGCCCCCAGATTTAAATCATGTTAATCCATTTTTAAATAACGAACAAGTTCAAAATGATTTAAACTTAAAGAAATCAAAACAATGGAAAGAATGTTCTGGTAAAGTTGGCCATTATTTCAATGCTCATCATTCTTTACCATCTATACATCTTTTCCCAAATCTTTTAAAAGAATTAAATGTAATGTTATTCCATGGTAATCGTGACATCATTTGCAATTATATGGGTGCAGAAAGTATGATTAAAAAATTAACTTGGAATGGTGAGACTGGATTTGGCGAAGAAAGTGAAAAGCAAACAATTGATTGGATTCATCATGGTAAAAACTCGGGTTATATTAAAACCGCTCGTAATTTGACTTTTGTTAATGTTTTCGATTCATCCCACATGGTTCCTTTTGATATTCCTGAAACATCAAGGGCCTTGATTGATCTAATTACCGGCAATTACGACGTTGTTGATGAAAAGTCACAGGATGATTTGGTTAAACGTTCTTTCGTTACTTATCCCTTGGGTGAAAGACAAGCTAAGTTACAATCCAAACCAGAAGATAAACCAGCAACCACATCAACTTCAGTTGTATCTTCTACGCCTTCATCTACTACTTCAACTACTCCTATTTCTAGTTCTTCTAATAGTTCGGTTGCATCCGATCAAGCAGATCAAACAAAAGAATCACATACAACTAGTCGTGTTACTAGACTCATCCAATTACTGGTGATTGTTGTTTTAATTTGGGGCATGTGTGTTATGTACAACTCTTATCGCTCTCGTCCCTCATCGATTATCAAAACCAGACCTTCTTCTGGTAGAAAGAAGAATGTGCAATGGGCCGACCAACTCAGGCAATTCCAAGAAGAAGACGATTTCCCTCTCCATGATAATGAAAATAGAGGGTTTTTATCCAAAGCCTTTAGTAAATTTAAGGGAAACTCTAAAGATGGACGCGGTAGTTATGCACCAGCTGGGACATCCGAAGATATTGAACTAGGCGAAAACATGTCTCGAAAAGACGAGGATGCCGCTTCTGAGGGAAGAGAAGTTGATGATTTCATAATTGAAAGTGAAGATGAAGACGATCGTCACATAAGCCTGTCGCAAGATCGTTCAACATAATTATTTATTCGTTCAAATATTGTCATATATAAAAAAAAAATAAAAAAAGACACAGAAAAAGAATTAAAAATCGAAAAAAAAAAAAAAAGGAAGGTAATCCTAATCAGAAAAGCTCTACATAGACCTGTTATGAGAATACGTTGTATGATAGTTTTATCTTTTATAAATTTGTAGGATGATCAAATTAGCAGTAATTTAATGTTGCAGAAGAAAAAGCGTGTAGTGCACGAAAGAATTGAAAAAAAAAATCAAGCGAACTGAAAAAAAATTCCATCAACTTAATTCCAATATCAATTTCGATATCAGGTTGAGATATTGCATAATAATAAGTAAGGCTCCTCTTTGGCAGAAACACAGGTTACTTGAGTGGAGAGCTTGCGTTTTTATTGAGTATTATTTTGTTCGAAAGGAGTAGCAAAAGGTCAAGCTGAATCTGAAGTGATCTCAAGATGATTAAACAAACCGTTCGTAATTTAGCCACCCAAGCTGCCGGCTTCAAGATAGCACAACCACCAAAGTTCACATTGGCATCGTTACGTACCTTCCCATCTTTAGAACCACACACATTTGTTCCCGTTCCAGCCAAATTTTTAGATCATCCGTTAAGAAGAGACTTTTTATGGAGTGCAGTTGTATTTGAAGCTGACCGTGCAAGAGTGGGATCAGGTAATGTTATAACCAAAGATGATAAATTATATTCCAATAGAAAATTACGTCAACAAAAAGGATCTGGTAGAGCCAGAGTTGGGGATGCTAATTCTCCAAGTAGGGACAATCCAATTAAAGCTCATGGTATCAAAGCAGGCCATGACTGGTCTACTAAATTACCAAGAAAGGTTTACCACAAGGCATTTCAAACTGCATTATCCGAGCAATACCGTCAAGGGAAGTTATTTATAATAGGTGAAAGTGAAGAGTTAAATAAAGAACAAGCTAGTGAGACTGATAAGACCATTCTTGACTTTGATTACGATTACGAATATGCCACTGAAAAATTTGTTGAAACACATGACTTAAACAAGTTACAATTACTTTTCATTACCGATAACCAAAGAATTAACTTGGTTAAATCTACAGAATTAATCAGTGAAAAGGCCGACGTCTTAGTAAAAGAAGCCGTTGAAGTCAGGGATATCTTGAAAGCTAACAGAGTGTACATCGAAGCTCCTGCTTTGCAATGGTTTATCAGTAAATATGGTACTGAATAAATTTATGAAACATGACTCCAGCATTCCAGTATATAATTCTCGTGTATATAGTATTAATCAAGACTTAAATTAAGTACTAGCCGTGTACAAACTTGGACTCTTACAAATGCATTTGCAACAATTGTAATTGCAACAAATGTAATTGCAACAATTGTAATTGCAACAAATGTAATTGCAACAAATGTAATTGCAACAAATGTAATTGCAAATACCTCTTTGCAAACAAGGTCTTTATACTGCAAATATAAAACACCCGTACCCTTTTTTCAATGAGGACGAATTTGCCAAAAACGAAAAAACGCAGAAAAAAATCAAAATCGGTAGGATGTCGAGCACGTGACTGTTGTTAGGGCTTATACCCTCGCACTCGTCCTGCATACACCGTAGAGAGCGCTTTGATATTTGTGCTTACATAATCGAGGAGAAAGCTCTGCTCGTTTTTTCCCTAACAAAACGCTGAGCGAGAAAAATGTGAGGAAAAAAATTGTGAAAAAAAAAACTAGGAGGGAAAAAAACTACCTATTGAAAAACTTGATAATAGTTTGTTTTAAAGGTTCCGTAATACCACAGCATCAACAAGAATCAGCCAATATGTCCTTAGTTGTCCAAGAAGAAGGTTCTTTCCAACACATTTTACGGTATGTCTTGATACCCATATTGAACAGGGCTAGTGGGAAAGCACGGTGAAGTGAAAGATTGATGAATGATGAGGTTGAAAAAAAATTTTGAAGACCGTTCCTTGAAATACGTGATATAAGAGAAAGAGATTCATCGCCAAGTAGACTGTGTGATTCCTCACCAGGCAAAGAAAGGGGCGTGAATGATTAATGGCTGAAAGCCAAAACAAGTAATCAGTCAAGATTGAATCTACTTGAGTAAATATCTGTGCATAATCTAAGTTGAGAAGACCAGTGTGAATTCATCAGAATATCACTCGAACGCATTCCCAGTCCGTTAATTTTGACATTTATACTAACATATATTCTAGTTTGTTGAATACCAACATCGATGGTAGAATTAAAATTATGTACGCTTTAACCAAAATTAGAGGTGTCGGTCGTCGTTACTCTAACTTGGTTTGTAAAAAAGCTGATGTTGATTTACAAAAAAGAGCCGGTGAATTAACCCAAGAAGAATTAGAAAGAATTGTTACCATCATGCAAAACCCAACCAACTATAAAATCCCAGCTTGGTTCTTAAACAGACAAAAAGATCAAGTTGACGGTAAAGATTACCATGTCTTAGCTAACAACTTAGAATCCAAATTAAGAGATGACTTGGAAAGATTGAAGAAAATCAGATCTCACCGTGGTATTAGACACTTCTGGGGTCTTAAAGTTAGAGGTCAACACACCAAAACCACCTCTCGTGGTCGTTAAACAATTAAAGTTGATTTTATCTTTATATAATATAATTTTGTAAAATTTACTTTTCTTATCTTTTTATTAAACAAAAACAAACTTGATAATATAATGTTTATACTTTAATTTTATTGTCTTGTATATATACGTCTATGTAAATTTACTTTTTCAAACCCAATGCTTCAAAATTTGGTTTAACATCTTTAATATTTGAAACGTATTGAGGCATATCGGTTTCTATACTTTTAATAACGGCATCGATGCATAATAATGCTGACATTCCTTCTTCAGCAGTACAAAAGGGATCTGATTTATCTCTGATAACGTCAATAAAATGATTTAATTGTAAATCAAACGGTAACTGTGAATATAATTTATCTTTACGATTATCAATTAAGGATTCTTTGGTAACTCGAGTATTCCAACCTTTGATTTCTGGTTGGTGATATAAAGAAAAATCAGGTATAGATAAAGTTCCATTAGAACCGAAAACTCGATAAAAACCTTCTAAATCATGATGGAAAGGTATAATTGGGTTTTCTCCGGTACCCGATTCAAAATTAAATGGGGAAATAACATTATCTGAACAAATAAAAGTTCCAGTTATTCCATTTTCAAATTTTAAAGTTAAACATGCACCTTCATCAACATTAGGATACTCTAATCGTTGTTTAGTCAATAACTCAGCGTAGACTTTTACTATTGGACCAAATAAGTATTGTAATAAATCAATATCATGAACTAAGTTGATCAAGAGTACTCCTCCTCCGGTTTTACTATCAGTTCTCCAAGGAGATGCTTCGAAATAATTACTTGGTTTTTTCAAAGCCCAAGTACCTTGAATAGCTATTGGAGTTCCTACTTTGGGTAACTGTTTCTTGGTCTCCACAATGAATGGATTGAATCGACGATGATGTCCAACCAATAATTTAATATTGTGTTGTTCACAATAGACTTTCAATGCTTGTGATTCTTCAACTTGAGAACTTAATGGTTTTTCAACCAATAAATGAATCCCGTGGGATGCTAACTCTGCAGCAATACGAACGTGAGTATGATTCGGAGTACACACTATAGCACCATCGGGATATGGAATCTTATTATCATCGGCATACTGAATCATTGATGTAATTGATGTAAAATGTTCGGTCCCTAGTTTTTCAGCCACTGCTTTACGTTCTGGCATGGGATCAATGATTCCAAAAAGTTCAGTCTGCTCATTGGAGTGAACATGCTCAGCATGACGGGGCCCTATAAGACCAGCTCCTATAACCACAATATGGATTTTCTCTAAAGGTGTTTGGGCAATCATTTCTGCTGTTTGGGGTAGTAAAAAATGTGGAGTTCTCCGAGATGATGATTTTGTACGATAATCTTCTCTTGTTTCTGAACAACTAAAACATAAGCAAGCACCAAAGAGAGGTCAACCAGTTTCAAAAGAGTCCTTATATGTTAATACCTCTATACCTTATTCAACGAAACAAGCCTGGCTTTGCAGAAAAATTTTCACTGCCGGAACCGGTTATAGTCTTAAATTTTTTTTTTTTTTTTTTGCGGTGAGTCAAGGTTTTCTTTTTTTGCAGTTGTTTTCCAACTTGTATATTTAACTTCGATAGAGTTATATTATTTCAAATGAAAGATATACAGATGGCTGCTGTGAAGCATGGAACCATCCCCTGGTGGTAAAGTATTTGTTTAAGGTCCCAAGCCAGCTTAGTATTCAGAATCGCTTCACGGGTCGAGTCTATACAAAGGTGAACATACTTTTGCAGCACTAATCCTAAGCACCCAAAACCTAGTCTACCAGCTAGAAGTCAAGCATCCGTTTTCGGATTCAGTTTTGATAATGCTTATCTGCTTAGACAACTGTCTTTTCGCTGCATTTTTTCGCTGATTTTTTTGCAGCAAATTGGGCCACCGTACAAGAACCAAAGATGCTAGCAGTTTTACTGCTTTTTGTGAAAACGATTTATGAAGCAAGACACCTATGGGTTCTTTGCTGTAGGGTTTTCTCTAATGAATTAATACGACTGAGTTGGAAACTCGGGGCATCTGGCAACCATCTGGTAACCCCTCGGTGCTATTTTGAAGCGAGAATCGCCACGTAGTAGTCTCCTTCTAAGCGAGCTGCCTAAGATCAGCTGTCATTGCTTCAGTTAGACCTTTCTTATGGTCAAACATTTGAAGCTTTCAAGTATTATGGGGAAGATACTGCACATAATAATAAAAAAACGATTTTTTTTGTTTTATGATGTTTGGGTCTTTTAAAAGGGAATTGAAGCTTTCGGTACTAACTACGACAGAATAAACACCATTGACTGGCTATAAGATGTCATTTGAGATCAACTGGGATAACTTGGTATCAGACAATGCAATTAACGAGTCGATCAAAGAATTTCTCGATTCCCAATTCCAAAATCTTTCACTACCGTCCTATATAGCTGATTTGTCGGTGACGAACTTCACCCTAGGCAATACACCTCCAGATATCACCATACGACATATAAGTGATCCCTTTGATGAATTTTATGAAAATGAGGATGAAGAGGATCATCTGCTAGGCAAAAATGGTAACGAATCTCCTCAAAGCATGGGGAACAATCTAGAACGGGATCAGCCCATGTCCAAAAAATCATCAACAAATTTTGAGTTGAGTGATGATACTAACGATGATATGAGTAGCAGTTCTGGGGATTCGGAGGGTGATTATTCAGATGACGGGTTGGCCAATACCACAACTCTTAATGGAGCAGATGCAATCCCTCCTGAAGTGCCGGTGGCACCTACGTTGAATCGTTCCAGGATGGCACTGGATTCAATTTTTCAAGTTCATAACAGCTTTGGGCATTTACATAACTATAATATGAATAACGTTGGTTTGGGTAGTCTTAATAATGTATCAACCCATGTTGGTACTGATACACCAACAAACATTTTCAGTCAAAATCCTTATAATAATTTACGGGCAAATAATACTAGTGCTAATAAAAATAATTCGGGGCCTTATAAATTATTGAATACGACTAAGAAATCGCCAGTGAAGGATGATAATGACATTCAGTTCATTGTGGAAATAGATTACCATGGAGATTTACAAATGGAAGTAACGGTTAACTTATTAGTCAATTATCCCAGTTCGAACTTTATAACATTACCTATTAAGCTTCATATAAGCGATTTGGTGATTCATTCTATTGCTGCAATTGCATATTTAAAGCATTCGGTTTTCTTTTCCTTCCTTTGTGATATAAATGAAAATAATTCTGACTATTTCTCCTCAAGCCATCGCAATTCCGCAACTTTATCCCATCAACATTCTGAGCTAAATGTTCCTACCGGGGGAAATTTCGTTGATTATGTAACTGGTCCTTTGAATAGGGAGAGAATTGATATAATTAAGAAGGTCCACATCGAATCGGCAATTGGTGAACTTGAAAATAATGTTTTACGAAATGTCGGTAAAGTGGAACGGTTTTTGGTTGACCAATTGAGAAGTATTATTCGTGATGAGATTGCATGGCCAGGTTGGGTTTGTTTTGATCTAAATGATGATGATACTGACGATGATGAAAATGAATATGATGATCAAAGTGATGACACTAAAGTATAATTTGTAAAACCCCCCTCCATAAACTATTTAAAAATTTGGCTGTTTAATTTTACTTATCTCTCAATGTATATATTGCTCTATACTTCACATTTGGTTTATTTTGTGGTAGCGGACTTGTCACGAAATTAAAACACGCTGTTAGGTATTAGCTTGTAGTCTAAATAAATTTCGGACCTTTAATCATTGTCCTGCTTTTAAATTTAGACATTTTTTGATAATTTCTCAAAATTTTTACAATTTGTTACTGAATAGTAAATTTAAGTAAGGAACCACCACTCCAAAAAGAATAAAGAAAGAATGGAGGGTAAGCTTCTGATAGAACTACTTCAACTAGCAAGTTTCGTTTTAGTAAACTTTATAGATTTTATTTTTTACAAGCTAACAAGTTGCAAAAAACAAAAGGAAGATTTCCGCATCTAACTAAATTTAAGCTTAATTGTCCATACAGTAACTCATATATTTAAAGCTTCAAAACAGTTACAGTTTCCTATATTACTTTAGATATGTACAGTATTTTTATATTTAGGGTTAGACTTAATCGTTGTTATAGTTCAGATTATTTGATGAAGGGAGTGAAAGTGAAAATCGTGAAAATGCCCCAAACTTTCTTGACACGAGGTAAGGAAACATCCTCTTTATTTCAAAAGAAATCACTCAAGTTGAAAATATCACATTGAGCACATAATTGTGCCCGTTGTATGTATTTGCTCTTTCATTTTTCAATTTTTTTTCTTCAATTTTTCATCTTCACTATCGTAATTATATACTAATACGACTTGATGGTGTTTATTTGCTTAAAAGTTCCCCATATATATTTTCCAGTATGCATTTATCTGTTTGATATAGCTTAATATGGCTAGAAGCAACACCCAAAACCTCTCAAACATTATGAGAGAAGTTTTTGATATGTAATTGAAGCTAGTAGGTGAACGGCTTAGAAAGACTACTTGATCACAGAGATTAAGAAGAAACTTACACATCCAAGTAATGAAATGAGAGTCATCGGAACTTTGTATTGGGGGCAATTTATTTATAGAATTTTGAAGTGAAACTGCAAGAGATTCTGGTTTACAGCTTAATTTTTTCAAAAATGTTATTTTCTTGAGACAGAACATCTATATTCGACACCAGTATTCATGAAATGAGAGAAAGGTCCAAAACAAATGTGTATTTGAAGGCTCTCTAATTACTCTAAGTTTTTAATATTAATAAATACTTTTGTAACTCAAATACATATTTTCTAAAAATTTTTGAATAGAGCTCGTATGGCGCAGTGGTAGCGCAGTAGATTGCAAATCTATTGGTCCTTAGTTCGAACCTGAGTGCGAGCTTTATTTTTTTTTTTGCATTTTACTTCTGTTGTTTTAGCTGCAAAAAGTGTCTCGTCTGTCTACCAAATACTCGCAATAATGTTTTCGAATGCAATTAATCTAGAAACAATATATATTTGTATTTACAGATCAACATTACATAAGAGTGGTACGGCCACCTATGTCGTTACTTGCGGAGCCATCTGGCATGTTACCATCTCTTCCTGAAACAAACTGACCATAAATTCTTTCAAGCTTTTGTTTTTCAGTAACAGAAATAGAAGGTTTTGTTTCTTTAAGGGATTCCAAAAAATCTGCGTGGCAGATACGAACAATCAGGGAGGTATCATTAGAGTTACTTGAATCTGAAGCTTTATGGCCGCCATTGTTAGTTTGATCTCCTGCAAAAACTTGTTCGATTTGTTGAACCATTTTCACTCTATCGGCAGGTCTTAATTTCGTATTCTTGAATTTTTCAGGATTCACTTGGAAAAACTCATATGTTTTCTTATCACTACTATTATTTTCACCTTTCAAAGCGTGTTTCTCGTCATTCAATAATTTAACATGAACTGCTTTTAAATATGCATTATACCCTAAACCTTGCATATCTGCACCACTGAATCCACTTGTATTTTTAGCGATTTCTTCTAAATTAACATCATCATTCAAGCTCATTTTGTCTGTGATAGTCTTGAGTATATCAAATCTATCTTCGTAATTTGGCATATCACAAATCACACTTTTATCTAATCTACCGGGTCTCAAAAGGGCAGAATCAATCAAATCGGGCCTACTCGTGGCGGCCAATACATACACACCATCTAGACCTTCAGCACCATCCATTTGAGTTAACATTTGATTGACAACTCTATCAGTAACCCCAGTAGAATCGTGCCCTCTTTTTGGCGCAATAGAATCGAATTCATCAAAAAACAAGATACAAGGTTTAGCAGATTGAGCTCTTTCAAATAAATCTCTGACCGATTGTTCTGAAGCACCGATATATTTATTTAAAATTTCAGGACCTTTGATAGAAATGAAATTGAGACCACACTGACCAGCAATAGCACTCGCAAGTAAAGTTTTCCCACAACCAGGGTAGCCATAGAGTAAAATACCAGATCTTAACCTTAAAGGACAATTAGCAAAAATTGGTGCGTATTTTGTTGGCCATTCTAATGTTTCCAACATCATATTTTTAGCTTCTTTTAGCCCCCCAATATCAGTCCAATTAATTGAGGATTTTTGTAGTTTGACCCCACGTAAATTAGAAGGTGTATAACCTTCGAAAGCTTTTTCAAAAATGTTTTTAGTAATTGATTTTATGGATTCCGATCCCTTTTCTGCAGCTGAATTAAAAATACTTTCGTGATACATTCTTTCGCATAAGATCTTTAAATCATTTGGTAAATAACCTTCAGTTTCTGAGACCATATCCATAATGTCGAAATCAATGGTGCAGCCTAGAGACTTTTGTATATAAGTGTTTAAGATTTCAGCTCTAGTTCCTTTATCTGGAGCACGAAGATGATGGAAATTTTCTACTAAATGGGATTGAAACAAGAATGCATTAAATGATTCTTTTGATATTCCAGAAACAATGATTGAAACATTACTGTTATTTTGACTCTGAATCCTCAGTAATTGTGAAATAAAAAACTCAGTTAATTGTTTTGAATTTGTTGAATCAGCATGTTCAACCTCGGCGGACAAAATTTTATCTAGGTTATCTAAGATAAGTAAAGAAGGTTTATGCCATGAGCATTCTTGAAACCATTTTGTAAAGTGATTTGAAGACAACATATTGAAGTTTTCATTCATTATTGATTCACAGGAGACAAACTTGGTATGATATCCATATTTAGAATTCAATTCTTTACCAATTATACGTAAAAGAAGAGATTTACCACTCCCCAGGTTTCCATGGACCAAAGTACCGGAATTTCTAAAAGTACTTATCGACTGAACAATTTCGTTGATTATAGTATCCATACCAATGGCAGATTCGATATCATCATCAGAATTTGACTGGCTTTCTTCTATAAATGAGGCATTTCTCAAAAGATCTTCCCCAACTTCAAATTTGGGAGGCTTTTTATTCTCGAGATCATAAGGCTTTATCCAAGCATTGACGTCGTCTGATCTTTTAAATTTTAAAAGCCCTCCATTTGGTAACAAATGAGGAATTATTGGAAGTTTGATATAATTTGTTATTGGAGACAGTGACATTGGAGAGACCTTATTATATAAGAAATCTGATAATTGCTGAGCTAGCTTAGTTTCTTGATCTTTCTTTTCCGACGAATTTAAACTAATTTGATTGTTTTTCTTTGTTTGAGTGATATACGGATGCACAATGAGAGTTGAAGGTCTTTTAGGAACACTTTTAACGGCAGGCTTTAACAATGCCATATAACCTGTTTTGAATTCAGTATTCAAAGCAACTGCCAACTTATATGAAACACCAATGCTATTTGGAAGACAGTCTTTACAATCAATTATTTTTGCAACAACCCGCTTATTTTCCTTAATTGGAACAAACGATTTATCTTGATCATTCGACTGAGTTTGAGTCTGCGGCTGCGATTGAGTTTGCGATTGCGATTGAGATGGAGTCACAGTATTATACTTTTGATCAGGACCAGCAATAATAGATGTTGCAACATAATCCGCTTTTCTGAAAGCTGGGGGGAAATCATTCAAATTAGCATAAATCTCGTATCCATCAGGGTTAGAATTAGGAGGGAGACGATCAAATAAATTATGAGGTAAAGAGATTGCTCTTTTCAAAACAGATGGTAGATTTGAATAGTCTTCTGTCGATCTTTTACCACTTCTTGAGGATCTGTTGGATCTACCGGATACAGAGCTGGCTCTTTTCTCTCTTTCTTTGGGAGCAACAGCAATTTCTGCAAAAGGATTAATTTTGACGAATGAATGATCCTCAGAACCAATACTTGTTATGATCAACTTGGCGGATGAAGTTTTACTGGGGAAAACAACAATTTTCTGCCCCACAGCAGCTGCTCGTGCCTGAGAGATCAAGACGTTTTCCAAAACGCCCGCATGAAGCTCAACCAACTCCCAATCAGAAGGGGTTTCTGGCTCAAGGTAAATGGACGAACTTTCATGATTTTTGAGCTTGATATTGAAGGTGATTTCTTGTTTTTCATTTAAATTAAGCACCTGGGCGACAACAGGATCAAGATCAAAGTTTCTAGGAGAGCCTGAACCCATACCACTCCATCCAAGGTAATATTTTGATCCCGACAGTGTCACCACCTCTATTATCACATCCTGAGGTGCGATATTAGCATTGTTAAGAACCCCATTGGCAGATGATGGTAAATTGACAAAATTCGTCCGCAAGGACTTGTAGGCAACCGTGGCCCTGTGGTTCTCCATACTGACTAATGTATAAACGGCCTTGTAGAAAAAGAATAGTAATTGGAAGATTATCAACCTTTTTTCAATTATTTCTCCAGATTTTTAATTTGGTACCCGACGCAGCGCATCAAAGTCGATTTTTCGGTACGGGCCGAGGTTGCAACTATAGTGTCCCCCCTCCTCTTAATAACCGGACCAAATACTTACAAAACGAATATCATGAACCTATATACAATTATAATACTTGAATAACATACCGAGCTAGAGCTAGAAGTGAAATGACAGACAGAGAGGAATATACACAAGGCATAAGTGAAAACAGAAAAGAATGGAAGACTTTCTCCAGATAAAGCTATCGTTTACCTTGAACCTCTTGCCATTTTCTGAATTGTTCATCGTCAGCATTGGGATTTTGTTCTTGCCATTTTTTAACGTTTCTTTCATGGTTTGCTTCCTGGGCCTTTTTCATATTATCGAGTGATTTTCTTCTTATGGCTCGACATTGGTTGAAGCTGATGACATTACCAATGAAGAACCCACCCACACCCCAATTCATGGCTCTGCTGAAGTTCTTATGGATTAAAAAGGTTACCACCCCCAAAACACCCATGCTTTGGAACCCGGTGATCATCGCTTCTCTAAAACAAGGCATGTTTAAAAAAGTCGATGGTTTAAAGTCAGATAACTTGATTTGGGAAAAGGCAGCTGCATATGTGGCTTCAAGCTGTTTTTGTTTCATTGGCTCCTGGTCTTCAAACTTTGGAGGTAAGTCCTCCAAGTATTCAACGGGTTCTTCGTCCTTGTATTCCGATACACTAGAGACTTTTGAAGGTGCACTTCCGAACCAGCCCATCTTGCAATATACTCCAATCTATATTATGCTACTATTCTGTTTCTTTTAGCAGTAACTCTGAGCCAATACCGAACCTATAACCAATACTGGATCTATAACTATAGTTCTATCCTTCTGTCATCCTGCGACAGAGAAAAAAATTACTAGTGATTCGGTCTGTACACATACTATGTCTTAGTGATGTGCTTCTGCAAACACAATCGCTGGGGTTCGTTGGAGCATTCATATACGCTGTCCGGGAAGATTCGACCTGCGGCTATCGTGTTGATATTGGCTTTTACGTTTTGAATTGTGAAATTGCAAAAAAAAAATTAAGAAAGATAGAAAAAAATACTAGCGCAGCCAGGTTTCGATCCTGGGACATCAGGGTTATGAGCCCTGCGCGCTTCCACTGCGCCACTGCGCTGACTAGTGTAGTTAAAGATTCTCTGGTTTAACACATGAGTAGAGACAACTATGATGAGAAAAGTACGGTTTTTCACAAAAAGTTCTGTTTCTTCAACTCTGAGTGCCCCTTTCAATAGCAAGTCCTTTTGATTGACAATTTAATTCATAGAGTAACTGGGAACAATGGAATCGTGTAAGAATTGGCCAGTAATATCTCTTTTGCCCAAATAACCACCCGTACACCAAGACCAATTGAATTTTAAAATTTGACAAACATCAAAATTAACCTTAACTTCACGCTGCTTTTAACCATTGAATTCTAGCAAATACCACAATGGCGTCCCTAGATCTCATTCTTGACCCCCAGTTGAAGTACTGGGTGTTGTTACCGATTACCTTCGCAATGGTTTTGGTGGGGTTGTTGAGATCAAACGTTACACTTCTTCTCAAACCCCAACCAAAGTTAGAAGGCTACAAAGAATCCAGAGAAAAACAGTTCTTGAAACGTGCTGCTTGTTTTCGTTCCAATAACGGCCTTTTGACTAAAGACGAATTTGATATCAGACAACAATACTACCTTGAAAAACTTAATTCTACCGAGTTTTATGCAAAAATTGAATCGTCGAGTGCTACTCCAGCAAATCCATTTACTGATGGTGCAACAAATGATGCTTTAGTGAATATGGCCAAAGGGAGCTTGATGAACTACATCCCTCAAACCCTCATCATGGGTTGGGTCAATTATTTCTTTGCTGGATTTGTTATCATGAAATTACCTTTCCCTCTAACTGATGGGTTTAAATCCATGCTTCAAAATGGAGTCGCTACACCTGATTTGGATGTAAAATACGTTTCGGCAATCTCCTGGTATTTTGTCAACTTATTCGGTTTAAGACCTATTTACTCTTTACTAATGGGAGATTCTACTGCTGCTGATGAATTAATTTCTCAACAACAACAACAACAAGCATTGCCAAACATTGGTGGACCCGGTGGACCCAAAGTGGACAAGGTCTTCAAAGCAGAGGCAGAAAACATCCAGATATTGTCCCATGACTCTCTCTATGATGGCATTGTTGAACGAGTATTAAACCAGTATCCTATATAGTAGTGATAGTATATAACACGACATTTTACAATCTCTCACGACATTTTTATGTACGCATTTATAATCCATCGCAAAAAGTGAAAAAAAGATAAACCCTAGCACTCAGTTCTTTACTTATAGACAACTCCACGATTAAATATGGCACCTGCAACTGTTTTATGTATAGGTATGGCTGGGTCTGGTAAGACCACTTTCATGCAAAGATTGAATTCGCATTTACACTCAAAAAAGACTCCACCATATGTGATTAATTTAGATCCGGCAGTATTGAAAGTTCCATTTGGTGCAAATATAGATATAAGAGATTCAGTTAAGTATAAGAAAGTCATGGAAGAATATAATTTGGGTCCAAATGGTGCTATTGTGACATCATTGAACTTGTTTTCAACTAAGATTGATCAAGTTATCAAATTGGTTGAAAAAAGATCAGATAAGTTTGAGAATGTCATTATCGATACCCCTGGTCAAATTGAATGTTTCATTTGGTCTGCATCAGGAGCTATAATAACAGAAGCTTTCGCCTCCACCTTCCCAACAGTCATTGCTTATATAGTTGATACTCCAAGAAACTCTTCTCCAACAACGTTTATTTCCAATATGTTATATGCGTGCTCCATTCTATATAAGACCAAATTACCAATGATTATTGTATTTAACAAAACTGATGTCAAGAAAGCTGATTTTGCTAAAGAGTGGATGCAAGATTTTGAATCTTTCCAATCGGCATTAAGAGAAGATCAAGAATTAAACGGTGAAGATGGTATGTCTTCTGGTTATATGAGTTCGCTTGTAAATTCAATGTCTCTTATGTTGGAAGAATTTTATTCAAACTTAGATGTTGTTGGCTGTAGTGCTTTCAGTGGTGAAGGATTTGACGAATTTCTCGATGCGGTTGATAATAAAGTTGAAGAATATAACGAATATTATAAAGCTGAAAGAGAAAGAATATTAAAACAAAAAGAGGAAGATGAAAAGAAAAGAAAAGCCAAATCATTAAATTCTTTAATGAAGGACTTGGACATTAAAGATCAAAATAGAAAATCAGGTCAAGATTCTGAAGTTTTATCTGATTATGAAGAAGATGAGGAAGAAGATGAATATCAAGGAGAAGTCTTGAGAGACGAAGATGAAACTGATCGTGAATACACTTTCCCTGAAGATCGTAATTCAGAAGTAAGTGAAAATACAGATGCTGATTTACAAGCTCGTTATCAAGCTGCATTTGATGCTACTGCCAAAACAGCTTCTTCCAAAACAGCTGAAAACATTGCTGAATATATTAAACGTTAATTGAATTGTATTTTTATAATATATAAGTATGTACTTCTGAATGCATTAATGAAACCACCTATATTACTTCACCTAGATGTTAGTCGATTTAAAATTTGACAAAATCGAGTCAATATCATATTCAGTATTAGCGAATTCCTCTTTAAATATCAAATGGGGTTTATGTTTTGCTAAATGTAAAATAGTCTTACCGAATTCTGAGTTACACCAGGCAAACCAGGATCTAGTAAAATCACGGCCATTTCTTGAATTCACATGAACACTTTCGTGCATCAAACCCAACCCTGCAGTATTATGCATGATATAGTTAAGACTGTCTAAGATTTCATCATCATCATCAGTAGTTCTCATTCTCACTAATAATGACATTGGCCAGGCATTTTGAATACCGATATGAGGACCACCAATACCTTCAAATGAATATCCTTTCAAGAAATATGGGTTACCATCCTTCGACAATACCATTTTCCTGGTATTTTGATATACTTTATCATCCTTATCAAGGTATCCCATATCGGGTAAAGATAATAAGGAAGGTAAGTTTGCATCATCCATAAAAATATTACCTCCATAGCCGTCAATTTCATAAGCGTAGACTTTTCCAAAAACTGGATGATCAACAATTCCGTACTTCTCAATACCTTTGGTTATACCGTCAATGAATTCATCCGTATGAGCAAATAAGGGACTCAAGTCAATATGATAATCCAAGTCCTCATTTAAATAATTCTTTCTAGCTATTTTAAGTTCAGTTAGCATATGAGCATTTGCAGGAATGAAAAATTGTAATATACAAGTATCGTCAGAAGGTCTAAAAGCAGATCTTATCAAACCAGTTCCATAATTTACTGGATTACCTACTCCAGATAATGGCAAAGTTTCCGAACCAATATTGGTTTGTCTTTGGAATGAATAATAAAAATTGAGCGCTTGGCCAGTTTCTTCATCAAAAGTTGGTTGGGATTCTCTTTTTAAGACAATCATGATTCTTTCATAAGCCTTTAACCAAGAATTTGTTATAAAAGACTTATCTCCATTTGAGTTAAGGTAATATTCATTGCTCAAAGTTAAGAATGAAGCCAAGGAATCCAATTCATATTTACATTCGAAAACATGTCTCCAGTCTGGTCTTGGATAAACTTGATCAATGGCGGATTCACCTCTCTTAACCCCAGATCCAACAGGAGGATGGAATGCATTACAATATGGTGAATTGATTATATACTCAGCCTGTGTATGGATGGCTCCTTTCATCAATTCCTGCAAATGTTTATCATATTTGACAAATGGTTGGTATACCGATAATTGTCTAGCAGAATCACGAAGCCATTCTGCATGGATATCTCCGGTAACCACAAAAGTTTGAGGAGTTTTAGAATCTCCATCATTCAAGGTAGATTTATGCCATAAAATTGTTGTATCAAGAGTATTTGGAAGACAATTCTCGATCAATCTTGCTAAATCTAAATCCTTAGCCTTATTTTTCAAATCTTTAATCACGTATTCGACTGCTTCAGAGACAAATGTCCTACATTTAGGAGCTGGTCTCATAAAGGGAAATTTGAACTTACCTTTCGAGAAAGGGGCATGCTTTTCTTGAGAATAATCAACATAATTAGGGCATTTTCGAGTTTCTTTATCCAATTTAGCTAAAAATTTAGGTGTAATCTCATCGTACAGGTCAGTATCCTGTAAATTTTCAAGAATCTCCTCCCTGGTATCAAAAGAAGGTTTCTTGCCATCGGTATATTGGACAAAATCATTGATATCGTCAACCTGATTCAAGCTATGTGGCAACGTGTGATCATCATACGAGATCAGCTTGAAAATGTATAATAATACAATCAACGCAAGGACAATTGCAAAAACACGAAAGGGTCTCACCCGCTTTGCTCCAATGTAGAATGCCATGGTTCCTTGATATATCTAGCGAGAAATAAAACAAATATGAAGTGCAATTAGGAGTCCTTATATGGATTTAGGCTCACATCGATTAGCCTGAAGTAGTGTTTTTTTTTTTCTTTTTGTCTTTTGGTAAGATCTTTAATGGGAGCAAAAATGCGGCAGCAGAATTTTGCATCAAATAACGACAATTGGGAAAAGTACATTGCAATCTGGTGGGGGTAGACTTCATTACATATATACAGTTATTATACAGAGAGAGGGAGAGAGGGGAAGGGGACGGCGACTCATTGGTTCGAAGAGAATAGGTAAATGCAGTTTTTAGTAGAGCCCTCATCAACGGTAGCCAAACCCATTTCACCCAATTTTTTGATACAAGAAGCAATGTGGGCATGAGGATCGTTAGGCTCCAGGGACAAGTGAGACCTTTTAGCGGCCTGAAGCATATCTTGGTAGTTACCACTTGGTATCTTAGAGGAGGACGAGAGGTCATTTGTAAAAAAGTTACTAATTAAATCATTGTTTAGAGACAATCTAACTGCGATAATTTCAAAGTCATCACTTTGTTTCTGTAAATGATCAAGTAAAAAGGAGTGGTCTTCTTGTATGACTGGTTGTTCGATTGTTATCATTTGGTAAGAGGAATACTGTAAATCATAAGGAAAGATGTATTTGATTTGAGTAGGGTCCTGTAATAAACTATTGGAGATTCTCGAAAGAGGGTTTTCTTGAATGAATTTTCTTGAAACCGAACCCTTTTTGTCAACAACTGTGGAGTTGGAATCAATTACATTCACTTGTTGATGTTTCAGTAGCACCGATGCTAATTTATCCTCGACTTGATTAATGCGAGACCAATTTAGTGAATCCAAAGATGTTAGCGATTCTGTCTTGATAGCCATATTGAAGATATCCACCAAGGTCAAATCAGTCAAATGATAATTTCTTTTCAACTTGTCATCACCGGATTCGAAATTTTCCTGGTTGAAAAACTGGAGAGATAAATCATTCATGTAGTTATTCAAATCAACTAAAGGTTTGTTGATGTGGGAAAGAGAAGACTGAGCAAACAATCGGTTCTTCTGCTTCAAAAATATAATAATGGGAGTATTTTGCAAAGTATTACGGTACCAGTGGAACGATTTCAACAAACGGTTAACCTTGGGTATTTCTTGATAAGGTTGATAGTAGCACCTTAGGATTGACATGATATTAGATTCGAATGCAGGCAAAGGTTTCGACGATACGTTGGAATCACTTATTAGAGCAGGTTGTTCTTGAGAATGCACATTTGAATTGAAAAGATCATCAACATTGAAATTTTCTAAATCACCCCAGATTGATTTTTTAGAATTAGTGGATTCGAAAATAGGGCTTATGACTTTAGACAAGATTGGTTCAAAGTCATTTGGATTGAATTGAAACCAAGGAGCAGTTCTCCCATCACTTCGGTAATTTAAATGCTTGGAATCAGGTCTTTCATGTAATAATTTATACCTTCTGAAGATATTATATTGAGGATCTGATTTCTGTAAGTACTTTCGAATATAATCATTACGATAAGCACTGGTGATATCAAGGGAAGCCTGATGGTATATTCGCATGATATGGCGAATATCTTTAGGAAGGCTCCATAGTGTATACTGGGACATGTCTATATAAGAAGGTAAGATGTTAGTGCAGTGCCTAGCCCATTTTTCATATACATTTTTTTAAAGCACTTTTTCAGTCTTTTTTTTTTTGTAGTTTTTTCAGCTCATCAGCTTGATAGAAGTAGTTCATTGAAGAATGTCAGACGACGAAATTAGCATTGAGGGAAACTTGTTTGAGGAGCCAGAAGGATTCCGTCCCCCACCACCAGAGGCCCATTTCACTGATTATAAAAGAATAGAGGGAAAGAGTGATCCAAGTAGTTTAAAATTACGATTAGTTGGGAAATCACCATTATGGGGACATTTATTATGGAATGCCGGGATATTTACTGCCAATTACTTGGATGAACATAGTGAAACATTGGTTAAGGGGAAAAAAGTATTGGAATTAGGAGCAGCAGCATCATTACCATCTATTGTTTGTGCAATTAATGGAGCCTCCAAGGTAGTATCGACTGATTATCCTGATCCTGAATTATTACAAAATATTCAATATAATTTTGATCATTGTGAAGGAATACCAAAGGAAACAAAGACTAAAGTGAAGGGATATATTTGGGGACAAGATGTTAGATCGATAATCATGGATGATATTGAAGACGAAGATGATTTACCAAATTATGAAGATATTAAAGAAGAAGATAAGTATGATTTGGTTATATTATCTGATTTAATTTTCAATCATACTGAACATTTGAAGTTATTGAAAGCATGTAGACAAACATTGAAAAAACTGGGAAAAGGGTTAATTGTTTTCAGTCCACATAGAGCCCATTTATTACATGAAGATTTGAAATTTTTCCAAACCAGTGAACAATTTGAGTTTAAAGCGGAACAAATTGACTTACAAATATGGCAACCAATGTTTAAAGAAGAACCTGAAGATACTGCTGAAATTAGATCTAGAGTATATTCATATTTTATAATTCCTCAATGGTAAAACTACAAATAGACAATTAAAACTCTTCTTTTTAAAAAAAGTAGATGATGTAATATATTATTGACATTAAAATAAAATCATTATAAAGTTAAAGACACATTTTCAAATGATTATATTTAAGCAGAGTTGGAGTTAGCCTTTCTCTTACCGTTAACTAAGGTAACGTTAACAAATCTTTTGGTGTACAATAAACGTTTGTAAGCTCTACCTTTTGGTTGTTTTGGCTTTTCTTGTTTGTCAACTTTTGGAGTTTGAGATTTAACTTTACCAGCACGAGCTAAAGAACCGTGAACTTTACCCTATAAACTTGTTAGTATCACATTTGTCAAAGTAGAACACTGTAAATTCCTCATCCTCTCCTTCACTTTCATTACTTCATCCACTACGTTATTTCACTCATTACTTCATTCATTTACTACCTCCTTTCTTTATAGATCCACTTCACTTCTTAACTTCTTAACTTCTTTTCTTCCACTTCTTCATTTCTCTTACAAGATTTCAAAATTCAAGGAATCATGGACTCAGGAATCAAGGAATCATGGACTCAGGGATCAAGGAATCATGGACTCAAGGAATCAAGGAATCAAGGAATCAAGGAATCAAGGACGCAAGCGCCTCAGCATTCTCCGTACGTATCGATCGTACATACCATTTTGTATTATTTGATTTGGTTATAATAAGGATGAAAGAGTAGTAGTAGTTTTTTGAACAAGTACTAAAAAAGTGAGGAAAAAGCAGACTAGGGGCAATTCCCATTTCTTGAGAAAAAGTCACAAAAAAAAAAGCGTCACAAAAGTTTTTTCCTCCGTTGTTAACGCAGATGCGTGAGCCAGAGAAAAACTCCATCAGCGAGAGCACGTGTCACGTCCAGGGCTGGTGCCCTAAAGGGAATGCATCATACCGATACTAGCACCACCACCATAGTAATCAAGATAAGCAACACCACCGAAACTATCAACACAATGATCCCCAATCTTGTAGCCGGGAACTGGTTATTGACCATCATGTTCTGAACCAAGAAGTACCGGTTGGCACCGAATAAAAGAGTAGCAATGCCCAAGACTATAAAAGAAAGACCCAAAGGTTTAGCCAAAGTGTGAAGATACGAAGAATGGGCATTCTCCAAGCGGAGCAATTGGGTCACCCCGATTCCGATCGTGATAAAAGAAAGACTACTTCTAAGGTACGCAAGAAACAGTCTTTCATTAGCCATCTAAATCAGTTAGTATTTGGTAATCCTGAATAACCGCCAAATAAACATACGTGATCTCTAGCCACCGAGCCCTTGTTTTCGAGGGTGATCGACCCGTACTTGGACGGTGGGCTGGGTGCGGTCTCCGAAGGAATTGATCCGTAGCCGGCTTGTTGTGACATGGTGGTTTGGATTGTGGAGTAGCTGAAGGTGGTTTGAATTGTGGAGTAGCTGAAGGTGGTGATTGGTAAAGATACCAGTCGCTTTCTGGTGCATGGGTGGGTCACCCGGTGCACGGGTGCATGTCGAGGGGGAGCGCGAGGGGCCAGGGGCGACTGCGCGCAGGAAACTGCGTGCAGGAAACAAGACTTGTCAAATCGGATCTAATACCCGGAAAATTTCTTTTTGTCCGATGGGAAAACTCTGTTTACCGATTGTGAATTACAAATACGACCAACTCATAACGGTACAGAATACCGACGTCTGGACAGCCAGAATACGACGGGCCAGTAGGACACGCGAGACGGACAAGAAATTGTAAACAAGAAGGACCGTTCAACAAGGCATCGAATCAAGGTAAAGTTTGGTGCCCTTTACAAAAAAAACAAAGGTGTTTACGAAAGACAGATTATAAATAGGTTTAATATATTGAATGACGAATTATGAACAGAATGCAATGGGAGAAGTGAAGGATGCCTAGATGAATACAGTGTAGAAAAACCCCAAACCAACGGATAAGACCGCAACGTAGGATGCAAAAGAGAGGCCACTGCCGTTAGCCAATAAATGAGAATTTTTCAAGAGAGAGCTTGCCCCTGCTTGACTGATGGTGACCTTGGTGTACGATCTGACCTTACCAATGTTCCCGGTGTTGGAAAGCGATCCCAATCCGATATTGCCCAGCTTGGGTTCGTTCGATACAACTTCACTGGTATAAGTGGTCATGAAGGATTGGTAAAATGGAGATTGGGTGGTTTTGGTGACACCTGCACTATCGGTACCAGTAACCCAAACCATGGTGGTGGTTTTCTTTTCTGAGGATGATGAAGATGAGCTGTCGTCGTCTGCAAAGACGAATAATGGGAATAAGATGAAAAAAATAAGATTTATGAGCTTCATAATGCAACAATGACCAGATCCAAGGATGCTAGAGTACAACTCTCGAGAAAACTCGGTGGATCATCTGCTTCATATATATATAAGCTCCAAAACTAGTACGAAACCTTAACCGGTACTAATTATAGTTCCACCACACAAAACGCAAAAAAAAAAAAAAGAAAAAAAACGACTATAGAAAGAGAAAAAAAAAAAGAAAAAAAGAAAAATTTTCACCATGTTCTTTGTAATAGTCTTAAAAAAAAACTCATTTTAAGCTGTTTGGCAGATATTCCCTAACACAAGTACGCCTTGCAAGACTAAGCTTCACCAAGTGAAATTCAGCTAAGCTTGATAGCGGAAAGGAGTTGAAATTGTATTGGCGATAATCCGGATGCTAGCAGTATAACATCGTCAAATGCGTCAGGGCACACAAAAATACGACTTTATATTGTAGAATCCCTTTAATCTGATTCTTAAATCCAGAAGAAAGTCTTTGTTCTTTTCTTTTCTGGTATTGTTTGGAATAGTTCAACCGATTGTCTCAAATTAGTAATTTCAATTACCGATAATAGAGACCTCAAGTATGTCGCAAATTAAGCCCTTTTACCAGAAAGAAAGAGCAAATAAACTTAAATATAGAAAGCCTTGGTTGTTGTAAAGTAGTCCTTTTGGGTAAGTCTCCTTTTCATATAAAGTAATCAATAACCGGTTTTTTGGAAGGAATACTAGAAATATCTTGGGGTGCAGCTTCGAATACCTTGTACTCTCTTGATAATTCATCATCTATTTTAAGTACCGAAGCAATATTCCCGCACCTATAGCAATAATTGGGAGCCAGCCATACGGTAACCAACTTATTCTTGAACATTTCTTTATAACCTTCCATTACCAATTGATGAGCTCTTGCAATTAATGAGATATCGTTAACATTGTTGAATTTATTAACTTCATTCTCTCCAAAAAGAAATCCGGCCCCCCTAGGACTAATGGCCCATCCCGGTACATCTTCTGGATCGGACCAAAGCAAATCACACATTCCTCCTTCGTGAGGTACTTCTTGCTTTCTATCTAGTATTCGGATTTGATCAATGGTATCAATATCAGGACTAAGCCCTCCATGTATACAGAAAACCCCTCCTTTACCACCAACAATCGCCCCCAATGATAAATAATCAAATACTTCACTGCAGTATCTCCATACATTCACATTTCCGTATTTTCGGATACATTCATCGTAAAATCCATACACTGTAGTGATTTGTCTCAGTTCATGGTTGCCCCTTATCAAGGTGATTCTATCTGGATATCTTACCTTATAACTCAATAGTAATAACAAGCTTTCTAACGAGTAAAATCCTCGGTCAACAAAATCTCCTAGAAATAGATACTGCGTCTCTGGTAACTCTCCTCCAGTCTCAAATAACGTGAGCAAATCATGTAATTGGCCATGGATGTCTCCACAAATGGTCACTGGTGTATCAACGTATTGGATGTTGGCTTCTTGTACTAGTAATTCAATCACTTTGCTACAGATTTCTTCAACGTCTGACTCCGGTATATACTTGCACTGCTTGATGTTTTCAATAGTCCTATTTCCCGTTAGTACCTCCGTCCAGTCTTTCTGGTTCGACTCAACATACTCATCTATGTTCAACATTGTTTAATGTGTTGCTGAATAGATCTGAATAGATCTGAATAGATATTTCAATGTCGTTTTCTCTTTTTGCTTATTTGCTTTTTTTTTTTTTTTTTTTTTTTGGCTCGGTGCGCTACGCGTATCTACAGATGTACGGAGTCTACTATAACATAATTTAAATAAAAAGGTATTAAAAGTGAAAATAACGAAATGAAAACCATAATCCCAACATAAACATTCTACTTCTTTCTAGTAGGTAAAGTATACTTCATAAATGATTTTTGCAATTCTTTACGAACGGTAATTTTTTGAGCTCCCACAAAACTATCAATACTTACCTTTATTGCCCTATTCAAATCATTTTGACTAACAAAATCACTTAATCTCATTTTAGCAAATGCTTCAGCAATTCTTAAGATACTTTCTAAATGACGAACAGTAATTGGAAATGATCCAGTTGTTATGGATTCTTTTCTTAAATCGGCATAAACCTTGGCCACTTTATCCATATCCATTTGGTGTAATTTCGGTTGAACCTTGGTTTTGGCATATTTGATATATTTAATCAATAACTCTTGTGATATTGGACTGATTTCGTTTTCACGTTGTTTATTTAATTGACTTATCTTTTGTTTTCTGGTTTGTTTGGTTTTCTTCAGAGGAGTATCTTCAATCATCTCATCGTCATCTTCTTCAATTTCTTGTTCTTGTTCATCATCCTCTAAATCTTCAGTTTGGGATGGATGTGATCTCATATGAGAATCAATAACAAAACTTGCTAATCTTTCATCACCTTCAGGATTAACCAAATCTCTAACAACACATAGAATATCAAATCTTGATAAAATTGGTTCAGTCAAATTAACATTTTGTGAAAGAGGTAAAGTCGAATTATATCTACCAGTTGTTGGATTTGCAGCAGCTATAATTGAACATCTAGCTTGTAAACTGGTGACTATACCAGCTTTGGAAACAGAAATAGATTGTTGTTCCATAGCTTCATGAATAGAAGTACGGTCTTGATCATTCATTTTATCGAATTCATCAATAAGACAGGTACCTTTATCAGCCAAAACTAATGCCCCACCTTCTAAAGTCCATTCTCTAGTGATTGGATCTTTTCTAACTGATGCAGTTAAACCAACAGCTGAAGCACCTTGACCAGTTGCAAAAACTGCTCTATTGGCAGTTTTTTCAGCATATTTTAAAATTTGAGATTTTGCAGTACCAGGATCACCAAGTAATAAAACATTTATATCACCTCTTATAGAATGTTTACCATTAACATCTTTAGGAACCCCACCAAATAATGAACATGCAATAGCGGTCTTAATATCTTTATGTCCATAAATTGAAGGAGCCATCGATGATATAATTTTATCAATGATACCCCGTTCTTGAGATAATTTTCTAAATTCTCTTTCATCTTCTTCAGTCCAGGCATTTAATGAATCTTCATTATTTAACCCAACTTCTTTACGTTTAACTGAATTTGCTTCAATGATAGTAGCGAAAACTGGGAAACCATTTTTAATATTCAAATTACCATCATAATTATTTTTATAAATCCCAGCAACTTCAATTTCTTCACCGGGTTTAGCTATATCAACCAAATCAGCTAAAAGGATAACTTCTCTGTGTCTTGGTAATCTACCAGCTGGGACAGTACCTGGACTTTCTTGTAATGTTAATCTTTGATAATTACGATATAGAGTTTTTTGTGAATTAATTCTAAATGGCCCCTTTGATTGACAATTTGTACAATAAGAAATTGAGACTTCAGATTTATCATCTTGGACAAAAGGTCCTAATAAATGACCACATTTCAAACAGTTGAATTTAACATAGTTCAATTGGGGGAAGACACCAGTTCTTCTTGTAACAACACCACCAATTTTAACCAATTGGTTCAAATTATTCTCTCTTAAATCTCTCAAATTTAAATAATTTGGATAATTAGTAATTCTAACATGAATTTCAGAATGAATTTGTGAGTAATTAGGATAATGTAATTCTGTTGCGTCCATAGCAACATTATCGAAGATAGTTAACATTTCAGTTGGAGAAGTAGCCAAAAATAATGATAAAATACTCTTTGATTCTGATAAGTGGGCAAAATTGACGTCTAAAGATTCAGAGTTAATTTCACCAAGAGTTCTAATTCTTGCCCCATAAACTGATCTTCCCTTTTCATCAGTATATTCTAATAAGAAAGATTTCAATTCACGGGCAATAGATCTGGATACCGCAGGCTGTAAAATCCATTCAGTTATACTTGCAGCCTTAACATCAGTCAAACTTTCCAATGACAACTCTTCATTAAACGGTTCAATGTCTTCATCTGCAAGCATGGCATCATCTTCATCTTCGTATCTTCTTCTTCTTCTTCTTTGGAATGGTAATCCAAATTCGTTGAGCTCTTCATCACGTTCACTACCATCATCTAAATACATATTGTCTGCACCCCTTTCACGGCCAAAGATCATATCATTACGATTCAACCGTTCGTCAATCTTTCTTCTATCTCCAATATCCATCTCTTCGTATTCTTCATCGTCAATATTCGAAATATCGTATCTATCTTCCTTTTCGTTTGCACGGTAATCTCTTTCCATATCATCCATTAAATCCACTCCTTCTTCTTCCTCTTCAGAAGGATTCAAATCAGCAACGTCATTATGAATCTCTTCTTCTTCGTCGGCGTATGGAATAGCTGGTGATGAGGGTAATGGAGGACTGGAGGGAATTGGCGAAGAGTTGGCTTGGGAATTGCCTTCTTCGACATCATCTTCAGCCTGTCTCTTCCTTCTGTTATGTTCTATTGGACTGGACATGTTTATTAGCGACCGGAAAGCTCAATGTATTTGCAAAGAAAGAGTTAGTGAAAAAGAATAGAAGAAGTCTTTTGATTTCTCGAAAAAAAAAAAAAAAAAAAAAAAAAAAAAAAAAAAATTTAGTTTTTGGTTTTTGCGTTTAATTTATTCCCAATTGGGATCAGTTTTTTATCCTTTGAAGATAGCATTTCCACCAGTTGATCAGCCCCAGAGAATGAGTATCATGATGTGGGAACCATATCATCCATATCATGAGTAAATTAGTGAGAATGAAAAGTCCTGGAATGCTTTTGCTGGTGTAAACCTGGTGCCAGCGATGTCCGTGTTCGATTAGTACCACGACCACGAAACCACCAGTAGCGGAACGTCAGCCATGTTCGGCTTTCTAAATTCCTTCCCTCCTACCGTCTTCTATGTGCTTATGGTCCTATTGCTTCCTTCCAACGACGGCAAGGTTTCTGGAAATTGTGTTCGATGGATTACCGTGGTGTACGGGCGCGCAGTTTATCAGCCAGCCGTGATATCTCCACTATTGCTTGCTATTTTTGAAAAACTCAGTTTATTCAACGAATACTGGAGTAAACTCAGTTGTTTTATATTAGATAATAAGTTAAATATGACCTCTCTGACAGACTCGAATGCTAGTGAGTCTAACTCAGTCACTGCTGTGGATTATATACAAAATCAAGTGGATTTAGAAAGAGAAGCTCGTGAATTGATGCCTTTTGATACTAATGATTGTACTTATACTAAGGGAGAGACAAGGCAGCACGTATTCTCGTGTTTGACGTGCTCCAAGGAGAATGAAACCAAGGTTGGGGTTTGCTATTCATGTTCCATTGAGTGCCATTCAACTCATGAATTGGTTGAACTATTTTCAAAACGTAATTTTGTCTGTGATTGTGGTACTACAAGAATGTCTAAGACTCCTCATGGAGGCTGCAAATTACGTTTCAGAGCTGAAGAAAGTAATCAAAAACCTTCGGTAAAACCCCGTACTGGGTCTTCGCTGTCAGCCTCGTTTGGAAGCTCAAGGGCTCGTCCGTTGGATTTACCTGCTGAAGATATACCTTCGCTGTCAAACACCTATAACCAGAACTTTGATGGCCACTTCTGCTCATGTGAAAAGTTATATAACCCATTGGAAGAAACTGCTACGATGCATCAGTGTTTCTTTGGATTTGTATGCGGTGAAGATTGGTTTCACGAAGATTGTTTACTTGGTTATAAACCAGGTTTTATCGTGTCTCAAAGAAACGACAAAAATGATAAACGGGATGAAGCTCAAAAAGAGACTGGGGTCAACCTTCTAGACCGTTTACTCTCTCCAGGCCCTGGTGAAGATGCTCTTTCTGACTCATCCAAAGCCCAAAAAAGAACTCAACAAGCTATAAATTCGAAGGATGGTAACAATCATCAACAAACTCAGGAGATAAAGGATAAAAAGGAAAGAAATCAAGAAGCTAGGGATGCTTCAAGAGAAAACAAAAAAAGTGAAACCAATGATGGTGACACTTCTCAGTTAGATGATGATGATGACTACGATGAACATGATATAGAAAATGCCCAAATTATAGGTAACTACCTTCCTAAACCTAGTCATTTTGGTCAGTACATATGCTGGAGATGCGTCCGTGCTTTTGATGATATCTTTCAATACCTCATATCGGATGATAAAGCTGTTTATACTACAATGCCTCATTTTTACCACGTTGAAAGTTTAAAAGAATGGGAAGAACACTATCGTGTTTATAAAGATCAATTAACATCAGAAAACATCAACGAACCTAAAGCTAAAAAGATAAAGCTCGAAAGTGGTGAGATTCCAGCTAAGGAAGCAGAAAAGGTACCTTCGTCAGTTTTTCTTGCTCGAGGTTTCAGAAATAGGTTGGCAGAATTAGCTAAAGATAAAGCAACTCCACCCAAAATATCTGATTTCCTACAAAATAATAAGTACCTTTATGAAGATGATCCAATCTATGAACCACCTCGTGATGATGATCATGGTTCTTCTACTACCGGTTCTTTATTGGAATTAGGAACCGATGCTCTTCTGTCCTTACCGAAGGAACAGGCAATCGAGGGTGCACAAGCGTATGATAAAATCAGATCGAAATTAAGAGAGTTTTTCAAACCTTTCGCTGAAGAAGGTAAACTTGTAACTGAAGATGAGGTAAGGTCATTTTTCTCAAAAATAAAAAATGAAGCTAAAGACGGCGATAATGAATAGATTTATTTAAGCTCAATTGATCCTCTTTTTACACATATAGTATTAAAATGATGATTTTATTTTTATAGGATAGTATTTACATTGTATATTTACACGTTTTATATTCAGAACATAAAACGAATGCCGTTAAAAAAATTATATGGAACTGACATGTAACATAAAAGAAATAGTTGTTACCATCAATTGAAATGGTAAGAAAGCTTACTCCTTGTTCTTATTTTGTTTTTTTGCGTCCAATTTAGCAAACTCTTCTTTCCAAACGTTGTTACACTTTTCTGGACTGATATCTGGGAAGACTTTTTCAAAAACTTCTTGATACCATTCGACTGGGATGAAGGTAACACCTTCCTTAACTTCTTCTGGTATTTCTTCCAATTCATTTTCAATATCCTTAGGGAATATAATAGTGTTACAGCCATATCTTTTGGCTCCCAAAGTTTTTTCTCTCAAACCACCAACAGGTAAGACTCTACCAGTTACCGTAATCTCACCGGTCATAGCAACAGTTGGTGGTAATGATTGATTGAGTGCTAACGACAATAACGATGAAGTGAATGAAATACCAGCTGATGGTCCATCTTTTGGAATGGCCCCATCAGGACAATGAACATGAATATCAGCTGCTTCGAAAAATCTATTATCAGGATAATTTTTTGACATAAACAGTTTGACAAATGAATAAGCGATGGATGCTGATTCTTTCATAACGTCTTTCAAACTACCGGTAACATGCATACCAGCATGCCCAGAGCCAGAGCTTATAGAATGTGTAAGGATAGATTCAATGTAGAGAGCATCACCATTACCTGAGGTACTATAAGAAAGACCAGTGGCGACACCTGGTGGTGGGATATCATACACACGGTCTCTGGTATAAATTTCTGGCCCTACGTAATCTTTCAAGTTTTCTGTAGTGACACTTAATTTGATATCATCAGGAATATTTAATTTTTCAAATTCTTCAACTTCTTCAACTTTTTCTTGTTTAGAGTGTTCATCTTTATTTTCCTTTTTGGTTTCTTCCGATGCTTCAAACTCAGTAGCAGTGTTTTCAGATACTTCTTCAGGTTTATTTTCAGCTGAGGTCTCACTTATTTCTTCTTCTTTAGCTGGTTTACTAGCGACTTCTTGTTTTTCTTCAGACTTAGGAGCTTCGATAGATTTGCCTTCTTTTTCTTCTTTCGATTCGATTTGTTCAACAATCTTTAAAGATGCTTTGCTGAAAATTCTACTGATTAACTTTTTAACATTTCTTAAACCACTTTCACGGCAATATTTTTCAATTAACCTAGTAATGGTATCATCTGCAATATCAACATGACCAGCTTGCAAACCAGCTTTCTTTGCAGCATCTGGAATCAAGTGTCTCTTAGCAATTTCAACCTTTTCATTATTTGTATAACCGGAAACATCGATAATTTCCATACGGTCTCTTAAAGGACCTGGGATATTACCTAAATAGTTAGCCGTGCAAACGAATAATACTTTTGATAAATCAACTTTAACATCAATATAATTATCAACAAAAGCATTGTTTTGTTCAGGATCCAAAATTTCCAAGAAGGCTGAGGCAGCACCACCACCACGACTTAAGTCTAACTTATCGATTTCATCAATTAAAAGAAGAGGATTTGAAGTTTTAGCTTGTTTCAAAGCGAAAATAATACGACCAGGAATCGAACCAATATAAGTTCTTCTATGTCCCTTAACTTCATGAACATCTTGAATACCCCCCATGGCAATTCTAACGTATTTACGATCCAAAGCTTCAGCAATTGATTTTGCGATAGAGGTTTTACCAGTACCTGGAGGACCAGCTAAACATAAAATCTTACCATCAACTTTACCAGATACTCTACCTAATGAAATGAATTCCAAAATACGTTCTTTCACATCCTTTAAACCATAATGATCACGTTCCAAAATTTTTCTTGCTTCTTTGATATTGAAACGATCTTTACTATAAATACCCCAAGGAATTGAAGTCAACCAATCTAAATAACGTTCAGTGACACCTAATTCAGAAGAGTGTTCATTTTGGTTTTCCATTTTAGCACTTTCAGTTTTGTAAGCCTCCATAGCTTCATCTGTTAACTTCAAATGCTTCAAACGTTCTTCATACTTTGAGGTTTTCTTTTCTTCTGATTCAGTTAAACCTGCACGTTTCTGTAATTCTTTGATGAATTCCTTGATAAACAAACGAGTTTGATATTCATCAGCTTTTGAACTTAAATTATGTATAGTGTTTTCTTTGATTAAACTAGCTTTCAATTCAACTTTCAATAAATCAAGAGCCTTGGATAATCTATTCTCAACATTTAATTCTTCTAAAATTTCTTGAATTTTCTTAGGTTCACTATGAATGGCTGAAACAACAAAATCAGCAAATTTAGGAGGATCATTAACGAGGGAAGTAACTTCTGCAACTTGAAGTTTTTCCAATGGATTTTTACCACCCATCTTACTTAATAAAGCTTTCAAAGATTCAACCAAAGATCTAACTTCAGCAGAAGCCTTATCAAATGGTAAATCTTTAACTGGTTTGACTGTGGCATAAGATACGTTCAAATTTTTTAAATAAGCGGTTGGAAATTCATCTTGTTCAGTTTCTATGCTTTCATTGGGCTCTTTTGAACCTTCTTCTTCGCCTGAGGACTCGTTAGTTACTTTGGCTTGTTGCTCGCCAGTCAAAGGTTTTCTATCTTCTGGAGAAGATAATTCTTCTAACAGACATCTTTCAAGAGGATAACCTAAAACATTGAAAACTCCTGGTCTTGGAGTCGTATGTCTGATTATTTGACAGTGAACCCCAATTTCATGAACTGAGTCTTTGGTCTTGATCACATCAGTATCGGGTTCGTTTTGATCTTTGACGTGGAATAATACAAAGTAAGGTTCCCTTTTATCAATGATGGTATATATGGATTTAATAACTTCTGGATCAGTTATATTTATGGCGAATGGACGACCCGGTAAAGGAGGACGATCCTTCATTGGGATTGCTAATAAAGGAGGGTACAAACCGGTATCTGCGCTAACAGAGAGCTGTTTATTATCATCATCGTCATTATTATTGTTATTATTATTATTGTTGTTATTATTGTTACTTGGTGGGGTGTTAGCACCACCAGAGGAACGACTAGCGTCAGAAGACAGCTTGGACTCACTTACAGCTGAATCGCTCGAATCCTTTTCAATTTCAGTGTCCTTCTTATTGCTTTCGGGTTCTTCTTTGTCCTTTCCGCCCCCGACATCTTTATCGGAAGGTTCTTCTTGTGCAGAAGGAACGGTGGCATCATCAGTTTCCGATTTCTTCAATGATAGTATAGGATTATCCAACGATGAAGTCGAGTTCAAGACTGACCAAGATGTAGATAAGGAAGGGGAAACACTATGTACAAATTCTTGAATATCTTTTGATGCAAATGGAGTTGAATCCCGGCGAGGGAAATGAGATGGAAGTTGAATCAATTCATCAATCTTGGCTTCATTATAACCAGAACCAGATGTAGCCAACCTTATGCTAGACAAACGGCCCAAACTAGTGGAAGATCTCTTTGAAATCACTCCACGAAGATAACTTCTTGATCTGATCATATTCTTAGTAATTAATAATCACCTGGGCGGGTACTTTGAATTCTTTCTTTATTCAAATCGGAACGCTAGCAATGATACTTTGAGATAACTTTCCAAATCTATACGCTAATGACCAAGAATCGAATACTAATTAAAATTGAAAATAACCCTCTCAACAATCTCTAAACTTAGAGTCCTTTTCTTTGACTTTTTCCAATTGCCATCCAATTATCTCACTTTTTCGTTGACTAAATTTTTATAGTGAGTGTGTTTCTGTGTGCAGTCCTCCGGTAACCCAAAAGGAAGAGCTTTATAAGAGAATATTACGGTGTTCTACGGTATTTAGTGGAATATAAAGGGTATATTAGTCTATTTTGAAGACGTTCTTCTTCTTTTTCTTCTGCAGTTGCAGCTGGTTGAACACGGTGGTGGTGTCAGCCGTGACAGTAGTGTCTTTTGTCACTTGAGGACTAGTAGGGTCATTTTTGAAATTGTCATCATGATAATAGTTCAATGAGTTTATATCGTCTTCTAACTGAAGTTCCTCATTCATTTGACTTGCTTGGCTAGCGGCCAGAGAGGAGGAGACTTGAATTTTGGATGCGTTTGCCTTTAAAATTTGAAGTTTCCTTTTTTTCTTTCCGTGGGATGGAGGTGGATCAGTTGGACGTTTATCGGAAGATTTTCTAGAGGACTTTCCAGACGAAACGTTCATTTGGGCACTGGCAAAAGTTTCGTTATCGGAAGGATGGTCACTGTTATTAGCAAATGAGTGTAGTAAAGAAGTAGAATTGGCCTCGGGAGCTTCGAGATCACCGCTGATGTCGGCATTATCCTTTGGCTTTGGATCTTCTTCGTTTCTTTTATTTTTGTTCTTGTTCTTGGTGAAGTCGGGTTCAAGTCCTGGAGTCCCCAGAGGAGATTCGGATGAAGAGTCAAAAGTTTTCATATAAGTTGACTTTGCTGAACTCTCGACGTCCTTTTCGGGTGGAAGAATGTCTTTGATCCCTTCATTTAAGCTGAATAACTCTCCCTTCACCGGTTTTCCAATCAATGTTTCTACTGGCTGTTTTACCCTTATGGGTGATAGAATACTATTGGCATCATCATGTATCGTACTTCTAAGACTTGTTTTAAGCTTACCCAGCAATTTGGGTAACCTGTTTCCCAAAGAATACTTATTTGGCTCTTTACCTTTCTTCAACTCTTCCTTCAATTTGGTGATCTCTGCGTTCAACGAATCGATTTTGGATTCGTGTAATTTTTCTTTGGTAGAAAATTGTTGTTTCAACTTACTTATAAGCACCTCATACTCTGGATTCTTTTCGGTGATGGTCTTGTTGGCTTCAAATGGACTAGCTGCCCGGGTGATAGCTTCTTCACCACCAACTGGAATCTGATTCAATAATGCAACTTTGAATATCGCCAACCGGATCAAACTCTTTCTTTCTTCGTTTTCATTATCAATCTCTTTTATTCTAGCTATTTTTTTGGATCGTTCAACCAACAAGCTTCCACAGGACATCCTGATATCACCATATAAGAAGAGCTTGTGAAGTCTATTTGTTAAATCAAGTCCTCCTGTTGTTTGTAAACAAATAATGGAGTTATCGCGTATAACTTCATCTCAAAAGGTGAGTAGGCAAAAAAAAAAAAAAAAAAAAAAATATGAAATAAAAAATCCTACTAATATTTGATTTAAATTAGGTCAAAGGCCATGAGTTCCACTAAAAAAGAGTATCACTCAACAGATATCTATCAGGTATGCAATGGAGAACTTCGGCCAAAGGCTAATTTCAACTTTGACGCGCTTTTCCGCTCTCCTTATCATAAAGTAGTTCCAAGAGGTCGAGGGAAGTATGATTTGTACTTAGATAAATCAGCACCTGACTTTAACGAAATGTTTCTATATCGAAGTATTCCTGTGGCCCCCGATGATGTTCTTGGGCATATGGCTGCAAGCAATTTGAAAATACCCATCAAGGCTCGTGAAGAGTTTCCAAAGGAGAATCAACTACCTTCATCAGAGTTACTAAAAGTATTACACTATTATTTCAGTGAAAAGGTAGGAGTTGAACGAGCCAACCACTTGATGCATAAGAGTTTTGATGAAACAGCTTTACTAAGCTTGGGAATGTTGGTCGAACAGTGGGTGGACGATCTTATTGATGACGACGTGATGAAATTATTTTTAGAAAAGGATAATACAGAACCAAATTTTGTTGCTGATTTATTCGATGAATCGAGCGAGTCTGAAGAAGAGAGCGATACGCCACAAGTAGGAGAAGATGTTTCAGATGATGATGAGTCGGAAACTGATCCCATGCAACAATATGATGATGATGAGTTTGTTGAGGATCTGGATAGCTATTCTGATAGGCTGGATGCAAATCTGTCAGATGAAATGCACAGCGATGATAGTATCTCGGATGAGAGTATTGATGAATTATAATGAAACTGTTACGACCTACTTTATTCATAATTTACGTGTATAATTTATGATATGTACTAATAATATACAAACAATGATTGCAAGAAATGAAGAATGAGGTTAATTATTTTCTGGTTCAGCAGATTCAGAAGCAGAAACGGTGGCAGAAGCAGATTTACGAGCTTCTTGTTCAGCAAGAACCTTTCTTTGATAAGCAGCTTCTTTACCTTCATCTTTCGAGGAGGTTTCTATATCGAAAACTCTGTATAAAAGTTCTTGAGAATCTTTTTTATTAACCATCAAGTTTAAGTTTGAAATACCTTTCCATAAAGGTAAAAATAAATCTTCTTTACCTTCTTCTCTCTTGACGGATAAAAACACACAACCATCAGATAAAGTGGATAATTTTTCTGAAAATGGGATATCAATTTGTTTGTTTTTCACATCTTCAATTTTAGGGAATGCATCAGTTAATAATAATTTAAATAATTCTAAATTACAACTTAATTGTCTATTAGAACCAATGAATTTTTTCAAAGTATTTAAAGCTTCACTTTGAACTCTCCATGGACAATGACCATTATCGTTTCTTTGAGTAGTGAAAGCTTTAATACCAGCATGAATTAATTTTAATTTTTGTTCATCCATAGTTAATATAGCACGAACAATTGGTGAAACGTAGTAAATAGTTCTATTTGGTTCACCTTGAGCATTTCTAACTAAAGTACACTCTTTTGGAAATTTATCATTGAAATCATAAAAATCAAAACATTTTTGAAGTTGAGGATGATCAGGAGGCAAAAATACAAAAGGCTCTTCATTAGAATCTCTTGGTAATCTTTCCTTTTTACCCTCTGAGGTACTTGAGGCAGTAGCGGCAACATTTTTAGAACTAATGGAGTTAGCAGTTTCGATTTTTGCTTTTTTAGCTGCTTTATCTTCTTCTTCACTAACTCTTTTACCTTTAGCTTCTGCTTCAGTGTCAATTTTTTCAAAAACAGTAATGAAAAACCCACCAGTGTTTTGTAAGTGGGGATACACTCTAACACAATTTTCTAAACCGAAAGTTTTAGCTTCTTCTTCATTAGGTGGGAAAACAGTATCGGCGACGTCATCGTCTTCTTTGGTTCTTGGTTTGAAGTCTTTACCATAAACAGTCCATTCACTGATACCTTTGCGTCTAACCAAACCCGGTAATTGATCATCACAGTTAACCAATTTAATTTGATCCCCCCATTTACGTAAAGCAGCAGCAACAACGGCTTCATTCTCAATTGGATTCATTGAACAAGTTGAGTAAACTAATCTACCACCTTTTTTCAATAATTGAATACCTCTATTCAAAATTTTGACTTGTAAAGGATGTAAACCTAACCCATTACCAAAAGTAAAATCTTTCCAAACATTAACATTCTTTCTCATGGTGGCATCACCTGAACAAGGCACATCACATAAAATTCTATCAAATTTCAAAAAATCAGTGGCTCCATTTAATTTCAATCTTGGGAACATGGAAGCATCGTGGTTAACAACAACAAAATTTGGTGAGTTCAATCTTTTAACTTGGTGAACCAACATGTGAGATCTCTTGTAATCACTATCATTGGCCATAACAAACCCACTGGCCAACTCTTGTTCGTCGTTAGCATGTAATGCTTCAACCAATTGAGCAGTCTTGGAACCAGGGGCTGCACACATGTCCAAAACATGATGGTGTGGTTTGACATCCATCAATAATGGTGGAATCATTGAAACAGCTTCTTGTCTTGAAATATTACCAACTTCAGTTTCCATCACCAAAAATCTTTGGGTCTTAGCAAACTCAACATTCTTACGAACCAATTTCTTTGGCACATCGATCTGCCATCCCAAATTGTTAGGGTAATAAGCAATATTCTTAGGTGCAATGTTTATTCCTTCTATTTCAATCTTGGCCATGTTTGATACATGGTTTTGCTTGAAGTTTTCCTTAATTTCATCAGCGTGGCTTCTGGACCCGGTGATTCTAAAGGTCAATGGCAAGTCGGTTTGGCAGTGCTTCTTGAAATCATCCCATTCGTTTTCTGGAATAATCCCCAAAGCTTTATAGTACTTTTCCCATTTTTCATTCTCACGAACTAACTCGCTCCATCCGTCTCGGGAATCCTTTTGTCCAGAGTCGTTGGCACGTTTCCCAAAGTTCTTCCCGTTTCTTCTGGCGTTTCTCTTACCCATACTAACTAGTATACTTGATATCAGTGATCTAGCCAATCTATTCACTAGCATTCACTCGACCGATTCAGCTTTTTCAGTAAATTTTCATTTTTTTTTTTTTTTCAGCTCTTCGCGATGCAAACCCGTACATCATTATCTACGCTAACTCCAGTTTGTTGCAAAGCTCAAGTATCATACGAGAGTAATTGCAAAGATACGATTTCCCAACTTTTATAAGACCAAGTTCGAAAACCATTGAAGAAACTGGGTGACTCTTATCGGAATGGGAGTGGCTTTCATACCAAGTGCTCTTCAGCACTATCGGGACTGAAAAGGACATGAAATTAGAGAACAAATAAAGGTGAAAAAACCCATACAAAACGAAAAAAAAAGTCAATAGGAATGTGACTTTAACAATAAGCCAACTAAAATTAACTACAAGGGCATCAGAAGCAACTGATTCCAATATAGTTCAGTGGTAGCTACAAGCACAGAGGAGAGGTCAATAAACGATGGTTTTGGAGGCCTCAGCGAGGCGGAAAATCAGATACAGTGCTGTATGTATACGAGTGGAATATATTTGGGACCCAATACTAACAAAGATTGAATCTAGATAAGTGCTTTCTTGGGGATAACTGCTTATACGAGGTTGAAGTTGGAGGAAACGCATATACTTAAGACGACACCTTTGTTGAGTAGCTATGTGAGTGGTTACTTCACTTCGTTGTCGTCAATACCAATTTTCAATTTGAAGATTTTAAATTTTATCTTGATAAGTTTATTTATAACGGTTAAATTTATGAAATGGGCAATATTTGGTAAGTTATCCAGTAATGAGATAAAGAATTTGAAAGAGAAGGTAAATTATACGCTATGGGAGTTTTTCTTTGGATTTATTATATTTTATCATAATAACACTCGATTGGTATCGAATTCTGATTTTATCATCCAGGATGAGCTTATTAAGTTTGGTGGGTTATTTTTGGTTGTTTTATTATTGAAATGTTTCCATTACTTAAGTGTTTATAGAGCATTTTCAATATTTTATATTAATCGAACCAAACCTAAAATTTTACCTTTTATAAGGTTTGCAACTGGGTTAATCTTACTAAATTTGATTGATGGGTTATTGGCTTATAGATTTTACCAAGAGGTGATGTATAATCATTTATCTTCCGTAACCATTGAAAATAATATTTTGATTGCAATCTTTGGATTCGAAATATTGAATTTATTCCCGTTAATCTTATTAACTAGTATAAAATATGGATTAAATTGTTATGAATATTGGAAATTCGATGGCTTAATAGATAGACATCAATATAATGATTTGAAAATTTTAAAATGGTGTGATTTCAAATTAAAAGTAAATTACATTTGTGAATTTTTAGTAAATTTATTAAGATTTTCAATGACTTGTACTTTTTCAGTCATTTTTTTATATTTATACACTTTCCCATTACATATATTACCTTCATCCTATTTAAGTTTAAGAGTTCTAATCTTGAAAACAAGATGTTTGGTGGATTTGAAAAAAAGACAATTCAAATTACAAAAGTTACTTGTTCCTCCCAATGATTCATTATTAAATCAAAATAAGTGTATTGTTTGTTTTGAAGAGTTTTCAACCGATCATGGTAAAGACGTTAGGGTTTTGAAAAATTGTAATCATCTTTTCCATTATGGTTGTTTGAAAAATTGGATTGACTACTCAAGTTGTTGTCCTATTTGCAGAAAGAAAATTTAAGTATCTGCCCTTCTAATTTTGTTATTTATTTTATCTTCAATTCTTGTCGATGTGGTTCATCGTTTATGGTTTTTGGTTTTTAATGCTTGTATTTCTTTTCAACCTAGTCTTATTCTAGTAATAATAATGTATATTAATTGTCAAAAAAAAAAAAAATTTAAATGTCATTTGTAGAATTGAAAGTTGTATTAAACAGAAAATTAAATTAAATAAATAATGGTTAATTTTAAAAATAGTTCTCATTACTACTCGTTATACCTGCGGTTAAAGTATCTATATCTGGTTCATCGCCCGTTAATCGTTTCGATAATTCTTCTATGTTATTGGGTCTCTTAGAGTCCACCATGGTCTTAGACTCCTCGTCGTTATTCTGCTCGTCCTCCTCTTGGTCTTTTTCATCTTTCACCTGGACTTGGTCTTTCTCTGATTCTTGGTACTCATCAACCCCATTTTCTTCTCGGTTCATATATGATTGTTCTGATTCCTTATCGGGTGTGAGCCCATTGGGATGCTGTTCTTCATGTAAAGATCCATCAATGTCTTGTTCTACTTCTGCTTCTGGATCTTGTTCAAGCTCCTCAGATGGTTGGTCCGAAGCCGGTTCTTGTTCTTGTTCTTGTTCTATTTGATCTTTCAATTGTTGTTTCTGTTGCTTTCTTGACGCTCTTGTTTCTCCCCGTTCTTGTTTCAAAGCTTGTTGTTCTCTATACTTGGCCAAATAAATTTTTAAAACCTCGGCATAATTTTCAAACCCCAAGTCGTACATTGAATATAATATATCCTCACCATTTATGGTCTTCCTCTTCTCTCTTAAACACCTATCACTTGCTTCACTAGTGATAAACGATATGTATTCCGATACACATTCTTGCATACACTCTTTTGCATCTTTAGAAACTTTTGCACTCGGTGGTAGGGTATTTTTCATCAATCTTGCAACATTAGCTATGGGTAACCATCGATCTTGTTCTCTCAACTCAACATCGTGGGTGTTTAGCGAATTAGCATCCATTTTACTTGCTTGATTTTCTTTTCACTGGCACTTTTCTAAAAAGTCTGTTCTAGTTTCAGCTTACTGGAATTCTATGCTTTTATTTTTTTTTTTTTTTGAGTTTTTCACCTTATAGAACTGTAACTGTTTTGGCAACAAAAATCTGACTGTCCTATTTTATTTTCCACTTTGTATATCAACGAAAGAGCCAATAGTAGGCTGGATAATCTTAGTAAATGCGTATATTACTTTAGCTAAACAACTAATGGCTAATTTTGTTTTCGTTCTCTGAAAAAAACGGTGAAAAATGGGTTTTGATAATTTTGAGAATACTTATTTTGAAACTGTACATTTCTTCTAAACTGTAAATGATGGGACACGTATAGAGTCGACTAAAGACATCAAGGACTTTGGCATTATTGGTAATATTGACAGCAGAGACCAAGAATGGCAACTAATGATGCCAGTGGCCAGCATTCGATTACTGGAGTATCGTTTTTGATGCTCACCCAGGTATTTACCAAGTTGTCGACGTTTTTATTGAATCAGTTGTTGATTAGACTCATATCCCCCCAGGTATTTGGTGTTGCTACGTATTTGGAGTTCTTGTTGTCTACAGTGTTGTTTTTCAGTCGGGAAGGGGAAAGGTTGTCAATTCAGAGGACTGAGAATGTCATTGATGAAAAGAAGAGTAGCAATTCATTTGAATCTGGTACCAGAAGAGGTGTTTTACAAAGTATTATCAATTTTGGGTACCTTCCTTTGATGATTGGTATTCCAATTACGGGCTTGGTGTTCTATTTACAAAATAAAACCGAAACTTTCCAAGTAGCTCTTTATTCGTTGGATTTCAGTGCTTATATATTAACGTGCATTGTGTTACTGATTTTGTTGGAATTGGTGTTGGAACCAATTTATGCCATTAACCAATTCAATTTGAATTTCAAAAGAAGATCAAAGTTCGAGAGCACGGCAGTGACCCTTAGATGTCTTGTTACATTTTCTGTTGTATTCTTTGGGAAGAAATACTCAACATTAAAAGCATTTGAAGGATTGGCTGTTTTGGCATTTGCATTGGGTCAATTTGCTTATTCTTTGGCTCTTTTCGTTTTATACCAAAGCTCCTTCTTTCAAGATAATGAACAGAACAATTCTCTTTTCATTAGTAGAATTCACTCTACTGAAGGAGAATATTATTATTTGGATAAACAAGTTTTCAAGATATGGCTAAATATATTCATTCAAATGATATTTAAACATTTTCTTACAGAAGGCGATAAGCTCGTGATTAACTATCTATGTACAATTACAGAACAAGGAGTTTATTCTGTTATGACAAATTACGGATCTATCATTGCCCGTTTATTATTACAACCAATTGAAGAATCATTAAGGCTTTTGTTTACGAAGCTTTTCATAAACAAGTCAAATGATAGCATCAAAAAGTCACACGAGATAATGACCTATCTTTCCATTTTTTACCTTAATTTTTCGGTATTAATTTGTTTGGGTGGTTTTACAAATGCATCATATTTACTTCGATTTTTAATTGGTGGTCGTCTTTCAAATTGGAATGACTCCAATATTTTTGAAATATTCCCCCAGTACATTCTTTATATTCCTTTCATGGCCTTCAATGGTATTCTAGAAGCATTTTTCAGCAGCTGTGCTAACGAGCATGACATCAATAAATTTTCATTCTTCATGTCAATTCTGGCTCTCACCGTTTTTGCAGCTCTGTATTTTTTCATCAGCTATCTTGAAATGGGAATTAGTGGCTTGATTTTGGCTAACATCATTAATATGGCCTTAAGAATCTTATACTGTTTGACCTTCATTAAGAAGTTTTATCTTGAAAATAGTATAAAAATAAGTTCTGTGAGTGTCTTGCATAAGCTACTTAGTTGTGTTATACTCGGATTATCAGCACAGTCGATTCAATGGATAGTATTAGGGAAAAAATGGTATTCTGAAACTTCCATCGACCTTATCAAAAGTGCAATAGTATGCTTCTTGTGTCTCGTTGTCATGTTGGTGCAAGAAAGAGCATTACTCAAAGAACCTTTGGCAATGGTCAAAGGTAAATTCAAAAAAGACTAAATAATTAAATATCTACTAGCAAAATAAGTAATATAATAGACTAATCATCACTACGCTATTCCAATAATTGTAATTACACTTTCAAAAATTTACAAAAAGAAAGAATCGGAGTCGTAACACCAGATGCTTTCAAATCCCTACCAAGACCAGAGAAGATGCCATCCGTTTCGCCTCCACCACGGGTGATGAACTGTGCTGAATTTCTTCCCTCGAGTGATACCACCACTCATTGCTAGGATCTGGTAGGATTGATTACTCGAATCCCCAGAAACCCGACCGCAGGGATCGACCCGGACACTTCGTCTGTAGTAAAGACAAGAAAGCACACAAACAGCGCACTTCTGCCAAACGCCATCACAGCAACGAATTTTCGCAAATTAGCATTCCTGGGAGTGTTTTACTTCACTTGTTTTATAAAATAATGAAAATTAATTTTTTCATTTCCAGCTTTTCCAAGGTATTTTTTACTTAGTGACGTAGCACTATACATAAATAGGTCAAAAATACTTCAATCAACGTTGAAAAGGAAAATAGTGTGAGAAAAAAACACTTAATGTAGCAACTTTCGGTGATTTTTTCATCTCCTTTGCTTTCCTAATCGCTGCTGGTGAAGAGCAAAAGCCTAGGCTTGATGCTGGCTGCCAACTTTCCTTATACTTTTGCTTGGGTGTCTGAAAATTGGCCACTGGATCAAAATGTGTTTTTTGCAACCAACAAAAAATTAAAAGCCTTTAGTAGGTTATGTGTAGATTATAGCCTTATCTATACACAGTTTTCACACTTAGTGATATCCCCTTTCTGCAGTCATACGCTTTCAATTACTAGACGGCGATAAATATTACTCACATAAACGCCAACGTTGTCAGAAGAAGAATCATAGAGATATTCAACGAGCACTTACTGTTGCTATAACTATATACTTTAATGACAAACGTTTATAAGAGGAAATCGTACACCAGTATACACATAATATCTCTGTACCTCTGAGAATATCCTTAATAATCACCAGCGTCTTGATTCAGTACGCTATTTGCTATCGGGTTGATCCTGCTCTTTGGACTACTTTTCAAACTTTTCGTCAGCAGCAACACATTAGTTAATAGGAACGTTAATATAAGTCTCGCTAAAGTAGTCACTTCGCAATTTTGCTGCTAAACAACAGTCTTTCCAGCAAAATGGAATAAGAGGCTATAGCTGAACCACAACAAGACATCCGTCTAGACTCGAGAACATCAAACCGATTCGAATACTACTTATTTCGTTCGATGAATCAAAAGCCAGCATTAAATGTGGACTCAGCTGGACTGCAAAACATGGCCAATGAGTCAAATATTGATAATCGTTTACTTCATCTCCATAATCTTGTTGCGTGAAATGCAGCAGCTAATGACAGGACCACAGATCTACAATTGGTGCACAAGAATTCTAGACACCAAACAGTAGCTGTTGGAGACTCTCAATTCTTGGTAAATACGACTTTTTAGGCTTACCTTGACACCTTTAGCCATGTAATGGTTCCATGAATATGTTGAATTGGATATTTGTCCTGCATAAGCTCAATTCTTTTTTTTTTTTTTTTTTAATTTTTTTTTTTCTATTCAATCTTCAAAGTTCATGGAACCATCAAGACAAAGGTAACGGTTTGAAATATGTCGATTGTGGAGTTGCTGAAAAGCGTGGATACGTTGGCTAAACTCATCAACCAAAAAAACCAGGAGCTTGAAAGTCTAAAGAAAAACTATGACCAGAAATTAGGTCAAATAAACGATTATATAGAGATGATTCAAAAAGACGAACCCCAGACCAAATTGGAAAGTATTGAAGATGGAGATTTTCTTAATAAGATCAATGAAAGAGTGACTTGTCCCAACTGCGATCATGAAATATGGAATAACGAATCAAAAGAATCCGACTATCTACTAATACCGAAAAAGAAGTTAAAATATTTACTTGAAGATTCAGTAGAATTCAAGCAGTTGAGAATAAAAGATGATGAAACACATACATATAAAAAGCATGCCCCTTTAAATAACAATGGGAAGTCCAAAAGAGTTTGCTCTTACTGTCACAAACCAGGCCATCAGCGAGCTAGATGTTTCAAGAGATTAAATTCTGAAACCTGAATTGAGCTACATCCATTTGAAACTAATCTAAATGTATATTTCGCTTCAAAAGAAGAACACTATAGTACAATAAATACATTATTTAATTTACAAGTAATGCACATCACTCATTAATGGTTAAAAGGAAACATTAAGTTCGCTTATTTAGCGGATTGAACTAAAGCCTCTATATTTGTAAATTTTGTTAGTAAAAAAAAAACCGTTTGTGATAATATGATATATTAACATACCTCTTCTAGATGCATCCTGTAATAAGGTGCAATCAACAGAATTAGGATTCATGTGGACATAACGAACAGTGGATCCTCTTATGAAAAGGTTCTTGGTGGCTTTTAAATGTGGATACTTGATTTCGTTGACTGTAGAAATATTATCCAATTTCAAATTCAAGTATTGATCAACGGATTTTAAGACACCTTTGATTTCTATATCGTTCTTTAACTCAACTGTGACTTCTTGATCAACAAGAGTCTTGAAAAAACTGAAAAACAACATTTCTATTGGATTGACGCTTGCAAGTGAACTTAAAACTGTGAATACCTAGTCATTTAGAATTCATCTTGCTCACCGAGTTTTCATTTTTTTTTTTTTTTTTTTTTTTTAGTTTTTTCCGTGCGCTTATGTAATCGCCTACGAATCTTATATCTGGCACATACGTATATAAAATACTTAGTTATATTGCAATTGATGAGCCCCTTGAGGAGCATTGTAGTTCCATTTGTACTCTGAGAAGGTTTTCTTGAAATTCTTCGAAAACATCATCAACTTCTTGACGAGGAACTGTCTTTGATAAGTTAGATTTTGTAAGCTTTTTTTCAAAGCCGACGTTTCTTGCATCGTTAGGAGGAAGAGCAGTATCAATTATGTAGTTCATATCAATAAATTCTTCTGAGTTATAATCAGTTTTCTCTGGGAATTCATTGATGAGATTATTATATTGAAATAAATAGTCATTTTCATTTTCTTGATCGGAGGTATAGATGAAATCAACCAAGTTATCATCATTGGTTACGTTATCATTGAAATCTGTTGTCAATAACTCAAAATAATTATTTATATCATTTAATTCTAATTGCCTCATTGGTTTCTTTCCGGTTTTTTGTTTCCGTTTAGACGTCTTTTTAGTTTCCTTTATACTAGAAGAAATGAACTGGGGGTCTATTATAATTTCATTAATTTTATTAGAAGGGTATTCTTTTTCATAATTACGTGGGTTAAGATCTCCGTTAGGTAATGAGTCAAAGGTTTGTATTAAATCTTTTTGTTTTGCTAACATTTCTTTTCGGGCAATGTGATAATTTGAAGGAGACCTACCTCTGACAACTAACGGTGGTGTTTTAGTAGAAGCCAATAGTACTTCATCATCATTATCTAATACTGCGACGAGTTGAACTTCTAAAATACTGTGTTTGTTGGTCATTGCCGTTCTTTTATGGGATTCGGAACTTGAGAATTGGATCCGTTCATATTTGGCAACTTTGGCAACTTCAATCCCATCAGGATACGTTTTTAAAATAGATCCAATTGGTGCTTGATTTCCCATTTTAACATCAGGAGCGAAAAAAAGTTGATTATACTTATCAATTTTATTATTATTTCTAATATTGGCAACTTCTCTGATAACTTCGTGCCGAGGTAAATGGCTTGGAATTGCCGGATATATTGGTGGAACTGTTTGAGGACCTCGATCTCTTTTCGCTGTATGTTGAACCAAAGGTACTGGGGTCTCGTCTTCGTGGCATTTTGCAACCAACTTAAGCGCAAAACATTCAATTTCTTCGCGGATTCCATCTTCTATAATATAGAACGTCTCTCTTTCAATCAAGTCTTCGGGACTATTTTTAAATTGAAATGCCGCCACCAAAGTAAAATAGTTCCGCTTATACCCAACCCACTCTCCATCAAGCTTGTCAAACCCTCGGTCAACTCGAGCGCTAATGTTTGGAACTATAGTGCAGTTACTGGAACTGGCATATAACGTTTGGAAATGAGTAGTTCCACTAAAGGACGGTCCTACTTTAAATTGAAGACTACTTCGTGGCGCAAGTTTCTTCTTTTTCTTGTCCAGGCGACTCTTGCTTCGCTTCGTCCTTGTTCCGCTAGAGTTAGTCGGCTGGAATGAGTTATCTGATTCACTTTCGCTCTCTTCCATGGACAGGCTCAATTCTCTTTTCACCTTTGGCATTGTTCCAAGGCTGCTTCTTCATTCAATATCTGGCCCCTGCTTCTTTGATACCAAAAACAAACTAAACCCTACCCAATACTTACAACTAACCCAATCTCTAGGTTGGAATTAGCCGCTTGCTATGGAAAATGGATAAAAAAAATTGAAGTTGGAAAAAGTTGATAATTTTGAACTCCACAGAAATGAAATAAAAAAATGCGGAAGGAACCTTTTTTTGCAGCGAAAAAACTGTCTGATGGGCTTATCTGAGGCTGCAAAACACTCTCCCCGGCGTAATCCCTAAGGAATATTGGTAAGTACTATCGCCAGTGAGTAGCTCTGGTCTTTTACGATTGTTTGAACCGTTTCATTCTTACTAACCTTCTTTTTGCAGTTGCTATATGTAATTTTTGAGATTCTTGAACGTTGGTGTACGGAGTTTTAGTTCTGATTGTGTGGCAGTCGCACGACTCATCTATTGAACTTATAATTTTTTTTAACGATGGGCCATATTTAAAATTTTCAAGTAGTCTTTCTATAGAGATATACAAGCTAGAAACATAGTATAATGGGTAAGAAGGCTATTGACGCACGTATTCCATCGCTTATCCGTAATGGTGTGCAAGAAAAACAAAGAAGTTTCTTCTTTATTGTGGGAGATAAAGCCCGTAATCAATTACCTAATTTACATTATTTGATGATGTCTGCTGATTTAAAAATGAATAAATCAGTTTTATGGGCATATAAAAAGAAATTATTGGGATTCACTTCAAATAGACAAAAGAGAGAATCCAAGATAAAGAAGGATATCAAGAGAGGGGTTAGAGAAGCTAACGATCAAGACCCATTTGAAGCATTTATTTCAAATCAACATATCAGATATGTTTATTATAAAGAAACCGAAAAAATTTTAGGTAATACTTATGGGATGTGTATCTTACAAGATTTTGAAGCAATTACTCCAAACTTATTGGCAAGAACCATTGAAACTGTTGAAGGTGGTGGATTGGTTGTTATTCTTTTGAAATCAATGCAATCTTTAAAACAATTATATACTATGACTATGGATATTCATTCTCGTTATAGAACTGAGGCACATGATGATGTTGTTGCCAGATTCAACGAAAGATTCTTATTATCGTTGGGATCGAATGAAAATTGTCTTGTTGTTGATGATGAATTAAATGTTTTACCAATCTCGGGTGGTAAACATGTTAAACCATTACCTCCAAAAGATGATGACGAATTACCCCCAAAGCAAAAAGAATTGGTCGATTTGAAAGAAAGTTTGGCTGATGTACAACCAGCTGGTTCATTGGTTGGATTATCAAAAACAGTTAATCAAGCTCAAGCAATTTTAACCTTCATTGATGTAATTTCAGAAAAAACTTTAAGAAGCACAGTTACTTTAACTGCTGGTAGAGGCCGTGGTAAATCCGCGGCATTGGGTATTGCAATGGCTGCTGCTATAAGTCATGGTTATTCCAATATTTTTGTTACTTCTCCTTCTCCAGAAAATTTAAAGACTTTGTTTGAATTTGTTTTCAAAGGTTTTGATGCATTAGGTTATACTGAGCACATGGATTATGATATTATTCAATCAACTAATCCTTCCTTCAATAAGGCCATTGTTAGAGTTGATGTTAAAAGAGATCATCGTCAAACTATTCAATATATTGCTCCAAATGATTATCATGTTTTAGGTCAAGCTGAATTGGTTATTATTGATGAAGCTGCTGCAATTCCATTACCAGTCGTTAAAAATTTAATGGGTCCTTATTTAATTTTCATGGCTTCAACTATTAATGGTTATGAAGGTACTGGTAGATCATTATCATTAAAATTGATTCAACAATTACGTGATCAATCCAATTCCAATAAAAATGATACTCAAACCACAGTCATATCAAGAGATTCTAAATCAAATATTGAACCAGAAAATTATAGTAGAACTTTAAGAGAAGTTGTATTGGATGAACCAATTAGATATGCACCTGGTGATCCAATCGAAAAATGGTTAAATAAATTATTATGTTTAGATGTTTCATTATCGAAGAATTCTAAATTTGCTGCCAAAGGTTGTCCTCACCCATCTCAGTGTAATTTATTTTATGTTAATAGAGATACTTTATTTTCCTACCATCCAGTTTCTGAAGCATTTTTACAAAAAATGATGGCCTTATACGTTGCATCTCATTATAAGAATTCTCCAAACGATTTACAATTAATGAGTGATGCACCAGCTCATCAATTATTTGTATTATTACCACCAATTGAAGAAGGTGATAATAGAATCCCTGATCCATTGTGTGTTGTTCAATTAGCATTAGAAGGGGAAATTTCAAAAGAAAGTGTACGTAAATCATTATCAAGAGGTCAAAGAGCTGGTGGTGATTTAATTCCATGGTTAATTTCTCAACAATTTCAAGATGAAGAATTTGCTTCATTATCAGGAGCAAGAATTGTCAGAATTGCCACTAATCCTGAATATAGTGGTATGGGTTATGGTTCAAGAGCTATAGAATTATTAAAAGATTATTACGAAGGTAAATTTACTGATATTAGTGAATCTAATGAAATCAATGATCATACTCTTACAAGAGTAACCGATGAAGAAATATCTAAATCATCTTTAAAGGATGAAATTAAATTAAGAGATGCTAAAACATTACCACCATTATTATTAAAATTATCCGAAAAGGCACCATATTATTTACATTATTTAGGGGTATCATATGGTTTAACTCCACAATTACATAAATTTTGGAAACGTTCAGGATTCGTACCAGTTTATTTAAGGCAAACTGCTAATGAATTGACTGGTGAACATACCTCAGTAATGTTACATGTATTAGAAAATAGAGAATCCAATTGGTTAAATGAATTTTCTAAAGATTTCCATAAAAGATTTTTACAATTATTATCTTATGAATTTAAGAAGTTTTCATCTATACAAGCACTTAATATAATTGAATCAATTGAAGCTGGAGAAGAAGATAAGACTGTTAACAAATTAACTAGAAGTAGATTAGATGAAATTTTATCACCATTTGATTTGAAAAGATTAGATTCATATGCTAATAATTTATTAGATTATCATGTTATAGTTGATATGTTACCATTAATTTCCCAATTATATTTCAATAAGAAAACATCAAATGATGTTAGTTTATCATCGGTTCAAGCCGCAATTTTATTGGCTATTGGTTTACAACATAAAGATATGGATCAAATATCTAAAGAATTAAATTTACCATCTAATCAATCGATGGCGATGTTTGCCAAGATTGTTCGTAAATTTTCAAGTTATTTTAGAAATGTATTAAAAGAAAGTTATGAAGAATCTATGCCAGAATATAAAGATGAACATGTTGAAGAAATGGAAGGTAAAGTTGAGCATGTTGATTATGAAAAGATTAAGCAAGATTTAGAAGAAGAATTAGATAATGCTGGGGATGAAGCAGTTAATGAATTGAAATTAAAACAAAAAGAGTTAATCAACGCAATTAATTTAGATAAATATGCAATTGCAGATGATGCCGAATTTGAAACTGCAGGTAAATCATTAAATAAAGCAGTGAAAGATAAAGGAGTGGTTAGTGTTAAAAGTAAAAACAAGAGAAAACAAACTGAAAGTGCCAATGATATTTATGAAAGTGAAATGAATAAAGTTGGTAAGAAATCCAAAAAATCCAAAAAGTAAATATAATTGTATAATAATTTAGTTAAGAATGGAATCAATAGACCATTGAATCAAGTCGTTTAAAGTAGTTTTCGATTCATTTTGATAACTTAATAGGCCCAAATCTTTTATTGCGTATGTATTGAGCTCTTTATTAACATCGTTATCAATAAAGAGATAATTATGATTTTTCACGTATTGGGGCCAAACAATATTTTCAAAGTAGTTTGGAGGATCCACCCAAAAGCCAGCTTCTGTATTGTACCCGGATCTTGATTCTCTTCTATATTTCAAAGTGTCAAAACTGGCATAAAAGAACAATTTCAAGTCAAACAACGAGATAATCTCCGGGTCATGGAATAGCATAAACCCATCGACGAAAACGTATAACGTATCGGGAGTCGAAGGTATCTTTCGTCTGTACTCACTTATCTCATCCTTTGACAATTTCAAGGTCACGTCTGACTCTAAAGTTTTAACTTCGCTAAGTATACCCTTTTTAATATTTTCAATATACTCGACAAACTTATCAAAGTCAATTGCCTCCGGGCAATCCCAATCTTTTTCTTGATGAATGGGGTCTACTGGAATTTGTTCATCAGGTATATAGAAATCGTCAAGATGAACCAGAATAGAGTTTTCAAATAAACAAGTTAATGCTTTGGCAACGGTGGTTTTCCCCGATGAAGAAGGTCCACTCAAGCCAATAAGAACGATGTTTTGGCCCTGTTGAAACTTAATTGTCTGATGTGGAGAAGCTGCGGTCGACATTTCTGTAAGATGAGATGAATGTATAGTTTAAAAAGAATAGGTTGCAAATGCCAATCCAGACCCAAAAGTGAAAAAACCCAACGAAATTATTCGCTTTTGGCAAATAACCTTTTGGTGGGGGAGGGGGGTAAGCGAGGCACCAGACCCGTGCACCATACAGCCTTCGATGAGATCTCCCGAATAGGCAATGATATTGAGATTTTGATTTGATGTACTAAATAGGAAATTTTCCAGTTAGCAGCATTCACTGACTTGATTACTATTGTTATAGGCTATTGTGGACCTAGTGGGTTTGATACTCTGAGGCAGGATCGCTCACAAGGACAAAGAGTGCTCGTTGGTAACTCCGTAGAGAGGAGATTAAAGATGAGAAAAAAAACCCAACAAGTTTGAGCAGAAGAGCATTCTCCTTACAACGGGAAGCGAGTCAAAGATCAAGGACAAGCCATAAGAAAGAAGCAAGACAGATAAAATCACCCGGCTCAAAGACAAAAGGAAAAAAAAAAAAAAAAGGAAGTCAGAACGCAACATTGGCCTTCAAGGGGGTATGTCAGATTTCACCTCGAGGATTAGACTTTTCATATGATAAACCACCTCGAAAACCTGCCCATATATCAACGGTTAGACCAGAGCCAAGTGACGAGACCCTTTGACCTGTCTACAAAAAGAAACGAATTTACATAGGGGAAACAGAGTCAATGGAACAAGACAAACAGAATAATGAGTTTCACAATTGGGTATACAAATATTTACCTTTCTGGGTATAGCGCATTATAAAGTGCACCATTACTAATTTCAACCCAACTAAAAGTCCCGGTCTAACTTTCCCTCAAACCAAGGTCAAACCAAGGTCAAACCAAGATCAAACAGCTCTTCCTCGCTTCAACTTCTTGATCCGAAGGTTGTGTTACCATCAAGCAGCAGAAACACAGAAAATTCAAGCAGGTGTAATATTTTATCAGTCCGTTATATCCAGGATACATGAAATGATCCCAAATCAGTCTCCTAAAGTATTACTTTGATACAATAAACAACTCCTTAGTGAAGTTATGTCGAAAAGCAGTAATTTGCAAATGGAAAAACTGCCAAAAAAACATATAAAACAATAATAAAACAACAACTGAAAATAAAAAAAAAAAAAAAAAAAAAAATTGCTGCAATTATTTTGTGCCTAAAGCTGCGCATTGTTCGTAAAAACTACTCATTAACTAAAATAGGTAGTTTTTCAAATTGTAAGTTAAGCAATGGGTGGGAAGATTATATTAAAGAGATTATTTGCCCATAAAATCTTCCTGCTGGTGTAGTTTCTTCTTTTACTATGTATATTCATTGGGATTGAATATTTATCCATGTATCTATTCAAGTAGAAGGAAGATTGCATTAAACATTTCCATTCGTTAACATCAAATTTTATTTGAAAACGTCTTCTATTAGCAAATAAATCACTATTCAAGTTGTTATCTCTAGTTAATCTAATGAATACGCCTCAGTCTACTGATGGGGCACAGCCATCACCTAGTTCAGTGCATCAATCGGTGACTACGGCTTCAACAACATCAAAGGATAAATCAGCACCCAAAACTAGTAAGACCCCGTCGCCACCTTTGAAAAACAAAAAGACATCACCAATAAATTCCAAGTTATTATCCAATTTGAAGAGCTTTAATATTGATCGATCAAAATATAAACACTATGGACACAATTCGCTGATGAATAGCCAATCTTTGGAGCAAATTATCAAACAAGGAGATGATAAACATGCTAAGGATCAAACGAGTCCAACTAGTGAAGGAGGCTTAAGTCCATCTTTTGAATCGATTGAAGAAGACGAGGAACCAGATAAACATTATATCATTGATCAATCAATTGCCAAAATTTTGGATTTGCCATTATCTACATTAAAATCAAGTTGGCCTTATCATACTGATACTTTGAATGAAATATTGAAATTGAAAATTGAAGAAGAAAGAACAAGACAAGTTATCTTGAAACAAGAGTTTGGCTCGACGATTCTTGAATTATTAAAGGTGGCCAAATCCATGAATATTAATGGAGAATTGATTCCGCTTCTTTTCTTAAATGAAAATGAAGAAAATCATAATCTTGACCATTTGAAACTTACTTTGAAAAATTTAAAAGAAAAATCAGTTCCTGACACTCCTAAGACTTCAATAAAGAGAAAGTATCTGGAAACAAGTCAATTACCTTCGTTTAATGAAACGGCTGAAAATATTCGTATGTCTTTATCTATTCCTTCTAATCAACCTCAAAATATCATTTCTCCAATAAGATCCCCTGATAAATCCTATGCTTTACCCATTCATCATAAACGCACCGAGTCCGATTCAAGTGATATGAAGGAGAGTATCACTAAAAATAACTCGCCTTCTACTAGTTTGGCTAAACCAGTTTATCTGCAACAACAACTGCCAAATATTCCCGAACAAAAAACTCAAGCTCCTGTTTATCCGGTTTATTATACTCCAGTTCCACCTCAAGGGATACCACAACAGCAGCAACAACAACAGCAACAGCAACAACAACAACAACAGCAACAGCAACAACAAGATCAAAAACAAGGTGACAACCACACCACTGTCTTGGGGTCTCCGTATTCTCAAAAATATCAACCTTATATGTATCCCCAATATCAACACGGTAATTTTGTCCCTCAACAAGCTCCCCAATACTATTATGTTGCTTCTTCTCCTTCAAACCAAAACCCTTCCTCCCACCAAAATCATCCTCAATACATCATGTCTGGGCCTCCCCCTCCTCCTCCTCCAGGTATGATGATTTCTCAGTACCCTCAGATCCCCATCCCTTATGGAGCTACGTCTATTCCTGAGTCCAACACTTCTCCAAGAGAAGAAACGTCTACTACCCCTGTTCCTCCTCCTGCTGCTGCTCCAACCACTGCTCCTACTCCTGTTTCTGCCCCCACTCCTTCAAATTCCCAAAGTACTAAAAAGCATAAATCCAATAAATCTTCTAATATCAATTTTATGATTACTACTCCTAAAAATCCTCCTGCTAAAAAGTATAATAATACTAACAAGGATAAATCAAATTGATTCTACTTATTCTTTTTCTACGATTCATGAATATTTTTCAATTCATTCTATTCTCGAAATTCTATCTTACGTTCTTTCGTGTTATTTCATTTCTACATATTTCTTTCATTATTGCCTTGATTATTTATTCACTTCTTATCCATATTGCGGTTTTCTTTTATCTTACTCTATTTAATACCCATTATAGCATCTTAATAGACACTTCGTAAATAAGCAATCATTTGTAATCCTGCCAATGACTCACATTCTTCCTCTTTATTAATGTCTTGTCACGAGTTTTAGCTGCAAACAAGATCTGGACAACCTCTTTGCTGCAACAAATTAGTCATTGATCCAAACCAAATGGCTATTGGCTAAAATATCCGGGTCGTCAGGCTGAAAGCTACAGGTTAGCACAAGCCTTATGTTCGCAAAGCTGTATAGTCAGGGCAGCCATCGAGTAGCCCCGTAGTCTCGGTGTTAGTCAGGCGATACCATCTGTGAAGAAATACTCACAGTATTGGAACTTCCTTATAGCAGAACTTACCACCGAGTCATTCACCTGGAAATAGTGCTGCAGTCTTACAGCAATCCTTCTACCCATACTGTAAGCTCCATGTCGGAAATCCCAGTCAGGTTTTCTCTAGATGACAATACAAGCAGTTCGTTTATTCCCTCAAATGATGAACAGAGCTACCCATCCTCCCGGTGAGCTTTCAATTGAGATGGTGTCCAAGACAAACTTCATCGAAAAACCGTTAGATGCCAAAATATTTTGACATCGTGCAGATTTACAGTAGAAAATAAATTCCGAGCTAAAGCCGAGTGCGATGTTTTCTTGTTTTATCGGAACCATACTTAAGTTACCGATTTTGCTAACTTCTTCTTCACGAAAACATTTTTTGAAATCTATACTTCGACAGTGAAGACTTACTTTTGATATATTCTGGATACCTACTGAATAGTTAGCTGCTGTTTTGACTAGTCATATCGCTGCCTTTTTTTGAAAGAAATATACCAAAAAACGGAGCATCTGAAACAAAAAAAGAAAGAAAAGGTCCGTTAAATTGACGACTTTAAACATCTGAATCAAAGTATATATGAATAATGAGTCTGGCATCTAGTATATCCAATGATAGTGTGCGAAGAGTGGAGTCTGACCCTCGAGGGCTAGAACCTGAATGTGATCAAAGAGGAGAAACTGCAGTTGATGCTTATCCTGATGGTAAAAAACGAGATTCTTCAGAAGAAAACTCTAAAAGAGTGCCTCCTTTCACTATATTTGTTAAATCTGATAAAGCGTTTTTGATTATATTGATTTCGGCTATTGGATTTTGGAGTTCAATATCAAGTCCGATATATTTCCCTGCAATACCAACTCTTTCTAAATATTTTCATGTTTCTGATGAAATCATGAATATTTCAGTTGTGCTATATTTGATTTTTCAAGGTTTGGCCCCATCGGTCTCTTCCAATTTTGCAGATACTTTTGGTAAAAGACCGGTTTTCATTGCATCTTTTCTCATATACATAGCATCTTGCATTGCAATATCTCAAACAAACGTCTATTGGTTGTTAGCCTTTTTAAGATGTATTCAAGCATCGGGTATAGCCCCGGTCATTGCCATTGGTTCTGGTGTGGCCGGTGACGTGTGTACTGCTGCTGACCGTGGTGGGTTTGTTGGGATCGTAAATGGAATGTTACTCGTTGGAAACGGTATTGGTGGTCTTGTGGGAGCTCTTATTATACATGGTTTTGATTGGAGAGCGATCTTTATATTTCTAGCTATTGGAGGAGGTGCAACTTTATTATTTGTTTTGGTCTTTTTACCTGAAACAAGTCGAATGATTGTTGGTAATGGTTCAATTGTGCCTAAGAGTGCCTTTAACAAAGCACCGGTCCTTTTATTCCCCCATATAAAACCAAAATTAACTAATGATACATCTACTCTTGCACCAAAGGAAAAAATGGATTTTTTTGCTCCGTTTAAGCTTGTCTTAAAGATCCCAGTGATTTGTACTTTATTACCAGCGGGATTACAATTTGCAGCTTGGACTATGACTTTAACGTCCATTTCTACAGTGTTGGAATCTGATGCTTATAATTATAGTGTTATGCATGTTGGTTTAATCTACTTACCGCAAGGTATCGCATGTTTTGTTGCATCACTTTTAAGTGGTAAAGCATTGAATGTTTATTATCGATATCGTTCAAATCTTCATGAAAAAAAGTATCAAGATTGGGATATCGAAAAAAGACCCCCTTTAAACAAATATAGAATAAGACTTGACCTTGCAATTGTTCCTGCGACTTTCATGATTCTTGGATTAATTATTTTTGGTTGGTGTCTTGAATATAAGCGTCATATCATTTCAATTATCATTTCTACTATATTAATATCTTTTGCTGCATCTTCCTTCATGTCAATTGTTATAACCATGCTTGTTGATCTTCAACCAACAAAGGGTTCAACTGCTGCAAGTTCAGTAAATTTAGTTCGTTGTCTTTTAGCTGCAATTGGAGTTGCAGTTTTGGAAAAAATGTCCCATAGTATGACTTTGGGTGGTACCTATACATTTTTGGCAGGAATTTGCTTTGTTGCTGACTTACTACTTGTAGGTGTTGTAATTCATTCAACGAAAAAGCTTTATGAAGGTTATGATCGTTAATACTTTTACTAATTTCATTAATTTATTTAATTTATAGATTTTTTCATTTAATATCCTCTATTTTTTGGTCTACACAATATAACTCATACGAATATATTAATATACATCGGATCATCATTAACTATTCTGCAATTCTTGCAGGGGCTTGTTCTGGTTCATCAATAAAGGCAGGTAATTTATCAGTAGTTGTTTGATCTGATTCTAAGTAGCTTGGTGTACCTAATCCTGACTCTGTCATTTCATTTTCAAAATCCATTTCTTCTCCTAATGCATCTAATTCTGCATCTAATTCGGATTCACTAATATCATCTGGAACGTCATAACTTGTCGATAATGACTCTTGTAATTCATTAGATTTATCAATTAAATCCAACATTTCATCTTGCAAAGACTCTATTTTATCAATATCTATCTTACCATATGTTTTTTTCAATTGTTTATTGGCAGTTTTCATAGCATCAACTGTAATCATAGTATTTTGTAAATTATCCGTGGTCATTGAAGCTTGAGTCATATTCCAAGATTGATTCTCTAACTGGTCTTTCTGACTTTCAATTTGCTTTCTTTGTCTTAACAATTTCAACGCTCTTTGTTTCAATGCAGATTTCCCTGGTCCATCTCTCATTCTAGCTATTTTTTGTTGATAAGTTGATAACTCGGAATTTATTTTGGTTAATTTAACATCCAATGATCCAACTCTGTCATCTATGTTTTTGACAGCATCATTCAAAGATGGCTTAGGTACAGAACTTTTCAGTCCAAAGAGTCTATTCATGTCCGTTTTATGTTATTTAAATGGTTATTAATGAAGTATTAGTTCATAAATGTTAAGTTCGTAAAGAGGGAAAAAGGGACTGACCTCAGTTATATAACATCCGTACACCAGTACTATGATTTTAGCTGGTTGATCACTAAGTATAAAATAGCAAAACTGCCTTGTCTTCAGAGCTTTATGTTGATTTAAGAATTGAGAATGAAGATGGTTGTAAAGAATCATGTATGGGGTCGCTGTTCAGCTTTTTGTTAAATTTTGAGTCTTTTTTCCAAAAAGCTGCAAAAAAGTTTGTTAACTCGAAATGCTTAGAGTATTCTTACACTTTGGTATAAAGAGAATGTTTATTGACTATATAAATTTGACTAGAGCAGACCATTGACTGAAATGAGCACAGAAGACGAGTGTTTAACTCAGTGGCTCAGTGGATCACTGAGAATCCCTCTGTTGGCAGTGCCAACGGACAGAAAATGTTTTCTAGAGTCATAAAATCATAAACTAAACTTTTCATTTTTAATTAAACACACGATAAAACAAAAAGGGCTATTATGTAGCCTGAAACACCAGTTCTTTCAGCACCAGCAGCATGTGAAAATGATGATGGAGACGATGCTAACGTAGACCTCGAGCTTGACATCGAGCTCGATGGTGTTCTAACAGGTGAGATGGTAGGACCATGATGTTCACCATAACCAGGCTCATGAGCCAATGGTTCTTCGGACACTAGTTTTTTAACTAGAGCAGCTTGAGCGCAGGTAAGAATTACCAAAGTAGATAGTATTATAGAAAGCTTCATATTTTTAATGATTTAAACAAATAAACTTACATTAAACAGGATACTGTCATGCTCCTATTTATACAAAACTCTTCACATACCGACCTACTTTGAAAGTGAAAAATTTTCATTCAATCGTGGTACTTCCCCCTCTGAATCTAAGTTATATTGATATGAAAAGGCTGAATCTTGTTTTTTTAGCAGCACTCGTAACAGAACCCTTTCACGCAAAAAAAAAAAAAACAGACTAATATGACTCATATACCATGAAAGGCTTCGGGAGTAGATAAACTCCGTCGGTGTAGTACTAGATTAGTATGACTGTCGAAGTTAGAAGGCTATAGTAAACCCGAAAGACGATACATGTCACTGAGTGACTATATGATTCACGTATTTGGGGGTCTTTTAGGCCGAGAGGCCACCAATCCCGAGAGGTACTAGATTTGTATAGGCGGAGTAATGGACACTAATAGCTATTAGTAAGAAAGAGGTTTAGAATTGGAATGGAGACTGCCATTCAAATTTGGCTAGCAGTTTGAAGTTCGGAAATCAGAATTAAGATTCAAAAATTCAGAAATCAAATTGAGAAATTGCAAATGCTTGTATTATTTATTTCCTATTGATAAAGGCCCCTTCATTTGATACGGCCAATTACGAAACCCTTAACCTCTAGGTCAAGAATTTTCAGGAAAACCTTGATATGCGAGACAAAGTTTCGTTTGAATTTGATTCTACGACAAATCGGGAAACTTTGTCATGTCAAGTCTCTTTGATTATGTAGAAAAGTCAGTCACTACATTTTGAAAGCGTCAAGTATCGCTTTCGCAGTATGTAGCTAAATTTATTTTTTTTACATTGAAAGTTGACTTTCATCTATACCATATTAGAAGTAATTTTGGTAAGATTCATGGTTGCACAGTTCCATTGAAACAAGCTAATGGATTAACATTTTGAAAATATTTCTAAGCTATACTTAACAAAAGCAAAGCTTATGGTTTTGGATAGTAGAAAGAGTAGAAAACACAGAAGATTCGTCTAGTTGGGAACGTAGCTTACAATTAAAGTGAGTGAAGTAATGATCGTGATATATATATTTTTTTTTTTTGCACCCATTGCACCGTTTTTTTTTGAAAAAGTAGATTTTATTATTTCTGCACTCCTGAATTAATTAGATTACCCAAAAGTGAAGCCATTAAATTAATTCTGAAGAACAAAAATTGAAAATTGAAATATTTTACTACTTTCTACACTATTAGTATATTCATCTTTTACCTCATCGTGAGTTATAGAATAGCTCCACTAGCTCAGTTGGCAGAGCGTCAGTCTCATAAGAAATTATTCTTGTGCAATCTGAAGGTCGACAGTTCGAACCTGCCGTGGAGCATTCTTTTTTTGTTTTTTTTATATTTTAACTTTTAGGTGAGACCTACTACTTTGCCTGTTAGTTTTTATATTTTTATTCTCACCAACCAAACCATTGCTTCGGTATGCCTGAAGTAGCAGAAGTACGTATTCACCAATTGTTGAATTGCACTGTCCATATTGCTAACTTGAAAAATTGACTAGGTAGCTCATTTTTGTGCTTTGCTAAAGAGAAATATAATTAATTATACAATAACAAAAGCAGATTTGGTTCATGATAAGCTATTGTTTCCATTTTTAAAAGAAGCGGACTCCGACTTGGAATATGAAAAATTTCGTACCGGATTAATTGGATCATCGATACATTCGGTATCAAGATATGGGAAGTTTTTCTGGTTAAGATTGAAGAAACATGATTGCAAAGAGACCAACGTTTTATTAATTCATCTTGGAATGACTGGCATGGTTAAGTTGAAAAATATCAAATCGCATTTGACATTTATGGAAAATGGGGGTGATCGGAAGATCTTAGAGAAATTGAAAAAGGAACATGATCCAAAAGAAGAAAGTAAGTTGAAGAAAGAAGCTATAAAGGAAGAGTTGGATGCTGGGCCAGAGTCTCAAAATTTTGGCGACTGGCCACCAAAATTTTGCAAGTTTGAGCTAACTTTCGAAAAAGATGGTAATACAATTGACTTTGCATTTGTAGATCCCAGAAGATTTGCTAGGATCAGATACTTACCGGGTGACTTAGTTCCAACGGATAACGATTTACTAAACCACCCGCAACTAACATCTTTCAGAGGTGATTATTCAAAACCAATAACCCCACCAGAACCGAAAAAACACTTTGTTTTTGGTGATCCAGATCCGGATAATCATGGTCATCCAATACCGTCACTACAAGAGTTTAATAAGTTGATTTTAAGCAAGAAAAAATCAATCAAAGCGTTGCTACTTGAACAAAAGTATTTTGCCGGAGTGGGTAATTGGATAAGCGATGAGATTTTATACCAGGCAAGAATTCACCCAGAAGATGTATTACTGACTAAATTCCAATTAAGTAATGACATTCATGAAGTTATTGAAAAGTTGTATAACACAATCATTTATGTCTGCAAGAAAAGTGTTGAGGTCGAAGGTGACGTTACCCAGTATCCTGAAGACTGGTTGATGTTATACAGATGGGGAAAGGGTCGTAAAACTGAAGCAACTATAAAAAGTGGCCACAAGGTCAAATTTATCACTGCCGGTGGTAGAACTTGTTGTTTTGTCCCAGAATTACAAAAACCATTACCATCAATAAATAAAAGGTCAAATAATGGCAATGGCAAAACTGATAAACGCCAGAAGAAATAGTTATTTCCGTTTATGAAACGAATAGTAATAGACAATCAAGTGTATGATATCAATTCTTTAAGAAAGTTTGAAGAATTGAAAAGTATGCCTAATTTACACAGACACAAATTTAAGTATTTTTCGTAATTTTTCAACCAATTTTTCAAGTTAAAGTTGTAAAACAACCATCAACTCAAATTGTATTCTTAGTCAGTTCATAAATGCCAGATATTGCTAAGGTAGACTTTAGGAATTATCCAGCATTAAGAGTATTGCTATATCGGTTAAAACATGAAAATTTCTTTGGATTCTTGGTCATTTTCATACTTTTGATTTACTCCGGAATTGATTTTGAATACTACTCTGAGAGTTGCAAAAACCCTGATTCTTTACAGCGTTTAGATCCTTTGATACTTGAGCAGGTATTTGAATACTTGACCCAGGAAGAAGCTCTTGCACTAATGAAATGTTGCACCAAATTAAATGAAATAGGTCGAAGAAGATTGTACAGACTGGTCGAGGTTAATGAAAAAGTATTTATACAACTGGGGAAGAAATATGGCGACTTGACCAACAAAGGTGTAATTGTTAATCGATATCGTATCGAGAACACGATAATCAATCAGCGACAGTTTCTCAAGCTTGTTTTTGGATATAAGATACCAACTGGACTAGTCCAAAGGATCCATATTCAGAACTTCCATTTTTTTTACTCCCCTAGCTTTATTAAGCTGCTACAAGAAAAGTTCACTACGGCGACAATCAAACTCTCAACCAATTGCAATGAGAAGCGATTTTTTAAAGAAAATGTTAGCAGGTGCATTCACCCGTATATCAATTGCTTCATTGCGGAAAGATTAACTGAACTAGAAATACAAGAGGAACAGTTGGCGCAAGAAGATACGAAGACTCCGTTATTACTTGTTCACCTTGAGAAACTTGTCATCAGGAGTAAACTGGACCTGACTTCAAATATATGGCTATCAGATTGGAAAGTGTTATTCAGAGTATTAAAGTCATTGCACATTAAAGGTGATGTTATTTCCATGTTAGGGCGAATGAAAGATGGTGATATTGAAAATTTGGGGTTGGATGAATTCGGGTGTGGCTTCACAGAGAATGGGCACTTACGGCAGTTTGATCCATCTTTTATGTCGCTAATTAAATGGCACCATTTGAAGAAATTAAATCTTATGTGCACAGAAGAGTACAGCTGGTATATGATGCGATTTAGCTCCTTTTTGGAAACTATATCGTTTCTGTCAAATGAATTGAAAAGCGTTTCAATGAAGTGTTTGAAATCGGGTTTCTCCACACATCGGCATGGTCACAAATATGGAATTTTTGAAGATCTCCTACGAGTCTTATCAAGAAAGAATATAAAATTAGAAGTTTTGGAGCTTTCGATTTATGGTGCAAGCTTTAGAGCATATCGAACGGGAATCAATTTTCATCTTGCAAACTTAAGGGAATTTGCGTGGATCGACCCATCTGAAAGCGATGACCTGCTAAGAAGAATTGATCAAACCAACGAAGATAAAGACTTGATCAGAGACCTATTAAGAGACGGAACCAAATTAGAATTTGTAAATATCAATGATATTAATTATATCATTGACAGAAAGTTTAATCACGAATACATTGAGATAATCCCCTCTACTGAATAAGCGAAGCTTACTTGAGGTGTTTAAGTAGAAAAGCGCTAAATAGCTGCAAAATACTATAGTGACGAAGAAAATCTTGTAGGCAGCCCTAAAGCTGCAAAATCGCTCAAGCGGTATTTTGCAACTATCCGTTCCATCCTTGTGAGAGGGCCAAACAAGCTTCCAGTGATGGACTAGGGCAAGGCTGGAATAAAGTGTCACAATCACCAGAGTTTACCCGAAACCGGAAAAAACTCGATCAGCACAAACCCAACGGAGGAGGGGAAACGGCTAGTCCGAGATCCTCCGTAGTTTGCAACAATTAATTTGTAGAGTAAATCAAAGCGAGATAATCAAAGGGTTTTATTGTGCTTGTTAATGGATTCGTTTGAGAAGACCAATTTACGATCTATGCTGTTAGCGGATACAGTATTTCGTGCGCTATCAGTAGGTATCAGACAGATCATCACAACATGGCCATAATCAATGTCGATTAAACCACTACTTCACCATAAAGCAATGGCATCATCCAGAGTTAACGAAGTGAGTAGCTAATCAGAGTAAGTAATGGGAGAAATCGGAACAACTGAAGCCAGATTCGAGGGTGAGGAGGGGCGGCCCCAGCAGCGCTTCCCCAACCCTCGGCGAGGGCCCCGGAAATGGAGCCGCCAACCCAGCGACGGGTCACGTGAGCACGCGATTCACCGTCGAGCATCTCCGAATCCTTCCTTTTGTTGTCAAAATTGAAAAGAACAAAAATGTTTAAAGAGGAGATGTAGATTACCCAACTTATTCCTATCGTCAGTTTAAGAGGGGATTACTGGATAACAGCAAGAACAAGCCAACAGAATAAAACCGCAAATTGACGAATCTGGTGATGTCGATTCATCTTGTCGACTGATGTATCAAATGATGGCAGGCTAATCGGGCTCGGGACCGAGTGGTGGAATGGTTAAAAATAGGACGTTACTCTTCGGGCCCGTCACCATATCTATCTGGCCACTATTAGTCACCAACCCAGTATTTGCATCCTGTTTTAGGTGCCCGTTTGTCCGTTGTGAGCAGCCAGAAAAGACCTAAAGACTGTCCTGCAAAGGAAAAACCCGGAACTGAAATTTTGACGTTTTTTTTTCTTTTTTTTTTTTTTTTGTTAAGCGAAGAACACGCCCACCGGAAGTCTTCCCCTCACACCCGGAAGTCCTGGTATTTTTATCATTTGCGGCGATGGATTACTTAAAACTGCTGGATGCAATTTTAAATCAGGATAAATTTTTGCATAAATATACCCCTTGATCCTGTTGGAATTTGAAATTTGGTTTGAGTTCAAGGGTTAACCATGTCTAGTCTTACTTATACTAAGCTTCCAAAGAGAAGCATCAAGGTATCAACCAAGTTCATTCGTTACCATGCAACCAAAACCACCGAGAGTGATTCAATTCATACTCATACTATTAAAACTCCAGTTGGTATTAAGGCCGCAATTGCAGCTTTAAAGCCTAAGACCACTAGATTATCAATTGAAGGACCAATTGAGTGTGATTTGAGAGGATTTCAATTATTGAATAGTCCAATTTATAATAAAGGTTCGGCCTTCACCATTGAAGAACGTCAGGCATTCGGGTTAACTGGATTATTACCTAGTCAAGTTAATACTTTAGACGAACAAGTTGAACGTGCTTATCAGCAATTTCAATATTTGAAAACACCATTAGCTAAGAATGATTTTTGTACTTCGATGAGAATACAAAATAAAGTTTTATACTACGAATTAGTCAGAAGACATATTAGAGAAATGTTACCAATCATCTATACTCCAACTGAAGGGGATGCCATTGCTAACTACTCTCATCGTTTCAGAAAACCAGAAGGTTGTTTCTTGGATATTAACGATCCAGACTCAATTGATGAAAGATTATCTGCCTACGGTGAAGATAAAGATATCGATTATATCGTTATGAGTGACGGTGAAGGGATTCTTGGTATTGGTGATCAAGGGGTCGGTGGTATTAGAATTGCCATTGCAAAATTGGGGTTGATGACTTTATGTGGTGGTATTCATCCCGGTCGTGTTTTACCAATTGCCTTGGACGTTGGATCAAATAATGAAGACTTGGTTAATGACGATCTTTATATGGGTAATAAGTTTGCTAGAGTTCGTGGTGAACAGTATTGGAACTTTATTGATAAGGTTATTCATTCAATTAAAAACCGATTCCCAAATGCAGTTTTGCATTATGAAGATTTTGGGGTTACCACCGGTAGAACAATGTTAACCAAATATAGAAGTACTTTACCTTCTTTCAATGATGATATTCAAGGAACTGGTGCTGTTGTTATGGCTTCAATGACTGCGGCTTTGAAATTCTCAAACCGTGACTTATTAGATTCAAAAGTTTTAATTTACGGTGCTGGGTCTGCCGGTATTGGTGTTGCTGATCAAATTGTTAATCACATGGTTAGTCACGGTTGTTCCAAGGATGAAGCTTATAAGAAAATTCATATTATGGATCGTCGTGGGGTTATTTTGCAATCCATGGAAGCCAACGAAGGTCAAAAACCTTATGTTGATGATGACGCCGATTGGGAAGGTATCGATACTTCTTCTTTGGTGGACGCTGTTCGTAAAGTTCAACCAACTGTTCTTGTTGGTTGTTCTACCAAAGCTGGTGCTTTCACCGAAGAAGTTATTAAGGAAATGTATAAGCATAACCCCCAACCAATTGTTTTCCCATTATCTAATCCAACCAGATTACACGAAGCCTTCCCAGTTGATATTATGAAATGGACCGATAATAATGCTTTAATTGCTACCGGATCTCCTTTTGCTCCAGTTGATGGCCATTATATTAGTGAAAATAATAATTGTTTTACCTTCCCTGGTATTGGTTTAGGTGCTGTTCTTTCTAGATGTAACAGTATTTCTGATACTATGGTTAGTGCTGCAGTTGACCAATTGGCTAAAATGTCACCTAAAATGGATGATCCTAAAAATGGGTTATTACCTCGTTTAGAAGAAATTGATGAAGTTAGTGCTCATGTTGCCACCGCAGTCATTTTACAAGCTTTGAAAGAAAACAATGCTAGAGTTGAATCTGAAGAAAGACCAAATGGTGGTGGTTTTGTTCAAGTTCCAAGAGAGTATAATCAATGTCTCAAATGGGTCCAACTGCAAATGTGGAAACCAATTTACAGACCATTGGTTAAAGTTAAACACGTTCCAGAAATTCACACCTATCAATCATAAGTCATTTTTTTTAATTCCTTCATTTCTTTTAATTTTGCATTCAATTTTTTTTTATTTCTCTCATAGACTACACTGTTTTCTCGTTTACTGGATTTTATAGATTAATTTAATAATATATATTCATTTATAGTGTATCATTTAAGAAGTTTGTAATTTTCTTGATTCCGTAGAATTCAACATCATCAATATCATCTAAAGTCAATTTTGAATTTTTTTCCAACTTAGCTAACAAGTGATTTTCAAAGAAAAGGCAAGAATCATGAATTCCCCATGGCTCAACAAATACATGTACACTGGCACTTAAACCATCTTGTTTAGAGAATTCGTGATGATGTTTTACGAAATTTTCATGAGAGTACCCATATTTAACCAGTTTATAAAATGGAACATCAAGCGCATAATGACACCATTCTAATATATCATCACGAAGACCCTCGTCTTCACCCACAAGAACAAAAACCGAGCCTTTGGGGTTGGATAACGTGGGACAGTTTTTCCAATCATTCACGTCGTACGGCTTCTTGGACCCAGGCGAGACCCTCAAGCTCTGCAAAGGAGAATCACCAATAATCGCCAACAACCCAGCGGGATCGGTGAACGTATTATACGAAATCATATCGTACAATTTAGAATCGAAAAGCGACTTCCCTGGGGTGTTGGCGTCCTTTTCCGGCTCGAGTTTAAGCCAGGGCGAAATCATCACCAAATTAGCAGGAGGAATAACATGATCGTTGTGCTTCAAATAGTCTAAATAACCAACCGATAAGTTCCCACCAGCCGAGTCTCCCAAAATCGTGACATTGGTATGACCATCCTTCACCAAACTGGTATAGGTTGAGTGTAATTGCTCAAGCTGAGTTGGAAATGGGTACCCGTCACTTGCTAGTTTATAGTCTAACATTAAAATAGACGTTTTACGTTGGATCTTTGGGTCCAACAACCGGTAAATTGCCAAAATTGATTCAATTTGTTCTTTTTGAACCTGGAGGAAAAACCCTCCGCCATGAAGATATATAATTATCGGATCCTCTGGCTTGATATCTGGCTGCTGCACAAACCAATAAGAATCGGAATCGTACTTTTCACCAAATTTATGAAGAATGGAAGTTGTCTTTTCGTGTTGGAATTTGACAATCTTCAACAAGAAATCAACACTCACAATATTAAGCAACCACGAATCAACTGGACCAAGTAGCAAAGCAGTCCTATAAACCGTCAATTTCAAAAGAGCTAACAAGTTTTTACCATCATATTTTCTGGAACCAATGCCTCCAATGGTGTAGTACTTGATCACCACTAGGAACAAATTGACCGGTAATAAGAGTAGCAAAACAATTGACTTCAACTTAACCATATTCGCTTTGCCTAATCATTCAAACCGACAAACTTCCGACATTCAGTCTGCTTTTTATATTGCAAATTGAAAAATGCATCTCCTCTTGCCTGTGAATTTCAAGAGGTTGCGAAACCGAAATCCAGACACACCCGCACCACTGTGACGGAATTACCTGGTTGGTTCAGTTGCCAAAGTCAGTTTTCATCCCTGAACCAACGGTTCGTTATAAGGTTTCGTAGTTGTATAGCCCACCTTTAATTAGTCTAAATGAAGTCTGAATGAGGTCTAAATGAGGTCTAAAGAAGTCTAAAGAAGTATAAAGTCTAAAGAAGTATAAAGTCTAAAGAAGTATAAAGTCTAAAGAAGTATAAAGAAGTCTACATGGAAGTCTTGGGCCTGCGTATCTTTATTTTTCTGGCCTGTTTGAAGTCACGGACCAGTAGATTCAGAATATTGACTGTACTTGAATGGGCTTATTTAGATTGCAACCCCGTTGTACTTAGACTATTGCACACCTGTAGTACTTGGATAGACCTGCTGCCCTGATATTTAGATACTTTATCTACGGATCGGCAGATATTTTATTTATAGATGCAGTTCATGGTAATAGATCTAGATCGATCTCCAGATACACTTAGATATACTTAGGCATACTTAGATATAAGCTGGTAAGTATTTGACTGCAAAACCTCGTGAAGAACACACCCGTACCACAAAAGTAACCATTAGTAGTATTAACACTTAATTAGTATTAACAATTAATTATCAATTAGTATCAATAAGTATTGTCGTAAGTATCAATGATATTATCATTAGTATCATTAGTATCATTAGCGTATCAATAGTATAACCGATAGTATAATCAATGGTAATCAATAGTAAAATCAAATAGTACCGAGAGTATCAGTATCAATATAATCATAGAAAACACACCCAGACACCAGTTTTCTCAACAATCCGAACAGCCAGTGAGAAATGAAAGAAATTCGCGAGAAACTGAAAACTCGATCTCCAATTTTCAGTTTTTGAAAAAAATCGGTTTAGGAATACCTCTTTTCCATTGCATCAAGCTACAGTACCATCATGTCAGTTGAAGAATTAAAAAACACTGTTTCCAAGTTACAAGAAAGAATCCAATTCTTAGAACAAAAAGCCGGGGTTGTTCCAAATGTTCCAAAATCCATTAGAATGGTGTTAATTGGACCACCAGGTGCTGGTAAAGGTACTCAAGCACCAAATTTGAAAGAAAAATTCTGTGCCTGTCACTTAGCTACTGGTGACATGTTGAGAGCTCAAGTTGCTGCCAAGTCTGCTTTAGGTGTTGAAGCCAAAAAGATTATGGATCAAGGTGGATTAGTTAGTGATGAAATCATGGTTAACATGATTAAATCAGAATTAGAAAACAATAAAGAATGCTCTAGTGGATTTATCTTAGATGGTTTCCCAAGAACTATTCCTCAAGCTGAAAAATTGGACAGCATGTTGGACGAAAGAAAAACTCCATTACAAAATGCTGTTGAATTGAAAATTGATGACGAATTATTGGTTGCTAGAATTACTGGTAGATTAGTTCATCCAGCTTCCGGTAGATCTTACCATAAATTATTCAATCCTCCAAAGAAAGATATGATTGATGATGTTTCTGGTGAACCTTTGGTTCAAAGATCTGATGATAATGAAGATGCTTTGAAAAAGAGATTAGTTACCTATCACAAACAAACCGAACCAATTGTTGAATATTATAGAAAAACTGGTATTTGGTCCGGTGTTGATGCTTCTCAAAAACCAGCCACTGTATGGGATGACATCTTAAAATGTTTAGGTCAAAAATAAGTCTACATGTACTAACTATATATATAAATATATATACATTTATTTATTTAATTGTAATTAAACTTTTTCTCTTTTAACTTTAGAGTTTAAATCTTCATCTGCCCCTCTTTTCTTACTAGCCTCATTGAAACAAGTGGCGTGAAAGATCTTACGATTGGTCTTATCATTAGGAGACGCAATACAATTATACCAGCACCACTCTCCAATGTCATCGTTGTAAGTGGCTTTGATCGATTCACGACAGATAAGACACTTGTTATTCATATTCGTTTCATTTGAAGGAATAACAACGTAAGGAATTGGTTTTGATGTTGTATCATTATCTTGAATCATATTAGCTTCATTCGAAAGATTATTTGTATTGAATTCTAATAAATTATCATCTCTGAATTTAACCCAATCGTAATCATCAAGATACCAATTTCTCGATTGGATATTGGAATTTTGATTACCCAATTTTTTGTTGATTCTGAAATGCCAATCTAAATGCAACTGCTTTCTTGTGGTACCAATCTCATCATTAGTAAACCTCTTACCACATATACCACACTTGGAAGCTTTACATTCATATAATAATTGTAAGCTCAGTTGTTCTAAATCATTAGAATTGATGAAATTTTGTAAATTGATTTTGGTTGACTTGCTGGTTGATAATTTTTTAGATAATTTTAAGATTTCATTATATTTTAATTGTTCGTAAACAGTAGTGTTACTTAAGTATTGAGTATATTTAAGGAAAAAATCTTCAACTTCATTGGTTTCAGTTTTATTAATCGAAGTGGCACTGGTTGTAGTTGGATTATACTTAATTTTTGGTAAAACCACCTCATAGTGAGGTTTTGATCCTGGTTTTAATGATTGGTCTACTTTAACTAAACCAGATATAATTAAAGCATTGAATAATTCATTAGCCTTATTGGTATGGTTGATTGCTGGCGGGACTTGTGGTATCCCTGGTGTTTGTGATTCTTTAACATTTATATGAGTGTTTTGAGGTATTGGTGATGTAGCAGTGGCCAATTCTTGTTGTTTAATAGCAGTTAATTTTGTTTGAACTGCAATCAAATCATTTTTTTGCATGGTTTGATTTGATAATAATACTTTTAATTGGCTTAATGCATTGAATCGATCATTTAATTCGGGATCGGGATTATTAATCAACTTATTTTGGAATATTGGTATCAACGTATCAATATCTTTAATCAATGAACTATTAGTTAATACTTTATCATCATTTACTTTCCCCTTATACCCGGCTTGACTTAAAAATTTACCAATCTTATCAAGCTGCTCTTTAGGAAATATAGGCAATGCAGTACCCTTGGTCTTAGTCATCTTCCAGGTCTCAAATAAGTTATTCAACTTCTTTCGAACAGTATCATTGACTAATAAATACACATGCGAGAAGAGTTTGAATATCTCATCCCCAATTAATATATTATACGGATTCCCTACCGTTTTGCATATGGAATCCAACAAATATAAACTGAATAGTTTCTGTTCTGGAATACATTTATATATCCTTTGAGTTATAACATTCAATATCCCATCAGCAACATCGGTGTTTTCTTTGGCAATCGTGGTCAAATTATCGATAATTGGTCGGGAATTGAACGTTAGTTCCCGCAAGCTCGACGCGTAGTCTTCTATAATAGCACTGGATGGATCGTATGACATCCTGGGTCCTCTTTATACTTCAGTAGCCTAGCTTAATGCTTTCTCTTCTTTAACTTGGTCTTAAGTTTTTTCTCTGTTCGACTTAAAACCCACTTCCGAGGGCTCAAATCACGTGCAATACACTTACGACCATTTTGTTTCTAAAAGGGCAACACCATTAAGCGCGGTGTAAAAATTTTCGATTTTCACTCAAAAATTTTTTTTTTTTCATATTTTTTCAAATTCTTTTCATTAATTCAGTCCCATATTCAAGTAACTAAAGTAATGTCACCACCAGCTTCTACTGATAAAAAACAATCCGGAATTGCCAGAGTTTTAGGTTCTGCTTCTGCAGGTATCTGTGAAATTGGTGTTTTCCACCCGGTTGATACCATCTCCAAGAGATTGATGTCAAATCAAGGGAAAATTACCTCTGCAAGTCAATTGAATAGCGTTATTTTCAGAGAACATGCTTCTAAAGCATTGGGCCAACGTTTGTTTACCTTATTTCCAGGTTTAGGTTACGCTGCTTGTTACAAGATTTTACAAAGAGTCTACAAATATGGTGGACAACCATTTGCAAATGAATTCTTAACCAAAAATTTTAAAGACAGTTACGAAAATGTTTTCGGTCCAAAGACCGGTAAAGCCTTGATGAGTGCCACTGCTGGTTCTTTGATTGGTATTGGTGAAGTTGTTTTATTACCATTGGATGTTTTGAAAATCAAACGTCAAACTAATCCTGAGTCTTTCCGTGGTAGAGGTTTTGTTAGAATTTTAGCTGATGAAGGTTTTGGTTTATACAGAGGTTGGGGTTGGACTGCCGCTAGAAATGCTCCTGGTTCATTTGCATTGTTTGGTGGTAACTCTTTTGCCAAAGAATATATTTTTGGATTAAAAGATTATTCTTCTGCTACTTGGACTCAAAATTTCATTACTTCAATTTTCGGTGCTTCTGCTTCTTTAATTGTTAGTGCCCCATTAGATGTCATTAAAACTAGAATCCAAAACAGAAACTTCGACAACCCTCAATCCGGTTTCACCATTCTTAAAAATATGGCTAAAAATGAAGGTATCACTGCTTTCTTCAAGGGTTTAACTCCAAAATTATTAACTACTGGTCCTAAATTAGTCTTTTCTTTCGCTTTGGCTCAATCCTTGATCCCAGCTTTTGATAAGTTGCTCGGTTAAGCATTTGGATCAACTACATTTTGCTTCTTCTGTATATAGTTCCCTTTGTTACAATTTAGAATATCTCGATAAATCTATAATAAACGTTTTTACATTAGCTAAAGATTTGACTGTGAATTTTTCCTATTTTTTTTTTTTTTTTTTTTTTGGTGATAATATGACTGACTAATCCGTTGAATCCACTATCTTTCAAAGCCCTTGCACTATTAATAATTCATAGCATCTCTTGGGTGCATGGAAAAGTTGAAGATAGACTATATATTGTGGCCTGGCTCTGCTCGGGTGTTAAACTAAAGCTCGTTTATTTCATTGTTGTATTTACTAATTTACATTCTAAGGGACCAAACACCGCCTTGATACAATTATATATTTATAAGTATATATGTTCATATAACTGGATAAAAATAACATGAAAAGAATTTGTTCAAAATGAAAATCATTCCTGTTATCATATATTCATTGAAATTGAATATTTTACTGATTTTTGTTAGACTGAGTCGGTCCAATTCAATTTCGTTAAGCTATCTTGATAGTTCGATATTTGAAAGAACCGCTTCAACAACACACCCTGAAGAGTATCCCGATTCTTCTTTTATAAACAATATCACTGATATTCCGATTATATAGTCTTTTTTTAATAAACATTTTTCAACGTTTCAAAAATTTGGTTGATACCAAAATTATCATAATAACCCAACTTTAAGATGTTAGGCACTTGATCTACCCAGTTTTCTCTAGTCATAATTTGATCCAATTCGCCCAAAGAGATTTTATTTTCCAATAAGCACATTCTGAATACAGCATCTAATTTCTTTTGTTCTCTTAATGACTTTTCCAGAGCTCGTTCTCTCAATCCACCAGAGGTATTGGCAATATTCATTGCACTTTTACAGAAAACCTTAGCATTTTTAAATAAGACCGAGGAGTTTTTCATAGCTGGTTCATAATTGGTCAATTGACTTCTTTGTAAATCGATATCGCATCTTGCAATAACCAAATCACTCAATTGTCCTATTAATACCCCTAAAGATTCATCAGCTTTTGATAAATTTTGCTTCTTTTCTGAAATTTGCTTATTTAGTAACTCTTGAGCGAACTTGTACTTATTATTCATTTCAGTTAATGATTTCCAGAATATCTCTTTTAACCCTTTGTTATCTGACGAATTCAAATTAGATAACGTTAAGTCATTTCTATCGAGTAATGTTTGAATGTTGTCAGCACACAGCATGAAATTTTCAGGAATCGAAGGCAATTGAGGATTTGACCAAATTTCTATCAATTCGTATAAATCATTAGTACTTAAGCCTTTAATATATGTCTGAACAATTGCTAATTCTTGGAGTTGGTCTTCTTTGATTGAAGAGATCATGTCAGATTTGGCATTGTTATTTTCACTAAAGCTGTTGATCAACTCATTTGTTATTTCATCCAAATATAAAGCAAATAGATTTATAAAGTCTAATGCTGATAATAATTGGGAAGGCTCTGAAATGTTCTCCAAAATGGCTTGGTTTAATCTATATGCACTTAATAAAGTTTCAAAAATATCATTTGGCTGTAAGACATCTTCACTAGTATACTCTTCTTGGAAATGATTTTCACTTTCATTTACTTGTAGCTGTGGAGTGGTAACTTGATTGGATGAGTCATTAATTTGATCTAAGTCATTCAAAAATTTCTTGAAATCATTAATCTGGTCGTTGATCAAAGTCTTAAATAAAGCTTGAGTTCTTGAGCCCAAGTTAAGAATCTCATTGAAGTCATTTTTATCGCTATTTATTTGTTCAACTTCAATAACCTCGGTGTATATCAAGCAAGTATTGTATAATAAATCCTGGGGAATTCTTCTATTTGAATTTTCCAACAATTCACAAACTTTTTCATGACTTTGTAAGATGCTTGACAAATCCTGAACAACCGAATTAGAATCACCGGAGAGAACTTCAGCAACGTTATGTAACTTATAAATATTGATACCATCATTTTTAAAGTAAATGTTGTAAACATGAAATAACAATCTGCACGCATTGTAGTAACTATCGTAATTGTCTAAGGATGGTTGCAAATTGATTGAGATTTGATAATGTTGATAGGCTCTTTGATAAAAGCGAAGAGCTTTAGACAAATCGGAGCCTAACCATCTATCCCCTGATTCTTCTTGCAGGGAAGCTTCCTCCAAATAATCTTCAACAGTTTCCAATGCTTTGGATTCAGAGTCTTCATTTTGTCTAGAAAGAAGTGCTTGGGCCCTTTTGCCCAACTTTGGTCCTTTACCAGGTTCTAAATATGGTTAGTAATCGTGGATCTCATAGTATCACACCGTTCCAAACATACGCTTCATCATGTATAGAGCTTAATGAAAAGAAAGTTGAGTCGATGATCATCTCAAAAGATCCATATCGGTATTTTTTTTTTTCATTTGCTGAACGCGTAAGCCTTCAATTCAAGTCAAATCTATTCAATTCAGTTCAGCTACACAGTCCAGACAGTTGATCCAATAGCATGATCCAGTTTTGCCCAGCAAGCTCCGTCAGCGCCCTACCAAGCGCTGAAGAAGTTATAAGCCAAAGGAGACGGAATATAGGGTACAAGGTGACTTTACCGTGCTATGTATTATCATTTTGTACGAGTCCCCAATTCAATGGACATGGATATTTATTCGTTACTGACTTTACTAAGAATAAGGAAAGCTTAGTTTCCAAGGGAGGACCAACCTCGTTATTGAGGAAGCATTTTTTCATTGGATCAGGCCCAGAGATTAGTGAAGATTTAGTATTTTCAATTAGTTTCCCTAAAAAAGATATCCCCCAGTTGATGAATAGCATAATGGGGTCAATTAAGCCAGAAAGAAGATCTTACTATGATTTCAATGATGTTGACAAGTGTCAAGTGGAGTTGGAAGGAATTTTTTTGAATTTGACGTTTAAACTTAACGATTATCAGAATCTTTTACTGGGGTATTATTTCAAGCACGAAGTATTGAATTCATTCACAATCGATAAGTATTATCCACAAGATGGGGGGAAAGCGTACGTTATACCCAACTTGAGTCGAAGATACTGTGAATACAGTGATTTTTACCATACTACATGTGTTCGAGAAAACAGTCCATTTCCAATAAGTAAATATATTGATATTGAAGAATTTGACTTTGGGAATAACCAAGAAAACGAATTTTCCACCATTGAGTACGGTGAAACCCAAGCAAATGGCCCAATTGTATCACAGATCAAGAGAAGGCGATTAAATGAGTTTTACGAAACAGAAGAAGATTCACAACAACCAATTCGGTTATATACCGAGAGCCAGCCAGTGAATAATCAAAGAGTAATTCTTGACACTCAAAGAAGTCAATTAGAGGATATTGAAGATGTCGAATTCAGTGATGAAAATGAAGATATTGAAAAATCGTTACCCCCCTTGAGCCGGCTTGGAGAATTAAAACAATTAGGTAACGAGCAAATCAAACATGGATACGAACATATCAAAAGAAGCCCCCCAATACGAGTTCGTGCAAGGCTACAGTCATTTGAACCCAGGCACCAATTTATCCTCAAGCCTTTTGGTCGAACGATGAAAATATCCAATTTCAAAATGAATTTGGCCGATAATTCAACGGTATTCTCCGTTGAATTCAATACCCAGGAGGAAATTTGCCAATTTTTCCGAATTAAAGAGATCGAAGAGATAACAAGAGACATGGTTAGAGTATTAACCAGACTAAACCACCTCCCCACCAATTCACAACAAATTGACCTCCTACTACAACAAAAAATCATGCCTTTGCAACCGACTAGTTCTTTAATGAGAACTTATTGGACTTGCCAAAATGACTTCTACCACGTTACAAGGCTTGACGGTTGAAGAAGAAAAGAAAAAACAGAGAAAAAGCTTTATTTACCTTCTTCTAATTATAAACCTTGTTCCCCTGATTGTCATTCATTCATTTACCTTTCCTAGACAAACTTAGCCTATTAATTGTTACATAATCCGTTTATCATCATCAAATCTAGAAAAAGTTATAGCCGCGTTTTTCGCCATACAAAGAAAAAAGTACTAACAAAACGAAAAAAAAAATAACAACGGTATCACCTTGGGATTTTGGCGTAACTCTTTGTTTATCGTTACACAAATTATTTTAAAGGTATATGAAAATTTTTATTTAAATACTCCTCAAAGTAATGGGGAAATGATCTTGGAAATGGCAATAGCCAATTCATAAGGTAATTTTCACCAGAGATCAATAAAGTAATCACCAGAGATCAATAAAGTAATCACCAGAGATCAATAAAGTAATCACTAGATCAATAAAGTTCCTACTAGAGATCAATAAAGTATGTACGTTCCCCAATTTTGTCCCAAAAGCACTGTTTCAATCCTCGCCAGAGATTTTGCTGGAGATGCCCAATCCACAGCTGGTTCCTTTAAGAGTTGGGATACTTGTATGGATAATAAGACATGTAAAATTGTTGCCATAGTTTTGATTGTGCTTGCCGTCTTGATATGTTTTTGGATAATTTCCACCCTTGTTCGTTGTTGTTGTATGGGGGTTTCTTGTTTAGAAGCATTATGTTGTTGCTGTTGCAGAGCAGCAAACTCACATAGAAGAAGTTCGCCATATGTGGAGAAACAATATCAATCTCCTTATAATAATACTAATATGTATCCAGCTGCTCAAAGTCCAATGAATCACAGTTTTGGTTATACCAGTCAACCACAACCTGCTTATCAGCCGGTTTACGGCCATGATTCCAGATCAATCAACGACGAGAATCCATTTTCTGATGATAATAAAAACAAACACGGATCTTATCGTGGCCATCAATTCTAAACCTACTTTTAACGATTTTATAACGACTGAATATACATTTTTTTTTTGCCTCATTATACATTATAGATAAATCCGTACATTTGAACCCGTACACCGGGTTTTCCGGCCAATAAGCAAGAAGGTGTTCTACAGATCATTAACAGAATAGTGTATTAGATATATATAACGAGTTTATATAGGGAAAAGGATGCATAAAGCTTTTCACAAACGTTTTTCTTCTTTACGTTATAACAATATCAGTGTAATAAATATTGTAAATTTTTGAATTAAAAAACAGACAAATGATTGTATAGAAATACAAAATGTTGGGAAGGAATAGAAAGGGGATGGGGGGAATGAAGAAATGAATATATTGATTTTAAATGGAATAGATCTTCATGGGGAGGGAAAGGTTATTTACATATGGCATTAAAAAAGGGAAATTTGGCAAAATAATTTAACCAACTAATAAAGTTTCATCATCGGTGAAATCATAAGTTGGGATTTCTAAATTCAATGGAGCTGGACCTCTTCTAATTCTACCGGAAATATCATAATGGGAACCGTGACATGGACAGAACCAACCACCAAAATCACCAGCTTCACCAATAGGAACACAACCCAAATGAGTACAGATACCCAACATAATTAACCATTCTGGTTTTTTAACACGATCATCATCATTTTGAGGATCTCTTAATGAAGTAATATCAATTTTGTTTGCTTCATCAATTTCATCTTGAGTACGATGTCTAATGAAAACTGGTTTACCTTGCCATTTAACAATAACATTCTTACCTTCTGGAATGGCTCCCAATTTGACTTCGACTTTAGCCATAGCTAAAACATCAGCAGATGCTGATAATGATGAAAGAAAAGCTTCAACAGTAGATTTAGCACCTGCAGCACCCAATAACCCCATGGATCCAACCATGAAATATGTCATGTTTCTACTTTTATCTTCACCTCTATTATTTAAGTAATTACTGAAATCTGGATGTTGGTAGTTATTAGATAAACTAGTGGTTGAAGTGGAAAATGCTCTTAATGAGTCTAAAATTTTCAAGTTAGTATATTCCCTCAAATCAATCTATTTTCTTTTACATACTTTTCAAAGCAAACCCATTCTTCAAGGATCTAAAGGCAAGTGATGACATCTTAATACAATGTGTTGGTATAGATAACGTAATAAGAAAGAAAGATTATTTATGATTCTGCTATTAGATAAAATTTTGTAGTGCTGAAAAAAATTACTACTGTTAAAAAAAAAAATAGTGCTATTTCGCTAACAAAATGAAAAAAACGCTGCTCAATATTATTTTGATACTTTTTAATTGGCTGAATTCCCTGGTTGGTACTGCACACAGATAAAGGCACGTACACCACTTTTTTTTCGTTGCTGAAAAAATCCGATGGTTCAGACCCGTACATCTGGTATAACTTTTAACAGCCATTCGCCATTTCGCTATAGCTTTGATTCAACTACGGTGTTCATTCAACCAGTTCCTCCTTCAAGACAGTAGACTACAAAGGATTGCGGTGGATTGTGACTTTGTATTCAGCTATACAATTAGGCTGCTGATGAGTGCCAGCTTAAACCGTCTGTGATCCAACCTTTCCCAATATACCCAATAACCATGTACAATGTAAATATATACCATATAACCAACTAACCATTTATATCCACGAAAACCAGCAACTAGTAGAGTTGTTGATGGTGTACCGTGGTTTTGTAACTTTATACTGATTCAGTTACTTAATTCCAAAACCGGAGCTTCCTTCAACAGCCTGACTGATTTTTTGAACCATTACATCCTGTGTTTCATAATTGTAAAGTGCCAATTCGTTGAAACAAGTATGTGCCACTGGTAATCGGTGACTTTTCTTACCATTATTCAATAAAGTGATTTTAAAATTCAAATTTTGAATTCCAGTAGCTGGTAATCGATCACTACCGGTGACAAATAATAAAAACTTCTTCTGTTTTTGATAAGGAAGTTTTTCTAAAAAATCCCAAAACCATTTGATAATACTTGACTCAATTGCAACTTCTCTTGATAACCAACCATTATATTTAGTAATCGACTTCAAGATATCAATATCTAGTTTACTCTCTTCACTCCCACATAATAATAATTGAATTTCTTCTGCTGAAAATAATGAAAGTGCATTACCTCCAATAACGTTATTGAATCCATTGATAAAAGAATCGATTTTGTTACCGAATCCATCAACCATGAAAAACCTTGAATACTTATCAATATAGTATTCTCGATTATCACTAGATACTTTAACCTTAGAGCCCCCCGGTATTAACTCTTTGGTGATCACTTTCCCTCGGGAATCATTGAAACTAACTTCAAATGTTAAATCGAGTAAACCTAAAGTGTCATCATCATAATCTCTTAATTTAAATAAATTATCACAAGAAATTGGATATAATTCTTGATAATCAGATAATCCAATTGGTAATCCTAATAATAACTTATATAAAATCATTGAAAATTTCAATTCAAGAATAGTTGAATTATAAATTGCTAATCCTAATATTGATCCAAATAAATAATACAAGTCATAATTATCATTTTTAGATATATTGAACCAATAGTAATTTGAATCTTCAACATTAATCAACATTCCTGCTTCAAAACTAAATAATTCTTTAGTTAATAATAAAAACCACTCTTTTTTCAATCCTCCTGCATCAATACCTGGTTCTCCTAGAAATTTCACTCGTAAGCTTTTCTTTAGATTAGAGTTATTCATTTGAATTGCTCTTAATGAATCTTGAACTATATAATTTCTTCTAACCTGAACTTTAAAATAGACATCCATAGCAACTCTTTTATCCAAACTATTAATGAATGCTTCCTCTGCTTTACGTTCCATTTGTCTCCGTGCTTCATATTCTAATACGGATATCTTCCCTCCCAATGAAATTAAAAATGGATATTGACAAAAAAAATATGATGCTCCTTCATTAACTGGATTCTGCTTACCGTTAATATAATCAATAACAGTCTGTAATTCAGGTTGGTTATTATTAGCATTTGAATTCTTAATGGCATTCTGATTAGTCTGCCATGAATCAAAATCTAATTTAATATTAACAAAATCAACCAAACTATTATAAAAAATATTAATCGGTAATTTATTTGCTTTATATCTTATCAGATTTGATTTGAAAAAAATTGATAATACCAAGCCTGCAGTTTTAAAATGCCAATCATTCCCATATAAATGAATCTTAATTTTTGTCTCTTTCGAATTAGCCCCACTGATTGATGAACCGAACCCGTTAAAACTATGGGTTATTTGATTTAATGGAGTGTTAAAATTACTCAATTCAGCTTCCAAATCTTCTTTCAAATTACTACTTTCCATATACTCGGAAGAACTGCCGGCCCCATTACTTGCATTTCTGGTATGGGAGCTTCTCCTTCTCATTAACAGAGGATTGTTAGCAATATAAAAATACTTTTTCAAATGGAACGTTATGTATAAATTGATTAATTCCACTTTTGATATGAATTCTTCATTAGTCAACTTCGACATCCAACTCGCTAAATAATTATTAGTGGTTGTGTTTGAAGTTTGGGCTAGAATTCCAAAACATCTTTTCAAAATTTCATAACAAAGGGATTTAATTTCGGGAACATCAACCATGGATCTAATTTCTTTTTCATTAGATGTATGAGTCAATGCCCTTGACAAGAAAGGAATCTCTAATAATATGAGCACCCAGGCTATATTACGAGGATCATCAATCAAACTTGTATTTAATTTTTTCAATGATTCATTGGATCCATATAATGCATTATAAAGAGGCCGTTTTGTCGGCAATCTTGTAAGCATGTTAAAAGTATGGCGGATGTCATAATAATCGATATTGGACGTACTATAATGAGCTCTTCTACTTGCCCTTCTCAACTTGAAAGAATTATTAAGAACAACAAGATTACTGAAAGATTGAAGTAAATAATTAGAAAGAGGTTCAAATATCTCATGAAGGGATTTTGGATTCAGATTTCTAACTTCAGATTCTTTAACAGAAACACATTTATCAACCAATTTTCGTACATACTTATAGGACATTAAATGAGGATGTATATCGGGATTGAAATTATCGGGCCCAATATTCAAAGGACCAAATTCGTTTGTGGTATGGCAAACTCCACATTTAAATTTATAAGAATTGGGGATAAACGTAAGTATCGTCCCACAGCATATACACCTATTGACAGATTTTTCTCTTGGAGAAGTCTTGGGGGACTTCAATGGAGGTGGAGGTGGTGAGTAATTTCCTTTTGAAAGTGTAGCTGCAGTAGATGGTCTTCCCTTTGCCTTGATACTTGAAGACCTTGAAGGTTTGGAGGAATTTTGAAGCTTCAATAAGTCGAGTATCTTCCAATTAGATTGGGACTTGGGAATACTTTCAGGCACTACATCTGCTCTTGAACTTGAAGAGTTGGTATTAGATCCTGATACAGAGCTAGCAACCGATCCCTGGGACCGACTCAGTCTATGTGAGATATCTCGGTTACCTGTTGACTGATGTCGATGTATCATTGAACTATCTTTTGCTGATCTCTTAATCTATAAGAAATCGTATATTTTAGCAATTATATTATCCAATTCCTTCTATAACAATTGTTCAACTGTCCCTTGAGCTGCCTAGTCTCCCTTGACTACGTGATACGTTCAATCTCAAATCAACTATCTACCGAACTAGTTTCAATTGGATTAGAATGGGATTTATAGTTCAGCTCTCAATGACAACTCCTTTTTGGCCCTTTATTTTTATTTTTTTTTTGCTCCAAATGCGTTATCATAGCCACAAATCTACTCCGTTGGATCCAGACAACCAAGACCTCTGTACTACACTATCCGGTTCTTATTGATTTAAGCTATGTATAAGTACGCCAAACAGCTTACGAGTTGACTGCCCCCCTGCTAGTGTATTGTCATCTAAAACATTACAACTAGCTTTGTTCCAAATTTAGAAAACGTCAAAATGCGCAGTGGGATATTGAGATGATGGAACTGCTTCAGACCTTGAAGCAATGGTCTGAAGGAGTAGGTACTCTGTTGATGTAATCACAAGACTCTTACTTAGGAGTTTTAATTGTTATTTGAAAGGTCAAATTCAATAGCGTACCGCATATGCAGCAGTGTAGTACTTGACAGCTGAAATTTTGCTTGTGATTGATTCACTATTTCAGAAAATTGAAGTAAAATCCTTACTTGTAATTGGTATCTGGCATTATTCATCTATGCTTATGTTTTAGTTATTGTTAAGAGTGTTCTATATGGAAAACTAACTACCATTCGCTTAAATTTTGCAATTTTGCAACTAAACGGTTGAAATTGCAATGAAAATCTCACTTTAAAATCCTTAGTGCTGTTCTTCTAATAGTAATAGTTTTCCAATACTGCTACACTTATACAACACCGATTACATTTACTTCTGGCAACGTTCCCTCTACCACTTGCCTTGGATAAGTTTTAAGGAAGGGCTAAAGGGTCCTTTCGCGCACTGATAATAATTGGTTGCAAATATAAACTTTAGCGTATATGTTTAAGCATTTGTATTTAAAATAGAATACAGTAATATACTTCAACTTGTGTGTCGTCTCGTTCCCGATTTCAAGGGTACTGATATTCCTTTTAAGGGGTATACGTTATCTTGTAAAAGTTTCTTCCATCCTCTCCGTTCAAACTCCGAATCGTCCTCAAATGAAGAAGGCAGCCGAAAACAACCCCTTAATAATCTTAATCTTCTTGAGCATTGATGATCTTCGGCCACAAAATTATCATGCAGTTTCATGGGATTAAGTTGAGGTTCAAAATTGAATAAGTGTTGATATTTATAACCAAGAAATTGAGTTACATGGCTGAACTGCTGTTCACTAAAAGTATCGTAGTTTTATTTTTATTACTGAGTATTGTCAATTGTTTTTACAATTTCTAAATTCACACCATAAAAGAATGTCTTGGTAATCTTCAAGCCTATATATTACCACCGAAGAACCAGACCAGCTTTTGCTGGTACCCAGACGTAAAATCCTTTTGAATATGGAATGCAAGACGAATTACTATTTAGATGTATGAGAGACAAGATTTACTGGCTGTATGTTATTCAAAACCTATCTCAAGATGGCCAAAGAAGCTTACATGGAATCACCTGAATATGAAGCTAATTATATCAATGACTCTCTACCCATAAGATCAGAACCTGACTCCCTATCTATACCAATATTACTGTTCCTAGGAAAGGACTTCGGTATAGAAAAAAGTAATACCGAAAAGCTCCGTTATTCCTAAAGTTTATCTGGTGATGCATAAAAACAGAAAACTTAAGCTATGACCCAGACACTAATCGTCTCACTACTAACATTTTAATTCATGTACTTATTATAATTGGCTGCAAGGAAGTAGTCTGTTCATCGCATTATCAAAATTACAGTGCAAAAAAAAACATAAAAACATTGTTTATAAACAGTTAATAAATGACTTTAGCAGCATAAGCTTCAATCAATAATGCAATGTTTCTGATATCTACTATCAAAGAGCCATGTGGTGTTCACGATTCAGCATTGGTTGAATTTTTCGAAGGTAAACCTCCTATTCTTGCTTTAGCAAGACAGAAGTCTCTCGATTTTTATGGTATTGATCCTCATACGTTTGAGCTAAACCAGTATTCCTCCTTTGGCACGTCGTCCCCAATAAAAAAGCTCAGCATATATAGGCCGGAAGAGGAAGTGACAGACTGTATCGTTGCCTTGTTTCAAGATAACCTGGTTGCCTTCATCAAATATAGTGAAACGAAGCAACGGCTTGTCGTATTAGATAAATTTGTATTTGAAAGCTCATCACAAGAAATTGGCCTGGAAACAAAATCTACAATGATACGGGCGAATGTATCGAATGATCATGGCATTACCCAACCATATATTATATTCCACACATCCCATAGTTTCGTAACACTTGTTGATTTAAATGCTCACTATGAAACTTATTGCCAAAGTTCTTCAGCTTCAGATAGTAAGAAGAAACGCAAGCTCAAACAGTTTACCGAGTCAACCTCTGTATCATCTCTTGGAAACATTGTCGTGCAAGATATGGCTACTTTCAATGGGGTAGCAGATTGTACCTTGGCGGTGCTCTACCGTGATTTTCAATTCAATCACTCCTTAAGATTTTACAGAATTAAAAGCAAATCGATTGAAATTTTAAAGCAACATCAACCATTCTCAGAACCCCCTAGTTTGCTTATAAAGCCCAAAGTCGGTGGAATTTTCGTCCTTAGTGATATTCACATATATTACTTCATTTCTGAAAGTGCTAGTATTATGTTTGAGTCTGAAGATCCTGAACTTATAAAACAAGATGATGCCATTGTGAAGCGCCTCTATGGTGAAGATTTCACCGACTTCATAGGGGAATCCTGGTATAGGTATGAAGAAATTGACGATTCAAGGATTCTTGTCATCTCTGAGTCTGGTACCACATGCCTTTTGCATTTCGATATTGACTATAAGAGTCTGCTGTCTCGAAAGATTAGCGTCAAGTCGATCAACCTTATTTCTTTGGGAAAAACTACATGCCCAACTTCTATTATTCATGTCGATTACGATCTTTTTTTTGTTTCATCGAGTTTTTCAAATTCACTATTATTCACCATAAGACCTTCCGAACCCCATATCAATTTAATGCTGTCATTAAACTCATCTCCTCCAATCTTGGATCTTATCGCCTCAGCTAAAGCTTGCGAGGGTGGTCCTTATGGTGGTGCATTGACTTCGTTACAAAAGCCCTTCGTTAAGTTTCTTGATTCGTCCATAGTAAATTATAAATGCAAACCCTCAGAACAATCTCCTCACATAATTCTTTTATCCCATGACTCTGCTCTATCGAGGTCAGATTTGGCTGGATCTCTGAGCTGGTCTCTCACTTTAGTAAATTCCATTAATATGAAGCCAACTGATAAGATACGGATGGAGAGACCAACTGACGAACTCATTGACATACTTTACCTTGGATCTGTTGAAGATTATAATGATTTATTTGTGGTACTCAAGAATGGCCCCGACTTTTTGATGATGATTCAAATAAATGATGGTAAGTTGAATAAAGTTCCTCTAGAGTTGAGATTCTCCCTTGATGGAGAAGCTCAATTTCATGGAATATCACTCTTGGAAATCGATGCACCGACTTTTTATCTAACAGGAAACTCCAATTTTGCTATCACGTTATTAAAGAATGAAAGTGGGTTTTACTGTGAAAGAGTAATAGAATCCTGGTGGAACTCTCCAACATTCTCAATTAGCTCAAAACCTTATCTCGAGGGGGTAATTGTATGTGATGCCGTGAAAGGTCTTTATCACCATTCTTTTAATCTGAAAGGCTGGTGTAATCCCCAGACACTAATCCCCGATACTTTATTTCATAAAAATCACTTTATATCCACATTCGATATATTTGTTCATCATAACAGCTCGTACTTAATTTACGGTGATATTTCAGGCAAAATTGGGGTAATTAATTTAGATAATCCAGAACCGCATCCATTTGTCAACTTAAATGAGCCAGTGAACACAATCAAGGCTCTCAGAACTAGTTCCAAAACTGAATCCAACAAGTATGTATCACCTATTGCAATTGTTGGGACAGCTTGCGGAGGAGTTTATTCAATAGGACTCTTTGAAGAGCCCAAATTACATCAAAAATTACATTCCAAGTCGCTCAAAGTTCGACAAAACTTGATAGAATTCAACATCGAGACAATTTCGGCTAATAATGAGGAGGAAGAGGAAACTCCAGGGATACTTAATCTCTTAGTATATGAACAATTACATACTGAGTTCTCTCGAAAAACCAGTATACCTAAATCCAGGAGACCGAGCATTGACCCTGTATTATTAGAGGAGATTTTATCAGAGTCAACAAGAATAACCATGACAAACTGATTTTACTTGCATTCTTACCCTTATATTCATTTATAGTCTTTTAATAAATAGTTTTGAAAATGGTTGCAACATTTCTCATCTCTTAATTCTAGAGTAGAAAAAAAATTTCCAGGAAAAGAATTGAAAAGTACTTTTTGTAACAATGTTAGAGATTACTTTGGCGAATGTCTCATAAGGAATCAACCTCGTCTCTAATACCATCAATATCAACGCTAAAAGAGCCCAGTGGGGTTAGAAATGCTATAAAAGTTGGTCTGTTTGGTAGCCAATCTTCATCGCTTGTTTTTGCAAGACAAAAGAGTCTTGATTTTCATCATGTTGATCCGAAAACATCGTCTTTCCACCACAATGAATCTATTGAGATAGATTCTGCAATTCTTGACTTAATAAGCTTCAAAGATTTGAAAAGAAACAGGACTTGGGTTCTTACCTTATCTGAGAATGGAAAAGTGAAATTTTATACTTATGATGAAGCACAGCTGCTGGTTATTCTCTCAGATCATTTGACTGTCGAATGCACTTCAAACCAAGAGAAAATAGAGAAACCAAGAATGCAGGTATTGTCAGATGACGATGGAGATCAATTTATTTTCATAAATTATTTCTTTGGTCAATCGTTACTATTAAATTTGACAGAGCATATATTTACCACTACTGACAGCCAGGTACGAGCAAAACGTCGAGATAGGCCATTCGCTAAGTATGGCTATTCGAATAAACTTATTTATCTACATTTAGATGAAACCTATATAACCGATATTGCAGTGAATAGTTCACGAGACACTTTGGCAATATTGTATCATGACACCGAATTCAATTTCGGAATTAAATTTTATAAATTTGTCAAGCACTCCTTGAGGGTTTTGAAAGACCACCAGATCCTGTTTGCTGAACCACCCAGCATCATCATACCAACGTCCCAAGATGGTTTTTTTGTACTTAGTGACATCTATGCTTACTATATATCGCCATTAAACCGGAGTGAATATAAAATACATAAGAAGAATAAAGATGAAGGTATAACCAAGGGCCATGGTTGCATAATGAAAAAACTTTGTTGCAATTCTGAGGGTAGATATATCGGAGAGCAGTGGACTCATAGTACTTACATCGACGAAACGAGGTTTCTTCTCATCTCGGATTCTGGAACAACCTGCTTATTGCACTTTGACGTGAAACTCAAGGGGTCTTTGACAATTCTTAAGTCGATAAGCTTTTTGAATTTGGGGAAATTGACCATAGCATCTTCTCTCCTTCATGTGAATGCAAATTTGTTTATAGCACCTTCGTGGTTTTCGCAATCCCTTTTATTCAAGGTCGTTACTGAAGATCCGTATCTAGAGATTATACATTGGCTTGAGTCATCACCACCCATTGTGAATATAACGAACAGCACAACTTACGGACCTCTAATATGTGCTGGTGGTTTTGCTTCAGGGGAAATTACCGTTTTGCTGTCAAGTGAATATAGTTTTGAAATGTTGAAATCTTTCAAAGCACCTCCAGAATCATGGAAATTCAAGATTGATGCGTTTAACATTTACATCCTTGGTCAAACAAATCAGATCTTGAAAAAGTTTGATTTGAAAAGTTGGTCCAGTCAACTCCCAACAACGGAAACAAATATTATAGACTATAGAAATTTCAACAATCTAGATTATGTTTTGAGTGATTCAAATTTTACGATTGGTACAAACGTCGTTTATCTTGCTGATATTACGCATGGAGCGATACTCCCAAAGTCTGTTATAATCTTGGAGAGACCAGGCTTACTCAAAAGGCTTCCGTTTGACGGCAACAGGACAGTTTGGAGAGAGATACAAGACATCGAGAACCTTACATGCCTCGAGGTAGTAGACGAGTATATAACATTGGGTTATTCTTCGGGCCACTTTTCGTTGCTACGCATAAACGACTTTTCAGTAGTTTTTCAGGGACAACTTGATGAACCTGATCCAATATGGTCTTCCAATTTGATCAGGCAATATACTTCCATAAAATTGGTATTTCTTTCATGTGTGCTGACTATTACTATATTTGAAATTGATGCAGACAGTGGGTCAGCCTTTTATATCTGGAGTGAAACTTATTTCCCAGACGATTCATCAGTTAGCTGCAAAAATGAAGTTTATACTTTGATTGAGAGAAAATCGCTGCTTTCAGATCCACCAATACTAATGTTTAACGGACGAGAGCTTTTCGATCTAAGTCATAACAATGGAATATATTCGAAACGTAACATTCATTCCTTCTCCTCTTCAATTTTGGAAGCTAAATGGACAGATCTGACATTTCAAAATATTGTTGTATTACTAGAGTCAAGTGCAGTGGAAGTTTTGAAATTTCAAAAAAGCCCTGGCAAGAAATCATATTTTTCAAATATGATTTATGGAATTGATTGTCTTGAATTTTCGGAATACAGTGTTATTGTATCCCAAGAGACTAGTCACCCCACCCGATATTCTTTGAAAACGATCAACGTAACCACAATGAATGTTATCGATCAAATTTATATGGAAAAGGGTTGTGGGAGTCTTATCGACTTGGCGGTTTCCTCTAGCGGACTGACACAGCAAGTGGTTATATTACGGGACAATCCAGAATTCCTTATGGTTTTCAAAATGGTGCTGGGTAAATTATCAAGAGTAAATGTAAAATTCCCTGAATTGAAGAAAAAAAAAGATAAATTCCATAAGATACGAACTTTCAATGATTCTAAAAGGCAAGGTCATTACTATATCAGTGGTTCAAGCAACATGGTTTTGTCACTTGATGAAGAAAAAGGCTCGATGGTATGTCGATTTGATAGATCTACTGAGTGGAAATCACCATCCATAACCATCGATTCAAAACCCTTGTCTAAAGACTTAATGTGTGTTTGCGATCTCACAGACGGTCTTTTCTATCATCATAGGAATAATAATCCAACTATAGAAGTTAGGCCGGTAACAGTAAACAAAATGCTCTACGGCCATCATTATATTACAGCATTTGAGGCATTTGATATTGGCCACTCGAGATATGTCATATACGGCGATGCTTTGGGCAATATAGGAGTATTTACTGAAAGCCTCCAGGCATCCAAACCAAATTTACCTAAAGTAATTAACATTGGTGAATCCATAACTACCATCAAGAAACGCCTGGAGTTCTCTGTATTGATTGGAACTTCATGCGGAGGATTGTATTTGCTCAATTTCGAACATGAGGATAGTGAAGTTGAGCAGATGATTACCAGAACAAGTCAGGTGTTAAGTGACTATAGGATCAAGCCCAGGTTCGTACAGTGGAAGACTATAAACCAAACTCCAGAAGATCAGAAATACCCTGATAATACTAAAATACTTGATCTTACGATATTAGAGAGAGTTTTAACAATGTTTTACACTGATGCTAATGATAACGTATCTGCAAAAGTTTTCTCAAGTTTACAAGATAAGGGTATAACATTGGAGACCATACGAAAAGCCTTATCCCATAGAATATAGCCATTCTCTCACAGATATAGATCCTTGTATAAGAGTATAATAAGAATATAAGTAGTATTAAAGCTGCAAATAAGCAGTTTTTTGCGACTCTAGCTCATTAGCCTGTACACTACTAAGCCAAAAAATCAAAACATCAATGAAAAAAAAGACAAAAAACCAAAGAAGTTAAAGTAGAAGAAGGAAGGATTGGCCGTTCAGTTTGGTAAGGATTAAAGGAAGCTCGAAAAAGGATGGTTGATTTAAAATCTAAGTTTGACGACATTGAAATGTTGGAGATTCCCGATGAGGAAACCACCTCATCAGAGACAGAATCTATGTCTGAATCCCAAAATTCATCATCAGGATCAGAGAATAGAGATACTGCTAAACAACCACGTACATATATCGAATTGAAAGATTGGATACTGACGAGCAAACCTCTCGATTTTCAATTCAACTCGAATGAATATAGACAAAGTTTGACTGAGGATGATGATTTTTCAAAAGCTCATACCATGTACGTCAACTCATTATACAAGATCATTGAAGGGTTGAGCGATGTGAATGTGTCGAAAGTGCCATTGGAAGAAGAAAAAGATTATCCACCAATAGGAGTTATTAGTGACTCTCCTGATATAGGGCGTAATGCATTGAAAGAATACAGAAATCAAAAATTGAGTGAAGCATTCTTAAAATTGGTTGAATTTTTCCAAGAGTTCTTAAAGCATATAGCAGGATCAGTCGATTACGAAAAATATCAAAGATATCACTTGTTATTGAATATTCTTGATTGTATCTATGCTAATATTTTCTGTAAAGACGTTAGGTTTAGACCTGAGTTATTGTGCAAATGGGTTAATAGATACGATAGCAAACCAGACCAAGAATTAGTAGAGGAAATCATGATAAATTGCCCCAAACCTTATTTACATGCTCAGTTCTGGAATACGTATCTCGCTCAATTGATCACCAGAGGTTGTTTTAATGAAGCAACGGATGTGCTTAAGAATTCCAAATTCGAAGAATTAGAGGAAACTGAACCAAGTCTTTACTCAATAATTCAAGACTTTCAGACCCTCATAGGAAACTACCAATCACTTTCATTAAAAGGTCAATTCAGAGAATGGATCTTAAAAGCATCTGAACTTAGAGATTCTTATAGTAATTTCAAAGCAGACATTAAAGGTTCAGAGAATGTCTTAATTGCGGACCAAATATACGAATTAGTTTGTGGTATTACCGGTCTCACCAAAACCCTCTCTGCATTAACATCTACTTGGTATGAGTTATTTCTTGCATTATCCTTATATCATACTCCGGATGATGAGCTGGTCACAATTGAAAATTATAATATTGCTATCAGGGAGAAGCCAGCGGGTCTCGTTGACGATTTTGAAGATGATGAAGAAATATTGGTTGAGCATGCATTTATAAACATCTTGGAAGCCAATCTTTTGAAAGTCTTAGAAACTATTGCGATATTTGACCAAGCTACTGCCGCATACGTTTCAAGGTTATTTGAGTTGAAAGGTGTTTTAACTAGCTACTATCAAGGATTGTTTCATACTCATACTGCCAACGAGCTTCTCAGCAAGAGAACGGTCTCTGAATATCTTTTAACAAAAAATGCTTATGAGAACTTGAATTTCCATCCATTGGTGCCAGCTGGTTTAGGAATATTAATGAACCCCGATATTTCACTGTCTGTTGAATCAGCTAAAAATAACCGAAAAGTGATTAGTGATTTTCTTCCAAATTTTGATTTTAAGACAAACGATGACTTAGAATGGGGGTTAACTATTTGTGCAAAGTTAAACTTGGTATCGACTGCTAAAAAACTATACTTAAAATATGGTAAGAAATCGCTAAAAGATGGTCATATTTATGAAGCATTGAATATGTTTGTTCAATGTTATGACCCGGATAGTGGATCTGAAGAATCAAGTGAGGGAATGACCCAAGTTCATGACCTTGTTTGGAATAGTTTATTCCAAGATAGTTTAATTAATAATAGACCAGTTAAAGATGAATTGATTAATAATATAGTTGAACATAAAGTTGATGAAAAGTTTGAGATTCACCCGGTCAATAGACAATGTCTTTCGCCTTATGCTGTTCTTATTGAATTTTTCAAATCATTAGAAAAAATTGACGAATCAACTTCGCCAATGAAAGTTTTATCTAAATTGGTTCATTTAATCAGATTTAATCATTTACCAAAGAAATTCATACCATTATTATTAGCACAAATTTTGCCATTTTTCCATAATAAGAAGATTGGTAAGTTCCAATTACCTGATTTAATTATTATTACTGAATTAATAGATAATTACGAAAGCCAAGCCACTGTCGATGAATTGATCCAAGGTGATGAAGTATATAAGTATTCAATTCAAAACTACGAGAAACAAACATCAAGTTATGATTGGAGAATTTTATTAAAAGAGTCCCATGTTGAAATACCTACTGATTCAAAATCATTAACTAGAAGTTTGAGAAATGAACTTGTGGCCAAGATTGGGAAAGTATTTATTGGCAAATAAAAACGGTGATGAATGTTTGTATACTACAGTTAATATAAGTAACACCTTAATAGTAATGTAAGAAAGATATGAAATGTTCTATTTATTTTAATGACTAGACGAACAGAATTAGATTTATAAAGAAACAAAATACAATAAGCTTCCAATAGCCATGTAAATGAAAAATAAAAATGTTTAAAAAAGGAATCAACTTAGCCAAGAATAGAATACAATTAATCTATTCATCCTTGTTGGAAAATGATCCTAATTTATATATTTGTAAAATATTTTTAGATCTTCAGAATAAGATTTGACATCTTATACAAAATGAAAGTAAAGGGGATGATAAAAAGATAGAATAGAAGTGAAGGTTAAAGATTTTGAGATAAGTAAATTTTCTAATCCAGAAGCTTTTTGGTAAACTTATCAAAAAGAAACTTAACAAGAGACATCTTGTTTAGCTTTAGAGTTTAATAATAAAGCAACAATCAAACCATATAAACCTAAAACTTCAGCGAAAATCAAAATCAAAATCATACCAACGAATAATCTTGGTTGTTGAGCAGTACCTCTAACACCAGCATCACCAACAATACCAATGGCAAAACCAGCAGCCAAACCAGATAACCCGACAGACAAACCGGCACCTAATTGGATGAACCCAGTATATAAGGCTTGTTTTTGAGCTAATGAATCAGAGATTAAAACAGAAACGACCAAACCATAAATGGCAATAATACCAGCCATAATAACTGGAACAATGTTTTTAACTAATAAATCTGGTCTTAAAACACAGGTAGCACAGATACCAACACCAGATTTAGCAGTACCATAAGAAGCACCAAAACAGGTGAAAATAATGGCAGCAGCACAACCAATAGAACCAAAGAATGGAGCATAAACTGGACTATATGATTAACTTCCGTTAGTAAAAAGCTTTTTTTCTGAAATTGACTTAATATGAGTTGCTCAGATGTCAAGGCATGATGCATCATTCAATTGATACATCAAACAGAATCAATTCCTCAAGAAAGGCCCAGATAGACTTCCCCTACACTTTGAAAGCCGTATCTGCCAATCACGACCCGCCAAATCTGCTCTTGCAGTACAGCCGCCGTTTCATCACCACCCTTTTTTTTTTCCGTCTTTATTCTGATCACCAGGACCACAACCCGGTTCAAACAACTTCCTAGATCAATTAACCAGTGCAAATACATACCATAAATCAGACATCTTGTGATTAATTATATGAGATTGGGTTAGATTGATGAATTGATAAGATTAAAAAGGAGCCTTTCTTTTCGACGCTAATTAATTTTACTGAGAAGGTGTTGTTTTTTCGTTCAATCGGAGAATTCCCTATTAAATGTTAGTGCTACGATGTACGCCGAGCTCACGTACTTAAGGCCACCGCGCATGCGTAAACGCCAGCACTAACAACGCACGTGACCAAAGTTGAAGAAAAAAAAATCATCTCATCGCTGGGAAATTTTTCAATTGAAGATTGCAAACTAGTACAACCTTCTTTTTGATATTGTTCATCAATACGTTTACTGGCGAGCTATACACTGCAAGGAGCCTCTTTAGAATACGATACAATGTCTGCCCCAAACCCAAAAGCCTTCCCATTAGCCGATTCTGGTTTAACTCAACAAATTTTGGATGTTGTTCAACAATCCCAAAATTTAAGACAATTGAAAAAAGGTGCTAATGAAGCCACCAAAACTTTGAACAGAGGTATTTCTGAATTCATCATCATGGCTGCTGATGCCGAACCAATTGAAATCTTACTTCACTTACCTTTATTGTGTGAAGATAAAAACGTTCCATACGTTTTCGTTCCATCTAAAACCGCTTTAGGTAGAGCCTGTGGTGTTTCTAGACCAGTTATTGCTGCTTCTGTCACCTCTAACGATGCTTCTTCCATCAAGAACCAAATCTACGGTATCAAAGACAAGATTGAAACCTTATTGATTTAAATTTGGTTAACTTTTTATAGCATTAATATATAAGTTTTTTCAAATCAACATTGTAAATTCTATGACCATGCAACTTATGCCAATAGACTGAGCCAAGGGTAACCTACATGCAAATCACGCCAGATGCTGCACAGTAGATTCAGTTCAGTAGATTCAGCTGAGTGGATTCAGTTCAGTAGATTCAGCTGAGTGGATTCAGCTGAGTAGATTCAGTTGAGTAGACTCAGTTCAGTAGATTCAGTTCAGTAGACCGATGGCATCGGTGATATTTTGTGTGCGTCCATTTTTTTGAAAAAAGTTCAAGATGAGCTTAACTACTTATACATATCAAGCCGGGATACAAGTCTACACTTTTAATTCAATAGAAATGCTGGAATCCTTGGACACTTCTGGAGGAATCACTCGATATCTTCGATCAAAAGATACCCCATTAAGTGAGATCATCTTAACTGCAAACAAGTTATATTCTGGTGATTTAAATACTTATTTACCGAATAAGATTCACTTCTTATATGATCTTTTATGTGATAGACTTAATGATAACAGCAATAAAACATTCAAGGTTTGGAAAACAAAACCTCAAGTATGGACTCTTCTTGACAAAGTTTGGAATGCTTTAATCAAAGATGAAAATGTTTCAAAAAACATTGTTTCTAGAAAGCTTAAATTAGTTGATTCAGTCATAAATATGTTCAAGTTGATAAGTGAGTATTCCGAAGATACTGTTTCTCTTTTAAAAGCTTGCTTTACCGCTCTTGACACTTTTACGAAGGATACTTACATTGAAATTGATGAAAATCAATCGATTCTTTTATTAACTGCATACCTTAATATCTTAAATAGGCTCATTGAGTCTAAGATTATACCAAATGATTTAATAAACCAGCTCACCTCGTCCGTCAATGTATTATTCCAACTCCCCCGTGTCCAAGTCACTTATAAAGCAAATAAGAAGAATGTTTCAAAATTCATTAATGAATGTCTTCCTTTAGCTTTGAATTTTTTGAACTGTGTCTTCAATATTGAAAGTGTTGAACATTCGAAAAACCTCATTGAAAATATCATCAAACAAACCATTTTTGATGAAGAAATCCGTAATACTTTGACATCAAATATTGAATCTGCGGTATCATCTCGCTCAAAAGATTTTTCAGAGGATTCGATTGAACTTCTTTTCTCCATTTTAATAAAAGAAGTGTCTTCCAAAGATATGAAACTATGTGAAGATGTTTTCACCTCTATAGTAAAGTCAAAAAAATTCAATAAAATGTCCGAAAACTTGTTAAAAATCTTATCGAAAGTTAATAGGGCATTATCACATAGCTTTTTCGACTCTATCTACAAATCTGAAATAACTCTCCAACCAATCAATTGGAAATTGATATCATACATAATTGAATTGGATGCTGAACTTGCTTTAGAAAACTACAGTGAAATTTTTGAAAAAATAAAATCGAACAAAAATAAAGACTTGACCTTTTTAATTGGTGAAAACTTATCAGAGGCATTTTTAAAATCAAGAGAATTTAGTCAATTTTTCAAGAATGTTTGGCCAGAAGCTATTAAAACCAATCAAATATGGAAATCATCTCGTTACATCGACATAGTTTCGAAAAAAATCAATGATTTTTCTTCAAATCAATTAAAGACCATAGCTACCCTGTTTCTCGAAACAAATGATCAAATGTATGTGCCTTTGATCATTTCTATCATCAAAGGTCTATTATCATCATCGCAATCAAAAGTCGATCAACTCAGAGAAACTTTAATAGACAGTAAAATGCTCTTCCATGGTAAATCTTCTGAATTGTGGGAGGCAAGATATTACTTATTATGCTTATATGGGGACCTTGTTTTAAAACCCAAATCAAAAGAATTCGATGAGTTATTAAGCCAACCTTCTAAGTCTATATTCTTCTATTACAGTTTGCTAAGAGTAATTGAACTTCAAGGTGACGATAAGAACCAGAAGTCTTATAAGGATAAATTTGTCTCTTTTTTACAATCTTATAAGTCAGATGATTTCCCTACATTGTTCAACGTTATCTTGAAAAGATGGATGGTGATGTTCAATAATTTCTTCGATAATGACCAAATTGAGAGTATCTTAGACATACTATTGTCAAAGTTAGATTGGGAAAAAGTGTTACTTCCTTATTTCAAATTTGAAGCTGATGTTTTTTTCGAACAGCCTAACGTAACTAATGCTTTAATTTCTTATGGTCACAAGAAAATGAAATCTAATGATAAGCACATCAACAAGATTTTAGAACTTACCTCGATTATTCCAGTTCAATGCTTCGACAGAAAAATGAAAAAGGCATTAGTGGAAGTAATTACAGAACACTACCTCTCTTCTTCAAAAGAAGACATAAACCTTTCATCAAGACAAGCTATTCGAAATATACTTTCCATTCAATCCAGTACATCCTCTATTGAACTCAATTTTGAAAAACTAATTGAAATTTTCGCAACTTCTTCACCAGAATCTAAGGAAGTCACTACAGAGATTGTGAAGCTCATTTGGTTAAATCATTTGAATCAAATAAACTCATTCGATCATGAAAAATATTTATTTTCCTCGATAGATTTACTCTTGGTGAACTTTTCATCAAAGACTACTCCTAAAGTCATAACTCCAGAGCTTGAAGTGGCTCGTTGTATTCTTTCAAGCTCAAGTGAAGTCAAACACGAACGTTTCGAGAATTTATTGAGCCAATTGATTGGTAGGTTCACTGCGTCAATTGCTTCTATTTTGAAAAAGTCAACAAAGCTGGTGGATCAAAACTTAAACATGATTCATTGGTGTCTTTCTTCCCTTTATACCATTTTATCGTCCAAGGAAGAGGTATCTACCGAAATTCCAACTTTAATAAAAGAAATCGGAAATGGTTTGTCTTCTTCGAAGGATTCGCTGATAAAAGCCGGCTTATTCAAATTACTTTCAAAAATTTCTGTTCCATCCTTCAAAAGGAGTGTTTTCATTACTACTTTATATATCTCTCTATACAACGAATTGAAAGATGAAAGATTGATCAAACCATTATCTGAGTTTTACAGCAGAATCTCTCAGGACAATGAAGTCTTTGAAGAAGTTTTCAAGCAAGTATTACTAACTGCAAAAGTTGATATGGATTTAGAAAATAGTGGTGCTCTCACACAAATTTTGAGTATTTTAATAACTAAACTCTCGAAGAAGCATCAACAATCTCATTCGAACTTATTCATCTATACCTTATCCATCATTTCTAGCAACTTTGAGGTGATCTTAGGCACAGATATTAAGGCTGCAATGTTTTTCTTGAAGTCCATGAAAAATACCTTGAGTGATCTGATTTGGCTATTCAATCAATACGGAATAGAACTTGCATTATCCTGTATTAACAATGTTTCCTCGCTGATGAATACTGTTGATTCATCTGCAATCATTGATATGTATATATTACTCACTCAGGTTTTATCTCACATTTTGTTATTCCATAGATTCCGTCTTACCTCACGTCACCATATCCTTACTAGAGTCTTTACTAATTTATTGGAAGTGTTATCTTTGAAATATTATAAAGTTAACAGAAAAACTAATTTGTGCCTTTCGTTGCTGGCTGCATCAGCATTCTCCCGTGTTCTTGTTAATTTGAACGAGCCTTCATCAGTTGTGGGCTTGAAAGAAGCTGCAGAGAATTCTTTGAGTTCAGCTTCTGCTATAATCAAAAAGAATTTGAGACTGCATGTTCATATTATACTAGTCAATTACATTTACCTCCAGTTGAATTTCAATTTTGAAAGTAAGGTCAACATCGAGGTTTTAAATGGTATATATAGTGTTTTTGATGTCCTATCAAGAAAAGAATTACATATCGCAAATCTTTCTTTAGACACCGCTGGCAGATCTTACTACAGAACCTTATATGGTAACTATAAGGAGCATGGTAAGTGGAAAGATGAATGAGCTAATATTGCATTTATAAATAATACATATTTTTTTAATAAAATTGATCTAGTCTATAAATATCGAGTTTCGTCGTTATGTATCAACTTACCCCAAAATCGTCTGAATGAATCGCTAAAGTAGAGCATTGATTGCCAAACTTTAGCATCGAAATGTTCTTCAGAAGTTGTTCTGTCAGCTGAATGAAGGATTGCACGTAGAGTGTACTCATATCTAAGAATATCTTTTCTAGTAATGGAACCGACAAGAAGACCCGCATCTTCCACTAGGATATGCCTTGGTCCCAATTTGATGAAAATATCAAGGACATATTCCAATTTTGTATCCAAATGAATAGTCAATGGAGATTTATTCACTAGAGATGACATATTCATAATATCACTCGAGTATTCATTGGAGTTAAATACACAAGGCGTATCTTCATTAAGACCTTCATTATTTGCTAGAACATACTCCAAATCTGATCTTACAACGTAGCCCACAATTTTAGGCTGGTCGTTGGATAAAATGACGGGATAACCTCTGTAACCTGTTTTTTCGAGTATCGCTTTGATCTGGGACAATAACACAGGTTCATTTTGTCCTGACGGGATAGCCACTGTGACACTTGACATTGCACTAGCAACTGTAGTCCCAAAAATAAACTCTTCCTTGGAATCAATGAGAGGTAAACCATTGAATTTGATCATTTGATCAGCAATTCCTCCTTCACCCCATTTATCATTGATAGATTTTGTAATAGCCACCACAATCATTGTTGGGATTATATAACGTAAGGCACCTGTTAACTCAAACATGATAATAACAACAGTTACTGTTAAATGGGTGATACCACTTAAAGCAGCGGCGGCGCCCAAGAAAGCATAAGTACCCTGGATAATACATCTACCATCAGTTGGACAAGTGAGGAAAATAGATGAATCTTTATTTTGCTCGTAGATCTTATCAGCAATCATCCCAAGAGCTCTACCAAATGTTGCTCCTGCTGCCATCGAAGGAACAAAGATACCAGCGGGAACTTTGCACCCATATGTAATTATTGTAAAGAACATTCTTAAGACTGTGGCTAATAATAAAGATGTAAAGAGTTTTATTTTGTTTGAATGATCATCACAAAGCTCATGCTTGAAATTAGCTTCACATTCATGAAATAGTATTTCCATTGACTCAGTCATATCCAATCTTAAATATTCATTAAAATAACTTATTGTAGCAGTTAATAGCGTTAACAATAAAACTTCACGAACTGCAAAATTAGTGAAATATTTCTTCCTAAAGGCAACCACTCTTTTGTTAAATTTTGAAACCAAGATTCCGTATACACCACCGAATACCCCTAACACAATATAGAGAGGTATTTCAAAATAATGCCAATTGGTATCGTAAGTCACCTCGAACATGACCAATTGACCAGTTCTGAAAGGATTTATAGTAGCTAAAGTAGTGACTGCTATTAAAGAACAAACATAAGATTTCCAAATTGTAGATAATTGGAAATTTGTCGAAATTTCTTCTATAGAAAATAGCACACCACCCATTGGGGAACCAAATGCAACAGCTACACCAGCAGCAGAAGTTGCAGTCAAGAATTCTCTAGCTTTAGATGCAGATTTTCTATAAGAGCTAAAAGTACGAGCAATTGAATTACCAACGCAAACTGCATAATGAACACTAGGACCTTCTTTCCCAAGACTTAATCCAGATGAGATAGCCAAGGGTAATCCAACACTTTTAATTAAGAGAGTTGACCAGCCCAAGAACCCTTTCATTACAAAACCGGAAACGATACATTTAATTTCTGATATACCTGAACCAGCTGCAAATGGAGCATATAACTTAACAAGAATAGCAGCCAAATATGCAAAAACCAATGAAATTAAGACATAAGCAATATAATTGAACAATCCAAAATTAGACCAATGCTGCCATTCAGGGCAATTTTCATCATCTTGGCCCCAACAACAAAATGTTTTATTCAAATAAAGATTATTTGAGCAATGACCAATCCGAATACTTGATAACCATGCAGTGATTATATTCAAACAACTGGCAATAAGACCAATCAGTATACCCATTAATGCAAGAACCAACCAAGTTTGGGTAGATGATATTAGTTTTACTTTCAAAGACGTGGCTTTACCTCGAATAGTCTTTTGTTTCAAAAGCCTTTGTCGATGAACATCAAGTTCATCTTCAAACCAGTCAATGGTGGTAAAATCATTGAATCTTTTCACTTCACTAACCTCATCTTGATCTATCCAAGAACCAGTACTTCTACTTCGTAAGTTACGACTCGGAAGCGTGAACTGATCTTCGTATTCCTGTTCAGGAGTCATGTTCGATTTGGTTGATTAAAATGGAAACGATATTTGATTTAAACTTAATGCACAAGAGCTAACCCAAAGCACTTAGGCTATTATATGAAAATGATGCTTAACAGCTTCCAGGTTCAATACTTTGAAAAGAAGAATTGAGAATCAAGGGCGGAGATCCAGTGATATATTTAGATGAGATTGTATCGGGGACAACATTGTTGTCTCGTAGTCTTTTTATCTGATTTTTCTCTGCGTGGAACAGTCGAATTTTTTTACTGCAATTTTTAGAATTAAGTGATTAATATATTAGTTAGAGATTAGTTATTAAATATTAAGTAAAAGCATTATATAGTCTAGTCGAGAGCAAAACGAAGTATGTTATGCTTCAATTCAGTGATCAAAGAATCAAGGGGTTTGGACTGTGGCCCAAGATCGAAATAACTTAAAACAAAGTTCATTCCCCCAAGAGCAGTTGAAATAGAGCTCAACATGAATTCTGCAGCAGATGGGGAAAGGTCCTGAGCAAAGACCATATTGGTGATTGTCCAATTATTAGCAAGTTTGGGGAAACGAATTAGACCCAAGTTTGAAAATTTAGTATGATCAACTTTGGGTTTACCCAAAGTTTTCGTGAAGAAATCAGTATTATCATCTAATTCACTATATACCTCTTTAAAAGCCTTTTGGTTGTTGAGAAGTCTTCTATTGGAAAGCAAGCTTTTCAAGTTTGTATTGAACGATTTGGTCAATTCCCAGGAAAAATCATTGATTGGAGGTAAATTTTGGCCAACTCCAACATGAGCGAAAGTTCCTAATATTTTATATTCGGGGTCAGTTAAAATGGATTGGTATTCAGGCGAGGTGAATTTGGGATCCATAAATCTTCTCAAGTTGATAGCGGTCTTATTCACAGTGTGGTGGTTATCACCAACCACTGACTGTAAAGTCATATAGAATATCACGGCAATGTAAGCAGACAAAGTAACCGATTCCTTCTTACATCTGGCCAATAAAAGTTTCAATTGATCTGGACTGATATTGATCAATTTAAAGCTTATTGAGAAATCGGAGGTACTAGGAGATATTCCTGGCCATCTATCGGGGAACTCTTTGGGAATCACCTTTTCAAAGAAGTCTTCTTTGCCGAAAGAATAGTCAAGCTCAATATCCTCCATGAAATCATCGATTGGAGGGGGTAATGAATTCTTGATGAACTCTTTATCCTTTGAATAATCGAATATTATCGAGTCCACCCCGATAACCAGAGGTAAAACACCAAATTGTTCTTCGAATGAGTCAGAATCTTGAAGATCATCAATATGAGCTAAATTCTTCAAAAAGACTTCATGGAAGTAGTTTCCAGCAACACCATCAGCAATTGTATGTTCAAAGAGCGCACATACGCTATAATCTCCCAAGACTATCAATTTGAACAAGGGTTTTTCCACGTATAGTGGGAAAACGTATTCATCATTAGCATATTTCATGAAATTCTCTGTTAATAAACCTTTTTCAAACCCGAAAGATTCACCTTTAAACTCAACCAAATCACCTAACTTGGCATTGGCAATCGGTCTATAGACCGAGTAACCGGCATCTTGATCTTTGAAAATATTACAGATGAGAATATGATATTCAAGTATTGTTTTCCTCAATGCCATATAAAGCAACTTCAATTCGGTCAAATTTTTAGAATAAGTTGCAGTCACTTGGAAGTTCCTATAGAAGCCACTAGCGGTTCTTGACCGGAAGAAATTCTCAGAGACACCAAGCCGACGCTCAATTACTGTGTTCTGGGTCATGTATGTAAAGAAGCTACTAAACGGTATTGAACATTACAGATGTAGATTTATATATATGTATATATACAACGGAATTCAATGAGTCAACAGATTAGATACGCATAAAGAAGAAACAAAAAAAAAAAAAAAGACAGATAGGGGCAAAAAGAACTACTCCACGAAACAATATTGAAAGGTGACTACCAAAATGCCATTTATTGTACCATTCTCCGTCAAGGCAGCCTTGACTACGGGGGCCATCATAGGGGGAACTGTTGCTGTTATTAACAATCGAGAGAAGTTGTATGAGGTTGCAGCAGAATTTTTGGAGAAAGGAGCAGAATTTTGTAGAGAGAGATCCAAGACTCAGCCAATCGAGACTCCAGCTTATGCTCTGGAGTACCAGGATGGAGAGTATTCGAACTTTGATGAGGAGGGAAATTTCATTGACGGGGTTGATGAAGGGAGTGAAACTGACGAGATGACGACTCCGGATACGACTGACATTGATAGTGATTTTGATTTACTGAGAATCACTACTAGGGACTACATGTCAGAAGATATTGATGTGGTTAGTTTAGATTAGTTAAAGGTTTTTCATTTAGGGTTTCATTGGTTTATTTCATTTCTTTTCAAGGTTTTAGTTATTCTACGTATTTGAGTATCATTAAATTAAACATTCATTTAAAGTATCCCTGTAGGAGAAGTAATGTAGAAATGAAGTGGATTATCTATTTAAACAGCGTAAGAATTAGCTAATTACAGCAAGAACAACAATCAAAACAACTATGCATAAAGCAACCAATAGTATACAACTCCATTTCCCTTTCGATCTCTGATAGTCGTCTGCTTTACGTAACTCATTAGAGGCTTGTTTAACATTACCGTTCATTTGGAAAATATTATCCTCCACAGTATCTAATTGTTCACCCTGCTGGTGAACCAATTCTCCTAAATCTTTAAAGATAGAATTCACCTCCATGATCCCTTGACTGACCTGTTCGATTTCTCGATTTCGTTCTTCTGTAAGTAGCACATGGTACTGTAGTTCTGTTTGATTGATTTGATCTTGCTCCTGTTCCTGTTCTTGAATTTGGATTTGCTGCTGCTGCTGTTGTTGCGTATCGTCCTGTATTAGTGGAGTATTCTCATTGATAGCCACATCTGCTTCAGTTTTAATGGGGAAAGCCAATTTCTTCTCGTTATACTGTCTTATTGAATTCAGAAATCGTTTGTGCAAGTCATTAAATTCATTAACCAATCTTTCCTTAATAACAACTTGTCGATTGGTGATATTTAATTCTGAGACTTCATCGTACGCCTCATCATGACTTTCATCACTGGTTTTCCTCGACTTCTTAGTCAGCTTTTTGTTCACCAAATGAGATAAATTTTGAATCAACGTTTGAATAGCTCTGCCTAAATCAGTGATTTTTTTATTCAATTCGTCTAAATTATCTCTGAGATGTGAACTGTCCCGCCTAGTAGCAACCAATTTCCGTTGACCATCGAATTGAGATATTAAATTCCCGAATAGTTGTAATTGTATCGACGTATTATTGATAATGTTATCTAATTCATTTTGAGCATTAGTCTGACTTTGTGAACTGGAGTTATCTTTTGCAGCATTTTTACCAGCCCCATCCCCATTTCTTTTATTAAGAGGCTTCTGCGACTCTAAATCATAGTTAGCAAACGACATACAGCGCCAATATGTATTAAATTACCTCGAGTTTGAGTTCTTTGAAGTTCGGCATTCCTTTAGTTTTTATACGCAAGGCAAAAACCCAAACATCAGTCAAAAAAACAAAAAAAAAACTGACGCAAAATTTGCTGGCTGATTTTGCTGCCAATTGAAACCTTCAAAGACATATCAATACGAGACGTCTACTCATAGTCAAGGGACTAGCCATTGCTGCTAAAGGACCTTTTGGTTGGGCTTGTTGTAAGTAACGTTTGTTTGTGTGGGATTGTGCGCTGCGGTGTTAGTATGGTCGCAGCCTGGAACCAATCCAACCGGCTTAGTGATAGCTGGCATGGTTTGCAGCTAAAGCGTTGGGTTAAAGGTGATGGACTGGGATCACCGAGGTGTCTGACACTATCTTGACAAGTCAAAGCTGATGTCCCACTATTACTTTATAATTTTTCATTTTTCAGTCATTCAATGATATCCATACAATCGAGTGCCATAGTGTTCTGCCAACACAACCACCACAACCACAACTACCAGTACAAACAGTACAAGCACCGGTAGAACTGCAATCTACCACCTATCTCCTTGTAGTGATGACACCCAAGTCTTTGTGTTGTGCGTGTTCGTGTTTCTGAATAGCTCAAGACACGCGATTGTTATGTATTTTTTTTTTTAACGATTTTCCTAATGAGACGCGTTGGTGTAATATCCAGAAGCTCACGGGTTGATTCTTTTTCTGAATTTCCATATTATCCTTCTTCCTTGTATGATCATCGACTTTCCCGCTTCAAGAGTAGCATCAGCATGTCAAGGGTAAATAAGCGTGATAAGTTGAAACAACTTCGTGAAGCTAGAAAAGCTGGTACTAGTTTACTTCACTATAACGAAGTAGATGAGGATGATAATGAAATCTACGATGAACTCGATGAAAGCCAATATAGACAACACAAGCGAGACCAGCTAATGAACGATGACTTCATTGTTGATGACGACGGTGAAGGGTATGTTGATAATGGTGCTGATGAATGGGATGACAGTACGAGGCCGAATTATTATTCTGATGAAGAAGAATCATCATCCAAGAAGAAGAAACATTCGAAAGATCAAAAACCAGTTAAGAAGACTGCTCAAATCAATAACTTTTTCCAACCAATGAATAGAATGTCTAGTGTCCCCAATCCTCAAAATGCTAAAAAAATTGATGTCAACCTTGATGATATTCTTGACGACTTCGATGCAAACAAACCCAGGGCCAAAAAACAGAAAACCAACAATCCCTTTGCTACCAGCTTCAAGAAATCAACCACTAAGAAACCATCCAAGGCACTTGATCCGTTCTCCACATCTAGAAAATCAAAAACTAAGAAAAATGAAGATATCTTCGAAGAAATCGATTCTTCGATGGATATCGATAACGTGGATCAACAACCGTCTTCTCCGATCAAGGCCGAAGTCAAATCGGAAGCCGTAGAAGAAAAGGAAAATATCCAAGAGGCTGCGCCTAAAAGCGAAGCGGATTCGGATTCTGAAGATGAAGTTGTGCTTAGAAGACCAAGGGCTTCTGCATCAATCAAACACGATAACCAAAGTGTCACTTCATCCAAAGCGGCTTCATTCAAAAAAATACCAAAACCAGAGCTTAGACAACCATTGTCGTCTTCTCCTGCCAGATCATTTGCACCTGCTGATAATTATACTGAAAAATTAGATGAATCAAGAATAGTCGATAATGGATCCGAATCAGAAAACCCCAACTCCTTTAAAATGTTCTGGCTCGATTACTGTGAAGTCGATGGCTCTTTACTTCTTTTTGGTAAAGTCTTGACACGTGAAGGTAAATGTGTTTCTGGTGTTGTTCAAGTTAATGGCTTATATAGAGAATTATTTTTCTTACCTAGAAAGTATAGAATGACTGAAGCTGGTGAAGATCTTGAAGATAAAATTACTCCAATGGATATACACCAAGAAGTCACCCCATTGCTTTTGCAACAATATGGTTTAGAGAAACTTAGAGCTAAACCAGAAAAAATGAAATATGCTTTTGAGCTTCCAGGTATTCCTAAAGAGACTGAATATTTGAAAGTTTTAATGCCCTATAATACTCCCCGTAATAAAAATCTTATTATGCCAGCTGACTTAAAAGGTGAAACGTTTAATCATATATTTGGTACCAATGCTAACTTATTCGAATCATTTGTTCTTCAAAGAAATATAATGGGTCCCTGCTGGTTAGAGATTCTGTCTCCTGATTTCGATGGTCTTAGAAATGCAACTCATTGTCAGGTTGAGGTTGCTGTTGACTCTCCAAGTCTTATAAAGCCAATCACCAATGTTAACATTCCAGCTCCACATTTAACGGTCACTTCCATTTCTGTCCAAACTGTCATGGATGCAAAAAACAGTAAACAGGAAGTTGCTGCTATTTCGCTTGCCACTTACCGTAACATTCCTCAAGATACCCCAATTGATGAAAATACTGAACCTACTGAATCTCTCACATTGGCTAGACCAGTTGGTGGAGCTACCTACTTCCCACCAGGTTTGCAACAATTGGGTCAAAAACAAGGTATGAATTTGAAAACTTTGCCAAATGAGAAAGTATTATTGAATGGTTTAAATGCTTTTATCAAGTCTACGGATCCTGATGTTTTCATTGGTCATAGATTGGAAAATATATCATTAGATGTTTTGGTCCATAGAATGTACGACCTTAAAGTTCCAACATGGTCATCATTGGGTCGTCGTAACAGAAAGACCTGGCCTGATAGATTTGGCCGTTCAAGTGGTGGATTTAATAACAGTTTACAAATTCGTGAAATTTTCCAAGGTAGATTATTATGTGATATTGCTAATGAAATGGGTCAATCATTAACTCCTAAATGTCAATCTTGGGATTTACCTGAAATGTATGATGTCGTTTGCCACAAGAAACATACTGCTTTAGAAATTAATTATCAAACACCAAGTTTTTCTGAAGATGCTTCTTTATTTCTCATGGCTTTGAATGAAAATGACTTTAATGCTAAAATCACTGCAGAAATATCATTTTCTACCCAAATTCTTTCATTATCAAAACAATTGACCAACTTGGCCGGTAATGCTTGGTCACATACTTTGAGTGGTACAAGAGCTGGTCGTAACGAATTCATTTTGCTTCATGAATTCAAAAGAAACAATTATATTGTTCCCGATAAAGAGGATAGATATCATAAAAATTCTCAACAACAGCAAAACAAACTTGAATCAAGTGAAGATGATGCAACTACTGTAACTTCTAACAAGAAACCTAAGTTTCAAGGTGGTCTCGTTTTTGAGCCAGAAAAGGGTTTGCACAAAAATTATATTTTGGTTATGGATTTCAATTCTTTATATCCAAGTATTATTCAAGAATTCAATATTTGTTTTACTACTGTTGATCGAGATGATTTTAATGTTTCCCATGATGAAGATAAAGACTTACCAATCATTCCAGATAGGGACTCTTCTCAAGGTGTGTTACCCAGATTATTAAACACTTTAGTTACTCGTCGTCGTGAAGTTAAAAAATTATTAAAAGATCCAAAGAACTCTCCTGTTGAAAAAGCACAATTTGATATCAAACAGCAAGCTTTAAAGTTAACTGCAAATTCTATGTATGGTTGTTTGGGTTATGTGAATTCCAGGTTTTATGCCAAACCATTGGCTATGTTGGTTACAAATAAAGGTAGAGAGATCTTAATGGACACTAGACAATTAGCCGAGTCTATTGGTTTAAGAGTTGTTTATGGTGATACAGATTCTGTCATGATTGATACCGGTGTCGATAATTTGAAAGAAGCTTTGAAAATTGGTGAGGAGTTTAAAGTTCAAGTAAATGAACGTTATAGATTATTGGAAATTGATACTGATAATGTTTTCAAAAGATTATTATTACATGCAAAGAAAAAGTATGCTGCAATGAACGTTTCTATTGATAAAAAAACTGGACAAGAGCTTACGGCTTTAGAAGTTAAAGGTTTGGATATGAGACGTCGTGAGTATTGTCAGTTATCCAAAGATATTTCTACTTTTGTTTTACAAAAACTCTTATCTGACACTGATCCAGAGCAAGCTTTGGGGGAAGTTTATGATTATTTGGAAGAAACAACACAAAAGATTAAAAATAATGAAATACCAATTGATAGGTATAAAGTTAACACCAGATTATCCAAGGACCCAAGCAATTATCCAAATGGTAAGTCCATGCCACCGGTACAAGTTGCATTTAGATTGAGGTCTCAAGGGAAAGTGATTAAAGCTGGATCAGTTATTACTTTTGTCATTACTGCTGCCAATGATGAAAATGAGACTAAAGAATCTTCACCAGCCGACCGAGCAAGAGCTATTACTGAAGTGCTCGCAAAGAACTCGAATTATAAACCTGATGCCAACTATTACCTAGAAAAACAAATATTTGCACCCGTTGAAAGATTGCTCGAAAGAATTGAGGGTATTGACATGGTTAGAGTTGCTAAATGCTTGGGAATCGATACAAAGAAATATATATTAAGAGTTAAAAACAACGAGTCTGCCAATGGTGAAATTGTGCCTTTAGAATCAAATATCACCGATATAGAAAGATTCAGATTGTCTAGTTATCTAATCATGAATTGTAAATGTGGTCATAAGTTTAGATTCGGTGGTATACTTGCATCTAATGACTATAAAGTTACATTCAATGGTATTTCTTGTGGGAAATGCGATTATACATTCCCACAAATCAGAATTGCATCCCAATTAGAAAATGCTATCAGAACCCATTTAGCTTCTTACTACGCAGGGTGGTTGGTGTGTGATGACGGTGCCTGTGGTATCACTACCAGACAAATCTCGGTATACGGTAGACGTTGCATTGGTAGTTCAGGTACCAGTCACGGTTGCAAAGGTGTTATGAAATACAAATATACCGATAAAGCATTGTATAATCAATTATTATACTTCAACTCCATTTTCGACGTTGATAAAGCAAAAAAAAACGAATTGAAACCAATATATGATGTTTTTGATACGGTTGAAAACCAACCTAAGAAATTAGCATCTGGTCAAGTTGACGCTTTAGCTGAACAAAATAGAGAATTGTTCACTCAATGCCAGGACGTTATTCAAAAATACTTAGGTGATTGTGGTCGTCGTTATGTTGATATGTCTGGTCTTTTCGATTGGATGAGTAAGGCATAGCTTCAATCCTTTCAAGTTATTAGTATTTTGCACCTCTCGTTTCCTTTCAATTCTCTTCTTTGGTTGTATTTTGGTTCTTTTTTCAGTTTTGTATTACACTTCTCTTCCTTTTTGTACACTAGCTTATCTATCTAATTTATGAATTGTTCAACTAAACCTTATTGTAGTTCAATGGTTAATATATCAGTCGTTATAGACCTATTTGCAGTCTATTTTATATGGTAGTGCATAAACCAATATACCGATTTTTTTTTTTCTTTTAAAAAAAAACCGAACTACTCTCGGAAAGTCTAAAAACTTGAAAAAATGCTAAGAAGGTAAATAAATAGTAATAAAGCTATTTAGTGAATCTTCTCCATAAATCAAACAACAAATAGTTTTCGTTCGTTTAGACCCCAAGCCTTTTTCAGTGCATCACAATGAATTTCAATCCGCAAGGGGGTAATGGGAATATGAATGGAGATCAAGCTCCTTTCAATCCGCAACAAGCTGGACAGAGCCAGAACCAACAGGGAGCTGCTAGTTTTTTACCTCCACAATTTGCCAACTTGTCTCAACAGCAAATCCAGCATTTGATGAAGACCAACCCACAGTTTCAACAAATGATTAGAACATATGTTCAGAATCAGCGAATGTTACAACAACAACAATTGGCACAACAACAAATGCTACAACGAGGTCAAGTACCACCAGCTCAACAACAACCTGTCCCACCACAACAAGCGAATTTGTCTGGGATGAATACCAATTTGGGTATGGCTCAAAGAAACTTGAGCAATCCTCAACTCTCGCAACAACCACAACAAATGATGGGGTCACCTCAAGTGAATCCTAATGGTTTACCTGCTCAAAGACCATTTTCGAATTCAAGACCAACATCTTTCCGTCAGCAACCACAAGTACCACCATCCCAACAATTTCCAGGCCAACTTCCTCAGCAGCAAAGGCCACTGTTACAAGGAATGGCTACTGCTCAAGGTAGGCCGAACATGTCACCTCAGGGTAGCATACCGCCACAAGCTATGCCTATGGCTGGACCGGGGACTCCAAGAAACGCGGCCACCATGGCTGCTGCTGCTGCTCAGGTAAAGCAGCACCCTAATATGAGTAGAGCCGGTAGTGTTTCTGCTGTACCTGGCGGGGTTCCAGTAACACCTTCTACAACAGCGCAAGGGTTCTATGGCTCTACGTCTAACATTACACCAGGAACAATTCCAATGGGGTCTGGTCCTATGGGAGTTACCGGTGCTACTCCTGTCAATGCCCCTGGTATTGCTGCTAATGTAGTTCCTGGGGTTCCACCTGTTGGGATTCCTGGTGCATCTGGAGTCGACGTGAGTGGGAATGGTATGTCCAAGCCAGAAATGATTGGAGTTCAATCACTGAATCCTAATGAGCCTCCACACTTCTCTCCACAAGTGCTCGGAGCACTTCTGTACCGTGAATTAACGGAATTGAATGAATGGTCTGAAAAGCTAAAGAAAGAAGGGAAAGAGGTACCACTTGACGTTAAAATATATGAAGAGTTAGTCAAAAGAGATAATACTTTTGTTTCCAAATATAATCAACAGTCTACAAAAAGCAAACAAGTTGTTGAAGGATTAGTTCGTGATATCAAATCCTATAACGATATCAAACAGTTAAGGATGAATGCCATAAACTTATCATCAAAGGGTGCATTCAATAACAGTATATGGGGAGAAGGTTACCAAGGGTATGGTAATGGAATCAGTAATACTGCTACTCAATTAATTATGCCAAAACATAATAAGGCAGTTTCCAGATTGCCAGATATAGGTATGACTGATCGAAAAATAAACAGTAATGTATTGAAAAAAATTGAAAGTGGTAAGACTAATCAATTGGTGCCAATTAGATTGGAGTTTGATCAAGAAAGAGATAAATTCAAATTAAGAGATACCTTTTTATGGGACTTAAGTGAAGACGTTTTGCCATTAGACTATTTTGTCAGACAATTAATTGAAGACTATAAATTTATTCCTGAACAACATTATTATACTATTTTAGGTTCCATCAATGAACAAATCAAAAGTTTCCGTAAAAAACCCGATAAGACAATGGGTGAGCTAAGGATTCCAATAAAAGTAGATGTCACCATAAACAACACTCAATTAGTTGATCAATTTGAATGGGATATATTGAATTCAGGGGAAAATGATGCTGAAGAATTTGCACTTATCATGTGTGATGAGATGAATTTACCGGGCGAATTCACCACTGCAATTGCCCATTCCATCAGAGAACAAAGTCAATTATTCCATAGGGCATTATTTTTAATCGGTTACAGTTTTGATGGCTCATTAATTCACGAAGATGAAATTAGATCAAGACTTCTTCCTTCGCTTAGATTGCTTAGTCAGGATCAACAGAGTGGTAAAGTTGTTGATGATTTTGTCTCGACTTTGCGAAATCCAAGTAATGTACCAGATTTCACCCCTTCTTTGGTCAAATTAACTCAATTAGAAGTAGAAAGATTAGAAAAAGATATTGAGAGGGATTCACGTCGTAAAAGAAGACATACCACTAATGATTATGATAATTTTAATTCTGCGGGTAGCGGACTATCAAACAACTCCAGTGGTGGAGGCAGAGGAACAACTAGTAGAAGAGCCGCATTACATACTGGTAGAGGAGTCAAGGTTTCATTGCCAGATTTATCTGACGTTCCAAAAACCTTCAGAACACCAGCCCCTTCGAGTATTTTACCGGGTGCTATCGATTTAGGGGTACCAGACATATATGGTTACACTGAGATTGCTGCTAACCGTACAACCGTACGTAATCCCAACTATAAACCACCTAATTTAAATAATGAAGGCGGTGATGATGCCACCGATGACGAAGAGTCAGGTAATGATAGAGTCAAGTACCTGTACGATGATGTTTTGGAAAGATTTATCGTTAAAATAAAATTACCCAGAGCATAAGTGTATATTAACATATAGATAAATTTAAATGTATTCAGTATTTATACTACTTTTTCATGTTTCATTTTTTTTTTTGCAGCATTCGGTAACTGATCGGTAGCTTTTTCACAGGAAGAACAAAGAAGCCCCCGCGTAGATGTCAAGCTATATATATACCTATACTTATATTCAATTTTCTACTTTCTAAAGCCAAATATCAAGCTAATAAAAGAACTATAATGAAATACGCTTTAGTCACGGGGGCATCATCGGGAATTGGATTCGAGGTATGTAAGAACCTTGCCAATCGCGGGTACAAAGTTTTGGGGTGTACTATTGCCAAAGAAGTTGAGAAAATGGCACCTTTGAAAGAACTAGGAGTGGTACCAATTGAATGTGATATCAGCTCAGTTAGTGATATCAAGAAAATGGCTCAGGTTGTTGAAGAAGAAACCGGTGGGCGCTTAGATATTTTATACAATAATGCCGGTATTCTGATTGCAGGAGCAGCCGTGGAGTTTGATGATCTGGAAGCCAAAAAATTATTCGACGTTAATGTCTTGGGACACATCTATGTCACGAAGTACATGATTAAGTACGTGATTCTGGCAAAAGGAACCATCATTTTCACCAGCTCTGTGGCTGCCAGAGTCCCACTTCTGTGGGTATCATTGTACTGTGCAACTAAAGCAGCCATTGATCAATATGCCTTGGGCCTTCATGGAGAAATGAAGCACTATGGCGTACGTGTCATCTCGGTGATCACTGGTGGTGTAGACACTGCTATTTGTGATAATAACGTCAATTATACCACTGATGGAGGACTATTTGATGTACCGGCTGCAAGAGAAAGTATGATATCCTCAGCAATGATGCTGAGACAACAGATTTCCATTTCGCCCAAGGAATATGCCAAGCAAGTCTTGGGCAAGGCTATTGGTGGTAGGGGTGGTTTCAACGTATATGCTGGAGGCAGAGCATACTTTTTACATTTGGTTAGTCGTTTTGTTCCCTTATGGTTGATGGAATGGGGTATATCTTTCCATTTCAAACAATTATCGGTCTGGGCCCAGCTACGTAAGAAGTTGAGAGATCAATCAGCTAAACGGCTGGCCTGAGTTGGTGTGTATCCGTTTATATCGTAATCTATATATCTCTCTATCTCTCTATCTCTCTATCTATCTATCTATCTATCTATCTATCTCTCTATCTATCTATCTATCAGTAGGTGTTTATTTGCAACCGTAAAGACCCGTGCACCGAAAGTCCTCCTATTCATAAAGAACAAGCATTGCCCTTTCTGTCTCGTGTGCAGGACTCTTTTTAAAACGAATATCTTTACATTAAGAGACCAAATAAAAACACACGATATCAAATAAATCTATTCATTAGCTTTTCATTCTTTCTATTGTGTACTTGATATTAATGGATTGTTAAAGAGCATAGATTTGTTCATCTTAGGTTATCATTTAGATATAAGGGGCTTTTTCCAGGTTTGTTTGCCGCTTTTTTTCAACCGTTTTTGCCTTTCTGAATATCTCGTATAGATTGCCGATATTTCTAATCATCTCCCCAGTCCCTTTCAGAGCCATCAGCAATCATGACTACAAGTCATTCACATCGGGAACTGTTAGAGCAGCAGGATAATGCTGAGGAAAACAATCATTTGTTAGAATCGTTCGATACTCCGGAACCAGAGGATGGTAATCAAGAGTTCAAATTAAAATATTCCCATTCCCAACATAGTTTGAATGAAGTATATAATGGCAAGAAGTTTCTGTCTGATCAAAGCGATGATGACCGCTTGCAGAGCACCAGTAGTATTCAGCAACATGAAACAACGCCCAGAGAACAAGATAATGAAGAAGAAAATACCCAACAGCAAGATGGATTAAATGGTGCTTTACAAGAAGGAAATTCATCATCCCATCCGGATTCTAACGGTTCACCAGATCAAGTTGATTTGGAACTGCAGCAACCCCGTCGTCTTACCACGTCACAACGAATCAAGAATGTCATTCATCATTTGGTTCCCATCAAACAAACTTATGAAAGAATCAATAACGGGATTACTACCGGGAGAATGCAATCAAATACTCCAGGTCGATTTATTGGCCAGGGTACTGATGGAGTATTCCGAAACTTGATGGCAAAACCAGATACCGAAAGTAACCGGATCGATCAAGAAAATAATCCTCCTTCATACGAAGAAGCAGCCGCTGATGCAAGTCCGGAGTACTGGGAGTCAACGGTTATCTCCCCTATGTATGAAGATGAAGTGTTTGTTGAAGGTTTACCGGTTGGAAATATTGCAAATTTTGTATGGAATGGTTTAGTAACTGTTGCTTTCCAATTTGTTGGTTTCATTCTTTGTTATTTGTTACATACCTCTCATGCTGCAAAACAAGGCTCAAGAGTTGGTTTGGGTATAACTTTCATGGTTTACGGGTATGGAATGGTTCCTTCTAATTTTGGTAATCCAAACAGAGTACCCGATCGGTATGAACCTTCGGATCCTAATCTGTTTGATATCAATAAATCTCTGTCCATAAGCACTGGTGGCAAACTTGATACTTATAAAGTTGGATTATTGAAGGGAGTTACTTCGGTCGATGCTTCTCAACAAAATGACCCAAGCGTATTCGATGCTCCTTATTTTGCTTATGGATTGATCGCTTTTGGTCTATTCATTATCATAAAAGCTATTATGGATTATTACCGTGTTAAACAAATGGAAAGGGTTATATTATCACCTCCTACAACGACTACAACTACAACTACGGCAAATTCTTCTTAATAACTCATAAAAGATCTCATATACTTCTTCATTCAGTTTTTGTTTTTCTATTCTATTTTATTCTTTGTTTTTCTACTGGACTTAATAATTAATCGGCATTTTTGTATACTACTCTAAATATATTTTTATACGGTATAACTATTAATTTAAATAAGTGAAACTTTGTAGATTAGGCTGTGAAATTTTTGATCTCTCGCACTAACTTCACTGATCGTCCACAGATTATTTATTACGTTTACAATTTTGAAAATTTACGAACAACAGACCCTTTTCACTTGAAGAGATAGTTTTTACTACAATTGAAGATGAAATTCCATTCAATTGTTTCGTTTGCAGTCTCTGCACTTTTTGCAACCTCTGCTGTTTTAGCCGAAGATGTTCAACAGGAACAAGCAAATGCCGCTTCAAGACAAGAACCTGAAAACTCGGAATCAATTAAATTTTTAATTGATTACGATATTAAAGAGTATCCAGAAGTCTCTAACACCAATGTTGCTGAGTTGAAGAATGGTGAAGTGATTACCTTACAATATAACGCAGTCAATAATGAAGAAGAAGACATCACCGTTGTTGGTGTTGGTGGTACATTCCGTAACCCTGCAAACAACAAGATTGTTACTAATTTGACTGCTGCCACCATTGGCCCAATTGTTATCAAATCAGGTGAAAGTGTTGCCTTTGACCAAAAAGTGAATTTGGAATTGGTTCCTGATAATTACATGTTAACCCCTCAGGTATTCATTGCCTATAAAGAAGAATTAAAATTAATTCAAACCAGAGGCCAATTAGCAAGTGTTAATGATGTACCAATTTCATTTTTCAACCCCCAATTATTATTTTTGGAATTAATCATTGGGTTGACCTTGGCTGGTTTTGGTTATTTTGCTTGGCTGGTTTGGGGTCAAGTCTACTTTCAAGGAACTTCTCCAATTAGATCGAAGAAGATATCTGCTCCAATTGCGGTATCAACTGGATCAAAGACCGTTAATGAAGACTGGCTTCCCCCAAATCATTTGCAAAATAAGAAAAAGAAGACCAGAAAAGCTTATTAAATTAGTTATAATATAAATAATTTGTCTCTTTTTTTTTGAAAAAAATTACGTCTATTAAAATATTATCTATATGAATGACTTAATGTAGGATCAACCTAACAAAACCATCATTTTTTCATAAATGGTGAAAACTATACCACCACTTAAGACCAATCTACCCAATCTTGGGGTTGCACCTTTCCAGAATACCAACAAACCTTCGTCTTTAAAAATCTTTACAAAACAGTTGAAAGTTGAAGAGTATATTTTATCCGCACCCAAAGCTTGCATTCTAGTTTTAACTGTATCAATTGGCATGGTGGCATAAACTGTCACAGTACCGGCAAAAGCACCAACTGCAAAAGTGGCAGCACTACTTAAAGGTTCATTCGGTTTGGTCCCCGAAGCCTGCTGTATCATAGTTTTGATGGCATTATAAGAACCCAATCTTACTGCTTGATTAGCAGCCTGTCTCATTGAAACTGGTAATACACCAGCGTAAATACCTTTAAATCCCAAGTCTTTAACTAATCTAAAAGATCCCAGAATCAATCCATTTTGGTATTTTGGTTTTGGAGTTTGTTTATCATCAATCAATGCAGTTTTAATTGCTTCGAATGGAGTGACTGCAACAACACTTTCTAATAAACCAGCACCCAAACCAGCAAGGACCCCTCTTGGTCCAGATAATTTACCATTTTTATCAGCAAGTAAACCTTTGATGGAATCAAATCCAAGGAATCTAACTGAAGCCTTGACTGTATTACCCACAACAAAAGCTGGACACCCTATATAAAGAGAAGAAACCCCTTGAGTTTTAGCCACGTTATAGATAAGTACTAATGGGTTACGGGAAGCTTTAGAAGCACGATCGGCCAATTGTAATCTGGTCTTAGCAAATTCGAATGGATAAGTGATCACCCCTTCAACGGCACCGGCCGTCCCACCAGCTATGAAAGATTTGAAAGGATCAGCCTATTTGCGAGTTAGTATTTAATGAAAATTCATCTTTTTGCACTCAAATGAGAGTGCCGCAAGTTCTCTCCGCAAAAAAAAAAAAAAGTGAGTCATTCAATGATTTAAAAGAAAAATGGATATAGAAAAGATAAGTGGATAGATGTCAATGGAGAGCCAAGGGTCGAATGGGAAACGTACTTTTTTGTCGCTTTTGCTCATGATGTCAATGTAAAATAGAAAACCACTAGGAAGAAACCTGGAGAAAGAAGTAGTTGATCAAAAAATTTTCACTCGAAATTTTTCAAAAGTATTTTTTTTTCTGACAGAAACTCCGTAATCTGCAAATTGTCCGATAACGGGACTTACAAACAAGTAATGCAAATATATATTGTACAGTAGAAAAGTAATTATACATCTTCGAATTCGTCGAAGTCGTCCTCTTCCTCGTCGTCATCGTCGTCATCCGCTTCACGTTCAGCCAAATCCGCATAGTAAGCTGCCAAAACATCTTGAGCGGCTTGATCTTTTGAATCCAGAGTTGGAGGGTTTGCTGGGGCGGATTGGACTTGATCGGATGGTTCGATTTGGGGAGTAGAAGATTCTTCTTTAATATCGGTTGATTCTTCTTTAATTGTAGGGGTTGTTTCTTTAGAAGATTCTTCGCTATCTAATTTACCTAACATTTTACCAACGGTACTTGCCGAGTGCCAGGAAGGTAAAGCGTTCTGTTCTAATTTTTGTCTTCTTTGTTCTTTTTCTAATTGTTCACGTTCGTAATTTTCATCGTTAGCAGTAATTGAAACGTTAAGAGTAGCTTGAGACTTAGAAGCAGCATTTTGTAAAGAGGAAGACATATTGGATCTTGATTTATTGCTAATACGATTTGATATGGTATAGGAAGCAGAAGAAGAAGTTCTTGCTGGAATAGCAATGGTTAAAGCCAGTTCGAAATTATTATCTTCGATATAAGAGTCGTCAATTTTTTTCAAATAAGAGATGATTGGATCAACTTGTAACATTAATTTTTCTAATCTAGCTTGTCTAATTGAAGCTTGTTGATATGAATCATCTTCAATTAAGATGCCATTACAGTTATCACAAACAAAATTTAATTTATCATCACTTAATAAAGAAATTGCATCCAACTGACTAACTTTTTTCCCACACCTTGGACAAACGTACCCATGAGGGTTACCCAACAATGACATTTCTTGTTTTAAATCATTTACTAAAGTATGCACTTTCCATTTGATTGAATCAATTGCTTCAGTAATATGTATATAATAATATGTTCGAGTAGTTAATCGTTGTTGGTTATTCTCTTCCTTCTGCACATGGTTCACCAATAATCTATCTTCCACCAATTTATAACAAAGTGCTCTTAATTGCTTGGGATTGATTCCTAATAAGTAGTATAAATCATCCTCCGACAATACGGAATGTAGCAATATAGCATCAAGAATCAAGATGTACTGGCGCAGGTAGAAGCCCCGCGCAACAAACCGAATCAAAGATCTAATCGTATCATCCATCCTTGACTACAGCCGGTAAAGTGACTGCAGTAAGCCAGAACTCTTTTTTTTTTTTGATGTCCACGGAGACCGCACGACATCGGGAACATAAATGTCGCACTAATGTCGTTGATCGACCAATCGGCCGGTCACGTGACCGAAGTGCTGCCACTCCTTCCCCAAACCACATCTAAATGAACATCTAAATGAACCAAAAGGAATTAAATGAACTAAAGGAAATGAGCTTTAATCACCAAGGACTACAATCTCAAACGCGTGGCTTGTTGGAGATTGCTCCCCGTGGAAAACCAGAAACCCTTGCATAATCTCAAACCCAACCGAACAATCACCAATCACGTCAACCATTTCATCCCGTGCTGCCCACCTTCCAGTGGCCAATCAACCCCCGGACATGGACGTAAATATACTCGATCGAGACGTGTTTCAGAAAGATAAAACGGCTAGCAGAACAAGGAACACAATCGCGTTACTGGCAGCGGGTCGTGTCCCCTTCACCGAAAGAACAAAACGACGCGAAAAAAAAAAAAACTGAAACGCGTAATGAAAGCATATAAGTCATTTAAAATATCACGCAGATTTTATTTTATTTAATTTTTTTTTTTTTGGTTTGTTAGTACCAGATACTGATTGAGTTTGGGTTCTACCGTTTCTTCTTGAATAATATTAAACAACGTCCATCGCCAGTACTCTAACAAGAACAAGAAAGATTGGAAAGACGGCCAAGAAGTAGTAGTTTTCAAAAGATATGTCTAGGGTATCAACTGCTAATCAAATTACCAATAGTGAAAGTGATACGAATATGAAGATGGGATCCAGTTCCAGGTTGCCATTACAAGAGAAGGTTACTAATGCTCATGTGGATGAATACAAGTATAAGGTTACCGATACTCCAGTGTCGTCGTATAAGAATAAATCCAAGATTAATACTCCACCACAAAGCATTCATATTACCAGTAAGAATCGTACCAATAGTATGTTGGATACTCCTATAAATAAGAGTGTGAACGGTGGTGGTAATCAGACGATCGATAAACAAGAGTTGACCTTACTTTCACCGGCGTTTTCTTCACCGCAAAATTCGTACTTTGATGCTAAGCAAGACGATTCGCGTCACCATCAACTGCAACCGCAACATTATATGGCCATGCCACCGCCTAAACCATCGTTTGAATTGGAAGACGCTGGCAAAGAACCATCGTCGTCCAATTCATTGACGGTTTCGATTGGCCTGGATGATAATGAACGACCATTACCTAAAAAGAAACAAAAGAAACCCAAAGAGTTGAAAGAATCCGGGTTTTCTATAGAATCAGATGAAAAACCTCCATACTCGTATGCTACGTTGATTGGAATGTCTATTCTAACCACCAAGTCGAAAAAACTAACTCTTTCTTCGATTTATCAATGGATATCTGATACTTTCAAGTATTATAAACGTGAAGACGTTGGATGGCAGAATTCAATTAGACATAATCTATCATTGAATAAAGCTTTCATCAAAGGTGATAAGTCAAAAGATGGTAAGGGCCATTATTGGTGTATTAAACCAGGATTCGAAGAACAATTTTTAAGATCAAGAAATAATAAAAAATCGGGTTATCATGAAATAATGGATCAGTTGAAAAAATATCCAAATCACCCAAATTACCCAACTCATCACTTTGGGGAAAGACCCGTTGACATCGAGGCTAAACCAATCCATCGTTCCATCAATTCTATTCCTTCCTCGCCTAATCTTGCTGAAGATGAAGATGAACAACCAATCAAAAAAAGAAATCGTTCAGAAATCGACGATGACTTTAATTATCGTGACAGCGATGATGACGAAACTAATTTTAATGAAGATAATGATCATAAATATAGTCGTGCTATTTTGGATCATCCTTTCAAAAAACAAAAATTGGTTGATGATGATGAGGACTATGAAGATGACGAATGGGAAACAACTAAATTGATAACAACTCCAAAATCTGGGAAAAATCATCCTAATTTCATAATCAGCGAATCTCCAAATAAACCATTATTGGCCGGTAAGAATTTAACCTTCACTTCAAGTTTTAGTTGTCAATCTAATTTTGAATTATCCCCAATAAGAACCAGCGAAACTGGTCCTTTACTCGAACCTTTAACTCCTGCCAATAATAATTATAAAAGTTCAGCCAATGTAATCCAAATTCCTCCTCCTATTCATTTAAACCATTCTAATTCAAATAACCATCTTCACCCCCATTATTCCCTTTCTCAATACCATCACCCAGGTCAGTCCCAACCACCTTCCCAATTACAGCATCCTCTCAATAACTTAAAAACCACTCCGAAATCAAATATTAAAACTCCATTAAGAATCTTGAAAACTCCTCAAACATCATCGATAATGAAAAGATTATGGAATTCTCCTTCCTATCTTGATGATTTTTATTATTCTCCATTACTCAGCTCCTCCCATGGTGCATTGAACTCGTACGATGATGATGATATGATCATGAGAGCTTTTGAAAGCCCAGCTAATAATCAAGTAAATCAAAAAACTGCGAAAAAAAATTTATCTTCAAGTATTGATTCAAGTCGTAACTTATTTGATGATTTGAAAAAAATTGACTCCTTAACTTCAACTAGCTCAATTGATTCTACAGAAAAAAAGGATCCAGATCATCATCGTTCGGATTCGAACCTCACGGATGCTGACTAACTTGGTGCTTGGTTTGCAAACTTTTATTTTTGGTACGGTTTAGGGTTTACAGGGTTTTGCTTTTTTGTTTTCTTCTTTTTTGTTATTTTTTGTTAGTTTTTTTGGCTTGTTTGATTTTGTTACTATACTCAATTTTTCCTTGATGTTTTTTGTTGCAAAAAACATCACTGCTCTTGATTTCATTTCTCGATATCTTGCTATTCTTATTCTACTTTGTATTATTAGCGTACTCTTTAAGTATGTTTCTTTGTTTTGTTTTGTTTTGTTTTGTTTTTTCGTTAATTTACTGTGTATTTGTATAATTTACTATTAATAATATTCATTATTTTATGTCATTAGATCCTTTAGTCAATGCTAGAACACCCTTTACAGCCACATGTTATACATCTATCGAAATCTTTGCCATCGTCTTCTAATTGTTTTCTAGGTACTCGGCAAATACAAGTATTCTCATGATTCTTCTCGTTAACTATAATACAATTTATACAACATAACTTCTCGTATCCTTGTTTTTTCCATTTGGCAATCAAATCCTTATTCACGTACTTCTGCTTCAATAGATATTGATACAACTCACTCAGTATGGTCTTACGTTCATAGTATAGTGAATAAACGTATCTTGATATTTGATGATTTATTTGATAAATGGGCCATAAAGATTCATTTTTATTAGTGGTTTTCAATGATTTTGCCTGTGACTCCTTGAGCTTTGCCAATAGCTTATTCAAAGTTGGTTCAATCTTGTCAAACCCCTCGGGTATCTTGGATTTTTTAGATGCCTTGGGCATTTTTGTTTCCAATTATTTAGTAACTAGTCATCTTGTTATCAAGTTATTTTTTTTTTGTTCGATGACTTAGCGCAAAAAAAAAAATCGAGTGAAAATCTCATTACCTCCCCTGCCAAATACAACTTGATATCCGCTACTTTTGCTAACCACTTCTAACTATTACCAAATCCCTAACAGACTAGTTCAATCCGCTTTGCAATCCACTTCGTTAGCATGGGCAAAAAAAATGACGATGTTGGCAAGATTCGAACTTGCGCGGGAAATCCCATTGCATGGCCCGAAAGATTCGAGTGCAACACCTTAACCGCTCGGTCACAACACCTATAGAGAACGACCTTTCCAGGATTCGATCTCTCAACATATTTGGAACGCCTGACTGCACCTCCGGCGTGGAGGAGTACACGACCAAGCTATCACCCCAAATCATCAAAATTTTGAAATTTTGGTTAACTCGATTGACACGCTTTTCATTAGCATTAATTTGTAGAGTTAAAAATAAATCCCTCCGATCTAATAATTCAATGCTTACAATGCTTTCTTCAGGCTCTTTGAAATATAAGAATTAACTTTTGAGAAGGATGAACGTTTTGCAAGAATATTTTCTGGGAATTAATAAAAGTAGTAAATGGGTCATTTTGACATTGATTTCTTCATTGAAGGTTTTCCAAACCTTTTCTTTGGGCCCTCTGGGGTATTGTCCTAATTTGGGCGGCTTAATTTTGGGTGCTTTTTGCTGTTAAAGGTTTCTAATACCAAGAGTTTAGGTATTTTAAATGATATTTTTACCAGGCTGATAATTATACTAAACATCAGAGAAGGGATATTCAATTGATCCTAGCCCTTTCCTCTAGATTTAATACTTTCTTCTGTGAACATAGGTACATAAATATATATTCAGTATTCTAAAGAATGCAGTTTTAAATGTTTGTTTTTTGAATGTTTGTTTTTTGAATGTTTGTTTTGGTGACTTTCAGCTAGCTTGATGGTCAATCTTCGATTAATTAATTAAATCAAGTCACTGGCCCACTAAGCAGAATATTAAGAAGTTTTTTCAACATATATATATATTGCAAGAAGGAACATACAATATCTGCTTTAACATGATAGGCAAGTTTATAAAGTAGACGGTTTCAAATTCAACAGCTGGTGAAATAAATGTTTAATGAGTATCTTCACCAGAGCTACAGCAGAATGAATATTAGGATACGTATCTGATTTAAAGCTGGAATGGAAAATACCAAGAGTCGAACGAGAAATTACGCCTAAGCGAAAAACCAAAGCTCTGAATAGTGGATTGATCGCATAACGAATATCGACATATATGCTGCTTAAATTTCCTGATTGCATAAACAAGACTCTATTCACATTCTATGGGTTGATTGGGTTATGATTGAAATATTTAAACAGTAACCTGGTGTTAGTCAATGGCTGCAATTTTGCACAATCAACACAAAAATTTGAGCAAAACTTAAATGTCTACACTACAAAGGACAAAACTACTATCATTAATATCTCGTCATGTCATTAAATATATATAGTTATTCTTTCAACCAATCCGGCAATTTTTCAGGATCAGCCTCTATAGTATTTATATCAAAGCTTTCAATTAATAATTCCACCAAAATTCTTCCACCTCTAGCACCAGTGAATCTTCTATATTCTTCACTAACACTAGCCAAATTCCAGCCTTGTAATCGTCTTAAACAGCCAATCACGGCTCCAGTACGGTGTCTGCCCATCCCACAGCAAACCAATAAAGGATAGTTTTCTTTATTGCAAATCAATTCCAAGGCCTTTTTGATCGTTGTTTCACTTAATGAATCCCACGGATTTACGTTTGAGTAATTATAATCATTGATCATGCCCACAAATTCGATATTTATATTGTTCATGGAACAATAATCTAAAAAGTCTTCTTGAGGTTCTTCACTAGCCAACCATAATATGGTTTTCAAATGTAAGTCTTGTAAGAAAGACTGATTTATGATTGATGGTTGACCCGAACGGTATAGTTGTTTTTCGACCGGGCAGAAATTCAAAGGAGGAATGATTCTTAGTGCCGGTGGCCGGGTTATCTTCGTGAGCTTTTTCGCTTCACGATCAACCTGAACGTCCATGATAATGTGGAAGAATAGCCTTAAACAAGTTTTCTTTAATTGAACTTTTTTTTTTATGTTTTGATCGAACAAAACACCCACACACCACACCGAACAGTAAATTTTTCAAACAACTCTCAACTTTAAACACGTTGAAGTTTCCGATTCTTCTTCACAAGACAATCAAAGAATGGCTAAGAAGGATAGCACTCAGATGAAGAAGGCAGCAGCAGCTTCCAACAATGGCACCTCAATTGGCCAATCGATCAATGAAGTTATTTCCGCAATTGAAACCACATATAAAGATTATTCGAATACATTGACTCCAAGATTGAAATTAATTGATTTATTTTTATTATTTTTAGTGGTATTGGGAGTTTTACAGTTTTTATTTGTCTTACTTGTTGGAACATTTCCTTTCAATGCATTTTTAGGAGGATTTATTAGTTGTGTTGGACAATTTGTATTAACTGTTAGTTTAAGATTACAATATAACGCCGATAATAACTCAATTGAAAGTGAAGATAAATATAAGAAGGAGATTTTAGAAAAAGATATTAGTGAGATTAATAGCGGACTGGTAAACGTTGAAAGCTTGGAAGAGGATGTTCAATCAAAACCATTCAAGTATATTAGTCCAGAACGAGCATTTGGAGATTTTATTTTTGCCAGTTTAATTTTACATTTTATAGTATATCATTTTATTAATTGAATTAAATATATTCAATATACAACAGGGAGAGAAGAGATCGTAGGAACGATAACAAATAAGTGATTTTTTTTTTTTTTTTTTTCAGGATTTTTTTTTTCAAGTAGATGGTAAATCAAGTAGATGATAAATCAAGTAGATGGTAAATCAAGTAGATGATAAATCAAGTAGATGGTAAATCAAGTAGATGGTAAATCAAGTAGATGGTAAATCAAGTAGATGGGAAAAAAATTTTTTTTTGGAAACAAAACTTTTCAATAGATCAATATTAATAAATAGAAGTAAACGATTAAACGATGATACAGCAGCCGGATTTTTCTTTACCTTGTTTAGCATTTGGTTGGTTCTTTCTATTTGAAGATTTAGATTGATTATTAGCAGCAGAAGCTTTATCATCAATTAAAGAATCATTGGTTTGTTTATTTGGAGAGTCACCATTGTTACCAGCAGCAACGGCGTCTTGATTAGAAGAAGGAATAGCTTGATTATTTATTGTATTATCATTAACCGGTTGAGGTTGATTTACAACTGACGATTTTTGTTGAGACTGTTGATTTGATGATGCAATTTGTTCTTGTTCTTGTTTTAATTTGGATTCTTCTTCTTGTAATAACTTATTTTGATGTCTGATGGATCTAACCAAACCATGGAAAGCTTCTTCAACGTTAATTCGTTGTTTAGCAGAGGTTTCCAAAAATGGAGCATTGAAAGACTTGGCCAAGGCCAAACCTTCTTCGTAACTAACTTGTCTCTCGATTTCCAAATCACACTTATTACCAACAACTAACACTGGAACATTTTCCGAATCTTTAACTCTTTGAATTTGTTCGAAAAAAGATTGCAATTCTTCTAAGGAATTTCTCGAATTAATTGAGTAAACTAAGAGAAATCCTTCTCCAGTTCTCATATATTGTTCTCTCATAGCACTATATTCTTCTTGTCCGGCGGTATCCAAGACATCCAACAAAACCTGTTCTTTATCAATCATACATTGTTTACGGTATGAATCTTCAATAGTTGGATCGTATTCATCAACAAAATGGGATTGAATAAATTGAATGGTCAATGCAGACTTACCAACACCACCACCACCAACAACAACTAATTTAAACTCTTCTGGTACCATTGCGTTGTATTGAAATCAATAGATGTTTTAAAAAGAAAGAACGTGAAACTGAAAAATGCTAATGGTCAAGCTGTCGCTAAGTATTTTTGATTAAACAAACACTAACAAAACGAAAATTAAAAAAAAAAAAAAAAAATTCTTTCCTAACAAAAATAAAAAAATTAAAATTAAAATACACTAACAAAACTAAAAAAGACAGGAAAAAAAAAAAGAGACAGTCAAAAAAAACAAATCAAAAAAGCTCAATTCAATTGAATGCTTTTTAAAGGATCTGAAAATGGACAACACAGTACTCACACACGCGTAGGCAATCCAGAATTCGATTATAACTCTGATTGATCAAGACTTCTGCTTGGGGGTTGTACTTGGTTAAGGTGAAGTTTCTACGAAAGAAGGAAAGATAAAAAAAAAATTTTTTTTTTGTCTGCCTTNAAAAAAAAAAAAAAAAATTTTCCTGCGAAGCTTTCGATACCGTTATTTTGGTTGTTTTGTTAGTGTATTTATTGGTGTTATTGGTGCTATTGGGTTACTGGTGCTATTGTTGAATACTTTGTTATTGGAAGGTTAGTATCTGTGTGTGTAGCTGGGTAGGTGGGTGTGTCTTGGATATAGTTCAGCCTTTCAATCGTTTACAATGCGACTAAACAGACGATAGGGTTTTTACAACGTTTAATTGACGAAATGAAAATTTGCTGGCTAGAGTAGCCCTTTACAAATGTTTATTTGAAGAGATGAAAAAAAATGAAATGGTTATTGAATGGCCTGGAAATAGCCCCAATGGCATGCCAACGTAGCTAAAGAAAAACAACCTGAAATAATTGTAATTGTTGAGAAAGTTTAAAAGTTAGTATAATATGTTATGATTTTTGTGTTTAACAATAGTGGAATTCTTATTGTTTAATTATCACCTTCGTTTAATTTGTTAATCGATTGGCCGTTTGGCTCGACAATTTTAGCCCTAATCTATTGAGTTAGGTCTCTCTCACGTGAATCTCTTGATATCTATATACATATTAAAACTTCTTAACTTTTCTTGATTTGTTTAAACAGTCGTCGCAGTACCATTTACCCTTGGGGGGATTTTTAAACCCAATACAAGGTAAGTGAAACCATTCTCGCTTACAATCATCTCCATCACATCCAACCATTTCTCCAAAAGAAACCTGGTTACAGTAACAATAGGTGGGTTCCCCATTACCGCCAGTGTTGGTTGGAATTGGACCTGCTGGTTTTGTAGGTTGTTCAGGATCGATTTCTCTTTTAGGCTTAGATGTAGCCCTCTTTTTAGCAGGAGGTTCGGAGTGCGCATGCGCTATGGCTAGGCCTTCTTGTACCGATTGGACTAAATGAGAATGTTGCATTGGTTGTATTGGTTGGGGTTGTTGTTGTTGATGTTGTTGATGTATTGGTTGGGGCTGAGGTGGTTGATGTTGTTGATGTTGCTGTGGTGGTGGTGGTGGTACCAGACTAGGTAATTCTTTTCTTGTTCTTTTCTTACCTTTAACTTCGGGAGTTGATTCTTTGTTTTTGATTTTTTTCGACAGTTTATCTAAGAATTCTTCATCATCATCTTTATTTTGTTTTCTTGCAGCCAATGCTTCTCTTCTACTTTCACTTCTTTGAGATTGTGCTGAACGATTTGGATTTGAATGATCTAAGGTATTAGAAGAATCCATAATCATCGCAGGATGATTCAAAGGTCCAATTCGAATGGATTCGGGAATCTCATTATTATTGATGATTAATTTATAATCGTTATTAATTCGATATAAATGTTTATGTAATAAATCAGTGGCTACTGATGTAACATGCATTTTCTCTTCTAAACATGGTATCACTTCGTGTATTTTGTTTCTAATATTGGTTAATCTTTTAAATTTATTAGAATTATTCATTGGTGTAAATTCTTCCTGGTTTGTTTCTTGATTTTCTTCTAATGAGTTAATTGGTTTGGGATGTAAATTTTCAATATAACTCTTGATTTGATGATTAATCACCGGAACCGTGTTGATGCATTTGGCATCGATTTCCTTTAGTAAAGTAAAATACTTAATCAAATCCATTGGTAATGCTTCAATAGCATCACTTATATCATTCAACCCCGGTAATAGCTCATTTACATTATTGATGTTCTTCGCCCGTTGTTTGTACTGCTGGAACTGCTGGTGTTGCTGGCTGCTCTTGATCCTGTTGATGAGTCGTTGACTCTTTTGACGTGACGGTAAATCTTGACTAGTCATGTTGGGGTCGTGATGAAGAGTTGTTGATGAAGATATAGTCGGGGTCTTTTCTCACATATCCCTTTGAACAAGAGCCACCTCCGTACATCACAAATCAATTGGTAAGTGCACGCCTTCCTTTTTCCGTATTCCTACTTCAGAGTCCAGTTGTAGTAGGAGCTGATATATGGGCAGTCAAATAGTCCTTCCGTGAATGTTATGTATGGACAGCGGTTGGCTGTTTCGATAACGCATTGCCATTTGCAGCAATCAGAGGCTGGGTCGCGTTGCTAGTGTGGTTCCAATTCTATTCAGTCATAACACGTGACTAGTGATGAAGTATGGCTAATTGTTGCAATAGTTGAGCCATCAAAAAAAAGCTAAAGATATAGATATCTCTTCCGAGTGAAACAAGTATTCTTGGGGGTTGATTTAGAATGTTATAAAAGTACTGGATATTTGGTTAGTACTGGTATACTTGTTATTGTTGAAACTTTCCAGAATTTTGATTAGTTATCAAAATATATCTTATAAAGTAAGTAAAATTAACATATTGGAATACAATATTCGTATTAGAAATCACCTATCTAATTGAAAGAAGCTCTAGTGGAGGTAACTCCAAAGATACAATAGAAATTGAATTGCTGCAAAAGCTAAAAGGATTCGAAAGTAAAAATAAGATATCCACAGTTTTGCATTTCAAATAACTCCCTTTTCTCGTTTCTAATTTTTTGTTTTAGGGTTCGTTGTTCCCTTTTATTTAGGCGTTGTGGCTTACTATATGGTTATTCACTATAAATATACTTGAGTAATCAGATTTGAATAGTGAAACTGTCAATTCTTTCTTTTTTCTTTTCTTTTTCAGCTTTTTTGGAAGTTTGTTTTTTTTATGGAAAAGGATCAGCCACAGTTTAACCCATTAGATCAACTAGCTTATAATAAAAATCGAAGAAAATCTTCAAAACAATCGAATGATAATCCCAATCCAGTATTACCTTCACAAAATAACAATCCAACGACTAAACCTCTATTAAGATCGCAAAGTTCAAGGACAGGAATGAGTTATCCAGTTTTACCACTGCAACCTAATACCAGAAACACTCGAAGTCCTTCAAGGAAAAGAGCCCTTGAAGGCTCTAGTCCACTAACCCCAAATAATCAGTCTTTAAATTTTTTATTAAGTTCACATAGTCCATCAATTGAACAAAATATAAGTTATACCCGAAATTATCAACATGAACAAATTCCCAACCCTGCATCGTCTAAATTCACTGCACAATCACCACCAGCATTAACTAGTGGATATAAATACGATAACACCTCTGATGATGATGCCAGGTTTTTAAGATTAGCAAGAGAGGCCTTAGTTGCTACTGCCAGCGGAGTTTCTAAAAATAAAGACGAAAATTTGGCAGGAGAAGATTTGTTAATTGATCCAACCATACAAGATTTGTTACAAAGATTACAATACGCCGCGTCGCCCCATGGGAATCCAATCAAGAAGAGTGACGAGATCAAAGCCAATTCTAATGGGCAATTAATGATTCAGAATTTTTATGATCAGTTCCCCAATTTAAGTAATGACATTTTCATGAATGAAGAGAATAAAGTAAACCATCCGAGTAATCGAGAAAACACTGGTTGGAATTTTTTGGTCGGTGAACCCCTACAGCTAAAATCAGACGACCAAATAGTGAAAGAAAGAGCAAGAAAGAACTCGATCGATAAAGAGCCTACCAAAAAGACTAAAATCCCGGAAAAGGAAGAAAAGAAACCCTTGGATTCTTCTCGTAAATTTTTGTGTGAGAAATGTTCAATGAGTTTTAGAAGATCAAGTGACTTGAAAAGACACGAAAAACAGCATTTGAGCATTCCTCCTAATATTTGTGAGTTATGTGGCAAAGGTTTTGCCAGAAAAGATGCATTGAAAAGACATATGAGTACTTTAACTTGTAAAAGAAACGCTGATCGTAAATTATACATCAACAATTTAAATTATTTAAAGGAGTCCAGGGAAAATGGTTCTCAAATCGATCTTAAAAACGACGACGAAGAAGATGATGATCTAGACGATGACGATGATGACGACCCTAATCAATTCAGTTCAAGTAAGAACTGGCAACTCTAGGCTGGTTGCGAAAACTATGTACAGTAATATATATTCGTTCGCATGCTTATGTAAGATCCCGTCATTTTGCATCATACCAGAATAGCTGACTGTCCGCTTAAAGTAATATGCTATTGAATATACAAGCGATGATGCATAAGGTACTGGTTAAGATAAAGATGTTAGCCAAGCACCAAAGGGTTAGCCAAGTACCAAAGGGTTATCAAGAACCAAAGGGTTAACCAAGTACCAAAGGTTAGCCAAATACCAAAGGTTAGCCAAATACCAAGATACTAAAACATACCAAGATACTAAAACATACCAAGATACTAAAACGTACCAATATACAAAACATACCAATATACAAAACATACCAATATACAAAACATACCAAGATACTAAAACATACCAATATACTAAAACATCGTATCTCAAAAAACAAGTATTCAATTGATCAATGCATACCAAGTTAACCAATGCACCCATGCACCAGGTGACCCCCGGCTGAAAGGATGCTGCCGTCACGCGCACACGACCGCATCGCTTCAGGCCTCGGTAGTTCGGTCCTTTTTCGGAATGGGAGAGTGGTGGGTGTACGGGTGATGTCGTCACTTGGTTTTTCGGTTCATGGTTAATCCGTGATTCTCCGGAAACAGCATTTTGACTCTACCGGGCCCTAGGCCAGAGTCCACGATATCTGGGCTTGCTGAGCTTGTTGCTGGGCAATTACTACACCTGCTAGAGATTACGGTGGAAGAGAAGACCTGGCCAAAAGAACCTGAAGGCTGCTAATAAAAAGAAAAAGAAACCTGAATGGGAAAAGAAAAGAAAGAAAACGTCCGGTGCGACTCATATGATTCATTAAATTACCATGGTTTGACTCTATTTAAAAAATTTCAAATTTATATAAAAGGATAAATCTGCATTGGAAAAAAGCTTTTTTGAGATTTATATGAACTCTAGTTTAAGATATCTTCGAATCGGTAAAAGATACTTTTCAATTAATCAAGTAAGAATGTGTTCTGATCATCAAAAGGCTAATGAAAGATTATTACAATTGAGTAATATTCTTCAACCAAATAAAACTAGTGTTCCAAAGTCATTAAAACCGGACCATCCATTCAAGATTGCTGTTATTGGATCTGGTAATTGGGGGACCACTATAGCCAAAGTATTGGCTGAAAATGCTAATTATAGACCTCATTTATTTAAACACCAAGTTGATATGTGGGTTTTTGAAGAAAAAATTGACGGTACTAATTTAACCGGAATTATTAATACTAAACATGAAAATGTTAAATATTTACCAGGAGTTGAATTACCAAAGAATTTACATGCTGAACCAGATATTGTCAAGGCTGCTAAAGACGCTGACTTATTGGTTTTCAATTTACCTCATCAATTTTTACCTAGAATCACCAAACAATTAAAAGGTAACTTGAAACCAACCACCAGAGCAATTAGTTGTTTGAAAGGGTTGGAAGTTACTCCAGAAGGTTGCAAGTTATTGTCTACTTATATCACCGAACAATTGGACATTCCATGTGGTGCTTTATCCGGTGCTAATTTAGCACCCGAAGTTGCTAGAGGTAAATGGTCCGAAACTACTGTTGCTTATAAATTGCCTCGTGATTTCAAAGGTGCTGGTAAAGATATCGATCATTTTGTCTTGAAGGCTGCTTTCCACCGTCCATATTTCCATGTTAACGTCATTGAAGATGTTGCTGGTGTTTCTGTTGCTGGTGCTTTGAAAAATATCGTGGCTTTGGCTGTTGGTTTCGTCGAAGGTTTAGGTTGGGGTGATAATGCCAAATCGGCAATTATGAGAGTTGGTTTATTGGAAATTATTAATTTTTCAAAAGAATTCTTCCCAGAATCTAAAGCTTCGACTTTCACCGTTGAAAGTGCCGGGGTTGCTGATTTAATTACTACTTGTTCCGGTGGTCGTAACGTTAAAGTTGGTCGTTACATGGCTGAAACTGGTGAAGATGCTCAAGCTGCAGAAAAAAAATTATTAAATGGTCAAAGTTCTCAAGGTATTATTACTGCTAAAGAAGTTCATGAATTATTATCCAATGTCGATAAAACTTCTAAATATCCTTTATTCGAAGCTACTTATCAAATCATTTACGGTAGTGAATCAATTGAAAACTTGCCAGTCTTATTAGAAACCAGTAGCTATATTTAATTCTCTCATTTAATAGATTTTCTAGTGATTGTTTTTAACTTTTCATCAACGCATATATTCATTTCTTCGTAATTCCCATTTTTGTAAGATGTAATGGTATGATGGATGTTTTTTTTGACTGCTAAAAAGAAAATGAACGCGCGATCCCCAACCACGTAGTTCGTCATGTGTGTATACATAAATGAAAGATACAATTGTATATTACAGTATTCGTTATAAATTATTGTTTGATTTTCTTAGTTGAGTCACCATTTGGTTCATCATTTGATCTTTTCTTATTTTCCTTTTTGGTACGGTATTTCTTTAAAAATTTATCCATAAATTCATTGCAGAAATCTTTTAATTTTTTCAATTTGGCTCCTTCAAATTCAATTGGGGGTTTGGCTTTAGCATCACGTTTCAACTCTTTATTGGTTAATATATTGACCAATTCTTTAGCACAGCCCTTTATGTTATCACGACCAATTTCCTTTTCATGTTTTTTAATCAAATTGGGAATATATTTTGCGAAAACTTTATGCCATTGAGATTCAACACTAATAACTTTATCAGGAGATTTGCCCTTGGAATTATGACTATGCTGATGTAATTTGTGTCTTCTTTCACGCTCTTCATTCTTTAACTTATCTTGTAATCTCTGTTTCTCCTCAACTTCTCTTTGTGATTGTAAAATGAAATCTTGTAATTGTTTCTCCTTTTCTCTAATCTCTAAAAATTGGCTTTCTTTTAATTTTTTTAATCTTTCTTCTTCTCTCCTTGAAAATTCACTTTCATCGTCCATTGGGGTATTACCTCCGTTAAAACTACCATTGTTTCTTGATATAGGTCTTCTAGTTCTTGGATTTATTGGTGGTTTGGTTTTAGGTTTGGGTCCCTTGGGTAATTTTGTCAAATTCGGTCCTTTAGGTCCCTTTGGAACCGCTGAAGTTGGTCTTTCCCATTTGGATATCATTAATTGTCTATGATAATAATATTTGATATTTGTAACTGGATCGATGGCTTCATCCCAACCATCGGGTAATGGCTCCTCATTTTCAATTTCTTCTTGTTTGATCTCATCTATATCTTCATGATCAGTATTAGTAGCTGATGGTTCATGCGATCCACTACGAGATGGTGATTCATTAGACCTTGTACTTCTTGCATAAAGAGAGGGGGAATTTGATACATTCTTACCATCATTGATATTTTTAGGAATTCTATAAGCCATTTGTAATTTCCCCCATTCTTCTAATAAATCTTTTGATAATGAAAGAACACTGGAATTCTCACTGTTATTACTAATGCTTTTAACAACATCTTCAATTTGTGATGACTCTATTTTATTTCTTGTGACTTTTGGCCATTTTGTTAAAACTTGTAAAATTCTTTCGATTAAATCATCTTTTAATTGATCATCTTTATCTTTGAAAGTTGATAATAATTTTGATAATGTTTTATACCCATGGAATCTGACTATAATGGAATTTATCTTGGAGTCATTTGTTAAGTAAATTCTATCAATTAATTTCATTATAATATTAATATCTTGGGCTTTTAATAATGCACCCATTAATTTGGATACATCACCTTCTTGTAATGGAGTTGGTTCAATTGATTTAACAAAATCTTCATTTATTACCGAATCATCAGATTGTTGGATATTTCTTCTATGCTTGTTTTCTTTTAACCATTGTTTTTCTTGTTTATGAGTAACACCTAAAGCTTCAGAAATACCATCTGGTAATAATAAAGCAGCATCAGTTTGAGTTTTACCACCCATCCACTTGATACAGTTTGGCTCTCCGCAATAACATGGCTGAGATTGAGCCCCATATCTATCAACATTATAATCAAATGTAATTTCTTCACCTTGTTCTATATGTCTTTTAGCAAAAATACCCATTCTCAATTTATCACCAACTACCCACTTATCAACGTATGCATTTGGATTACACGAATGATTAACAAATCGAGCCAATGACCCTTTTACAGTAGCATCAATAAATGCATCTTTTGTCAACATCATAAAATAAAAATGTTTAAAATTTTTTCGATCGTAATCAATCATTCTTTGTCTGAATATTTTTTCATCAATAACTTCACCAATATATTCATATATGAAGCTAGACTCACTAATTGATTCATCTGACCTAACCCCATAACCTTTTTTCTCGGTTTGAAATACTGTTATAGGAGCATATTGCTTTTTTTGAAATCTTTGATTTTGACAATTCTTCCCACAAGTGCAAAACTTATTAATACATTCAACAGATGTCACTCTATTTATACAATCACTTTCTTCACCACATGCCATATTCTGTTGCAAAACAGAATCCCACGATTCTATACAATCACAAGTCATATGTTCATTTTGTCCGGAATCTCCAATATGTTTGTTACTGTATGTGCATTCTGATAATTCTTCAAATGCCTTTTTAGCCTCCTCTGTTTTACTTTCTGCATCCATGAACTTCGGTAAAACCCTTTTCACAGTCTGAGCTGGAACTGATTCTTCAGAGTCGGACATTTTTAAGAATCTTAAGCCTGAATTTCAATATAATGACCTTAATTAATTAATTTTTCAAAGTTTCGCTTGATTTCGCTTACTCTATAACTCCAAAAAAAAAAAAAAATTGAATCCAAATTCCGGTTCAACTCAGCGATTGATCAAATATAGTTATAGTAGTATCTTCACTTGCGAAGCTTCTTCGACTGGTAACAGCTTTAAGGGTAAAACAAAATATCTGCTTACTCTATTTATTCTTATTTATTTTTTTTTTTTTCATAGCTTGATACTCTCGTTGAAAAAGGTCGTGTTTGGGGTGATATGAGATTTATGCTGCAAACCTAATAATCACTCCATTTTGCAGAATTATTGGGTAGTAAATTATAATAGTAATAAAGGTCTTCATCAGAATTAAGCTGTTAATTCAGTATTATGACAATTAATCTTGATTATAGGCATTAAAATATACACAAGAGAAAAATTAATGTAATAAATTACTAATTAAAATTGCCAACTTCTCATTGAAGTCGTTGCCGTCATCATGGTCGTCATTTGAGTGCTGCTTGTTATGCTGGAAATAATCTTTGCTTTGGGATTCGGGATTGAATAATTTATTAATTTCTGTCAAAGTAGTTTCCACAGTATTGATTAAGTTCTTATCACCTGAACTTTTATTTGGAGTAAAGATCTTTTTGATCGTCGTCTTATAACTCGAGCTGGTGCTACCGCTATTTGAAACGGAATTCGTCATGGATGTTTGTTGGCTGTTTTCGTTATATTTCATGGGAGAATTGATATTCTCTGGTAAATTACTTGAGTTCTTGAAATACGCACTTAATGGAGATTGATTAACCGATGCACCACCATTACCTCTAGTACTTGGCGATAACGTTTCTTCGGGGTTTTTATTCAATGTGGAAACATTATTCTGGGAGCTAGAGCTTTTGTTTTTCAAATTCTGAAGTATTTCACCGCCAACATTCATCTCAATTAATTTGATTTCTCTTGCTCTTAAACTGATGAACACGGTTCTGGATGTAACTTTTTCATATTCACAGTTGTTTTGATAGAATAACAAATCGTTTTTCATAGCAGTCATTACTTGAGATTCCAATTTCGGATTAACAGGACATGACTGAACTGTAAACTCCGGTCTGAATTCATCAACAAATGCGACATTAGGTAATAATGAATTTCGTTTATACAATTGTAATGGTCGTTCAGAAACTGGCTTAATCGAATTGACTGATATGCTCTTATTCAACATAGACGATGTAACAGTATTTTCGTCATGGAAACTATCATCCGTATCATTAACTGATATGTCAGGACTATCTCTAGAATGATTGGTGAAGTCAATGGAATCAACGTTCAAAATACGATCTGATTGGTTTTCAATTGAATAAGAAATATTGGCCTTCATTATTTTGGAACATTTTGTTTCAATTCTAGACTTGTTGATTTCATTAATATTTTTCAGGGTCCGTGCTTGTAATATAGGGGTGATAACACTAGATTTAGTTCTCTTGAGGCCAACGATTTCTTTTTGAGGTTGATGATGTCCATGATACAGCATTGGGTGGTGACTTGGACTGCCTTCTTGAATGACATTAAATCGTTTATCTTGAACACAATGATTATGATTATGGTTATTCATATGATACAAATCAAACATTGATTGAGTTCTCGATAACTTAGCTTGAGAGCTTAATTGACTAACAGGAGTCAAGCTTCCAATATTCAACTGACTGTTGGAAGATTCATCAATTGAAAATTCCACCACCGGTGATGGTGTACGTAACGACTGCACTGAACTTCTTTTAGTTAGGCTACCGGATTGGTAATGTGGTACATACTCACTGCTATCGTATAAATTGTGACTATTATTATAGTTATTGTTGATATTGACCCCATTTGCATGATGATTGATATTGAAGTATCCGTTAGAGGCATTATAGCTCCCACCGGAGTTTTCATTTGGTGTTTGATAAGATGAGCCGAAACCTCCTGGGGTACCTATTGTGCCTGTGTTATTACCAGCTGAACTGTTAAGAGTATTTCTCCATTTTTCCATAAAACTACCGCCAAGTTTACTCAATGAATAATTAGAAGCACTCGAAGACAACGAAGAGTTCAAAGAGGACGAAAGATATGCCATTGAGAAGGACTTGGATTGAGAAGATCTTCTTTCGCTCAACAGACTTTCTTGAGCAATTGGGATGTTCTTTGAACTAGTTTCGACTCTTGATGGTAATGCTTTTCCAGTTGTTGAAGTACTAGGTCCAGATTTTGTTGGAATTTCCCAGCCTTTGGAATATGAAGCTGACCTATTAAGGGAAGAGCTGTTTGAAGACATAGAGCTCGACAGTTCCCTAGTGGCTACTGGAGAAGATGAAAGCCCAGAATTTTTAATTGGGATTGGCTTTGTTGGGCTTGTTGAATGTGAATTATAGGGAGTAATTGGTAAAACTTGTTTCCCATTTGAGCTTGAAAATTTTGAAGGTGAACTTGGCGAAACTTTCAGTTTTGGTGAAGGGGGATTTGATTGTTGGAATTCGCTATTCTTAATCTTAGGTGTGGTAGTGACATTGTCAATATTATCGTTAAAGTTATTCTTTTCATTTGTGTTCTTGTTGTCATCGTCATTATCATCATTACTGATCGAAGTTTCGTTAGTTTCATTTTCATGGTGACCTAAAGAGTTATCATCATCGATATCAAGGTCAACTATTGTTTCATTTAAATCAACTAAAAATTTATCATTTGGAATCAAGGCATTGATTATGAATATTAGTTTTTTCGCAACCATTGGATTTCCAGTCATTATAACCACTCTAGTGATTTCTTTTTCTTGTTTATTATTGAGACTAGCACCAACAGGCTTATTGCATAACTTTTGGCGAAGTGGTATTAATAGAGCAAGTAAGCTTGCTAAGAAAGTATTGCCAATGTTGTGGGAGTTATTGAGATTATTAGTAGGGTGGGCCGAAGGTTGGATGTGATCATGATTAGAGAAACTTGCATTGTCTTGATGGAATTGGGAATTATAATTGAAATTTATATTTGAAGATTGGTTTGAATTATTTGATTTACCATCTTTAAACTCTAGCCAATTAATAATCTCTAAGATCCAATTGATTAGAATCGGAGTAAAATTAGAGGTTGTTGGATTAAGAATTGAATGTTTAATGAGAGAGTTTGAATTGATTAATTTTGGAATATTAGAATTATAATGAAGTAATTTTATCAATTTAAACAATTGACCATTCAATTCATGATCATTTTGTAGAATGTAGCTTGGGAACTGAATACGTTTTTTAATGATAAAGGGGGAAGAATTAGGGGTAGTTGAATTCAGACTCGTTGGTGACGGCAGCAAAGGAGGCAAGCTTATACTATTATTAAGAGCCGAAATTAATTTTTTAGACACGATTTTTTGTAAAACAATCAGAAAATGAGTTATTTCATCCCAATTGTTATATATTATATCAGCTATATCATCATCAATTGATTCGATTGGGATTATAATACCGATTGAAAATCTGCTGCTAATATTATTCAGAGAATTAGAATTTTGGCTTGGTGAGGAGCTAGTAGAGCTTATCAATGAAGTACTGGAATTTCTTCGACTTGGTAAGTTTAGCGAAAGGTTTTTAATCGTTGTTTCCTTGATTGGGATAGAAGGATGAGGGAGCCAAGTACTATCATCATCTTCATTATTAGTAGTTGGGTTTGAAGTATTCGTTTCGGAGGTAGCACTCGGTATCAGAAACAATTTTGTAATCAAGACAGACAGATATGATCCATAAATTGAGTTGTTCAAAGTAGGTAATATGTGCATTTTGGTAGAACTAGCCGATTCATTTGTGGGCAACCCACAGCCAAACATATAATCATTTAATTCACTTGCATTATGATAAATTTTTGAAGTAAGAATATTCTTAGCGCTAAGATTTGATTTTGGATTCTTAGAAGAAGGAGAAGATTGATTAGGGTTGGAATTCAGCTGCCAACTAGAAGAAGGATTTTGGTTATGGTCCATTGAAGATGAAGAGTCATAAAGTACTTGCTTTGATCGCAAGCTTCCACCATCTTGAGCTATTATAATTCTAAAGAATTTTTGGTTTGGGTGGTACGGTTTTAGAGATGATGAATCAGGAGTACCATATAAGTTGGATCTGGTATAAGAGTCTTCATAAGAATTGACATTTGAACCGCTTGAATGATGTGGTATTTTCGGATGAGGGTTTTGAAAAGGGGGTTGTTTGATGTTGGAGTTTGGCTGTTGGTTTGATATACTTGATTGACTATTCTGTCTGAATAGTCTTCCAAGCATGGTTGATAATTTGATTTTATTTTGTTAAGTGGTTATTAAAGATGGGAATTCATAACTACAACGAGTTTCATGAGATTATCAGTGAAGTAATGAAAAGCAAGGTAAGGAAAGAAAGTACTGATTGGAAACTAAGGAAAGAGTGCCCTAGTGTAATTTGCAAATGGGAATGGAATATGGGGAGAAAAGGAAAGTTGAGTACCACAGCAAGAGAACCTGAGTACTGCCCGAAAGATTTAACTAATCTAGTCACAGCCAGAGGTTGGTTAGCTTTGAATAAACTTGATAACAGATGAAGGAACAAGTTGTTGATAATTTAAGCAATTAGTAATGAGTATGACGTTCTATTTTCGGAATGAGAATTTTATTTGAGTACACACTATTATCGTACAAAATTCAATTCGCTAGTGATGAAAGAAGAAATTGGGTATAGAGAAGTAATGGAAGTGTAAGATGTAGAAGAATGAAGGTGCTTATTTGTATGGGTGTGGAAGATGTTTTTGTTTCCAGTATAGTGCTGATCATCCGATGCGGTACTAAATGGTCAAAAAAAATTCGATTAGTATACAAACAAACATCTAAAACACTGATAAGCACGAAACACACATGGTCATTTGGATAATAATAGCTTAGACCAAGGAGGTACTTACGGACTACAATAGCTCCTCACAAGAAGGTTAAAGATGAGATAGCATCATCCTTCTTGTGATAGACTCCATAAATCGTGAGCACAACTATCGGAGCGATAACGGAATCATTTTTTAAAGAAACGAACCCCCCAGATAACAGTGCACGACTCTGGACCAGCTTGTTAACTACTCGAACAAGGTGAGAGGGATGTTCTTCTTTGCTTGTTGGTTTGAAACGAACAAACAACCGGAGAAAATGCCTTTATCGGAGTACAATTGAGTGTCTGGCCCAATAACGTCAAGACAGAAAAACGTCAAACTTTTTTTTATTTGCAGCTATACGAAGAGAGAGGAAAGTATTAATATTTCAATACAGCTTCGATTGTATCGACCAAAAGATCGGCATGGGACTCTTCGAATAAGAGGGTTGGTCTTAATCTTACGCTCACGTCACCACACCCACCGATATTCACCCCCTGCTGTCTCATTTTGAATAAGAATTTATTACGATCATCGGCATGTTTAAAGTCCCAAGCAATGAAAGTACCAAAATTTTCACCTCTCAAATTGAAGAAGGAGCCATAAGACTCACTTAATTTGGCGAGTTTTGGGAACAAGTAGTTACCTACTTGAGCGGTTTTGTTGACCAAGTCATTTTGGGTAATTTCGTTATAGATTGTTCTTGCAATGATTGCCTTTGAAGGATCACCGCACCAAGTATTGAATTGTCTGAAAGGTTGGTTTGGTTGTAAATTTTCATCGCTGAAATAGAATCCGGCAGCTTGAAATTTTTTACTGAAAGTAACCATATCTGGCGGGTTGGTTAAGTTCCAGTGTTCATGAGCCCAGAATTTACCACTAGCACCGACCCCAGTTTGAACTTCATCAACAATCATTAGGATATCATGTTTCAAAGTGATATCTCTCAATCCTTGGAAGAAATGTGCCGAGGCGTGGTTATCACCGCCTTCCGATTGGACTGGCTCAACTATGATTGCAGCAATTTGATGAGGCTCCCAATCATTTTTAATAATTCTTTCAAATTCTTGTAAACAGCGATCTTCTTCTTGCAAGTTTTCCTGGGTGAATTCATTCAAGGGATATTTCAATTTGGGGAAGGGGGCCATTGGCCAGTTGAAAGCCGGGATATCTAATTTATGGATTGGTTTTGATCTGGTAGTACTCAAGGAGCCAAATAATCTACCATGGAATCCATTTTCAAAAGAAAGAATGACTTTCTTCGAGCTACCGGGGAATTTGTTTTGCATCACTGACTCCAATTCTTCGTGATTAAAATCCAACAGACCTCTTTCCTTAGCAGCTTGATACATAAACGCGGCTTTATAAGCGGTTTCATTTGCACAACTCCCACTTAAAGCAGTCCAAACTTTCGACATACCAGGAGGAGCAGCCGCCAAAATACCTTCATTTAAGATCTGAGCATAATTTTTCGAAGGGAAACAAGCCAATGCCGGTCTATTAATTAAACTGTCAATCATTTCCTTTGATTGAGCGGTTTTTTTCAACGACGGATTATTATAACCCAAGGCAATTGAGGATATTTGACAATAAACGTCCAACAACAAGTTCCCATCAACGTCACTTATATAATTACCCAAACTATTTTCATAGTCAGTGACGAAATACGCAGCTCTATTATCAAAGATGGTCCCCAATTGATTGTTTGCTTCGACACTCAAGGGCCCAGGGACTGACGAGCTGATAAGCTGTGGTTTCACTGGTTCTTGAGGGAACACCTTCCCACAGGTCGAGTAAGCTCTGGCTATTCTTCTTAACATGATTACTGAGTATACTGCAATTTGCAAAATGTTAAACAAGAGTTGAATATATATATAAGAGAAGTGCGTTATCAAAAGAGTGAAAAAAAAAAAACTACACAAAATCTTTCAGGGTATCGTTTCCCGGGGTAATTCCATAGCGGAATCTCCAACCACGAGCCGCTAGTCGATACAGAGCTTTCCGTGAGTCGTCTCCAGTGAGGTTTAAAGGAGGATAAGAAGGAATCTTCAGGGAAGATTGAAATTTTTCAAATCAGTGGAGGTGGAGTCTATCACGTGCTGCGGTTCGCGCACACCCGTCCCAGAGTTTTTCTCTTCATCACGACCAACTCAGGGGGAATTTCTAAATAAGGCAGAAAAACGTTTAAAAGAACAAGTAATTAATTGGAGCATAGTGACAAGATGTCAGAAGGACAAGAGGGACACCAATTGAAGAAGTTTTTAAACAAGATCAGCGGACAACCATCGTCGTATTCGCGCAAGAACAAGTATACGTTTGGTAAGACGTTAGGAGCCGGATCGTTTGGGATAGTAAGATACGCCAGGGATAATGAAAGTAATGAAGAAGTTGCGGTTAAGATAATATTGAAAAAAGCCTTGAAGGGGAATGAAGCGTTTGTGATTGATGAATTGAGATTGTTGCAGGAATTGAAACACCCACATATAGTTGGATTTCGAGATTGGTTTGAAAGTAAAGATAAGTTTTATATAGTGACTCAATTAGCCACTGGGGGAGAATTATTTGATCGAATTATTCAACAGGGGAGATTCACCGAACACGATGCTTCTTTGGTTATTATACAAATGTTAGAGGCATTGAAGTATTTGCACGATAAGAATATTGTTCACCGAGATTTGAAACCGGAAAATATTTTGTATATTACGCCCGAAGATAATTCCAATGTTGTATTAGCGGATTTTGGAATTGCCAAAAGATTAGAGAACCCCGATGAAAAATTAACTTCCAGTGCCGGATCATTTGGATACGCTGCCCCTGAAGTTATAATAGGAACCGGACACGGTAAACCGTGTGATGTGTGGTCCTTGGGGGTAATTACCTATACATTATTATGTGGATATTCACCATTTAGAAGTGAAAATGTGCAAGATTTTATAAATGAAGTTAAAAATAATAACGCGGTAATTTTCCATGCTGATTATTGGAAAGATGTTTCCAAAGATGCTCGTAGGTTTATTATCAAGACATTACAATTTAATCCTGATAACAGACCTCCAGTTGATCAATTATTAGCTGATCCATGGTTAGTTTCAATTGCTGCTGAACATAAAGATACTGATTTATTACCAAATTTGAAACAAGGATTTGATGCAAAATTAAAATTCAAACAAGCAATCGAATTAGTCAAATTACATAATCGCGTTAAGAAATTGAAAGAATACCAAACTGAAGACGACGATGATCCAAATGAAATCAATTTATTTAATGAAGAAGGTTTAGTTGATAAGAGGGATGAAGTCTCCGAAGATACTTCTTCCCTATCGAATTGGAAAAAATTAAGAGAGGCAATTAACTCAATTGGTAAAGACGAGAATGAAAACATTAATGACCTTTCAAAATCAAGCTTATCAAGTATCAAAAGCCCTTACGATAAAAAATCAAATCTCACTAGTGAAGCATTTATCCAATTAGTCCATGCAGCTAGCGAAAATAAAGAGCGGGTTAATAATTATAAAGAAAATTAGTATAAAAAAAACCTCTATATAAAAAACCTCTGTATAAAAAACCTCTATAAAAAACCTCTACATAAAAAACCTCTTTATGTAAAATATATTTTTGAGTAGATTAGATTATTAATATGTAATCCCCTCTTCCGGTTGAAAGGGGGCTCGCGCTTTGCTTAACCGGATGGGTTGGGTTCTGCACGATCCGTCCTCCTAAAATTGCAAGGGTGTGTGGCAAATGTAAACAAAAAAATCTAAGTCTGTGGAGCATTACGGCACTTTCCACATTTTGCAGCCCCCCCAATTCTATTGGATTGCAAAACTCGTTTATTCGCTGACTAACACAAGAAGTGAACAAAGGGCTTACGATGTTCTAGACAATATGTTTCAGTGAAGACAGCTTCTGAGAGCAGCCACTGAAGGCAGTGGAAGACACTGTTGAAAATTCTGAAATTTGACTTGAAATTGTTGGATTGGCAGGGAAAAAACAGCGTAAGTAAATCGTTTGTAGTTTGAGTGTATTGTTAGTATAATTGTAGCAAATCATAGTATAACCATAGCAAATAGTATAACTATAGCAAATAGTATAACTATAGCAAATTTGAGTATGAAGTCAATCTATATGACTGTAGGTAAGATGAGTTTTGGTTGAAAGCATCCTCCCAAACAAGGATTAAGCGAGCGGCGAGCGGTAAGTACATTAGTCAATCCGATTAAGTAACAATTCTAATGAAGCAGGTGTCCAATGTATTGTATTCTAGATGTTCTATGTGAAATGATGTAAGGATCGACATTCAACTGGTCTTCGTATGGCAGTGTTCAACTTCTTGTGTTTTCCCTTCCGCAAAAATCGGATCGGTACATCTAGTTTAACCTGGACACGCACCGATTCTGTGCACACCCAGGAAAAGACCAGTACCCCTAAAATTGGCCCGATAAAAAGCTAGGCTCATTGGCATCCCTGACTTTTCAGGGTACAGTCTGTCGATCTTTGCTTTGAAACAGTCCACAGCCTGTCATAGACGGCATTGTGGTGTACACATACGGTCATTAGGTCAAACAATAAGTGTTATGATGTAAAATATGATTTGCGTTTTTCAAATGGTCCCATTTGGATTATTCAGGAGGATGTACCCCGACACATGTCACAAATTATGGATGGCAGTGACCCAACTGCCCCAGTTATCTCTTTTTTGTTATAATATTTTTTGTTAAGAGAGCACATCCGTACCTCCCTAGGGGGGGCTTATTTTTCTGTTACTTCCTTATTACCATCACCATTACTATTACTTACATTATTACTTTTCTAACACTATTAAATATTATTTGTATATTATCATAAAAACAAAGGTCATCGCGTCATTAAAACAGAGTAGAAACTCAATCTATAAATTAATATAATTGGAAGATAATAATTCTGGAGATAAATTGAACAGACCGTAATCTTCAAGTTTAACTTGAGAGTTCGAAGAATTATTATTGAATATCTCTTCGGCAACTTCATCACTCATCAACAGAGGCATCTTAACGTCGTCATAAGCATTCAAATAGTCTTGATCGTGTTCAAGACTAGGCATTTCAAAAGTATTTTGTTGAAATAAAGGAGATGTAGTATTTGGACTTGTATTTTGAGAAGCCAATTGACCCCCCATTGGTTGATGATGAGTTTTAGCATGCTCAAACAAGGTATTTGGTTTCATATTGAAAAAAGTCAAATCTGGAGCAGAAAAGGCTCTAGAATGATTAGATAAATCTTGGGTATAATCAATAACTGGCATATTAAAGTCAAAATTGGATTGGGGAACACTGTATTGGGGGCTAACCATTTGAGATGGTTGTTGTTGAAGTGGTGCTTGCATTGGTGCTTGTTGATTTGGTGGTGGCATTGGTGGTTGCAAGGATTGTTGCATTGAAGATTGAGATTCAATTGGAGATGGACTAATTTGTTGTTTTTTAACTGGCGATTCCAAATTAGGACTGCTGGAATTGGAAGAAATTGGGGTTTGGTAATAATTAGTAGTATTAGCTTGGAAACTAGTATATTCTCCAGAATCTTTGAAATTCTTAACAAATTCCCAACATTTATCACCATAAGTCTTTGGGGTTAATCCAGTAACCGATTTGAAAACACGATGGAAATGCCAAGCACTCAACTTGGATTTGGCAGCCAATTCCTTAAAACCAAGCACCCCACCTCTTCTTCTTCTCTTTTTACCACTGGAAGGAGAATTACCCTCATCCGAAGCTTCCAATTTTTGAATAGCTTGAGGTTGGAAGATATTCATGGCTGCAGCCAAAGCCAAATGTCTACAAGCCAAATCAACCAATCTATAGTGGTCCGAGTCATTTTTGGAAAGACTGGTATTTTCAAAATCTTTTGAAAATTTGCCATCATAATTGATGGCAGGAACAGAGGCACGACGATTCAACCCACCATTGTTAAAAGCACGTAATATTTGCTCTTCGTTAGTCTTTTTGGATTCAATGATATTTTCTTTAATCTTTTGATTATTCTTCTCTTCATTTTCATCCAAAAGAGGAGGTAAAAACCCAATTTGACGATTAATGCTCGAAACACAGTTAAATAATAATGAAACATCAATGGGAGGTAAATTGATAGGTTCACAAGATTGACATGGATGGAAACCCAAATCCATAGCCTCTTGACACCCATCAACAAACTTAATCTCCAGTTTCAAATTGGTTCTGGCTCTAGCATCACAATCTGGACGACAAAAAGTTTTGGATATCTTATTGCAAACGAAAAATGATCCAGCAGCAAAAGGATCACTAAATTGATAAGCTTTCCACTTAGCACATTCTGTTGAATAAACCATACTTCTATCCTTATAATACGTTCTTGAGAGCAATAGCTAGGTGTCTGAGACAGTTGATATAATAGTTAGACAAAGGAAAACAAATTGGAAGATACGGAAATTTAGATATATTTATATCAGGGGAGAGTATGAGACAAGAACAGAAAAAAAAAGTCAGGAAACAAAGTTTGATCAAAATAGTTTTTTTTTTTTTTTTTCAGTATTCAATAATAGTTCTTTGTATGATGCAAGAACCCTTGTATGCGTGCCCTGGTGGAATGAGGGTGAATTTGTCCTGAAAACCCCCAAGCGACCCCCTGGTACCCGGACACTGCGTAGTATTTTCTGTTTTCTTCTTGTTCTTTCTTTTTTCATTTCCTCTTGTAAGCTCTACATGCATATGCAGCCTGCGCTAGGCTTTGCGTCACCCTGGCTCCAACCACAACACGGGACTCCGTTCGATGCATAATTAATTATTCGTTAGATTACCAATGGTACTCTAAACGGATAGATATGTGCCGGTACATAATCCACTGAGGGTCTGCTGGCCATTCAGTAGACTCTAGTTAGGCTTCCTAGACAAGTAGCTGGGACGGTCAGCGCTGAGAAAGGGCCGGGAAATAGGAGCTAGGGAGTTGCACAGCCATACGGAACTCCTGGCCTAGCCGTGTCATTGGCCACCCCGGTTAGACTTGATATCACCAAAGATGCATTAAAAATAATACATCTCCACAAACTAATTCCAATAATAACAGAAAGCTTATCTGTTGTCTGAAATTTTTGAGACAAAAACAAGTCTAGACTACGGAGTTCAGTCAAATAATAGGCTTATTCAGCCATGATTACGTATGATATTACCATTTCCAGACGTATTCAAAGGTTATTGTATTAGATTTAGTTTCAATGGTTATTCCTTGATATGTTGCATCAACATTTGTATTCCGTTTTCGAGGTTCCGCTCAGAATACCACGGAGTTCAGTCCTAATTGGATTACACTTTCGAATCCCCATCTCAATTGGGATCCATACACCAACTCCACTACTACTACTCCCACTACTGAGCAGGCAAGTTCCAGACTGCATCTTGGCCCAGTCTAATTACATCACCAGCCAATTTCATGGATGAGGTCAACTTAGAACATGGCTTTCTTCGACAAGATGTGTCTAATTGACATTAAGTAGTGACATCACCCTGAGAATTCTCTGTGGAAAATAAAACTCATCAGATGTCCATCGTGTCTATTGTATCCGGCGTGGCTATTGTAATTATTCCCATCATATCGGTTTTCCCACACGGCGGAATAAACCCTCTTTGATAGAGTTGGATGAAGTCACCGTTCTATGTAAATGAGATTCGCCTTCGACAGCCATGTAGCTGACATCCCATCAGTATTGATCTTCCTTGAAATTCGGGTGAGACGGCCGGAATTACCACAAATGGACTTCCACCCTGCTATCTGCTTATCACCCAAAAGAGTATCTCCTATTAAATGGGCAGCTACGAGAGGCTACTTACAGACACATATGAAAGCTTAACTCTACGTTATCTGTACGGGTAAATAGGACTACTGAAAAATTCTCTGCCTCCTTTTCCTGTTCTCTATTAGTCGATCCGGAAAGAAAGGGTGTGGCGTCTTAAAACGGATGCCTCCCTCACCATTCTGTCTGTACCACCGCCTAATGGATTCCATATCATACTGCGCAGTCTTTCTAGAATTTTTAGTTGAAAAAACTCGGTTACTTAGTTCTAGCGGCACGGACCGCTTCTATTACATCTCCTTTCTTCTATTCTTTCTATTCGCTCTACTCTGACCGCTCGAGTGGTGGACCAGAGGGAGATCCCCTATATAATATTGCTAGATAATACATCAAATGCTAACTGCCATGCACGAAAAACGTGAATATCAACGGCTTTTTCTTTGCCACACCCTCGTCACCCCCCTCGACAGCACGCGAGTGTCTCACTTTCCCCCGTCATTTGCGAGATGTAAACAAATGGAGTTCCGCACCCCAAAGTCGATTTGTCTCTTTATTGAAATCCGTTACACTAATTCCGTTCTTATAAGTACTGGTGATCTCGTCACCACAATCTCCTCATTAAATGCGTCCTGGTCTAAACGTACCCTTGGCTAAACGTATCTTGTCCTATGTCAAGTTGACGGATTGGAGTATCAGACAACCCATTTGCCATACGTATTAGCCAGACAGATTGGGACAGGCGTATCGGCCAAACGTAATAGACAAACAGATCAGGCCAGGTGTGCCACTGGTTAAAGGTACCTTCTCGTAGGGCTCGAGAAAGAGATGGAGACTTCTGGTACTTGCCTCATTTCTCGCCCTTTTGTTTTGGTTGTCTGAGATTTTTCAATATTTAGATATTTAGAGTTTTTGGCGCGGTGTCCGGGTGTACTACTGCTACGATTTTTTTTTTTTTTTTTTTTTTTCGTCTTTTTGGCTCTTAGTTCGTTTTCCATTACGTGGTTGAAGGTGACACTCTTTACCATTGGACATGGAAGTAAGACATGAGGGCCACCATCATACTGCCAACATCAAGTATGGCCACTTTATAGCGTTGGTCTCGTTGGCGCATGTGGGTTGTATTGTTTTATCTCGTACGGTATTGAAAAAATACCAACTCAATAATCGGATTGGGTTGGTAGCGAGCTTTTTGCTCTGGTCAATTATAATCATTGGTACCACCTTGATTAATGTTGATTTGAGTGAGAGCTATAAGACGTCGATTAAGAGAATCGGAAGATTGAGTTATTGTTTGCTTCCGTTTGATATTTTCTTAATATTAAGACCTAATTTCCCCATTATTCGTTATTTAGAACTCATTGACTTACATAAATGGATGTCCCGATTGATTATAGCATGTGGGTTGATCCATGGCGTGGGCTACATGGTCGTTTGGTCCATTGAAGGGACCTTGATGGTGAAGAGTTTGAAGTTACTCAATTTCTATGGGGTAATTGTGTTTCTTGCAAATTGTCTATTACTAATTATATCAATTGGCTTTTTCAGGCGTAGAAATTATCCGTATTTCTACATAATCCATAACCTTACCGTATGGTTGTTTGTTTACTTGATTAGTTTCCACGCTAGACCCGGAGTCTCCGTGTACACTCTTGTGATAACCTTATTATTAGGTTATCAATTTTATAAAAAAATAGGCTACTTAACAACCTTAAAATTACATCAACACGAATCGTCAAATCTAAAAATAATTGAACTTCAAAATAATTTTGATTTCTCGCCGGGTTCCCATATAAGATTATCCTATTCGTATTGGGATTATCGGTGCTGGGCTTATCCAACCCATCCTTACACTATTGCCCACTCCAATCTGGATTCCGTTTACTTGGTGGTTAAGCCGTATCAATTTGACTTCAATGCCTCTTCAAAATATTGCTTAACCGGTCCATTCAATTCCACCCCCGATCAATTCTGGACTAATTCAGAAAATATCTCCATTGTGGTTGGTGGTTCCGGAATCTCCTTTGGGTTGCCTATTCTAACTCATCTACTTGCTCAAGGCAAATTGGCCCATTTATTTTGGTCAGTTAAATCTCAAGCCGATTTATACATTTTAAATGCTTTAAACATTAACCATCTGGACCATATAACTGTCCATATCACCGGTAATGAAGATGAAGAATCTTTTGGGCTATTATCAAATGATGAAATCGAATTACAATCTTTATCAAATTCAAATATTAAAATTGGCCGCTTCAGCTTTACCCATTTGGTCTCCCAGCTCAATAAAACTAATGATGACAATAAAAAATGGTTGGTGGCTTGTGGGCCAGAACCCTTGGTAATTGATGCAAAAAAATTTGCCAACAATAAAAAAATTCAAATTTTAACCGAAATTTATTCTATATAGAGTCAACCTTCCTTACCTCGTATATAATTATTTATTATTTATTCTTGTTTCACTCGCCTTCGCCTGTTATGTATCCTGTCATGTATCCTGTCTGAATCATCGTCTTAAATTTCACTTTCATCCATCTTGTGATTTATATCAATCCGAGGTCGTAGAACAAGTTGGTGCATGGGTGTTCTGTAAAACGGCCCAAAAAAAAAATCTTGAAAAGTGACAGCGACCGAAAGGTTGCAATTCTTCTTTGAATTACTCCTATTCCTTCCATGTTGTCGAAAGAACAAGTAACTGAATTGAGAGAGGAGCTAGATACCTCTCTAGACGAATTGGTGACCCCTTCTTCGTCTTCAGAACAACCTCAATTGCTTTCGGTAGTAGCTGGTCTCACTAACCGAAATGAAAATATCTACCTTGGATCAAAGGGTATCAAGTCATTGAAAACTAATGAAAAAGTTGACAACGATAGCATATTTGCTTTATTCTCGTGCACTAAAACAATCACCACCATGGGTGCTTTGATTTTAATTGAAAGAAACCAATTAAAATTGAGTGATTTTGCGGCAGATTACTTACCTTTGATTGACGATTTAAAATTGATCCAACCAAATTCAATTGACCGGGAAACTGGTGATTTCTTAAGCGAGCCAACTAAGCCTAAAAACAGAGTTACAATTAAAGACTTACTACTTCATACCTCAGGGGTATCTTATGCTTTTATGAATGCTGATTATGCTGCTTTAACGTTGAAAAAAAATCATCATTTAAGCAACCTTAATCCAACTCTAGAGTTTTTTTCAACAATTAAAACACCCTTGGTGCATGAACCTGGTACAGCTTGGGCTTATGGTCATAGTGTGGATTTGTTGGGCTTCATAATTCAAGAAATCACCGGGCTTAAGCTAGGTGATTTTTTGAAAAAAGAAATTTTTGACCCGGTTGGTATGAACCTGTTCACATTTGAAGTAGACGATACTTCAAATTTAATCCAGGTTCATAAAAAGAAAAAGGGGAAGTTTTCGATCTTGAACGGAGAACCTGTACCTTTGAAACCCCATTTACATCTTGGTGGTCAAGGCTGTTTTGGTACTATTGGCGATTATATGAAATTTTTAAGAATTTGGTTGGCTAGAGGTTATTCTCCGGATTCTAATAAAAGAATTTTGGAAACTGAAACTGTAGAATTTGCAATTAAGAATCATTTACCTCAAAATGTTAATGTAACTTTTGGTGAAGATATTGATAAACTATTACCAGCGGATTTTGAACCCGATGGTTTTTCATTAACTGGTTGTGCTTATTCAATGAATGACTTCCCAACTGGTAGACCTAAAGGTGCGTTGACCTGGGGTGGTTTAGCTAATATTTTTTTCTGGATTGATCTTAAAAATGATATAGCTGGATGTTGGGGAGCTTCAATTTTACCAAAGCATAATATCGATTGTTTGCAAAATTATTTCAAATTTGAATCTCTTATTTATGGTGCTTTAGAAGATTCGAAAGAAATCACCTCAAAATTATAAACTCTGTTGTATATTTACAATTAATAATAAATATTATATAAGGTGTCAAAAATAAATCATCTACAATAATCCTAATTTCTCCATTCTAACTTGAACGGCATTTCTATGAGCTTCTAATCCTTCAACGGCTGCTAATGTCATAACAGCTTTACCAATACTCTTCAAACCTTCTTCAGTAACATTTTGTGAAGTAATGAATTTTTGGAATGTACCAGTATTGACCCCAGAATATTGTCTTGCATAACCATAAGTTGGTAATGTATGATTTGTACCACTTGAATAATCACCACATGATTCTGGCGATAATCCTCCGACGAAAACTGAACCGGCGTTTTGAATATAGTCTGGAACATAGGACTTAGCATCTTTGATTTGTAAAATTAAATGTTCTGGGGCATAAGAATTCGATAATTTAAAAGCTTCATCATAACTATCAACTAATAACGAGTATGAATGTTGTAAACATTTAGCAACAATTTCTTTTCTTGGTAAAACTTCGGCTTGCTTGCGAACGGCTAATTCGAATTCTTTTAATTTTGCATCTGTTAAATTAACACCAATTAAAATGACTTGAGAATCAATACCATGCTCGGCTTGTGATAACAAATCACTGGCAACGAAATCTGCATCTGCATCATTATCAGCGATAACTAAAACTTCGGATGGACCAGCTGGCATATCAATTGAGCATAACGCTTGAGTATCGTTTTGAACATACATTTTAGCAGCAGTAACAAATTGGTTACCAGGACCTAAAATCTTATCACATTTAACAATTGATTCAGTACCGTAAGCCATTGCGGTGACAGCTTGAGCACCACCTGCCATAACAATACTTGAAGCTCCTAATTTATGAGCTACATAAACAACTTCTGGAGTTAATTTACCAGTAGCTCTCGCAGGTGGTGATGCAATTACAATATTTGAACATCCAGCAACTTTAGCTGGAACCCCCAACATCATTGCAGTTGATGGTAAAACTGCAGTACCACCTGGAACGTAAAGACCAACATTTTCGATTGGCTTAGCGAAACGGGAACAGTAGACACCAGGTGATGTTTCTATAGTAGTGATTTTTTCTTTTGGTAATTGAGCAGCGTGGAATTTTTCAATATTAGAAATGGAAATATCAATGGCTTCTTTCATATCATCACTTATTTCCATTAATTCTTTTGGAAATGGTGCTTTTAATACTGGATCATTTAATTTAACACCATCGAACTTTTCAGTAAGTTCAATTAAAGCTTTGTTACCTTCTTTTTGAACTTTTTCGATAATTGGTAAAACCAATTTCATTATATCTGAAGTTCTTTGAACTGGTCTAGTTAAAGCCTTTTCGACAAGTTTTGGATCAGTTTTTTCATTCAAAACAATGGTTTCCATTTTATATTCTGGATTTATTGGTTCAGGTTTTGGTGCTGGTGCCGCAGGTTCTTCCTTTTTCAAATAAGCTGGTTTAGCATCACCTTTACGTCTAGTGACCTTACCACTCTTGATATCCAAGTTTCTTTCAATATCGGCTAATCTTACCCCCTTTTTAATACACATAACCATTGCAAAATAGAATAAATCTGCAGCTTCCCAAGAAACTTCTTCTTCACTTTCAGCTTCGATTAATTCGTCTAATTCTTCTTTCAACTTTGCGGTCAATAAAGATTCGTCGTTAAATAATCTCTTTGTATATGAACCTTCAGGAGCGTTATTAAATCTTTGAACTAAGGTATTATCTAATTTAGCCAAACCAGAACCATAACTTTCATCTTTGGTAACCAATTCACCATCGTGAAAGCAAGTGAAGTTATTATCCAAGTGACAGAATCCATAACCTTCTCTTGGTTCAACAATAAATTTGATCAAATCGGAGTCACAATCTTTTTCCAATTTGATCAATTTTTGGGTAGCACCACTAGTTTTACCTTTATACCATAATTCATCACGGCGTTTACGAGATTGATAAACACCTTCACCTTCAGCAATTGCAGCATGGATTGATTCGATAGAAGAATATACAACCCCTAAAGCAGTATAAGCAGGAGCAGGTGTAGTGATTAAAGTAGTGAAAAGACCATCTGGACGGTCGGTTGTCAAGGTTGAAGTGAAGAGTGAAGAAATAGAAATCTTTCCACTTTCAGAGACTTTAGTAGATAAGTTTGATGATTCAATAATCGGAATTATACCTAATGCAGCAAGTTTATTGGCCAAGTCTTGAGTAATTGAAGATCCAATGTAATAAATTTCTCTATTACCACTAGAACTCAATTGTTTATAAGTATCTTGGGAGATTTCTGAATCTACTGCAAAAGCTGCTTTGGTGGCTAATAACTTATCAGTTGGTGATGTCGATGTTCTAACAATAAATCTATAACTTGGTAAGCCAGCAGATTCTATAAAATCTTCAACTTGGCTTTCTTTAATGAGGATTTTTTTTATACCATGGTTCAATAACTCCACAGCTTGATCAGCATTAATATCAGATTGGCTAGCATCAACGTCAACATCGATTGAGTGGGGAAATTGATTGATAAAGTGTTTCGAAATTTTGAATGAGTCAACTGGAAGTAAAATCTTACCAACAACACTAAACTTTTCAATCTCACCTTTATCAGCAGGTGAAGAGATCACCGGCAATATAGGGAAAGTCATTATGTTTTACTGACTGTTTCAGATCAGATCGAATTAAAAATGGTCGGAGTCAAGTCTTTAAAACTGGTTTTTTTTCGATTTTTCGCTTTTTTCATGGAGCATTTTATACAGTAATTGACTTATCAAAAAAAAAAAAATTTTTTTTCTAGTTTGACTCATTCTACAAAGACTCAGTTTCGCAAAGTCAGGTGATAAAGAATTACATTGATTCGATAATGATAAGTTGCAAATATCATGAGCTAACATATTACACGAGTTAGCAGTATGACTAATCGTTGATATCGTTTATTAGTAAGAAGCATATGTACAATCAGTAGAAAGTAGAACTAAAAATTAAATTCACCACGGAATTGGTTTAGATCCATTCCGGGTTTGACAAATTCGATCAAGTCTCTTCTATCCAAAGCGATGAAAGCTCTTTTCAAGGTTTCCATCAAAGAAGAAGATTGGTTGTTATTGAGAGTAGGCTCTTCGTGACCTTCAACTTGGTGCATTGCCAAACCACTTAATAAATGTTCAGCAGCTTCTTTGTAGCAGCCAATATTGATACAAGATACACCTAAATTGTATCTTGCTCTAACAAAAGTTGGTTTTAATTCCAAAGCTTTAAAATAAGCGTTAACTGCTTCTTCTGAACGGCTTGAGTTAGCAAGGGAAGCACCCAATCTGTTCCATAAAACAGGATCATCTGGTTTAATTGATAAAGCAGCTTTGAAACAATCGATTGTTTTATCAAAGTCTTCATTAGCATAAAACAAAACCCCTAATCCCATTTGAACATCAGGATCCATATTTGCTTTATCAGGAGAAAGTTGAGCGGCTTTTATGAATAAATCAGTAACTCTTTTATTTAAGGTATAACGATCTTCATCATTAATTGAAGACTCTTGTTGACGAGCTCTTTCAGAAATTTGAGGATATTTTGTTGAAATCCATCTTTCTAAAGTAGCAAAAGCAGCATTATCATAACCTTCATTGATATAGGAGATGGCTAGAGTCATTAAAGCTTCTGAATTCTCTGGATGTAATTCTAGGCATTTTTCTAAAGCAGAAATGCCCGCAATTTCTTTTTCATTTTGAGTTTGAACTTCACCTAATTTTAACCAAGCATCAATATGGTTTTGGTTACGTTGTATAGCAGCTTCAAAAGCTAAGGCAGCTTCTGATAATTTTGCACCATTTTCCATCAATTGTAAACCTATTTCATAAGGATCATTTTCTTTTGGTAAATCTAAAAATTGATTATTTGATTTGTTTTCAAATTGATATTCACCAAAATGAGCTCTTGTTGATGCATATTTAGCGAAATCTCTTTCCCATTGTGATAAGTCTGCTGGTAACATTTCTCTTTGAGTTTCTTTAAAATCTTCATATTGTTGAGAGATGAAATCATTTTCAATTTCATCACTATTTAAACTATCCCAAACTTCCTGAAATGTAGCTTGATACTTATCATCGATAACAATTTCTGGTTCTTCTTCTTTTTCCTTGGCTTCGGGTTCTTCAACTTTATTAGTCAATTCTTCAATTTCTTTGAATTGATTATCCCAATCAACTTGCAGTTCTTGATTAGTTTGTACATCAGCTTGGGGTTGTTGGTGTTGTTGATTCATTTGGTTCATCATCCCTCCATTCATCATAGACATCCCCATCATTGGACGGTAACCACCAATACGCATACTTGGATTCTGATTATAACTTTGAGGATTATGCATAGCCTGATTTTGTTCCATTGATTGTGGACTGAACTCACTAGCCCATTGGGAGTTAATAGGCAGCGCGGTTTTGCCAACAATGTTAGGAGTACTGTGTTTGGTAACTGGCGACGGAGTATGAGTTTGGAACTCGTTTGTCCATGAGCTTTGCTGATTATTCATCGGCATTTGATGGTTATTTTGTTGAATCATATTCAATTCGTGTCTCATTGGCTGGAATTGGAAACTTGACTGATTAGCTCCATTGTTATTCATAAATTGTTCCAAATTTTGTCTATCTCTTTGATTCATCATATTTTCATTCTTGAACCCCTGATTTCCTGGTAAAAAACCTGGCTGATTGGCTGTTTGCCTCTGCAATGATCTATCTTGTTGAGTATGTTTATTGAACTGGGAAACTGCATTCCCATTAACCGAGCACTCGGCTCCTCCACCGACAAATGACATCTTGCAACTGGATAGCTCTGTGTATTACTAGAAGATTCCTATGTTCTTTGATAATCTTCAAGAAGAGAAGTAGCCGCTGACTAACAAATTGATCAAAATTCAAATGATTCACTTTTTTTCCTCATTTTTCGGTGTTTTTTTTTTTGTTTTGTTAGCGAAATCCCCAGTCATTTTTTGGCGGGGGGTTTTAATGAGAATCGGCATGTGCCGAGGGTAAGGCTGCAAATAAGTTCATAAGATTATATATATATACAAGTATAAGCATATATATAGGCATATGGATAATTACGATAGGAGTAGAACACGCAAACATATATTTAAACATATCTTTAATATGAAAGAGAAAATCACCAATCAAGTAAAGTTTCAGGGCTGGAGCCTTGACACTCCAATTGGTTGCAGATTTCTTGTAATTCTTCAACTTCTTTATTGGAAGAAGTTTTACCTACAAAAGCTGGATTGATTGGACCACCTTTGGCGGTTTCCAAAGCATAATGTTCCTTAACCATGTCACGAACCAAGCCTTGGTAGTATAAGACACCGGATTCTTTTGTTGGGTGCAAAAAACCAGATGTATATACTCCTTGATTCAAATTTTTTTGAGTTAATTGGCATAAGTTGAAATCTTCGATTTCAACCATTTGTAAAAAGTCTACAAATTCTTTCTTTGTATTTTCATCCAAGCCCTTTTTGGTATAGATATCGTATTGTAAGATGGTATGGGTAGCAGTAATGGGTAATACTCTAATTGAGTACCAAGCGGGAGAGTAACAGTTGATTCCGTTACTTGGCCAGGTATAAACCCATAATCCATCAAACTCACCACCGACGTTTTCTTTCTTCTTTTGCTTTGGTTGTTCTTGTTTAACTGGTTTTTTGCCAAAACCAAACCAGGAAGATGAATCTTGTTCTGGTTCTTTTGCTTGCTCGGCTTCTGGCTCATTTCTAATGATTTCAGCATAATGACGACAATATCTAGTTTTACCAGCAACTTTATATGTCTCCATACGGAAAGCAGAGTTCAATCCAGGATGAGCAGTTGGACAATGATAGCATTCTTGATAACCATCCATCAAGGTTTTCCAATTGAATTGACCATCAAGCTCATAAGACATATGATATTCATAATCGGAAAAATCAAATTCGTCAAATTCTTGAGTGATTCCTTCAAACCATTTATCAAATGGGATGAACTTTTCTGATGTATCATTATTAAAATTAACAAAGACTAATCCATGAGATGTAACATGAGTCTTAATAGGGAATAATGAATTTTCTTCCTTCTTGAAACCTTCAACGTTATCAAAATGAGGAGCTTTTGTTAATTTACCATCACTGTTATAAGACCATCCATGGTATTTACATCCTAAAACAATCGATGATCCCTTTTCTTTTCTAACAACAGGGTAAGCACGGTGACGACAAACATTATGAAATGCCTTTAATTCTCCATCAACCTTGGATTTGATGATGAAAAATGGTATACCAACAACATTAAAAGCATAATAATCCCCAGCTTTGGTAAAACGTGAAGCATGAGTACAAAATAACCATGATTTATTGAATATAGCTCTTTTCTCTAATTCGAATATCTTCTCTGAAGTCCACCAACTAGCTGGAAGAGTATGTTCACCTGGAAGTAACTTCCCACCAGTGGTGTTGTCATCTGCTGGTGGTGCACTTGGAGTAGCTTTAACTGGAGCAGCAGCAGCCATTGCAATTGTAGTTGTAGTTGAAGGCCATCTCCACCAAGTCCACTTTTTTATTCTACCTACTTACTTATATATATGCTCCCCAGCTAGCATTATCTGCAAAATTCTTATCGCAAAATATTTTGTTTTGGGCACAACCCTCAAGATAATGATAAACCTACTCTATTTAGGAACTACTATCCCTTTGCAGCCCTTTTCGTTTAAGCCTTTATACTTGATTACCGATATAAATCTACTGATTGGTTAAAATTCTCCCTTATTGTTATACCGGACATCTGTTTGTTTACGTAACTGCCGTTAGTATTAACGGGGAGCATAAGTATCAGTCAACGGAATTTTGAGAAATTCCAAAGAATCTCGGAATATAGAGTTACTCAAGTAAGTAAAGCTAGTGACTTTGTAAAGCAACTTGTACTTTAGATAACATGAGGAGATGTGCTTAATAGGTAAAGTATGGATTTTTTAACCTTTTTCTGGAGTTGAATCTTTAATGAGCCTTGTTACAATGGTTTATATCTATATTAAATGTAATTATACAAAAAAAAATTATTCATATTGATGTTTTCAATTTTTGTTTTTTTATCTTTTTTGTTTTGGTTTATTTAAAATAAAGAAGTGAAAGTTAGATTTGTATTAAAAAGATTTTAACAATCTGAGTAAACGTAAAAGTTCTTGACTGACATCCACGTCGACATTTGGGGCGATAAAACTATCCAAGGTTGATGTTTCGTCGGGCAATACCCTATAAGCATCGGTTAATTTGGAAAGCTCATCTTTCAAAGGAGACGATGGGGTATTTCTATAATACAATAAGGCATTACCAACTAAGGAATTAACAACAATTAGAGCTTTCAAAATTACTAAAGACAAGATCTTACTTTCGTTAGAATGAAGACCATATTTTGAAGCTTCAGTAACTAAAGAAAGTGAAATTCTGGCAAAGTTTGAAAGTAAAATATCTTTATTTGCAAGTAACCATTCAACTAAAACATCATTCAATGGGGAATTTTCATCATAAGGAATTAAATCAATTAATAATTTAACACCAAATAATGCCTGGGATAAAGTTGGAGCTCTTATAAAAGTGAATTTGGCAAATTCAAAACTGTTAGAATCAAATGGTATCACACTCATTAATAATTTAAATGATCTAGTTAAAAGCTTAGCTTCTTTTGTAGAATTATCATCACCGAAATAAGCGTCCATTAATTTTTTGGTTTCTTGTTGATCTTGAGCGCTAATATTGATTGAAATGACTGATGGGAAACTATTTGATGATGATGCTGCTAAACTACCACTAAGAACCGCTTGCATTAATGTTTTATTTCTAGGTTCACGTACTAATAATTTAGTAAATGCATCAATACCAAAGGGTAAATAAGAAAACATATCTAAATTAGCATAAGGGATTTTAAATCCAGATTCTTCCTTTTCATTTTCATTTAACTTGGGTCCAAATGCACTAATTAAAATGAATGATAAAAATGCTTCTTCTAAAGTCCTCAATTCCATTAAAAATGCAATATTATCTAACATCAATAAACAATCTTTTAAGATGCATAACCTTTTTCTGTAAAATTTAAATTTATCAGGATAACTGGCAATGTACTTAACACATGTAAATAATAAATCTTTGAATAATGAATCGTTGGCCATAACAGCTTTGCTATCCTCAGCAAATGAAAGATTTCTCAAAATCATGGTAATAGTTATTAATTGATCAACTAACATTACTTGCTCATCAACAGCACTCTTGGTTTGGAGTTTGCTGAAATGATATTTATTCTCTTCTTTGAACTTAAGTATTGTAGTATTATAATCGGTAATACCAAATCTTTCTAACTTTGGTTCTTCCTCGATATTCGACAATGGAGTGTCATTTTCTTCTTCATAAGAGAAAACTTCGTCCAAATCTAAGTCTGAGTCTTCATCCTCAATAACTTCAGCTGATAACGAATCCACAACATATGTAACGTCTTCACCAAACATTTGCTGATTCCCAGTATATTTTTTAAATACATCATCTATAGGATTATTTTCACTTAATTTACTAGCATCTTCATAAACAGAAGCATGTTTAGACTTTTTGCCAATAATATGATCTAAAACTTTCAAACCAAGCAGAGCCAATGAATCTAAAAGTTCTAGACAATCCGTAACTTTAAAAGAGAAACTGGAGTCAGAAGTAGTCACTAACAAGGTATTTAAAGCACTCATTATTTCACCACTATTTGGTACAGTATAATTTTTCAACGCCATAGTTAAAGCATGCACATTGATGGAACCCAACTCAGGAGCAAATAAATAAACTGGTTTGGTTAATTCAATTTCACTAGCTAAACTTGATAAGGCTTTGATATCAAACCCATCATGAGTCTCCACTAACTTACGGAGAGGTACATAATTTTTAATAATATTGAATTCTAGTTCCTTATCTGGTTTATCAAGTTGAGGTGATTCGGAAGTTTGATCATTTGGTGTTCTTTGTGGTTTAGGCTTCGTGGGTTTTTGCATGGTTTGCTGAGTTTGAGTTTGAGGTGGTGGTTGGGAATGTTGTTGAGGAGTATGCTGTTGAACTACACTTCCGCTTCTTGAAATTGTTTGTTGAGCCATGTACGGCGACTGAGAGACAGCAGGTGAATTGTGAGCCGATGGATTACTAACATGAGAAAGCTTTCTTTGTTGGGGAGTAGGAGCTGAACTTGGAATTGGGCTCTGATGTATCATTCCAGCACCTGGAGTAGGGACGTTGTTTATTCCGGGTGAGTTAATGTTGGCTGGCGGTGACATGTTGCTTTGAGATATATGTCTTGATGGTGGATTTTGCATTTGCTGTTGTAGTTGATTAGGAGCATTTTGTTGCTGCTGTGGTTGTTGTTGCAATTGCAGCTGTTGAAGTTTTAAAAATATTTTCTTTTGGTACATCATTCTTTTCGTTTGTAAATCTCTTGCACCATTTGGAGTTTGACCATATTGCTCATAAGGAAGCACGTATTGTATATAGACATTTGCAGTTTCCTTTTCGATTTGAATTCTCGAGTTAAAATCTTGTTGTACATTTATACCTTCGAAAAAACCTAATCTTTGACAAATAGCAGTCCAAGAATTACCTTGTTGAGGTTGTATGTTTTGAAGTGCTTTCATTAGCTGTTGACCCCCACCAAGTTTTTGGGATAACAAATGTAAAAGTAGAAGGTTAACTTTTTTACCATTCACAATCGGTTGTTGAGTTATTGGCGTATTACGGCTATTCATGAAGTCATTGAGGGTAGCTATGAATAATTCGTATTGGAGCTGCTGTAATTGTTGTGGACTGAGCTTACTGACTAGTTGCTGTTGTGCTTGCTGGGCCTGGTGTTGAGCCGGACCTTGCATTGGTTTCGGGTTTTGTTGAGGATTTGATGGTTGCAGTTGGGGTCTTGATAAATTTTGTGGGATTTGAGGAGTTCCAACCAGATGATTATATTGAGGAGTGGTTGATGACGCCATACTAGGAGAGTTCATATTGTTTACCGGACTAGGAGCATACACCAGGTTTACTTGAGAATTGCCTTGACCTCTTCCACCTTGATTCATATTCATCATTTGTTGAGGAGTTGGGGCATTAGATGGCTGGGGTGATGCTGACATGGGAATGTTGCTTGGAGAAAACTGCTGTTGTTCCTGTTGTTGTTTCTGCTGCTTTGCATGAAGCATTTGTTGTTGCATTATTTGTTGTCTCATCTGAAGAAGTTGTTCTTGTTTCGACTTATCTAAGCTTTTCTGCTGTTGTTGTTGTGTTGATGGCGCTTGTTGCTGCGAAGGAAACCCTTGTTGGTTGAGAGTCTGTTGAGGGTTTGAAAGCATTTCGGTATCCATTGATTGATTATTATGCGGTACCTGTTGATTAGATTGATTATTTGACTGAGCGGCCTGGTCAAAAATATTATTCAAGAACGCATCTTCTTTTGGAATACCACTGCTCTGATTTCCATCATTAAACCAAAAGTTAGACATGGCTTCAACAATCCCTAGGTACTTGAAATACGACTTCTGTGGTGGTATACCAATTAAGTTTTTGAGCGCTTAGCGTTCCCTTCAGTGTTATTTACTATTTTTTGAGTTTTTTTCGAGTTTATAGTTTTTCCTTTCTCCAGACAGGAACGAACTAAAAAAAAAAAAATTGTCATAACGGTTACTGCACTACTTGGTCTGATGTACTAGAATACTACAAATTCTAATGATAAATGTGAATCGTTCGGTTGATGCTTGAAAAAGGCTCTATACACGTATTAATAACAAGAGAAAATGAGTAGAACTAGAGAGTTTTGGATGAAAGGCGAAACGAAAAGAAAAACAAGAAAAGAAGGGTAGAATGGTATGTGAAAAATAAATTACAATAAGCATTAATGATTACCATAAATGCCACCATCTTTTATGAAGTTTCTTTGAAAGAGCTTTGTAGTGCTCCATCTCGCCCCAGCAGTCTCTGCCCCATTCACACCCTGCCATATTGACCACAAAGTCATTACTTTGGAAGAAATATTGGGGATCATCAGCTTTATCGGAACAGGCACCGGGAGGGAATGAATTGATGGTTCTTAAAGGTAAGAACCCGATCCTTTCTCGGATCCATGGTTGGGAGGAGTATAAAGTTTCCAAAGCATCTTGTTCTTTATGTTCCCATTGCATATGCATTTGTTCGTACATGGCAGGATCCCACCAAATATCAAGGAGCATATCAGACCAAGAAGATCTTCTCATTAAGAACGAGCCCAAGTTGAACCCCCCACAGTCTTGAGTAATGACCATATCAATTGGGCTGTCATAATTGAGGTAAGGAATGTCAACAGGAAGACCAAGCGGATTAAATGTTTCAGGGGATCTATAAGTAGCATTTTCTAAATTGTTCAAGAAATGTTTTTCTAATGATATTTGGGGTTCCATGATATAAGTATGTAAATCCAACCACCAAAACCATTCGGTATTTGGAAATTGTCTCATTGTTTGTTTCATAATATCTACTTTTTCCCAAGATTCTCTCCATTCATGTGAGTATCTCTTCTTTATAGTCATATCTTTGATGGTTAAACCGTATCCGTGACTTTTGGCATATTGTTTCTTATTAGCGATTGAAGATCTTTCCACTGACCACTCTTGAGGTCCTTTCCATTTAAGAACACCACCGCCTTCATTTGCAGCTAGTATAATAACAACTTTGGGACTACCAGTCCTGAAATGTGGAACAAAAGGTACCGATGTGAAGAGTGACAAGCATATAAAAGTTACTAAGAAAATCAGTATTTTTTTATATTTCAATGAAAATGATTGAATAGATCCAAAAACAGCGTTTATACTATTATTGATTCTGGTGAGTATTGGTTGGTGTTTGTTTGGTTTGAATGTCTTGGAATAGCCGTCATTGCTTGAGCCAGCATGTGTTTTCTCTAAATCATCCAGATTATCAGTTGAATAGGGTAAGTTGAACCCACTGTTCGAACTCATGATGGTATGTTTATGATGCTTCTCGAGCAGGAAAAAAAAACCTTTTTGGACAGAGTATGGATCGAACCGAAGCAGAGCTTAAAGAATCCTCTTCCTATCTCCCTCTTAATGAATTGCTGAACAGTTACTTGTTGAACAGTCTAATTGTTGAACAGTTTAATTCTAGATCAAGCCAAATTACTTTGTTGTTTTAGGCCACGGATTATTTCATGTTGAGATTTTTTCACTTTTTTCTTTCTTTTTTTTTTTTTAAAAAAAAACCTTTAACGTTGGATATATACATCCGTACACCTTAATAAAATAGCTAGCGGTTGGTATACCATTACTATGGATTGAACTATACAGATGGCATTAGCGGAGAGGGAGGAGATTCTGTTCAAGGCACTGCAGTCTACATAAGGGGCACTCGGGGTGTTCACGAATCCAATCAACAATGCAGACCCAGCAGAACATATGACCACAATTGGCAGCAGAAGGATTGGTCATTGGTGATAAACATAACATACACGATCTGGAAGCTTCAGGGATGTAAGGTAGTTGATTTGGGTCTGAGAGGTCGAAATTTACGCGTTCACTAAGTTTTAAATCTTCAGTGAACGACTCGTTGTATGTTTCTAATTGTTTAATAGATTTAATTCTGGATGGCTTCGATTCTTCGTCTTCTTCACTGGTATGTGATTTTTTAAGACTGTCTTGATAAGTTTTGAATTTGACAAGTGACTCAAAGACAAACTGTAGTAATATAATAGCCCCTAAGAATGAGTAATTGCCAGTTTTCTGTAATTTCCTGGGATCCTTGTTATGACCAAAGACATACCTCAAACCAAATATACGTTTGGACAATGAGTAAAACTCACCTTGAAAGTAAAAAATAGCAATATGCAAGTTCATCAAAGTATCTAAAACCTTATCATATGATGAAAGATACTGAAGTATCACTTGTTTTTTGGAGCTTTTATTTTGGTCTTCTTCCTCTTGTTTGGGCTTATGGTATTTGACTAGTCTGTTGATCAAGTACGGTAAGATTGCATAAGAAAATATAAATCCAAGCTTGGGTAAGATTCTGGGGAATCTTTTTCCTGACCTATTTACATATATTAAATCAACGTATTCTTCACCCAAAGTTCTGGCTCCAAGTAATGTCGTTAGGATAAGGTATACAGCTTTGGCGCCCACAGTTATTTCATTCCCATACGTGTTGATGAATCGTTGGCCCTTCAATATATGTAAAGCGTCTTGAAATTGAGATCGAAATAACGATTCAAAGTAACTATCCTTTTGATTAGCTCTTACTAATGAAAATTGTTAGTATTGGTTCTCTCCCCCACAAAAAAAAATTGATTATTTCAAATCTAATTGAACCATACCTATCGTAGCTGCGTCAGCAAAGGGTAATGCCTTATCATTCACTTTGGACATGATGCTTGCCTATTATAAAAGTACGGACGCTTCGTTATGTTAAGGGCAGTGAAGAGGTCAAGTATGAAGATTGCATTTCTAACTTTTCCTCGGTCACCGAACAAAAAAAATTCGGTGAGGACGCTTTATTACTGCTAAAAAAAAATGTATTACGGTTTAAATCATTAGTATATTACAGCGTTATCTATAGAGAATAAATATAAATTAGAAGGGTAGCTTTGTTTGTCCTTTGTCGAGTTTTTTCTTTTTTGGATTTTCTTGTTTATTTTGATGGCTTGTTCTTTTATTACTTTCTGGTTTAGGATTTATTTCGTTTTGGTTTGATGTCCCATTTAATTTTTCGGAGAGTTCCATAGCATAATGGAGGTCCACATGTTCAAATACATCTTCAACTGGGATATGGCATTTGTCACAGTATCTGGTTCGAATAAGTCTCTCGAGTAAGCTTTTGTTTGACTCCTCTGAAGTCGACAGGCTTGAGGACGATCGGAGAGTATTTAAGACGTTATAATTAGAATCTGGCGGGTTTGAATCTACTTTAGGTTTGGATTTAGGTGCAATTCTGGGTGGGTCCACTGGTGCATTACTGGACTCAAATTCATCAAATAACTTTTTGATGTATTCTTTGTCTTCTTTGAATTGAGGAGCTGGAGAAGCTGATTTGGATTTCAAAATTTGAGCCTGTTCTTCTTTTCTTTCGTTTTCACTGATTTGAAAATCCTCAAATAACTTTTTAACGTATGCTTGGTCCGGTTTCTTACTTTTCTTTTCAATTGGAGCAGGTAAAGCTTGTTTAGGTTGTTCAGTGTTAACTTCACTAAACATTTTTTCAATGTCTTGCTTAGCTAACAAACCTTTGTTATTGGGGTTACCAAGATACGAGTCAATTAGATTTGAATCGGTGGTCTTGACAAAATTGGATATAACCACTGATAAATTAGCCAATGGCATAATCTTGTAATTTTTCAAAACATCCATCGAATCGGTGACCTTGAGTAATCTTGGCCTCTTACCATTGTTCAAGGAAGGAACATTTGAATTTTCCAATAACTCAAGTAGTAATCTAAAAGTCAAGTTTGTCATTGACACTCTTAGCTTCTCGAGAGATCTTGATACTGGTATTGGAGTTTGTTTTGAAAGTTTTGTATAAGAAGATGTAGTTAATTGAATGCTAATCGTTTTCGGTCTCATGATTGAGCCTTTTTCACGGTCGGAATCAAGCTGCAGCATGGATAAGTTTAGATTCTCGTCATCTAATTCGATTAGTCTGCTATATAAATCTCCCACAAACACTTTCAACCAGTCGCAAGTGTCATATATGTTATCAACAAAAGCATTAACGAGGAAATTCTTTCTTGACATCATGGATTTGACTGATGTTCGTAATACTAACTCTTCAATATAGTTACCCCTCACCAAGTTAAACACTCTTTCTGCTAATGGGTGGTCATTTGGTAATTCTTGTTTTAATTGATCTAACAGGAAATGTTCTCGTAAAAATTTAATTGAATTTATATCTCCCGGAACATCAAATTTTGATAAAATAACGTCACCAGTTTTACCACCCATTCCAGTTATATCGATGAGTTCAAAATTGTTTAAAAATCTATAAATCAGTTTATTTCGAACAATAGTTTGCATATCCGGTTTAATAAACCCACCAGCCAATTTGGCTAGTCTTTTATTACGAGCTAATCCACCAGATGTTGTATAACCAAGATCCTTGAAGACACGATTCCTTAAATCATATAGGATTTGCGATCCGATAACCAGACATATATCATCCCAATCATTGATTACAGGCTTTGGTTCAGCTCCAGCCTGAGATTCCGAGAACCAAGCATCTTCTTCAGGGGTTTTGTAGATATCACCAACCCAATATAGAGATTCCGGTAAAGTTTTCAGTATAGGAGGTAAATAAGTATCAGGATTATGCTCTCTTACTAAATCTTGAAGAAAGGGGAAAAAAGATAGTATTTTCAGATAAACCAATCTACCAAAATCCATATAACTTTCATCGACACTTGCTTTTTCAACCATATCACAACCTTCTTTCAAAATTTTTATAATTTTTCGAGATTCACGTCTATAAGGATCTAAAGAAACCTTATAAACAGTTTGATCCGGGAGACCTTTCACGTACAGCCAATGGTCTTCACCCTTTTTGAAAGCAGCAGCATGAGCGATGATTAACTTTGGACATTTTTTTTTAGCTGACTGAATAGTATCCATTCGATTTATACCAAATTTTCTTGCTGGATAAGATACTGCGATCAATGATTGCCATTGGGCACAAACTACCGGAGCATCATCGTCTAAACCAAGACGAATTTGCTCACATTGAGCGAAAAAGGCATTTAAATCTATAAACCCAATTACTGATAGGTTCAGTTTATAAGATAGCTTTGGATCATTTAAATCGATCAAATCTTTGATAGTGAAGGCGGATTTGGATAGCGGGTCAGTGGTTAATGCAGCCAAATCGACATTAAGATTTTTAACTGACATAATATCAGTTGCAGTCTATAACATCAGTTCATTTGTAAGTAGGAAGTTATCAACTTGCAAACGCGTAATGAGATAGTTATACCCTTGGCATGCGGTGGAGTGGGATGTACGGGCGTGAATTTAATGATTGCAAAAATTTTGAAACTATTATATAAACACATGCATTAACCTAAAGAACAATTAACTAATATAAACAGATGATGAGAGAAAACTATATTTTAGAACCTTTAACAAAGTTGGTACCTTGAGCAATTGATTTATCCAATCCATTTAAAGCGACAGAAACCAATTGTTTTTCATTTTCAGTGATGGTGAGAGAATCGAAAGGATTAATGAATGATTTAATTTCACCTTTTTCTAAAATAACAGGGACTGAGAAATAAGTAGCGCCATTTAATGATTTTTTAGATAACTCTTCACCATTTGGTAATCCTGGTAAATAGACATACGAAGTTTCCGGAACGACCGAAGTATTAGTTTGACCACCAGCCACGGAATCTAAGACTGATTCAGCAAAACGATAGCCGGCATAGGCCATTGATAAAGTGGCGGAACCGGCTCCATTCTTAGCCTTGACGACTTCATCCCCACCGAATTGAACACGATGGACGAATTCTTTATATTGAGCCGGAGTGATTTTTGAGCTTTTTGCAGAAATGGTAGAGTTGACATTGATTAATGGAACAATGGTATCACCGGAATGACCACCAATAACGGAAATCTTACCCTTCAACGATTTTGGAGGTTCATTGATTAATTCACCAAGGAAAGTTTCTGCTCTAACGGAATCTAAAGTAGTAACCCCAAATAATTTTTTTGGATTGAAAACACCCAATTTTTTCAACACTTCAGCTGCAATTGGAACAGTAGCATTGACTGGATTGGAAATGATCAAAATAGCTGCGTTTGGACAAGTCTTACCAACGTTGGCAATCAAATCTCTAATAATCGAAGCGTTAATATTAAATAAATCAGCTCTAGTCATCCCCGGTTTTCTTGGAACACCAGCAGGTATAATAACTAAATCACTATTAGTCAAAGCAGATGTAATAGCCAGTTTATCTTCCTTATTAGCAGGTTGATGGCCAGTTACTTTAGCTGGACTACAAATATGTGATAAATCAGCAGCAACCCCATTGGCATTAACAATATCAAATAATGCTAACTCATCAACGTTTTGATTCAACTTTAATAATAACGAAAGTGGTTGTCCAATACCACCAGCAGCACCACAAACAGTAACCTTAACCATGATATAAATAATCAAGTAAATAGCCTCTATCTTAAATGAGTAAAACTTTTCAGTTATTACCAGATCTATTTATTGGATCCCTTCACCGAAGAGTCACATGTTTAAAAAAAAATTTATTATGCGTCAAAGTGACTCAGTTCAAGAGAGTTTTGTACCTCGGAAATTTGGGAAAAGCGACTCATTTTCAGTTTTGTATTTTTATCCTGAGGAGAAAACCGGCTGAGGGGATGCGGTACGGGTGGGCTCGGAAGTGGGAGGGGAAGTGCAAGCGAAGGAATAAGCTGGTGTGCGGGTGTGTAGTCACGTGTGTGTAACAGGTGAAAACCAGAGTTTGCATGTTACACACACGTGCCGCTAATCTGTAAAGCTGCTCTTCTTCCAAGGTGGACTTTTACAGGTTATCGCGGCAAAGGACAAAAAAACTACTATCGATTAAAAAATGACATTCAAAAGGTTCTGATTAATTGAGCTTTTGTGATTAGATTAACGTCGTCTTTATATCAATTCATAAAGAACAACAAGCTCCCTGGAGGCACAACTTAGTATATTGTTTTTTTCTTATTCAAGGGCAAGGATGATTAAGTTTATTCTTCTATTATTAGTTTGGTGTTTGAGGGCAGTTAGAGCATTTGATTGTTCGGTATCGGAATTATCATCGTTTGATTTCGAAAGTATAAAAGGAGTTCATTCGGTTACAATCAATAAAAACACCCCACCATCCACCAGTATTTTCACTTGGAATATTGGAGTATGTGTTAATACCGACGAGATTGAACATTGTCCTAAAAATTCGGATATCTGTGGTGTGAATAAACTTCAATTTAATGATGATAAAAAGACAATTGTATCGGAAATAATTGGTTTCAATAACGGGTTGTCTAAATCCTATAAAATCACTCCACCGACTAAAAATGAAGGGGGTGCAGTCACTATTCTGTATAAAGGTGCTAGTTGGGGTGATGTTTTGGTTGATGCCGATTTGAAATTCGTTTGTCCTTCTAAAGACGATAAGGATTTGGATGTTTTCAATGTCGATAAGTGGAATGGTGAAAAATTACAAATTTCGGTTAAATCAAAAGCTGCTTGTAATACTAAAAAGTCAAAAAATCCAAAGAAACCTTCGAACGGTAATGATCAAGATCATGGAGAATCTTGGGGGTGGTTTACTTGGATCTTTATCTTTATGGTTTTATTCTCAAGTATCTATATCATTGGTGGGGCTTGGTATCAATACAATAAAGGTAATGCAATTGATTTCCAATCGGCTTTAAAAGAAGTTTTGGAAAATTTCATCGATTTATTAAAAGGTTTACCTACTTTTATCAAAGAAATTATAGATAAATTCACCGGTGGTAGCAGAGGTGAATATAGTGCTGTCTAATTGAGGAGGCTTGCCTCTCTCATTCCTCTTTATATAGATTTAAGTTGTAAATACATATTCTAAATAGCCATTCGGATCATTGGTTTTTAGCAATTACACTAAAAAAAAAAAAGAGAGAGGGAAGTCAAATCTTTTGAAAGATTCTCAACAAATTGAAATCTTGACTCTGCAAAAAGTCTTTCTACTCAGCGATTATCCTTCTTAATTGATATACTTACTTTCTATTCATAATGCCGAGTGTCAAGGAAAAAATTCTATCTTTGAAGAGTAATGAAAGATTCATATCTTTCGAGTTTTTCCCTCCAAAGACGGATGCAGGGTTCCGTAACTTATTGGCTAGGTTAAGTCGTATGCTGGCTTTGAATCCCTTATTTATTACAGTTACCTGGGGTGCTGGTGGTTCAACTAGTGAAAAGTCATTGGATTTGGCTGCTACTTGTCAAAAAGAATTGGGTCTCACCACTGTTTTACATTTGACTTGTACAAATACTAATAAAGAAATCATTGATGATGCTTTATCAAAGGCCAAATCAAATGGGATAAGAAATATTTTAGCATTAAGAGGTGATCCTCCAAGAACTGAAGAATACTGGACTCCTAATTGTGATTTCAATAATGCTGTTGACTTGGTAAGATATATAAAACAACAGTATGGTGACTATTTTTGTATTGGGGTAGCAGGTTATCCTGAAGGTCATGTTGACGGTTCTGATAATTCACAACAAAGTATTGAAAAAGATATTCCTTACTTGATAGAAAAAATTGAAGCAGGTGCTGATTTTATCATCACTCAATTATTCTTTGATGTTGATAAATTTTTAAATTACGAAAAAGTTTTAAGATCATATCCTCAACTTTCAAATATAATTTTGATTCCTGGTTTAATGCCAATCACTACGTATAAAGTTTTCACCAGATCAACAAAACTTTCTCATGCCTCTGTTCCTGATGATATTGCAACTAAATTACATGATGCAAGTGTTGATGATGATAAAGTTAAGTCTTTAGGTATTGATATCATTGATGATATAATCACTAACATTAATAATCATACTGATAATCGTATAAGAGGTTATCACTTTTATTGTTTGAATTTAGAAAAAGCTGTCGCATCAATCATTAATAAATCAAATGTTTTATTACCGATAATGGATCTTCATGAATCAGTTGATAATAATGATGACGCCATTGCTTCAGATTCTGATGACGACTTGGATGCTAACCAAGTTAGAATGAACAGAAGAAAATCTTCAATCGTTAATGAAAACGAACCCTCAACTTCAAAACAAGATGTCTTAAATGGTCAAAAAAGTCTAATTGGTAAAGCATTATTAGACGATAAGAAAACTTTGGTTGATATAAGTATCGGTAAAGGTGCTTTAGGTAAAGATGCTACTTGGGATGAATTTCCAAATGGTAGATTTGGTGATTCAAATTCTCCTGCTTATGGTGAGATTGATGGTTATGGTCCAACTTTAAAACTTCATTCAACTAAAGAAATTGAAAATACTTGGGGCTCTCCTGAATCTACTAAAGATATTATAAGAGTCTTTATTGACTATTTATCGAATAAAATTGATTTATTACCCTGGGTAGATACTGAGCTTAGTCCTGAAACCGCCTTAATTCAAGAAGAATTATTTGAATTAAATAATAAAGGTTGGTTCTCCCTAGCCTCTCAACCAGCTGTTGATGGCTGCAAATCATCCGATAAAATTTTTGGTTGGGGTCCTTCGAATGGTGTCATATATCAAAAACCTTTTGTTGAATTATTCGTTCCTAAAAAAGATTGGAATGATATAATATATCCTCGCATGAAGTCTTGGTTTGACTCAAAAGTCGTTACATATTATCTTGGTGATTGTCAAAATAAAATTACTTCAAATTTATCTATTGGACCTAATTCCCATAATAGTAAAAGTGCTATCACTTGGGGTGTTTTCCCTCTGAAAGAAGTTTTACAACCAACAATTATAGATTACGAATCATTCAAAGCTTGGAATGAAGAAGCATTTTTACTTTGGTTGGAATGGGCTAGATGCTATAAGAAAACAACCAAATCTTTCGAAATATTAAATAATGTCTATAACGATTATTATTTAGTCAGTTTAATTCATCATGATTTCAAAAATGAATCTGGTTTATGGGATGCCTTGCTCGGTAATGAATAACTATCCTCAAAATCAAGACTTTAATTTACTTGAAGCCTCTTATTGTATATACTTTTCTGTTACATAGCAACTCATTCAATATCAGCCCATGAAATGATATCTTAAGTCTTTTCAGGTAGCTTTAGCTCATTTTTTAAAACAGAAATGTACTTTCCAACCAAATTGCTATTCAATGTTTGAAATAAACGCGTATCACGTTCATCAATTCCCAAATATTGACAATTTATATTCTTCAACATAAGCATACCATTCATTATGGTAGTCCCCTTATTCACAATCAATCTACCTCCTAACGGAATCGAAAGTGGGATTTCCGAATTGTTATTTGTTCTTATAAAGGATAGCTTGTCATCATATTCATAAGCATAGCAGTAGTTGTCAAAGTTATCTTTCAAAACTAACTTATATACATCATTCGATGACCACCCAGTATTAGCATTAAGGTTTGTAGTGCCATTTTCACTATCCATCTCTACCAGAGTGATAACCTTATTCGAGCCTCTTTTAGATTTCCCTTTAGATTTACTGACTCTATCCACTGATACACTATTAGGATCTTCATATTCTTTCCATTGATCTAGCTGATTTAGACGCGATTTACTGATATTATGGATGTGTATAACATAAAATAGTATTGGAACTTGTGTCTGGGTTTCAGGTATATTTGCAAAATGCTGAGATATGAACTGATTCCTTGTTGCCGTTGCTAGACTATTCATCTTTTCCAATTAACCTTAGACGGAGTTGATACAATTCTACCTGAGTTTTATGAAATAAGTTGAAGATCTGGTTGCGCAATAAAAAAAAATCAACTTTAGAAGCGAAAATCCATCTCTTTATCTTGCTAAGAGAGTCAAGAATTAGTTCATGCTACTATAATGTCCTTGTTCGTCAATGATGACGATGACAACGAGACTTATGTTGATGAAGGCATCAACGATGTTATTTTGCAACAGAGTCAAACACCTAGTTTAAAGGAAGAAGCGAACGAGGAACAAGTCCCTACTCGACCATCAATTCCAGTGGTTTTCGAAGATCCTCCAGATATCACGCCTATCTATGAGTCTAAAGAAGTCGGATGCCTATTGCCATTGCTGTTTCAGCAAGAAGTTGTGGAAGATATGTTATCTAAAGATGGTTTACTTGTGTTGGGAAGAGGGTTAGGCTGGGAGATAATAGCAGCCAATCTACTATACGCGTTGAGTTCCCCTTCTATATCTCTTGTGACTGGAGACAGGCAGGAAAGTAAAAGAAGCTTGGTACTCTTGGTGAATGCTAAAGAAGAAGAAAACATTAAGTTAAGCGATATCTTAACTGAACTCCATTGGGCAAATACAACATCTATTAATCGTTCATCACCTGAAAACGAAGGTGCTAGACTGAGTGATGAATATGACGAATTGACTGACCTGGATCGATCACCTCTTACAATTATTGGTGGTGATATTACTAGTGCCGATAAGCGTAGGCGAACTTACGATTGCGGAGGGACTGTCTCTGTAACTTCTAGAGTTTTGGTAGTGGACTTGTTATCGGGTATTTTATCACCTCATGATATTACTGGGCTTTTCATTTTACATGCTGAACGAATAAAGGAAACATCTAATGAATCTTTTATTGTGAACTTATACCGTGATACAAATGACTGGGGGTTTGTCAAAGCTATATCTGATAAACCCGAAGCATTTACGGGCTTTACTCCTTTAGCTACTAATCTTAAATACTTAAGATTGTCAAATGTATTCTTATGGCCTCGTTTTCATGTTGAAGTTTCTTCTTCCTTAACGTATAAGGGTAAACACTCAAGACAACAAAAGCTCGAAGCAGACAGAAGTCGTTATGTTACAGAAATCAATGTTCAATTATCTACGAACATGAGGAAAATACAATCCGCTTTATTGGCATGTATACAGTCCTGTTTACAAGAGTTGAAAAGGCATAATCCATCATTAGCTACTGAATATTGGGATATGGAGAATATCCATGATATCGATTTTGTCCCCAGAATAAGGATTTCGTTAGATTCACAATGGCATAGAATTACATGGACTTCAAAACAATTAGTATATGATTTAGCAACTTTGAAGGATTTACTTAGTGATTTATTGGTTGTTGATTCGTTGACGTATTATCAAACTGTACAAAGTCTAGTTAATGTTCAAGCAAAGTCTGAAGCAGTAGGAATGACAACTACAGCAAACCTGCAACCTTGGCTAGGAGTTCCAGAAGCCGATACCGTTATATCTCGTGCAAGGGACAGAGCATTCCGGGAAACTAAAATTTCAAAATCAAAAGATACAATACAATCTGCGGGTATTGAGGTTAATGATCTTGATGAAGTGAAAGAGGATCAACTGAACTACTATATCCGTAACTATGTTTTAGAAGAGCAACCCAAATGGGATCAACTAGGACTACTTCTTGATGACATCATGTATGAAAAATCGCACAATAACAATCCAAGAACCGATGGTCCTGTTCTTATTATGTGTTCCAACACTAGAACTGCTAAACAAATAAGTAATTTAATACCGAAGTTGAAAAAGGAAGAAAACAGTATGACTGGCAAAAAAAGGTTTAGTGCAAAGAAATATATGGTTTCGAAGTTGAGGGATTATAGAGCTTGGAGAGAGACCATATATGCAACAAGGAGAATCAAAGCTGATATGGATAAACAAGATGAAACTGGTGCGGCGGGAGATACAGAAGGGACAAATAACGAAGAATTGCAAATGTCTAAGACGTTTACTCGTGGTAGAGGAACACCATTGAGCAAAAGAAGGAGAACTCGAGGGGCTTCCAGTGTTGCAAATGTCCAAAGACTTTATTCTGGATCGGTCCAAGAGAAGAATTCTGAGCCAGTAGATCTCGATGATGAAATTATAGAAAACCTTGAGAATGAAGTTGGACAAAGCGACGATGAAGGTGACTTTGATATTGAGGATGAAGAAAAAATATTCGAAAGTATTGGTAAAAATGATGAAATTCAAGAAGTTGATGGGCTTTTTGTTAAAGATGAAGGTGGCGGATTTGTTGTTGGGGATGAGGATGTACAGGAGATTCAAAATAAAAGTCAGTATAGAAGCACGCCGAACTTCATATTCGAGCACATTGATATATTTGACCAGATTATTGTTGAATCATACGATGAAGCTATTAATGATGCATTATTGCAGGAAATATCCCCCGCTTATATTATAATGTATGAACCAAGTTTGTCATTTATAAGAAGAGTTGAGATGTATCAAGCCATTAATAGGGATACACCAGCAAGAACTTACTTCATGTATTATGGGACTTCAGTCGAAGAACAAAGTCATTTATTAAATATTAGAAAAGAAAAGGAAGCTTTCACCAAATTAATTAGAGAGAAAGCATCATTGAGTAAGAATTTTGCAACCGAAGTTGATAATTGGAAATTTCAATTACAAAAGAAACAAGCTGTTAATACTAGGATAGCAGGAGGAGCAAGGTTCAGAAGTGATGATGATGAAATGCAAGTGGTTGTTGATGTAAGAGAATTTAGGTCAGCATTACCAAATTTGCTTTATAGAGTTGGTATTAAAGTTGTTCCATGTATGATTACAGTAGGTGATTATATTGTCTCACCCAAGATATGTATCGAAAGAAAGGCGATTCCTGATTTAATATCAAGTTTCAAGAGTGGGAGATTATACACTCAGTGTGAGCAGATGTTCAGACATTATGAAATGCCTACTTTATTGATTGAATTTGATGCCAATCACTCATTTTCATTTGAACCCTTTTCCGAGACTAATCGAAATAAGCTGGCACCTACGAATCCAATAGCTGCTAAGCTCGTAGGGCAAGATATACAATCCAAGATCATAATGTTGCTAATTGCGTTTCCTAAACTTAAAATCATATGGTCATCATCGTCATACGAAACCGCACAAATATTCTTGGAATTGAAGTCCAATCAAGAGGAACCGGATATTGCCAGTGCCATATCGAAGGGAGTTGATTCACAGATTAAGAGCAATGATGGCGGACCACCAATGTATAATGATGATGCCATTGACCTTTTACAGAATATCCCCGGTATCAATAATGTCAATTATTATAATGTAATTCAAAAAGTAAGGAGTATTGAAGACTTGGTTCAGTTGCCACTAGAGGCCTTTTATGAACTTCTTGGTCAAGAAAATGGGAATAAGGCATTTAACTTTATAAGTAATGCAGTTAAGTAAGATAATAGATAGATGATTTAATGTAATTTATTCAAGATGTATATTGATTTATGTAAAAAATTTTCAAAATTTGAAAAAACTTACAAGCCCGGTAATTTTTAATTCAGATCTCATATACAAACAAGTCATTTGTCAAGATCCATCAACGTAGCTTATACTACGAAGTTAGTATTCGGTTGATAGTGTTAATGACTGCCAAATCAAACTTTCCTATTTTGGACAGTTTGTTTATCTTCAAAACCTCCTTTTTTTTTTTGTTTTGTTAGCGCTTTGGTGTTGCTAAAAGAAGGATATAATCCAGATCACCCAACTTTTGAAGTTAGGATCTACAAGGATGTTTAGAGCCAGAACCTATAGTACCAGTAAGGAGGGAAATCGAATAAGTGAATTCAAAAGTTTATATTTTCAGATCAAAAAACACCTTGATAAGGTGAACATTAGTTTGAGGTATGAACAATTGAAAACCCCTGAGATATATTCTACATTGGTTAAATCAATAGTGGAGAAGTTATTACCAGTGAATAACATATACATGATATATGTTTTATTGTTGGTAAGGTATGAATATATGATACAATCTGAAAATGATTTGATGAAGTACGATTTATTGATGACCAAAGCCAATTTGAGTGAGATATTGGCAATCAGGATGTTAAGAGAGTACAGATCGGTTGATAGAACCAATATGCTATTCATCAACACTCCAGTGAAGGGAACACCATTGAACGTTATCGAGTTAACGATATTATCAAAACTGAAGAAATTCTTATCGCAACCAATTATAGTACATATACTTGATAAGTTTTATAAGGGGAATCTTGTTATTAAGCAATATAAGAATGAGAATGAAGAAAACGGTTTATTGATTGATAATGTGGTTGACCACCAGTATGAAAGAGTATCGATTGGCAAGATGATAAGCCGATCTAATAAAGTTCCAAAATATCAATCGATAATTATAAATATGAAATATATTGGATTAACTGTTTTATACTTGATATTCATGAATGGACAAAACAAGTATGCCGAGATAATGTTTTGGATCCTTGGACTAAGTTTCAATATTGAAATGGCTATAAAATTTTATCATATCGAATACATTTTCCTTAAAAAAATCCTATGGACGTACGTCGATATGGTTATATTATTAATGATTGACGTATGTTTTATATTGAAAGTTAGTGACATTCAGTATCAGGATTATTTCAGTATATTATCGATAATCTTGTTTCCTCGGATTCTATCAATCTTTAATAATTATGAATTTTTCCATATGATCATACTTTCATTCAAGAAAATGTTATGGAATATGATTGGAATGTTTATACTTTTTTTATCCTTGATATTTGGGTTTTTCATTTGCTTTATCAGTTTAACCATTAACAAAAGCAATTATGAAATTGCTTTTGATATGTTGAAAGTATTTTTTGGTTTCACTCCGGCCATTTGGACCAATTGGGATAACTATACTGATATGGGCAAAGTTGTTCAAATGAGTTACTTATTCTTGATCCAATTCATTATCAATACTATATTGGCAATTGTATTGGGGAATATTTTTGTCAAAATAAATCAAAGCAATAAGGAAGAATTTGAATATTTCAAAACTATCAATCTAATCATATACTTAAAATGGAGTCAGTTAAATGAAAATTTCTTATTGAAATTATTGAAATTCCCCATTGTGATTCAAATATTCGTTTATGAATTATTAAATTCTTTGTTCTCTAAGAGAAAAGAACAAGTTAAAACTTTCCAATTCTTCGATAAGGAGGATTACGAAGAAGTGAGAAGCAGAAGATTCAGTAATGCTACTTTCAAGAAGAAGCTTCTTCCAGTCCAATCGATATCCACTCTAGGCATCCGAAGTGCATCAACTGACTCAACGTTCATCGATGAAATATTAAACAAGAAATACCCCACCAAACTACATAAAGTAACCTCCAATAATCTGGAATCGGCGAAAAACGATGAATTAATGAAAAAATTAGATGATCTACAAGATACCATGAACAATCTAGTCAACGATCGATTTGACCACGATCTGGTTTATCTAAATAACTCTGACCAAGACTCTGATTATGAAATCTAGAGTGTCTAGACTTGCAGACGGATTACATTTGCAGCTAATTCCACTGGTTGCAGTTAAACCGTCCGATCCTCGGCCAGTTGCACGGATCTTTACCCAAAACGGTAAATTGTGCTTGATTTAACTTTTCCAAGGCAAAAAATGCGAATCGCCAGTGATTATTTGTGCGGAGTTTGATTTGCTGAGTTTAGAGGTACGGAGTCTGTGATTTTGTTAATTCCATCAAATGACAAAGTTTGCATTATCATTCACAAGATACTAGAGCTTATTAATTTTTTATTTTTTTATTGTTACTTCCTCCTGATTCTTTTTTGTTTTTTTTTGTTCGACATTTATATATCTTTGAGGATCCCAGGTTGTTTATTTATTCTTTATCAGTAGTGATTTATCCTCAATATATATTTTGGCTCTGATAATTTTTTTTTTGGACCTTTTTTTTTTTTCTCTCTTTCTTTCGGTTACTGTTTTTTGATTGAAAAATTTTTAGTACTCGATGCCTCATAGACAACAGTTTCTTTTGACACCAGATTCAACACCTATCATGACCACCACCTCCTCACCAAACATTCCAAACAACCATATTCAGATCGGAGGAAGAAAATCACAGTTAGCGGTGAGACAATCTGAAATTGTCCGGGATTATATTATTGGGAAATATCCGCATTTATCATGTTCCATATTAGCTTTAAGTACATTAGGAGATAAAGTTCAAAGTAAACCATTATATTCATTTGGAGGGAAAGCGTTATGGACCAAAGAATTGGAGATATTGTTACTTGAACAGATTGAAGAATACCCCCAACTTGATTTGATTGTTCATTCGTTAAAAGATATGCCAACCAATTTACCGGATGAATTTGAATTAGGATGTATATTAGACCGTCAAGATCCCACCGATGCTTTGGTTATGAAAAAGGGATCTTCATATAAGACATTAAAAGATTTACCCGATGGAAGTGTCGTGGGAACATCATCAGTACGTAGATCATCACAATTATTGAAAAACTATCCAAAATTAAAATTTGAAAGTGTTCGGGGGAATTTACAAACAAGAATATCCAAATTAGACTCTGAAAATTCTCCATTTGAATGTTTGATCTTAGCAAGTGCTGGTTTGCAAAGAGTTGGTTTAGGAAATCGAATCACTTGTAGTTTACAAGCTCCAGATATGTATTATGCCGTTGGCCAAGGAGCATTAGGAGTGGAAATTAGAAAAGACGATTACTTAATGAAGGAAATATTAAGATCAATTGAAGATTTACCAACTACTTATTGTTGTCTTGCAGAACGTTCATTAATGAGACATTTAGAAGGAGGTTGTTCAGTACCAATTGGTGTACATACTAATTTCAATCAAGAAACAAATGAATTAATATTTAAAGGGTTGGTTGTTAGTCCCGATGGTACTCAAAGCGTTGAAGATGAACTTATTACGAAAATTAATAATAAAAATGATGCTGAACAAGCTGGTATTAATTTAGGTGATTTATTAATTAGTAAAGGTGGTAAAGAAATTTTAAATGCAATCAATTTTGAAAAAATCAATCAACCTCCATCTCCAGTTCCTTCAGTTGCATCTAGTGAACCGGCAATTATCGAAGATCAACACCATCCTAATCCTACCCATGATGATCTGATCAAAGTTGCAATCAATTAAATCATCTCATATATTCTTTAACGACCAATTAACGATTCTATATTCATTTCTCGAATCATTCTCGCTACAATTGTCATCAATTGTCATAACCACTCTCACCTGATACGGTGTCAGTGTCTATTTATTTATTTATTGCCATATAAAACTTTGTTCTGTACATAGATTCTCTACTCGTTTATTTGCATCCCCCACCCCACCCATCTCTTCATAATATTAAACTATAAACTACTACAATTGGCCCATCCAACACCATTTATAATCAGCTAATCATAGTTGATCTTCCGATGTACTTGTCTGATTTTGTCCCGAGCACTGCGAAAAAAGTGCGAACTTCGGTTTTGGCAGCGGGACACGCCCCGGAGGCTCATCGTCGTATAGCTCGTTTACTTCGTTTAGGCAAATATCCGGTATTTTCGTTTGGTGTCAAATTTTTTTTTTCTTTTTTATTAGTGAGTAGCACGATTCTATACGAGGATAATAAGCAGAGTATCCAAGTTATATAAGTATACTTCTTAGTCTTTTAGATCAGTCCTTCGCTATAGAACACCAGTCTCCCCATAGATCATCAGCTTCCCAGTATGGATATCGTTTTAGAGGTGTGTGATACCTTTTTTTTGGATAAGGTTTATGCTAAGGTATTACCAAGAGCAGGACCATTGGCCGCTAAATTAAGTAAATTTCAAACTTCCAATGGGTTTTTACAAGGGGGAAATGGAATGAACTCAACTAATACTTTAGATAATGGGATTTATAAGTCAGTATCGTTGTCAGTTCCATTACCACTTCAATACATTTGGAATATGATTGATAATTTTCAAGATAAAGACGAAATTTATGGGTTAGTACCAAAATTTTTGAACTTTACTGAATACACCGATGAATCAATTTTATCAAGATCGAACATTTTCAGAGTATCATTATCGACATTTTTATTAACTGCATTATTTGGATGGATATTATATTTTGCCGTTGCTTCTATTTCATATTTAACTGTATTTGATAAGAATATTTTCAATCATCCAAGATATTTGAAAAATCAAATGTCATTAGAAATTCATAGAGCAACAACTGCCATTCCAACCATGGTTTTATTAACATTACCATTCTTCTTATTAGAATTAAGAGGATTTTCAAGATTATATTTTGATGTTGCATCAAACGGAGGCTGGAAAGCAATAATTTATCAATTCCCAATGTTTATTTTATTTACTGATTGTGGAATTTATTTCATTCATCGTTGGTTACACTGGCCATCAGTTTATAAAAAATTACATAAACCTCATCACAAATGGATTGTTTGTACTCCTTTTGCATCCCATGCTTTCCATCCGGTTGATGGTTGGGCTCAATCTTTACCTTATCATCTTTTCCCATTATTTTTCAAATTACATAAAGTAAGTTATCTTTTCTTATTTACTTTTGTTAATTTTTGGACTGTTATGATTCATGATGGTCAATATTTATCAAATGATCCTTTTGTTAATGGTACTGCTTGTCACACTGTTCATCATTTATACTTCAATTATAATTATGGTCAATTTACTACTTTATGGGATAGATTAGGTAGTTCTTATAGAAGACCTGATGATTCCTTATTTGCTAGAAATACTCAAAAACAAGAAGAAGCAAAAATTTGGAAAGAACAAACTAGACAAATGGAAGAAATTAGAGGTAAATTGGAAGGTAAGACTGATGATCGAGTTTACGGTAAATAATTCTTTATATATTTCTCTATAAATTTTATATATGGTTTTAATAATATGACTATTGGTTTTAATAATATGACTGTTGGTTTTGATATTTTTCATAGTAGAACATCCAATCACCAGATGTACGGATTGCAAAATCGAGATATATCCAACTATTCTATGAGAGCCAAATTCAAATCTTTTTAAAGCCAAATCATCTCCATCCGTTGAATATGGTTGGTGTTTTAGATAACAATAAGGTTTATGTGAATCAGGCAGAGCGGTCCAACCAAGTCCCACAACCAGCTTTAATGGCATCAAATTCAATCTTGACGATCGCTCCCTATAAGCATCGTAAAGATTTAACTAGAGAATCAGTTTTATCAAAATATCTGATTATTGGATATATTGCCGCTGGTACTTACGGTAAGGTTTATAAAGCTAAATCCAAAACAGAGCTAAGCAGTAGAGATAAAGAAGTTATTGAAATTGATGGTGGTGATGACGGTAAAACCAAACCAATTAAAAATTTAAAAGATATTAATGATGAAGAAGTTAATAAGATAATGGATTCTAAAATTAATGAATTATCCAATAAAAACGAACAAAATAACAATCCGACATTATTTGCAATTAAGAAATTCAAAAGTGATAATCATCTGAATAAATCAATTTACCCAAATAATGAAATAATTCATTATACTGGAATATCACAATCAGCAATTAGAGAAATGTCAATTTGTAGAGAATTGAATCATAAAAACATAACCAAGTTGATCGATATAATTTTAGAAAACAAATCAATTTATATGATATTTGAATTTTTCGAACATGATTTATTACAAATTATCCATTTCCATTCTCATCCCGAAATTAATCCAATACCCGAATCAACAATTAAATCATTAATTTGGCAAGTTTTAAATGGAGTTACCTTTTTACATAAGAATTGGATATTCCATCGAGATTTGAAACCAGCAAACATAATGGTTTCAAGTAATGGGGTTGTTAAAATTGGAGATTTAGGATTGGCTAGAAAATTTAATAACAATTTACAAAGTTTATACACTGGAGATAAAGTTGTGGTGACAATTTGGTATAGAGCACCAGAGTTATTATTAGGTACAAGACATTATTCACCAGCAATTGATTTATGGGCCGTTGGATGTATATTGGCAGAATTATTACTGTTAAGACCAATTTTTAAAGGAGAAGAAGCAAAATTAGATCTTAATAACAAAAAATCAATTCCTTTCCAAAAAAATCAGTTACAAAAAATCATCGAGATCTTAGGTACTCCAAATATTAATAATTGGCCAGCGTTATGTAATTATCCAGAATACTCTTCATTTCAGCAAGTTTTCCTTAGTTCAAATTCTACGGTTTATCCAAATAATTTATTAAATTGGTATAATTTAATTGGTGGTAAGAACAAACAGTGTCTTTCTTTACTTAAGTCGTTATTAGAATATGATCCATTGATCAGATCCACCGCCGATGACGCCTTGGTTCATCCTTTTTTCTTAGAACTACCAAAAGTAAACTCTAATGCATTTGAAGGATTATCAGTTAAGTATCCAAACCGCCGAATCTACACTGACGATAACGATATTCTATCCAACGGCAAATTGGCCAACAACAACCCGAACGCGATGAACCAAATGCAAAATCAAAAATCAAATTTCAATTCCCAATTGTTTGGTAATAAGAGATTAAATTTTAATGATACTAATCAAAGGAAAAGACAACGCTGATGCACGGGTGCACCGACCGAAACTTTTCCTATCAAAAAGAGAAAACGAGCCACCCATGATGCATGAATACACTTATGGATCAATAAATGGATACACTCAATCGATACACTGATAGACACACGGTCAACACCGGCCAGAACAGTATCATCCAGCGAAGCGTGGACTCGCACACCAGCCAAGTTGTTGCATTGAAAATCATCGATGTTGATTTTGTCAAACCGCCCCATAGCATCAAAAACGAGATACGAATATTACAAAAACTAAATAATGACTCTTTTCTAAAGTATATAACCCATCACAAGCAATACGATGATATGATTATAGTGACCGAGTATTACGAGCAAGGCGACTTGACCCAATTGATGGAAAAGTACCAGACCAAAAGAACCAAATTCAATCTAAACGATCCCGGCGATCATAAAGTGGTTAAGAAGAACAACTTGCCAATTGATCTTGCCGACGCCATCGTGCTAAAACTAATCGAGGGATTGTCTTTCCTCCACGGGCAAGGAATTATCCATCGGGACATCAAGCCTCTGAATATTTTTTTCAAAAATGACAACCCGATCATTGCAGATTTTGGAATAAGTTACGATACTACCATCGACAACGAAGAACCCGCCAATAACAAGATCCTCGATGTAAGCACCGGTTGTTATAAAGCACCCGAACTTATATTCGGGGTGACAGACTACGGTTGTGCCATTGACCTTTGGTCAATGGGAGTCTTGATCAGCATGATGTACTCCATCCACGGAGACAACGTTCTTGAACCAAACGACCCCCAGGTAAACGATATCTATTTAATAAGCTTGATTTTCAAGAAATTCGGAACTCCAGTCATCACCCATCCTTGCAGCGATCCCCGATTATACTGGCCGCAAATGGCTTCCGACAAGTACCACTTCAACAAGTTTGAATTCGACCTCTTCCCGCGCCAGCCAACCAACCTGCTCTTGCCCCGGTGTACCAACCCCGGCGTGCTAGACCTGTTTGACAAGATGATGGTATACGACCCCGGTGCACGGACCTTGAACTGAGTCATTCTGATTACGTAAGCGGCAGCCGGGCGATTACCTAAGCGATGATAAGCCCAAAAAAAGGTAATCTCTCGAAGTGACAGGTACTAAAAGAAAAAAAGAAAAGAGAGCAGCACCCACACAGAGGAGGGGCCGTTATTCACATAGAAAAAAAAAAAAAAACTAGATTAATAGAGTAAGTAGAGAAAAGGGTAAGTCTTTTAAATACATAAAATACACTTTTTTTTTTTCCAGCGTTTAAAACCACCAAGTAACACCTACGAATTACCACCCACTTGAAAGCTGGTGGACCCAACAAAAATGAGTATATTGATCAGTGGATTGAATAAGTTGAATATAACAAAGTCCAATAATAAAAACGAACTAGATCAACCTAGTAACGGAGAACTAATAAAGAAGTTGAATTATGAAGAGTTGGAGAAAAATTACGAAATACACAAGTATTACCCCCAATTTATTCACAATCAGGGTATAAGCACTCCGACCATCAAAGAGTTGATTATCGATAAACCCATCTACAGTAAAGCCAATGAACATATTGAGGGATGGAAAAATCCAGGAACCAGAAAAGCGCTCATTACTGAACTAGATATCGAAACCGGCGAGTTGAAAAGGTATGAGCAGCCAGACAAAGATCAAAGAAAAGACCGAAGAGAAGAACGCAGGGAACGCAGGGAAGAACGAAGAGAGGACCGCAAGGACCGCAGGGAAGAACGAAGAGAGGACCGCAAGGACCGTAGAGAAGATAGACGTGAACGAAGAGAAGACCGCAGAGAAGATCGCCATGAACGAAGAGAGGAACTCAGAGAACACAGACATGAACGAAGAGAGGAACTCAGAGAACACAGACATGAACGCAAAGAGGTTAGACGCCGCAGAAAAAGAGAACCCCACGGACTCTTCACCAACCAACTTACAATGCCCTCCGTTTACGAACGATACCGATCTTCCAGCGAAGAAAGCTTGAGACTAGCCAGAAACCAAACTAGTTATAGTTACGATGCCACTAAATCAAACATGACTAATAAAAGAAGTAATAAGTGGAAGTTTAAATTCAATGAAAGACGTTTAAGCGAACAATTAGGTATGTATTCTTATTTGATTCATGTGATGACATCATTTAGAACAATGCAAAAAAAACAGAACAAACAAGAAAGAAAATGGCGGGGAACGCGCGCATCATGCGGGGTGCACTCCGAAAAGGCGGGGAAAAGATGCGCACCCTGAAAATGTCCCATTACGTAATCAGGATTTTTGTTCAGGAAATGGGCCGCCCACACTACCTTTTTTTTTTTTTTTTAATTCTTTTTTTTTTGTTTTGTTCTTTGTTTTTTTGTCATTTGTTTTTTTGAGTCTCCCCACACGACCGCTCACTGAATTAAAAACAACTCCAACCAACTCACCCCACTGATTTAATTTGATCATACATTTATTGAAAGTTTAGCTTAATAGGGTGTGGTCTATTAAATAGTGAAAGTTCTATTGAATAGTGAATGGTCTATTAAAAAACATTAGATTGGTTGATTGGTTGATTTCTTATTCTGTATTAATTTGCATATACTAACATGTCTAAAATAGAAGTGATTACTGAAAATGTTAATAACGGCCATACTGGCCAATTGCAACAAATTCAATATACTCAATCCCAAATGGTGGGACATGGTTCATTTGGGGTTGTTTTCCAAACACAAATATTACCAAGTAACGAGATTGCTGCTATTAAAAGAGTCTTACAGGATAAACGATTTAAAAATCGTGAATTACAAATCATGAAATTAATCCATCATCGTAATATAGTTGATTTAAAGTATTATTTTTATACTAATAATGATAAACAAGAATTGTATCTTAATTTAATATTAGAATTTGTTCCAGAAACTTTATATAAAGCTAGTCATTATTATGTTCTGAAAAGATTATCAATGCCGCAATTAGAAGTTAAATTATACACTTATCAAATGTTAAGGGCCCTTAATTATATCCACTCTCAAGGAATTTGTCATCGAGATATTAAACCCCAAAATTTATTAATTAATTCAGAAACCGGGGAATTGAAGTTATGTGATTTTGGTAGTGCTAAAATTTTAAATCCAAATGAACCAAACGTTGCTTATATTTGTTCAAGATATTACCGAGCACCAGAATTAATATTTGGGGCAACTAATTATACTACCAAAATTGATGTTTGGAGTGCTGGTTGTGTTATGGCTGAATTGATTTTAGGTCAACCATTATTCCCTGGTGAACTGGGAATTGATCAATTGGTTGAAATTATTAAAATTTTAGGGACTCCTTCAAAGGAACAAATTAAAAATATGAATCCAAATTATATGGAACATAAATTCCCCCAAATTAAACCAATTCCATTAACAAAAATTTTTAAGAAGATGTCAAATGATTGTATTCAATTCTTGATTAAAATTTTACAATATAGTCCAATTGATCGTATAAGTTGTATTGAAGCCTTGAGTGATGAATATTTTGATGAGTTGAGAAATTCAAATACAAAATTACCTAATTATAGAAAATTATTTAGTCAACAATATTATTCATCCGATTCAAATCATTCAAATAATGCCAATTACCAATTATACTCTAATCAACCAGATATCCGTAATTTACCAGAATTATTTGATTTTGACGATCGGGAATTATCAGTTATGCCTCAATTAAATTCAAAATTAATACCTGCTTTTGCCATGAATCATTTAAAATGGTCAAGATTTAATGATATTAATGATATAAATTCTTTTATTCCCTTAAATCTGGATGAATTAAAAGTTACTTTAGATTAATCTATGTAAATATATATATATACTATAATCTTGGTTTATTGATTTGTTTAACTGTAGATTCTCCTAATTTATTCTCTGGTTCCTTCTTCTTTTTTCCAAATCTTCTCTTAATTGGCTCAATTACCCATTTGGAGAAAAATGGCATCATACTTAAACTAATCATTATTCTTATTGGCGCTAAGGTCTTAACTATTATATATGAGTATGCTCCTTCCATTATAAAATTGGCCTTTTCATTAATTGAATAATCTTGGAAATCCCAACTCTTTAACGATTTATCAATTATCCTAGTTACTTGATCTATCCCATAACTAGTGAAATCCCAATTGGGGATCATATCGTGATAATTATGAAATACCCACCATATTCCAATTAATGGAATAATCGCAGTTAACTCGTGCAATATTATAAACGACGTTACATGGGTCACTGGGGCATCCAAAAATCGACGACTAAATGGTTGTAGGAACTTGGGTATCCTACGAAGTATTGCATTCCCAATAACTACTCTTTTAGATACTTCTTGGGTTTGAAACTTGGGCTGATCATGGATCCTTCTAATTCCAAGTCCTATGCCAACTCTTCCAACCCCAAATCCTGGAATTCCTGCTCTTGAAATCAAACTTCTTCTTATTAAACCATTCATATTACCTATTCAATATTCAAGTAAATAACTAAGTCAATAGTCAACTCAATAACTAAGTCAAAAATCAATAAACCTGTAAAACAGTCTTGCAGTTTTTCAGTAGTTTTTTTTTTTTGTTTTCTAAACGACCGACAAACTGTTGAGCTTCTCGTATAACACATAAATATCAACATTTTCCTACTTCTCTTTTTCTTTTTTCATTTTTTATTAACAAATTATACTTAAAATGCCATCTGTTTACATTGTTAGTACTGCCAGAACCCCAATTGGTTCATTCCAAGGAGCTCTTTCCTCTTTGACTTACTCTGATTTGGGTTCTCATGCTGTTAAGTCAGCTTTAGAAAAAGTTCCACAAATTAAACCAGATCAAGTTGAAGAAATTTACTTTGGTGGTGTTTTACAAGCCAATTTGGGTCAAGCTCCTGCTAGACAAGTTGCTTTGAAAGCAGGCTTACCAGAATCCATTGTTGCTACTACTGTTAATAAAGTTTGTGCCTCTGGTTTAAAATCAATCATCTTAGGTGCTCAAACCATTTTAACTGGTACTGCTGATATTGTTGTTGCTGGTGGTGCTGAATCCATGTCCAATGTTCCTTACTACTTGCCAGCCGCTAGATCTGGTGCTAGATACGGGGATTCTGCCATGATCGATGGTGTTCAAAAAGATGGGTTATTAGATGTTTATGAACAAAAATTAATGGGTGTTGCCGCCGAAAAATGTGCTAAAGATCATGGTATCACAAGAGAAGACCAAGATAATTTCGCTATAGAATCTTACACCAAAGCAAACACTGCTTTAGATTCTGGTAAATTCGATCATGAAATTAGTCCAATCACTATCAAGGGTTTCAGAGGTAAACCAGATACTATCGTTAAAGCTGATGAAGAAATTAAAAAATTCGATGAATCAAGAGTTAAAAGTGCTAGAACCGTTTTCCAAAAAGAAAACGGTACTGTTACCGCTCCAAACGCTTCAAAATTAAATGATGGTGGTGCTGCAGTTATATTAGTCTCCGAATCAAAATTAAAAGAATTAGGTTTAAAACCTTTGGCTAAAATTAATGGTTGGGGTGAAGCCGCTAGAGCTCCAATTGATTTCACTATCGCTCCTTCCTTAGCAATTCCAAAAGCTTTGAAACACGCTAACTTGTCTTACGATGATGTTGATTTCTATGAATTAAATGAAGCTTTCTCAGTTGTTGGTTTAGCTAACACTAAAATCTGTAACTTACCAAAGGAAAAAGTTAATGCCTACGGTGGTGCTGTTGCCATGGGTCATCCTTTAGGTTGTTCTGGTGCTAGAATCGTCGTCACCTTATTGAATATCTTATCCCAAGAAGGTGGTAAGATCGGGGTTGCTGGTGTTTGTAACGGTGGTGGTGGTGCCTCCTCCATTGTTATCGAAAGAATCGAAAGCGATTCAAAATTATAATCCCCTCTCTCCCCTATTTAGATATACTTATGTCTCTAGATTTATATCCCTAATCCATTCATCCCTTTGATTATTCGGTAGAATTTGTAGAATTTGCAACTTCCTCGGTTTTTTTGATGTTTTTTTTTTTTTTCTCTTTTTGGTGTACCTCATCTTATTTTTCACTTCATCGCCAAACTTAAAGTTACTAGAGACAACTTTAGTATGTCTTATATATGGAGTCGATACACTGCCCAGGATCTTCTAGGGGAGTTTGATTTGCAAACGCTTACGTTCACCATCGTCGACACCAATGGCCAAATCAATGAGATTGTTGAATACTTGAGACATTACCTTGATCCATTAATCCAAAGGTATCCATGGTTTAATCAACCACCCGAATGGAAGAGATACAATTGGGAAAATGTTGATTATATCCATGGATACTTGAGCCATGGTGGTAACAACAACGAGCAATTGTTGATGATATACTGGATGTGGAATTTATCAAAGAAAATCAACGGTTGTTATCTAAGATTATGGGATTTGGAAGATACCGATGTACTTTTCGTGATAAATTTCAGTCAAGTACCTGAGTGGATTAATCCCGACAATAGCTTGAATCGTATTTGGGTAAGAAATGGGGCTGCGTTAGTGATCGATGAAGAGCCAAATGAAGGATTGATCTTGAAAGATGCAATTAGATTGTTGAGGCTTAATAAGTATACGATACTCAAGGATTGGACTCAGGATTTTGTAAAAGACCTTGAGAGTAACTCAAGCCTACAAGAGCTTTTTATGGATCAAATCTTAGATGTTCAAGTTAGCTTGTCAAGAGAGTTAATAAGTATTCTTAACAAACAGCCGTGTTTAATTGGCCAATCAATCTACTATTTTTTCAAAAATAACCTTTCGGTCAATAAGAATGCATCATCTGATCGTGAGACAATACCAATTGCAATGCACAAGGACTTGGATTTCATATTGAATGCTCTCATGGAGAAAAGTCAGTCTAAGGATAAATGCGAGTTTGTTGGAGATGTCTTGAGTATAGGGTTGAAGAATTGTGTTGATGAAGACGTTGATATGGAGGTGTCTAATAGTACAAGTGCTTTAGCAAGAGATGATTTACAGGAGTTTTTAATCGGATGTGGTATTTTAGATAAGAAAGTTGATGTTAATATAAAAGAGTCTGATCAAAATATGGATACAGTAATAAATTCATTATCGGACTTATTTACTTCAAAGCAACCCGATGAAAATGTTGATGAGAAAATCAAGAGTTTTTTCCAAAAAGAATCTGGATTTGAAGGGATTGATGTCCCTGTCAGTGGCGATGAAGATAGTGACGGAGTCAACGAGACAGACAATGAGACCAACGAAGAGGATGAGTTCGACTTAGACGATTTTTTGGAATACCACGCCAAACACTCAATGGGACTCTCAGATGATGATTTGAAAAAGTTTAGGGCCGACAACAAGAAAAGATCTATATCGACTTTGAAAGATTACAATGACGATAGTGACTATCAAACCGATACTTCCACAGAATATAGATCAGACGAAGATGGTGAAGAGGAACTTCAAAACGAAGTGGAAGAATTTAAAAAATTGTTGGCTACTAATCCATTAGCTAGAAACCTTTACGAAAAGGGAATTGGAAATGATAACTGGTAATTAATGATTAATGATTAATGATAGTATAGACATTATATAGATGATTTTTCTGTTTCATTTTTTTTTTTTTTTTTTTATTTTTAATTTTTGGTATAATATCAATTAGGTATATTAATATTACGTTCACTTAATTGATGAATAGTCCATATCCAAGTTCTAGCAGCGTAATCCATATTTTTTGCAACACTCGAAGGTTCAGCTTCAACACCGTTAGTAGCAAAATACTTACCATTTGATTTTTCAATTGATAGATTCTGATCCAAACAGCATTTAACCGAAGCATACGAGCCAATTTCATTTGAAACGCCAAAGAAAAACCCAAAAATTTGGAATAAACACCAAAACATGATTCCGATTATTGGTAGGCTTGTCCAATAGGAAAATAAGTTAGTATTCATTACAAAACCTGGATGTACCGCCATGGATAAGATTTTTGGATTTCTTAATGCTAACATTTTCATAAAATGTATTCCTGCAGTTTTAGCTAAACCGTATCTAAACCAAGTGAAAATTATATTTGGTTTATAATTAAAAGTGGAATTCATATTAAAATATCTAAATGCAAATTTATGACCAATTGAACTTAAATATAATATTCTTGGAGGTACTTTATTAGTACTGAGCTCAGCAGTTCTTTCTAATATTGGTAACAATTTTGTTGTTAAAACAAATGGTGCAATATAATTAGTTTGTAATTGTATTTCAAATCCATCTTGAGTCATTGAAAATGGTAATGCCATTACTCCTGCATTATTAATTAGAATATCTAATCTTTTCTCTAAATTAGCAAAATTTTCTGCTCCCACCAATACGCTATTTAAATTTAATAAATCGATTTCTAAGAAATAAAGTTCCCCTAAAAATCGTTCATTTATTAAAGATCCGGAATATTTCGATCTTATTCGATCTGCTTGTTCTTTTAATTCTTTTATTGATTTCAATACTCTTGATTTACTTCTTCCAGCAATATATACAACATATCCATGTAAATATAGGTGTAAAACAGTAAAGAATCCAATCCCACTATTACCACCCGTTATTAGTGCAACCTTGCGATCTTTCGATGGATTTACATACGGATAATCATCATCATTAAACTGGGGAGTCCTGGGCCATAGAGTCATTCTTTTACCGACTTTTCGTTTGCTTCCAGTACTTTGGTTCCTATCTTAATTTATTCCAACTTCAAAGCAAAAGGGCAACAACCGGGACTTATTTGACCCACCAGGGGTGCTTTTCCAAAGTGTTTTCCAATCAATTAGAACCGTTTAATTTGGTTCTATATAGGCAATAAAGCGTCTGATAAGAGTGTGAAAGACTCTTCTCTTGTACAAAAGAAAAATTGGACAAAAAATTATTAAGAGAAAATAGGAGAAAAAACCCAAAACTCAATTTAGATTGCAAAATTTGAATAACTACCAAAAGACTTACAAATGTAATGGAGAAAACGGGTATTGAAGGGTAATATCTTCTATAAATTACATAGTGAGATTGTCTATGATTTCTTTATAAATGCTATCGGGGGACTTAGCGCTGGTATCGACAGAAAGTGCTTCACCACCGGCCGATAAGAGTTCGTCACCCAGAGGGATTTCCATAATATCGTACTGAGATTTGACCATATCGGACTTCATGTAATGGTTTTGTCTTTGGCCCACTCTCTGCAATAGTTCTTCAAAGCTAGTGTATAGGAAGATAAAACGGAAAACAATCTTGCCATTATGCTGAGATTCATTAGCAACCTGCTTGATATAGTCACGATACACCTTCTTAAGCATCGAGCAAGAAACAATGCTGACGTTGCTCGTATTGGACTGGTCAAATGCTTTGGCAGTGCTTACTTCACTCAAGTTCTTTAACCACCCCCATCTATCGTCATCAGTAAGTGGTTCACCCCGAGACATCTTAGCAACGTTTTCGGCACTATGTAATAAGTCCCCTTCGGTAAATGGACATTGGAAATGTTTGGAAAGCAATTCTGCTATGGTGGATTTACCGGTGCCGGCAGGTCCTCCAACCACCAAGACGTGAGGCTGCGATACTGGATCTCCGAGTGTCATGATCAATCCGTTCTCAGGTCCCTTCGGATAACTTTGAAGGATCTGAATTCAATTGAAGGTAAAGTAAAAGAAAAAAGTAGTTGTTGATTTGAACCTTCCCCCAACTTTCCCCAAACCTTTTTTGGGGGAGCTCAGCGAACAAAGCGAATCGCACTGTTGCAATTTTGGGGTACTACAATGATTGCAAAATAAGTTAATATATACAAGAGTCTATACAGCTTTTCTATCTAGTGGGTTACGGGTAGCTTTTTGTTTTACGTTGAGCATTCAAGATTTTACGCATGTTGACCAATTCTTCGCTTATACGTTTTTCAATCAAGGTTTTTATATCACTAGCACTCTCTTTATCAACGAATAGATTAGGCCATCTTTGACTTAGCCAGAGAAATAGCAAGACTAGTTTATGATTTTCTTCTAGAGCGTTCAAGATCTTGACAAAATTATCATCATTGGATACGAGACCGGGAGATTTCTGTAGGAGTTTTGTATGAAGAAAGTTAAAATCAAGAACGGATTTTGATTCACAGTTACTGATTGTTCTGAAGTATTCGAAAGCCGTAGTGATGAATTGGTCGGAAGCAATCAGTGCATTGATGGGAGCTATACTTAAAGCCAACTGATCATAGATTAAGGTTTTTTGGTATAAGTTATCTGTTAAAAAAAGTTGTAAGATTTGAAATTTTTCATCTAATTCCGATAATTCATAATAAGAATTTTGTTTTTGAAAAGTTTCTTGTTCAAACTGTTTTAGAATATCGAAAAAGGAAGTACCTTTGGGGAATTTACTAATATAGTATAACCAAATTTGTTGAGTTGGCCAAATGATGGCCTTTTTTATATGACTTGGAGTTCTTAACATTGTCTTTTGAATGAAATTTAAATCTCTTTGATGGAAAGCAGTGACAAAACCTTCCAGTTCACCGAATTTTTCACTATATCTACCGGCTCTACCAGCAATTTGTTTTGTTGCTGAGACTGATAATGGTTCCATTTCATTACCGTTAAATTTATGAGTTTGCCAAAAGACAATTCTTTTAATTTTTAAATTAAGACCCATACCAATTGCATCAGAAGCAACTAAGATATCGTATTCTTCATTATTGAAAGATGCGGCTTCCTTTGACCTAATTTCTGGAGGTAAAGCCCCATAAATTACTCCAACTTTAAACTTAGTTTGTTTTTCTATTGAACATTTCAATTCTAAAATTTTCCGTTTACTGAAAACAACAACACAATCACCCGATTTTAAATTATTGAAATTACCAATAGGTTCATCAAGAACAGTTAATTTACCCAATCTTTTATAATGTTTAATTTCTAATTCATCACCAGTGATTGAAGCTAATCTTTTAATCAAGGGAACGGCACTTTCTTCACCACACATATGAACTTCTTTAGCTTGCACCCCTAAAACGGCGTTTGTCCAAGCGCTTCCTCTATTTGGATCAGCAATCATTTGAATTTCATCAATAATACAAATTTCCATTCTTTTATTATTTGGAATCATTTCAATAGTCCCACTAGATAAATCACTAACTTTACCGAATTCATCTATGGAAGGAATAACTTCTTCACCGGTGATTAAGTTACATTTTATACCTTGATTTTGGAATCTTTCGTAAATCTCTCTTGCTAGTAATCTTAAAGGGCCAGCGTAGTAACCTGATTTAGCTTTTGCAAATTTTTGTAATGAATTATGAGTTTTACCACTATTTGTTGGACCAACGTGCATTATAAGTTTACGTTTCATTTTACGAGCTTCAGGGAACCATTCTGCCGGATTCGATAAATCAATGGTGGCCGGGGTATCAGTATTACTTAATTCTTCCAGTTGAATGAGTAATGCATGTTCTAAGTAATGTTTATGGATTAGTTTAGTAAGTAATTGGAAAATAAGGTCCAGTTTAGTCTTATAATTATAGTAATCAATAACGGTTTGAGGGATGAGCTTTAATTCAATCTGGTAGATGAGCTGAACGATATTTTTCAACTTTGGATTAATAAAATCAACTATTGAAATATCTTTAATTTGTTTTCTTGATGAGTTATTGGATGATTCGAGTACTTTCAAGCAATAGGTTATTTCACTTACTAAATCCCTAGTAAAAGTTTTAATCATGGTGTCAGCGCCTCTAGGGCTTAAAGCGTTCAAGTTAACAAACGATGATTTGAATGTTCTATTCACTAAATTTTGATTAACTTGCCATAGCGGTAGTTTAATGATTTCTAAAACTTGTTGAGTTGAAGATTGATTTGGGGAAATGGCGATCTTGGGGGTTTCTTGTGCCTGGGTGGTTTTCAATAAGTGATCGTACGAAAACCTTCTTACGAGACACGGACCAGTCCACGGTCTACGCAAGTATCGTATCATGCTGGGAAGAAGAAGATGGTGATAAGATCATCGCTTTGCAAAAAGTTAAATGTACGGATTTATTTTTTTTGAAAATTTGAAAAAAATTTGAAATTTTCAAGTTTACTGAAATTACAATTTACTTATAAAAAGAAAACTATAATACAATGCAAGAAGTTTATATAAGAGAGGTTTATAAGAGAATCTAAAATAAAATCCGTCTAAAAGATCCATTTCATAATGTTAGAGAATTTGCCTTCTGATTTTTCATTGGCTTCCATTTCGGCGTAGTAGTTATATTCATGTTCTTCGATATCTTCCAAACCGGAGGATAAGTCAGCTTCGGAGGCTTTAATAAATTTAGTCTTTTTCCAGAGTTTCCAAACAATAAAGACAAAAGCACTAACGAAAATCATGACATAATTATATAAGAATTCGTCAACGGACCATCTGCCAGGCATTAAGCATTTATAACCAATACACCCAATCATAATCCAGATGAAAAAAGTAGCAAAACTAATGGTATAAGGTTGTAAATAGGAGCGGTAAGGGAAAGTGTGACGATCCAAGCCTTGAGCTTTAACAGCACGGTAGAAACAAATGTAGGTAATACACATGAACCCATAATTCAAGATTTGAGAACCAGTACACAAGTTAACCAAATAGGTCAAGACCGAGGCGGAACCCGAACCCAATTGTAGTAACGAAAGCATGGCGAAACAGATGGAGACCGCAACACAGTAGATTGGAACACCACCTTTAGTACACCATTTAAAGAATTTAGGAGCAAAACCACGTAAGGCCAAACCATACAAGGCACGAGAAGAACAATAAGTATAAGAGTTACCAGCAGAGAAAGCCGAAGTAACAATAATGGCATTAACGATATGGGGGAAAACCTTAACATTCATATTAGTCATAGCCACCACATAAGGAGAACCAGCACCACTTGAGGAATCGGCTTTTTCTAAGTAAGTAGGGTCGTTATAAGCAATCAAGATCGATACCGACAAAGCCCCACCAATGTAGAAAAGAGCCAAACGATACAAGACGGTTTTGAAAGCGGTCTTCATGTTTTTACGAGGGTTTCTGGCTTCACCAGCAACCATCGACATATATTCAGGACCAACCACGGTGAAACAAGCGGAAATCAACCCGTACATGAAACCGTGTAAGCGGCCAATGCCCCCGGTGGTGATCTGTTCAGCAATGGGGCCCCCTTTAGCGTGCCAGTAACGGAACCCAAAAGCATCGTGTTTAGGATTCCCTCCACACATGGTGATCAAGGTGAAAAACAACAAAGCAATACACAATAACAACTTACCAATGGATAACCAGAATTCGGATTCCCCATACGCCTTCACGGCAAACACATTCAAAAGAATATAAATGACAATCTGAATACACACCGTGATGGCCGGAGAGTAGTCATCTCTCCAGTAGTGAATCATGGTGTTGACCGCGGTGATTTCAAAAGGAATATAAATCGATTGCATAAACCAGAAATTCACCGACGCAGCACACTCAAAGGCAGGATCAACCACTCTCCCGGCCATGGTCAAGAAGGGAGAACTCACCGGCAAGTAGCAAACCATTTCTGCAGTGGAAACCGTCAACGAAAGAATCACACAAGTCCAAAAAGTATAACCAAGCAAAAGCCCCAAGGGCCCAGCGTTGACCAACCCCGAAGTCCCAATCGTGATGAAAAGCCCGGACCCAATCGAACCACCAATACTGATAAGCTGAATGTGACGGGATTCCAACGTACGGTGAACATCAATACTCTTCTGCTGGTCACCAGCATTTTCTTCCTTGGATGGCTGTTCTTCACTGGACGTGCTCAAAGAGTTGGAGCCGTCCAACCCATAGTTTTCGGTGATCTTAGAATTTAGATCAACCTCTGGTTGTTTTTCTTTAGTAAACTTCATAGTGGCCTACAAATACCGTGCAACAAAAGATAAATTCACCTGAATATACCGGGGTTTATATACAATGTGAAAAAAAAAAAAAAAAAAGAACTTAGAAAAANAAAAAAAAAAAAAAAAAAAAAAAAAAAAAAAAAGAAAGAAACAAAGAAAGGAAGAAAGTGAGAAAACAAAAAAAATATCTCTAAGACAAGAACTTCTTTGTAAGGCACTTTGGAAAGCGAGCGCGAGCGCATGATATCTTTGCTCTCCCAGTCAATAGAACCTAATGACAGCTTGAAATTCTGTCACTTCCCTACGAGAATAACCTTATCCCAGTTGCAGTGGCCCAGCTACGAGGGTTATCCCAGCTGTATCTGCTAAACAGAGGCGGCGCTTTCTCCAGCGAGGACGCAGAAAAAGAAACGGCGCATACAGAAAAAAGTACGTTCACGTGACCGGCGGTACAAAAAAGAAAAAAGCTTTTTTTAAGTTGAAAGTTTTGTCACTTGCCCAAGTTTGTGTTATCAGTTTTCCACTCCGTTAATTTTGGGAAGAAAACTACCAAAGTGGTAAATAAATACTTTGATAACAGCCACTGATAAGACTGAATTCCCTATTGACACTGAAGTCCTGACGTCCTGATACCCATTGGGATACATACTGATATAGCTAATCAGCTATTAGTGTAGATACCTGGGTATCCAGGTCGAAGGTGGGTTAGTGACAGTAGTGTGAGTGACCAGTGTGACCACTGGCAAAACGGCAATAAGTTACATTTTTTGACTTCACCATTGCTATTATTCTATCCATTAACTGATTGATTAATTGATTTGATTTGATTAATTGATTAATTGATTTGATTAATTGATTAATTGATTTGATTAATTGATTAATTAATTAATTATTATCAAGGGCTATGCGTTGTATCTGATCTGGAGATTGGCAGTATGGGGAACTCACGGCTGGCCGGACTTGTTTTCTTTTTCGGTCGATGGTCGTGGCTTAGCAAAGATATCTGGTGCATGGGTGTAAGTGGGTGGTGCACGGGGGCACGTCCGGAAATGTGCTTCGTATCTGCTCCATAAATTTTTTCCGTATATTTTTATATTGGCACAACGTATGTGAATAAATGGGTAAGACGTGTGAATACAGTGTAAATGTGTGGTGAAAGACATCAACAACTACCTACTTCTTACCCGCTTCTCTGGATGGGTTGGGCGGTGCACGGGTGTGCCAATTGGCTCGGGTGGATGTGTAGATTGTATAGTTTGTATATATAGTTTGTATATAGTTATATATATAGTTATATATATAAATATATATAGTTATATATAGTTATATAAATAGTTTATATATACGGTTCGATATTCGATATTACAGTTCGATATTCAAGAAAATGAATGTAGAAGTATGGGAGGTGAAGTGAGAACGATCGAGTGATGTATATGGCATATGTGGGTATGTGTAGGTATGTGTAGGTATGTGTAGGTATGTGTAGGTATGTGTAGAGGTATGTGTAGAGGTCTATGTAGAGGTCTATGTAGAGGTCTATGTAGATGAATGTGTGAGGTTATGTGATGAATGTGTGATGTAGTGATGAATGTGTGATGAATGTGATGTAGTGATGAAGAAAATCGCGAAAGTGAAATAACTTCAACTTGACTCCAAGGACCAAGCATGAACGGGATTAGTCGAATAAATGATCAAAACCTGAAGGCCCAATTGGCAGCCCAGTTTAATGACTTCTATCTCCAAACAACATCATCCTCCATCAATCAAATCGGCAACTATAAAGTCATTGAGGAAATTGGTGAAGGAGCATTTGGCAAAGTCTACTTAGCAAATCATATCCTTCTTAACGTTAACGTTGTTTTAAAGTGTGGCTTGATCGATGATCCAAATATCGTAAGAGAAATATACTACCATCGTCAACTAAAACATAAAAATATCGTCAAGTTATATGAAATTATCAAAACGGAAAATCATTTATGGTTGGCCCTTGAATATTGTCAGGGAAATGAACTTTTCTACTACATTTATGAACAAAGACACTTGAATATCGATACGGTTAAAAAACTCTTCATCCAAATCTTAAATGGGATTAAATACGTTCATTCGCTTAACCTAAGTCATCGAGATTTGAAATTAGAAAATATACTATTGGCCGATAAACAGAAAACAATTGTTAAATTAACTGATTTTGGGTTTGTTAGAGAGTTTAATCCTTTGAAAAGACAATTTCTATCAACCATTTGTGGTACCACCGTTTATATGGCTCCAGAGTTATTGAAAAATGAAAAGTATTCCGGGTTTTCAATCGATATCTGGTCTCTTGGTATAATCTTATTCACGATGTTATACGGAGAAATGCCCTTTGATGAAGATGACGATTTGAAAACAAAATATAAAATCATTCACGATGACCCAGTCTATAAAGAAATCATCCCTCCCGATGCAATCAATTTATTGAAAAAAATCTTGTGTAAAGATCCTTATAAAAGACCAACCTTGAATGAAATCATTAATCACCCGTTCTTATCAGTGACTCAACCAATCGAAAAATCAAGACGGTCTTCCCTTTATAACGATTCCGAATCAATCATTTCAATTAATCAATATTATAATACTAATAAAATTCCTTTCCAATCCAAAATTGAACGTCATTTATTGAAAAAATTGGAAAAATTAAATATCAACATTGACTTCTTACAACAATCGGTTTTAAACGATGAAACTAATTCAATCACCGCTTTTTATGACTTATGTTTAACTCAAGAATTCAATAAAAAGAAAAAACGTTATTTAAAAGAGAAAAAATTACGTTATTATGAAGCTAAAAAATCATTGAAAAAATCAAGGAAAAAAGTTAAAAGTGCTTTATCCTTAAATGATCAAAATAATAATCAACCGTTGGAAAGAATCATTTCATCCTTGAGCTTAACTTCAACTAAAAATCATGACCAAAATACTCCTTCTTCAAATATGATTTCTTCTCCTCAGTCAATCGACGATCAAATGAAATTGAAAGAGAAAAGAAGAAGATCGGCTTCCGCTTCAATCATCAACTCCAACTCTTTTGCAAATTATCAAAATAAAGATTTGAAATCAGAAAATAATCCTCCTCAAATTAATATCGAACCTTCCAATGAAAGAGTCATTTCTTTCCACCAAGATGATGACGAAAAAAGAAGACCGTCAAATGTAACGGCTCTTAGTTCAATAGTTAGTGAAAATAAGAAAAAAAGAACTAAAAATAATAATATTCTAAATAAACTTCAATTTTGGAAACGTAATAGAAGAAATACTATTCATAACTTCGATGGTGAAAATAATTCACCAATTGATCAAAATCATTTACCAATTACAAGTTATAGCTTAAATCCTTCGTTAAATGAAAAATCTTCAAATAATTCTAAAAATTCTTTAATTCAAAATAAAAAATCAATGGAAAGCTTTGATGATAATGAAGAACCTTTAGAAATTAATATTAAACCTAAAAACTCTCCTCCCAATAGCTCAGAAAATAGAAAAAAACTTTCTTCTCCAAGCATTATTAAACCGGAAAATAAAAATTCTTCTTCAAATGATTTATTTGATGATGATACTTTTACAAAACCAAATAAAGATTCATCCTCTTCATTACAAAATGGGCATGACTCTCCTAGTTCTCCGATCCCAATAATTGAAACTAATGTTAATGGGAATCAAAATACCGTTATTGAATCTTCTCCTCATGATACTACCATTGATATAAAAGATGATATAACCCCCGATCTTAACGATACAATCAATGATAATGATTTAATGGTTAATACAAATACAAATAATACTTCAGCATTGGAATTCCAATCAAACTCTTCGGACTCTCCTAAAATTCAATCTCCTCCTAATCTGGAAAGCTATTATATCTCTTCTGGTAATAGACAAATGAGAACAAGACCATCTTCAGTTGTTTCTCAAGCAAGTCAAATAAGTCAGTTTAGTCAGCTTTCAACCATGTTATCTGAATCGGAATTAGATATTTTGGATGAAACCGATACTATGGATGAAGAATTTGATGATGATGAAGCTGCCTATGAATCATCTCTTAATATTTCTCAAAATGATTTTGCTCAACATCAAAGACAACTGTCGGCGAGCATGACCCCAACTTCAAGTATGAATATTACAAATAATAATAAGGCAAACATTAAAAAAAGACCAAGTTATAATAGACAATTATCATCTGATATTTCAATCGTTTCAACTTCAACTACCGCTACTGGTCAATTACAAAATGGTAAATCAAATCTGCATAGTAAAAAAATTTCCTTATCTCAAGTATCAAGTAATTCTTCTGAAGAGAGTCTGATCACTAATAATAACTCTGCTCCAAATGGGTTTTTCTTAAATTCAACTCCAATGATCCCCTTACCTCGAAATTCAAATGATTTGGATTCAACTTTATTACCCAGATCAAGCTCTCCAGAATTAACTAGAAATGGAATTTCTAATGGTGGAAGTAAAAACCTTAATCAATCACCATTTCCTCAAACAAAATCAAGAATAAATAGATCTATTTCACCAAATAATTCAAATAGTGGATCTCCAAAATCCTCAAAATCAAAAAGTTCATTAGCAAAACAAGTCGCTACTAGAAATTTCCCCTATCCGTTCTCTAACTCCTTTAATGGTAAGAGTAATAAAAATAGTAATTCCAGCATTAATGCCAATAATAGTGATGGCAAAAACAATAACGTTATTGGTGGTGCCTTAATTAGAAGATCCCATTCTCCACCACTACCTAATAAATTTAATAAATTGAAAACTAATAGAAATATAATGAAAAATTTGAATATCGGTGCTACAATCGATGAAAACCAAATCTCCTCGTCTAATCCAGCAGCATTCGAGCCGTCTAGCAACTCCGACTGGCAAGATAAATTCAATGGTACCACCAACACTGAAGCTGATGAAAAATTCCCCTTGTGGACTCACGGAAACTTCAATTCTAATGCTACGAGCTTCGGTTTCGGCCACCCTTCTCATTCTAACCATCCTGCCAGATTCAAGTCCGGCATTAATGACATCAACGAAGAAGAGGAAGATGAAGACTCGTGATTGTATATTAAATTTTGTATATTTTGTAATTCTAATAAAAGTTATACTGCAAAAAACAACTTACTGTGTACGGATCTTTTATAATGTGCAGGACGTTGTCAAAGAAAAAAAAAACTTGATGAACTCAACCTGAAAAATTTTATCTTTTGATTTCGAAGCACTACCGAAGTGAACAATAACTATTAAAGCCCATTATAGGATAGAAGAATAAGAGGATATAGGTTTGAGATATCTAGAGACAAAAATGGCTTCAGTTATAGTAGTGGACAGTGAATTTAAGGACTCAGTTTTGGAGTATGGACAAATAATTGATGGTATCAATAAGTCCTACGACTTTTCTGAAAGTTTAAAGACCTTTTTCAATAATGATGATATAAGTAATAAGAAGGAATTAAGTAAGAAAATTGCCGAGTCATCGTCTGCATCCAACTTAACCAAGTTAAGTGATAAAGAATTCGAACCAACTTACAATTTAATCATTTATCTTTTAACACAACTTGAAGAACCATTTACTTCTTATGAACAAATTTTCCATAAAGATAGTGTTATCATTAAAAACTTGATTGAATCGACCCCAACTGAAAAACCATCAATCAGAGATAGAAAAGCCATTAAATATACTACTATATTATCAATTTTCAATACTATTTTCAATTTTTTACCGGAAACTTCATCAACTAGAATTTTTATAATTGAATGTATTTTAAATGTTGTTGAAAAATCAAACGTTGAATTCACTTTTATTCAAGATTCAATTGGTAAAAATTTGGATAACTGGTTGAAAAATGCTAATGCTTCAGAATCTGAGATCAAATCAATTTTTTGGAAATTTATTACCTTAGATAAATTACACTCATTAAAATCTTTACAGTTAATTAAAGAATTTACTTCCAAGTATGCTCCTGATTTGAATGAATTATACGAATTGATCCAATTTGCTTTAAAATCTGAGACTGCTGATGTTTCTTTCTTAATTAATAATAATGTTTCTAAAGCTATTGCTGCAAATAAAAATGATGAATTGGTTAGTTTTTTCCAATCCTATGTTAAAGGTGATATAATTAAAACTGTTCCTTCAGCATTAAATCAATCATCTGAAGATATCTTGATAAAATCAAAAATTTTATCATTAGCAAGATTTTTCATTGAAAATGATAACAATAATAAAAACGTTTTCAAATATACTGATATTCCAAGTGATTTGGTTACTTCAAATCAAGATTTTGAAGAATTATTGATTACTTCAATCAAATCAGGTTTAATCGAAGGTAAATTAAATCAATTGGATGAATCTTTCCATTTAACTAAGGTTAAAAGATTTATTATTGCCGGTGATGAAGAAAATTTGGTTAAAAATTGGGAATACGTTAGACAAGCTTTAGTTGATTGGAGAATTGCCTTAGACAATCTTGATGAAATTGTTAATACTTCAAGAGAAGAAATTGTTTCTAACAATAGTAATTAGATATTCTCTACACTTGATCTCTTACGCTTAGTTTTAATTTAATAAATCATATTATAAGGAAATAAAGACATTAGTTAAACACGTAGTAATTAATAAATAAAGGGTAAAAGGGCTATGCAATATAGAAAGTTAATCTCTTTCATTATCTAACACAACAAGAAATCCACCTACCAAATGTAATGATCCACATACAAATACATTAACATCAGAAACATCATTGGTTAAACTTTTGATGAAATTAACACTGGTTTCAATATTTGGGAAAATATGTTTTCTTGAATCACTATTATTTGCTTGATCTAATTCGCTCCAAGATTGGGCCAAATCTTTTTGAACGGTTAGTTTATCAACCAATTCTTTTGAATTATTCAAAGAGACCAAATCACTATTATAATTACCATCAGACCAAGTAACATTAGTGGTAAAGATGACATGATCAAATTTAACCCCTTTCAAGATAATATTTTCATATAATTTCAGTAATAATTCTTTAGTGTTTTCTCTACTTTGTTGGTTAAACAATAAAATTTTCAAATCATTTCTGCCTGGAATTATTTTGGATGAACCTGATTTTTTCAATTTACTTTGTAATTTATCATCCATGCATTCTTTAAACCAGGATGATGAAACTTGAATTGACTCTAAAGTGTGAGCACCATCGATATACCAATCGATATTTTCAAAATTAGGTTTATTTGAAATTATTTGACATCTACCATCCCAATTAGCATTTTGTAAACCTTCAATAAAACGATCCGGTAAAACATCAACGTCAGTGCTTTCTAAATCAGGTAATTCATTTTGAGGAACACCTAACTTTGATAAATGAATTGAAGCCAATTTAGCAGCCAAGCTTGCATTTTGACGTTGAAATTTCCCAGCTAAACCTAACTTAATACTGGAAGGTAATAAATCTTCGTCAACAATATCTAAAGAGCTAACTCCAATTTCTTTAGCTCTTTGTTCAATGATTTTTAAAGATTCAGGGTATTCTAACTGGTTACTTACAACTGCAGGACAATTCTTCTTAAAAATCCCGGTTTTATTCCAAGTGATCGAATCGATGGTATTACCTAACATGAAAGTATGATCAATGCCTAAAGAGGAAATACCAGTGACGGTTGGATTTTGTACAATATTAGTGGAATCGTAAGTTCCCCCAACCCCTACTTCATAAATGGCGGTATCGACCCCTTCTGATAAGAAAACATGGAAGGACAAAATAGTCAAATACTTAAAGTACATGGGCTTCACTGTCTCGCAAGGTTGCAAACTAGGAAACTCATCAGGAGAAGAAGAAGTCGAGGATAATTTATCCCAAACTTCAAAGAAATATTTAGTAAATTTGGATTCATTAATTGGATTACCATTAATTCTAATTCTTTCTCTTACAGTTTTCAAATGAGGAGATGTAAATAACCCCAATTTGTTAATTGGGTTTGTCTTGATATTAGAGTTTTGATCGTTTGCATTAAACTTATACTGTTTTAATATCGATTCGGTAAATGCACAAGTTGATCCTTTACCTTTAGTACCGGTTACGTGGATTATGTTCAATTTGTCAAAGTCTCTTGTCTTGTACCCTAATCTTCTAATATATTCATGCACTTCATTTATAGATAATTCATTTCTATTAACATTGGGGCCCAATTTTTTCATCGCTTCAATTGAAGCAAAGTTTGATTGCAAAGAATTCAATGCATTGATTGCATCTTTATAGCTTCTAGCAGCCGGTTTCAAGATGCGCATGGGTAATTCAGGGTTTCCTTCGGTAGGTTCAGTCATGGATCAATAAAGTAATCTTTAGATCAATTTCAAATATTAAATAATTGAAACTTCAATAATACACCAACAACCACCTAAATGCTGCAGTTTTTCCACGCAGACGTTATTCAAAAACAAAAGGACACTGCCTAGGATGCAACTTGAGAAGAAAAATCAAGTAATTTGCTATGAATTATCAATCTTTGTCTTGAAATTGAATTAGAATACCCTAAATTTTTCGCTCCATAATGGCATTTTTCTTTTGTTCTCCGAAGACAATCCCCGGTGTACGGGTGCCGAAGCACATATCCACTCAGGAACGGGAGATGATTGAGTCATAAAAAAATTTTAATAGGAAAAAAGCGGATTAAATTGATATCAAAAACACATTTTGGAAACAACAGTTGTTCTTCAACATAGATATTCAACACAGAACAGCATCCAAGACCTTAGAGTTATTCAACGTCATCAACTGATCGAATAACGCACCATATATTTGTCCAATAACTCATGAAATTCATTTATAAACACTGACAAGATCATAATTTTTTAATTTTCCAAGTTTTTTTTTTTTTTTTATATAAGTTATTAATAACAAAAATGTATTATTAAGATTCCACGGGACTCTATATCGTGTTACTGTTGTCCAGTGTCGGCTTGTGTTGTTTATTATCGTTTATTAAATATTATTTTAAATTTAACTACTATCTGATTAATCTATTTGAAATCTGAAATTCATTGGTTAACAGATCCTCCTTAAACTTTCCCATTTTGCTTTTATTTTCAATTCCCCTTTGCCAGGTCCCCGACTAATAGAATAGTCCAATACCTGGATACTTTTTTTTATTTTATTTTGTTTTGTTTTTGTTTTATTGAGTGCAATGGTAACTTACGACGAACCATTTCCTAATTCCAATCCTGAATATACCAATAAGATGTCTAATGATGAATATTTCTATGGGGCTTCTGAAGGAAGCACCCATGGATTGGCTCCATCATCCGACTCGTCGAGATCAGCTTTCAATCCCAATACGTTTATGCACTTTAATTTAAAGCCAGCCATGGTCAATACCCAATCTACTGAAGAAGAAATCAAGTTGAGCGATTACATAATCGAAGATGTACCGTTACTTATGTCTGACGATGATGATCTAAGCGAAGATGAGGCCAAACTGAAGGCCAAAACCGATTCAGTCAAAGATAAGTCGGTTAGTGTCAAGCCATCAGATACGGCTGAAGAAGTTAAAAGATCCATGAAGTATGAAGTCGAGGCCCAAGCCAATGCGAATGGAGAAGAATCTGCTGTTGGCAGTCCAATGATGAATAATGAATGTTCACCGGTGTTAACTGCAGCCACTACTCCAGCCAATAGTTTTTCTGAGCCGATTAGTAAGCCTAAGATGAAAAAACTGGTGAAAACGAGTAAAAAAATTGAATCATTAACCAAGGCACAATTCCAATTTGAAAAGAAACAATTAATGACCATTGTTGTTAAATACATTTCAACAAAGATTGTTAATTCATTCCCACCTGAAAATCCTAGAAATATTAAATCGGACGAATTACCTCTTGATAAATTTTTATTAATATTGGTGAGTCGTTTACAATTATCAATAAGTAATTTCATGAAGGGAGTCATTTACCTCTTTCGTTATATGGATATAATTTATTTATTGAGGTATTTAAATCAATCTAATAATTTTGCTAATTATAATGAAATGGATTTTGAATTGAAAAAATTAATTGTTGGTTGTTTCAAGCTTACTCTTATCAGAGAACGTGTTTCCAAAAACTGGAATCAAGTGACTGGCTTATCTAATAATGAAATTAATCGGGTTGTTAAAACCATTGTTGGTAGATTAAATGGTAAATTATTGATTAAAGATATCGAATTGGTTAAATTGAAGCTGGAAATTTTCAGATTTGTCAAAATGGTTACCAATAGGATTTAATTTGTGTAATATATTTTCTTTACTTCTATATGTTCTAATAAATGTTTGTGATTTGTGACTGGTACGCTAGCCAATACACTAGTATATACCTTAAATGACTAATAAGCTGCAACTCAAAAAAAAAACCTCCGTACATATAATATGAGCAGCTACGGTAAGCGCACGCCCGGACAGTCAGGCTTACACCCGTGCACCAATGAGTCACGGTGCGCCGGTCTGTCAAGCAGGGCCATGCATCCGTACATCTCATGTGGCTATTGGCCTATGACTAATCTTACCCCATACTCAGCAGTCCAGCACCCAGTGGGCCAGGCAGTGGGAGTAGGAGATGGCAGCACAGTTGGCAGCACAGTTGGCAGCGCAGTTGGCAGTACAAGCTGACACCAGCAGCACAGCAGTAACCTAAGGACAGAAGGGTAGGGTCTTAGGCAGTGAGCAGTGAGTCATTGATAATCGGCTTTTCGAAAAGAAAGTAGGGACTCCTGCATAGATTGCTCCGGCCCATACAAAGGTCAGATAACAGATTACTCAGAGTAACGAAATTTCTGAAAAATTTTTCACGTTTGTCACGAATATATAAGAAGACGAAAATACCATTGAGTTGGAAACTTTCTTTCCTTTTGCAATAACGAAATAACAGACAAAATGGCACAACAAAATCCATACGGACCAAATCCATCAGATTTCTTATCTAACGTTACTAAATTCGAAGTCATCGAATCGACTTTAAGAGAAGGGGAACAATTTGCTAATGCATTTTTCACTACTGAAAAAAAAATTGAAATTGCTAAAGCCTTAGATGAATTTGGGGTTGACTATATTGAATTAACTTCACCAGTTGCTAGTGAACAAAGTAGAAAAGATTGTGAAGCAATCTGTAAATTAGGATTAAAATCCAAAATTTTAACTCATATTAGATGTCATATGGATGATGCTAGAGTTGCAGTTGAAACCGGGGTTGACGGGGTTGATGTTGTTATTGGAACCTCTCAATTCTTGAGACAATACAGTCATGGTAAAGATATGAATTATATTGCTCAATCGGCCATTGAAGTTATTGAATTTGTTAAATCTAAAGGTATTGAAATTAGATTTAGTAGTGAAGATTCTTTTAGATCAGATATTGTCGATTTATTAAACATTTATAAAACCGTTAGTAAAATCGGGGTTAATCGTGTTGGTATTGCTGATACTGTTGGTTGTGCTAATCCAAGACAAGTTTATGAATTAGTTAAAACTTTGAGATCAGTTGTTAGTTGTGATATTGAATGTCATTTCCATAACGATACTGGATGTGCCATTGCCAATGCTTATACTGCTTTAGAAGCCGGTGCCAAATTAATTGACGTTTCAGTTTTGGGGATTGGTGAAAGAAATGGTATTACTCCTTTGGGTGCCTTAATGGCAAGAATGATTACTGCTGATCGTGATTATGTTTTATCTAAATATAAATTACATAAATTAAGAGATTTAGAAAATTTAGTTGCTGATGCCGTTCAAGTTAACATTCCTTTCAATAATCCAATTACTGGGTTCTGTGCTTTCACTCACAAAGCGGGTATTCATGCTAAAGCTATCTTGGCCAATCCTTCGACTTATGAAATTTTAAATCCAAACGATTTCGGTTTATCAAGATATATTCATTTTGCTAATAGATTAACTGGTTGGAATGCTATTAAATCAAGAGTTGATCAATTGAAATTAAATTTAACTGATGATCAATGTAAAGAAGTTACTACCAAAATTAAAGTTCTTGGTGACGTTAGACAATTAAGTATCGATGATGTCGATTCCATAATTAGAGATTTCCATCAAGATTTAACCACTCCAGCTTTGAAAGCTCAACTCACTAATGATTCAGATGTTCCTGCTGTTGTTGGTGATGGTATTGATGAAGAACCAGCTACTAAGAAGCAAAAATCTGAATAAATTCCTCATTAATTAAGTCTTTATTCATGATTTTTTTGTTTTCTTAGTTGATCGAAAAAACTCATCTTATATTTATTTCTATATATTATTGCATAATTTATCAATCTTAATTCTATCTGATTATCAAATATCATGGATAGATTTGACATTAACTTTAATGGGGTCATGACATCAAAATTTACTTAAAAGATCAAAAAAAAAAAATTATTATTATTATTTAAAAGTTTCTACGTCTTTGAATATTCTCTTTAGTTCGTTTCCGTATATATATTGTTATATACTTGTCTTTTGTTTTAATTCAATTTGTAGATGGTGCTTAGTTGAAATGCGATCTGCTAAGAAAACTCCGGTTGAAACTCTCTCCACCTTGAAGAAAAAAAATGTATTTAAACCAGATATTTCCGTTATTAAAGAAAAACGTTTTTTTCATGGAAAACAACCTCGACATCGTTCTTATATATCGATTATGACTCTCCCATCTACTCAAACCGGATATGGTTTCCAACGTGGTAACAGAAAGCTTGTTAAGTATGAATCAATTCCAGTGAAACAGCCCGGAGATAACCAGGTTTTATTAAAAGTTGAAGCTGCTGGAATGTGTTCAAGTGATAATCATATATTGATCGCTCAAGAACAAGGAACTGCTGATGAATTCATCATGGGACATGAAATTGCTGGACAATTAGTTAATGTTGGATCTAAAATCGATACTAAAACGTATCCAATTGGAGGCAGATTTGCAATTTTCATTAGCAGAGCATGCGGAATTTGTAAGAATTGTCGTAAGGGGAAAGATAATCAATGTGTTGGACCGGGGAGTTCCCAGGGGTTTGGGATTACAACTGATGGGGGGTATCAGGAATATTTATTGGTGGATAATTTGAGATGTTTGGTTCCAATTCCTGATAATGTAAGTTATGAGATTGCAGCAGTGGCTACCGATTCAGTATTGACTCCATTCCACGCAATTTCCAAAGTTAGACATTTATTGGGACCAACCTCAAAAGTGTTGGTTGTTGGCTTGGGTGGTTTGGGATTGAATGCTGTGCAAATCTTAAAATCATTTGGTTGTTACGTTGTTGGTACCGACATCAAACAAGAGGTTGCGAAAGTTGCTATTGAGTCTGGAGCTAACGAATTCCATACCGATTTACATAAATCAAATATTGAGGAAAGCTCTTTTGATGTTAGTTTTGATTTTTGTGGATATGATGCTTCTCACAAAGTTTGCTCCGACTTTACCGCTAAAGGTGGTAAGATTATGATGGTTGGCTTAGGTAAAGCCAGAGTCAAGGTCCAACATTACCATTTAGCAAGACGTGAAATTGATTTAATTTATTCTTTTGGAGGTTATTCTCAAGAATTGAGTGAGGTTTTCCAGTGGATCTCCTTGGGCAAAATCAAACCAATTGCCACTCTTGCAGATATGTCGAAGTTACCCGAGTACTTGGACAAGTTGGGCAAAGGACAAGTTAGCGGACGGATGGTTTTTAAACCAAAGTTATAATGTATAGGTATACGGTAGATTTTTTTTTTTTTTTTTGCAATTAAACGGACCTGGGGGTAGTGCACTACCTTATTGCCGTTAATCGGATTGAAAAAAAAAAAAAAATTGTATAGACATATCGACAAAAAAGTTTTCGAACTAGTAACTACTTGTAATATAAAACAACCACTATGGCTAAAAAGGGAGGAGAGAATTCCAAGAAAGCAGCCGGCCAAGCTAGAAAAGCCGACAATGCCAATAAAAAGAAACAAGACCAAGCAGCAGCAGCAGAGGCTGCAGAAGCAGCTACTTGGGAAGACGGATCCAAAAAGGGTAACAAGAAGAAGGAAGACGCTCAATTCAAAAAGGAGGAAGCTGCTCGTAAGAAGGCAGAACGTGATGCATTATTAAAGGCTGAAGAGATTGCCAATCCCTCTAAAAGTAGAGGTGCTGCAAAACAAGCTAATAAAAAAACCAATAAAATTGATTCCTTTTTGGATTGGAATAAAGACACTCCGGAATTAAGTGCCAGTGGGTTAGATTCCGCATTGGAAGCATTGGCCTTAACCGGTAGAGATGGAGGTGTTCAATCAAAGGATATCGATAGACACCCAGAAAGAAGAGTCAAAGCAGCATTTGCAGCTTACGAAGAAAAAAGATTACCAGAATTAAGAAAAGAAAACCCTGGTTTAAGATTACAACAAGTTAAAAATATCCTCTTCAAAGAATTCCAAAAATCTCCTGAAAATCCAATGAACCAAGATACCAACATCGATTATAACGCCTCCAAAGATGAAATCGATGCTAAAAAGAAGGACGTCAGAGCCCAAAGAGAGAAAAAATTCGCCTAACCAATTGATACTCGTACGTATTAAAATTCTATAATGAATTATAACGATCTAATAGTAATTCCATCTTGTAGAGGCACGGGTGTTTATCCTTTTGGGCACGACTTGTGCGCGTGCACGACATTCTTGCTTTCCCTTTTGGGGGAAGCTGGTAAGTGCACGCTATTGAACTTATATATATATATGTGTGTGTATGTGTGTGCACGGGTCTTTTGTTTGGCAGTATTTTTTTTCCAGCCCATTTTGCAATCAGCGTAAGAGCCTCCGGTATCAATTGTGAATGGGGGCCCTGGTTGAGCACATCCCGGCTTTATTTGTGGATGCGTTTGCCTGTGTATCCACGGTCTTCAACAGACATCAACTCGAGTCCCAGAGGAGCAAGTCAATGGAAAAGCCAATGAAAACCGATAGAATTTCAAGATTTCTAAAAAAAAAAGAGAGAAAAAAAAATCACATCTCAAAATTGACTAACAAAACAAAAAAAAAAAAGACAAAAAAAAAAAATTTGGAAAGGAACAATAGGAAAAAAAAAAAGAGAGCGAAAAAAAACAGTTGCAATCAAAAAATATAAATACATCTGAATGCCCTCAAAAAATTTCGGCGGTTATATCAAGTTTTAGAAAGAATTTTAGCCATACAAACAACCCAGGCGATCCAAATACATTGACTGGGCGAGTGGGATTGTGCTTGATTGAATAGGAATTGCTAGATTGAAGTACTTTTTGTTAGTTCGCAAGTGAGAAAGCACATTATCAAAGAGAATTCACAGCTATAGCCGCCAAAGACTTTTTACCTTAATTGACGTTTGTCTATGTTTTATCCAATCATTATAAAGAATCGAGTTGTTATTTATATTTCTTAGTATCTTTCAAGAAGCTGTATTATTAAAGTTGTACTATTGCATGTCATATAATGTCTAGATTAGATAGATTGGTTGTACTTTTGGAAACTGGGTCGACACCCTTTATAAGAAGTACTGCTGCGGATCAATTATCAGATTTGGCCAAAGGACATCCTGAAGAAACCATAAACTTGCTAGGAAGAGTTTATCCGTACTTGAAATCCCCCAAATGGGAAACTAGAATTGCCGCCGCCAGAGCATTCGGTGGGATTGTTAATCATAGTGATATCTGGGATCCCAATTCTAACGAGGCAATTAAAAAAGAACACGATTTGGAAGATATCGAAATGAAAGATATCGAACAATCAGTTAATATTAAAAGGGAAGAAATTGATGATTTCAATATACAAATAAAGAAAGAACAGGATGAGGAATTGAAAAAAATTCACGATAATTTATCAAACTTAGTAGATTTTAATTCTTGGAACTTATACGAAATTTTAAAATCAAATAATAAACTATTGGCAACTGGTGGTGATGAATATGAACCAAAAACTTCAAATAAAGATGATGAAATAACTGATATAGATAATAATTCATTAATGAATAAATTAAAACGCCACAAGAAAAACCTTTTAATCAAACAAGAAGAAGCAAACCAAATTTTACTACAAAATTCAAAACCTACTGGAGGTTCAGCCATAATAAAAACTGAAGAAAATTTAGAAAATCCTTCAATAAAACAAGAACCTGATTCCACCTTTAACGAGTCTTCTCCTCCTCCTTCGTCAAGCCCTCAACCTGATACTAAAACAAACGCTCTGAGCGCTCGTTTAAAAGCAATGCAAAAACGTAAAGCTAAAGTTAATGCCAAATCAAACGCTAATAAAATAAAACCAGTTGATTTATCTCAAAGTTCAATTTCCAGAAAAATGGTTGAAAATGGTGAAACTCCAATATCCAATAATGAAAATATTCACGATCAAACTAGTAATAATAATAATGGTCATAATAATAATAATACTCCTCAATTCGATATAACTTCTCAACAAGGTGGTGAAAAATTGGTTCTAGAAAATAAAGCTCCAGAATTATCACCTTTATTATCCCAGCATAATAAAGTTGCCGGTTTAATTTGGCAGTTTCAAGGTGTTTATGAATTATTACTTGCTGATTTATTCGATTCAAAATGGGAAATCAGACATGGTTCTGCTTTGGGTTTACGTGAATTAATTAAAAAACATGGTAAAGGTGCAGGAAGAGTAATGAATAAATCAAAACTTGAAAATGATATCAATAATGCTTCTACTTTAGAAGATTTGGCTGTTAGAATTTGTACCCTTTTTGCATTAGATCGGTTTGGTGATTACGTTTCCGATACTGTTGTTGCCCCAGTAAGAGAACTGGCTGCTCAAACCCTAGCGGCTCTCTTAATTCATCTTGATGATAATGTGGTTTTGAAAACTTTCTATTGTTTGAATAATTTAGTTTTACAAGAACATACTGATAAGTTTGACATGAATAAATGCTGGGAAGCAAAACACGGTGGTATGTTGGGTTTAAGATATTTTGTTAGTGTTCGCACTGATGTATTACTATCAAACCTGGAATTATTAGATGTGGTGGTAAATATGGTGTTACATGGTTTGAAAGAAAGTGATGATGATGTTCAATCAGTTGCTGCTCTAACTTTAACTCCAATTGCGCATGAATTCGTTAAGGCAAAAAAGGACGTGATTCATTCTTTATTAAATGTTATCTGGGATTGTTTAACAAATTTAAGAGATGACTTATCCGCATCAATTGGTTCAGTTATGGATTTATTATCAAAATTATGCACTCATAAAGAAGTAATAGAAATTATGCAATTAGAGGCATCTGAGAATACTTCTCAATCTTTTGAAAGTTTAGTTCCTAGATTGTTCCCTTTCTTAAGACATTCAATAACAAATGTTAGAAAGGCCGTTTTAAGAACAATTTTTGAATTTTTATCTATTACTGATAAATCTACTAAAAATTGGATTAATGAAAAAGCTTTGAGATTATTATTTCAAAACTTATTATTAGAACAAAATATTGAAGTTTTGAATTTATCAAAACAAGTTTTCAACCAATTATTATCCCAAATTAACGAAAACGATAACTTATTATCAATGGAACATTACTTCGGTCAACATTTTCAACCTTTATTAACATTATTGATGACCCCTATAGGTATTGCAAGACATAACTATCACATGAATACCAATTTGATTATGAGGCCCTCTGGTCATGTCATCGGTGCTTTGGATAACCAAAGTAAATCTTTTAGAAAGGATGCAAGTCCTGTGGATGATTATAGTCTTGAACCTGAAGAACCAAATACGTCTACAAATGGTAACGGATCGGAAAAAAGAGGTCGTAAAAGAAAATCTCCAAGTGAAGCAACTTCATCTCAAGCTTCATCAGCAATTCCAATGCTCGATGAAATGAGAATTAATATTGATTCTCCAATGTTTAAAGGTGATATCACTTTATTAGGATATGATGTGTTTATCCGTACCAGAACTTCAGCCGCTAGCACTTACGGTGCAGCTTTGTCTTACATAACTGATGAAACCATTTTGACTAAAATTTATGAAATGTTAATTTATTATTTAAATGTTCCTCATGCAACTCCCCGTTTATTTGCATCAATGATCATTGAAGAATATGCCAATGCTTTGAAATCAAGATCATTATCAATTCCCCAAAAAGCTTTGGATATGTTCAGTGATCCTTTGATGACTGTTTTATCCAACACTGATTCTAATTCTTTGCCTTATTATAGAGAACTAGTTTCAACTTTGAAAACAGTTAGAACCTCATGTTTGCAGTTATTTGACGTTTTCATCACAACTGCAAAAGTTCCACCCACCAAAATTCCTCAATTACCTGTTGTAGTGCAGGGGGAGGCAGAAGCAGGACCAGGTGCTTTTGGTTTAGAAAATGCTGAAAAAATTATTAATGAAACTTATCCTAAATTGATGAAAAGCTTATCAGCCACTTACAGAATGTCTGCAAATTCAGCATTAGAAGATGCAAAACATCGTATAACTTTAGCCATTGAGGAAGCTAAGAACGCAAGGTCAAATAGAACTACAAGTATTTTAGCTGTTCATGCAGCAGCTGTGTTGGCTTTATCTGGAGTACCGAAGAAGTTGAATCCAATTATTAGAACCTTGATGGATAGTATAAAACTCGAAAATACTGAATTATTACAAAGAAGATCCGCCAATTCAATTGCATTTTTGATCAAGGAACTAAATGAAATTGGAAAAAATAACGCTTCTGACAAGATTGTGAAAAATTTATGTGCATTTTTATGTGTTGACACCTCGGAAGTTCCTGAATTCCATCATAATATCAAATTCAAAGATAATATTCTTTCTTTGAGAAAGGAAGAAGCTAAAACAAATCCTGCGGATATTGCAGCCCATGAACGTGCTGTTCATGAAGCAAGAATTAAGCGTAATGGTGCATTACTCGGTCTCGAGGCTGTTTTAGAAATATATAAAGAAAATTTATTCGCTAGTGTACCAAAGTTGAAAGGTATTATGTTGGAACCATTGAAATTGTTAGAAATCTCATCAACTGATGAAGTTTTGAAGGATGACTTGAAGGGTCAAAGCATTATCGATGCATTGGGTGTGTCTAGGGCATTGTTACCCAATTTGGACGAATCTCTCTACCCTGAAATCATTGAAAGTTTCCCATTGTTATTGCCTGGCTTGAGATCTGAATTTTCAGTTTTCCGCTATTCTACTGCTAAATACTTTGCTACCATCTGTTCAATATTACCGACAAAAGCTTTCACATTTTTGGTGAAATCAATTTTACCTATGTTAAATAATGCTGGTGATATAAAGGAAAGACAAGGTGCAATTGAAACTATTTATCATATATCTGCAGCTATGGGGTCAGATATATTACCCTACGTTGTATTTTTAATCGTTCCTGTTTTAGGTCGTATGAGTGATTCCGATCCCGATGTACGTATATTGGCAACTACTACATTTGCTTCTATTATTAAATTGGTTCCATTAGAAGCAGGTATACCAGATCCTGAAGATATGCCAAAGGATTTGTTAGAAGGCAGAGATCGTGAAAGAGATTTTATTCAACAAATGATGGACCCTACTAAGATCAAGCCTTTTGATTTACCTGTTACTATCAAAGCAACATTGCGTAAATATCAACAAGAGGGTGTTAACTGGTTAGCGTTCTTGAACAAGTACCATTTGCACGGTATTCTATGCGATGACATGGGATTAGGAAAAACTTTACAAACAATTTGTATCGTCTCCTCTGATCATCATATAAGAGCTGAAAATTTCGCTAAAACTAATTCTGTGGAATTCAGAAGATTACCTTCTTTGATTATATGTCCTCCATCTTTAACTGGGCATTGGGAACAAGAAATTAATCAGTATGCTCCATTTATGAAGGTTGTGGTTTACGCTGGTGGTCCATCTGTCAGAGCTAACATTAGATCGGAAATTCCTGGTGCAGATGTTGTTGTCACTTCGTATGATGTTGCCCGTAACGATGTTGAATATATTTCAGTTAATGAATATAATTACTGTGTTTTGGACGAGGGTCATATCATCAAAAATGCCGCTTCCAAGCTCACTAAATCCGTCAAAAGATATCGTTCAGAACATAGATTGATCTTATCGGGTACTCCTATTCAGAATAACGTATTAGAATTGTGGTCTCTTTTTGATTTCTTGATGCCCGGGTTCTTGGGTACTGAAAAAGTCTTCCATGAAAAATTCGCCAAGCCAATTGCAGCTAGTAGAAATAGTAAAACTTCTTCTAAGGAGCAGGAAGCTGGTGCATTGGCCTTAGAATCATTACATAAACAAGTTTTACCGTTTATGTTACGTCGTCTTAAGGAAGACGTGTTATCTGATTTACCACCAAAAATTATACAAGATTATCATTGTGAATTATCAGATTTACAAAAAACATTATATAAAGATTTTGTCAAGAAACAAAAGTCAACTGTTCAAGAAGAAGTATCTAAGTCCGGTGAAGACGAACCAAAAGAAAGCAAGACTCATGTTTTCCAGGCTTTACAGTACATGAGAAAGTTGTGTAATCATCCTGCATTGGTTCTTTCTCCAAGTCATCCTAAGTATGCGGAGGTAAGTCAATATTTGTCGACTCATAATTCGGATATTAAGAGTATCGAGCACTCCCCTAAATTGAAATCATTGAAAAACTTGTTATTGGAATGTGGAATTGGTACCCAAGACAGTGATTATTCTGGATCTAAACTGAAGCTTTCTCAAAAACAAAAACAGCAACAACAACAACAGCAATTGGTAACATCAGAAGGTGTTATTTCAGAACATAGAGCTTTAATTTTCTGTCAATTGAAAGATATGTTGGATATTGTTGAAAATGAGTTGTTGAAGAAAAATTTACCCTCCGTAACTTATATGAGATTGGATGGTAGTACAGATCCTAGAGACAGACAATCAATTGTTCGTAAGTTCAATGAAGATCCTTCTATTGATGTATTATTATTGACCACAAAAGTTGGTGGTTTGGGTCTTAATTTGACCGGGGCAGATACTGTCATTTTCGTCGAACATGACTGGAATCCTATGAATGATTTGCAAGCAATGGATAGAGCACATAGATTAGGTCAAAAGAAAGTTGTTAATGTCTACAGATTAATTACTAAGGACACTTTAGAAGATAAGATTATGGGTTTGCAAAAGTTCAAAATGAATATTGCCTCTACCATTGTTAATCAACAGAATGCTGGATTAGCATCTATGGACACTAACCAATTACTAGATTTATTCGAAGTTGATGAAAATGCTGCTAAGGCTAACGGTGGTGAAAATGAAGAATCTAAGGAAAGCAACAATAACTTCCCTGAAGATGTAGCTGGTGGCCTTACTGGTAAAGCTGCCGATGCAGTCGGTGAATTGGCAGTCTTGTGGGATGAGTCTCAATACGAAGATGAATATAACCTTGATAATTTTATCAAAACTCTTAAATAGAAATGATGAACATTGCAATAGTTTATCTTTTTTTGCATATTTGCTTGTTTTCTATGCCTCTGATGATGACTAATGAGTATATTTTAACGAATAACTATGAAAACTTCCTCATAATATGATCCGCTGTATACATGTAAAAATAAATTTAGCAACTGTTTCGTTGATTGTTAAATTGGGGTATATTTGACACTATTTGTAAAAAATGTAAAAAAGTTGTGAAATTACACTTCAAGACTACGCTACCTCCATCAACTCTCAGATTTTTGTAAATCCAAACCTAAAGGTTAGAAGAAACCTGTTGCTTCGTTTCCTTTTGATTTCGCCTTGACTTGACCTTGATATTCGGCTGTATAAAAGGCTGCAAATAAGTTTGCACATTGACTCCTTTCACACAGAAACACCCTGAAAGTAGTGATTCATCAGGCTTGAACTCGAGAAGTATGAAAAGCCAATTTCAATCACATAGCATTACCGCATCTCTGCTATTTTGTATCAACTACTTCGATTACGTTGGGTTCTTTGCTCATTGGATGGAAATGCTTGCAAAATCTATTCTCGAAATCCTGTACATAACAAGGAGTTTTTCCTGAAAAAAAAAAAAAAAACTTAAAAAAAATACCGAGATGAGGAAGTTCTACGACTAACAAAGAATACTTTTTAAGACATCAACCTAAACAAGGTTTGTATGAAATAAAATACTGCAGAATTGGCAATGTCTAATCAGAGGGATCCGAATTACAGACTCCAAATTTTAGAAAAAGATGCAGAAACGTCTTTCCCGTTTCTTGCCTCAGATGAAAAGTCTGCCACTAATAGGAATCCAGAGCCACTAGGACCAGTGCAAACGGCAGGCCAACGTCAAACGAAGAATTGGGTCCACTTTGTTGCAGGGGGGTTTGGTGGTATGGTTGGTGCCGTTATCACTTGCCCATTGGACGTTGTGAAAACCAGATTGCAATCAGATGTCTACCACTCACTTTATAACCAAACACCCAAATCATCTAACCCGATAGTCAAAGCAGGACAACACTTAAAGGAAACTGGATCAGTGTTGCGTAATCTTTATGTCAATGAAGGTGTAAGAGCATTGTTCAAAGGTTTAGGGCCAAATCTAGTTGGAGTTATACCCGCTAGGTCAATAAATTTTTTCACGTACGGTTCAACCAAAGAAATAATTTCATCAAATTTCAATGGAGGAAATGAAGCAGCTTGGATTCACTTAGCGTCTGGTTTGAGTGCTGGGTTTGTCACTTCAACCGCAACTAATCCAATTTGGTTGATTAAAACAAGATTACAATTAGATAAATCGAAAGGTAAACACTATAAGAATTCCTATGATTGTTTCAAGCACATTATGAAGTATGAAGGTTTCAGAAGTTTATATAAAGGTTTAAGTGCATCTTATTTAGGTGGTATAGAATCTACTTTACAATGGGTTTTATATGAACAAATGAAATCTTTTGTTAATAGAAAATCTTTTGAAACTTACGGTAATGATGCTTCTAAAAAAACTACCAAAGATCATATTTTAGAATGGTCTGCTAGATCGGGTGCTGCAGGTGCTGCAAAATTTGTTGCCTCATTAATTACCTATCCTCACGAGGTTGTTAGAACTCGTTTAAGACAGGCTCCACTCGAAGCCACAGGTAAACCAAAGTATACTGGCTTGATTCAATGCTTTAAATTAGTGGTTAAAGAAGAAGGATTAGTGAGTATGTACGGTGGTTTAACACCTCATTTATTGAGAACAGTTCCTAATTCTATCATCATGTTTGGTACTTGGGAAATAGTTGTTAGGTTGTTGTCATGATCGTCATTTTTTTACGAAATATTTTTGTTTTATTCAGTTTTTCATTTTATTGGGGTTCTATTTTATTTAATTTTTTTTTTTTACATTTTCCATTTGTTCGATTCTCGTGCTTTCCTTTCATTATGCCTTATTTTTCCAATTCATTAATCGTACTTAAGTTCTTTAGGTCTTCATAACCTTATAATTTTTATGCTTGTATAGATATCTTCTTCATACTACTCTTGTAAATACTTTTCTTCTCGTGTTATATACATATACATATACATAAAAGCTACCTTAGTTCTATTTAGCATTCCAGTAGGCTTCCTCTTCGGGTGCCAATGCATTGTTGGCAGAATATTCTTCATTGTCGTCATTAATATCCTCACTATCTGACAGTTGATTATGGAAATCATCATGTCGAAGTTTCTTTGAATTCTGTTCTTGGTCATCTTCAACCGGTCTCTTCTGACTACGTATGGCTTTCTTAGTATTAAAGACTTCTTTGTAAAACATTGGAGGTTCACCTGGAGGCAAAACCACTCCTAAGGTATCAATCAAGGGATCTTTTTCATATTTCTTCGATGAATGAGCCTTCAATGGTTTGGTATCATTTTTCAATGGAGTCAAAACTTTATACGTAAGATTCTCTGCATTTGGAACTTTACCTAGAGGGTTTAACTCAGGATTGAAGTAGACAGACTTGGCTCCCCATAACTTCTTTTCAGCCTTTCTTTTAGCATCCTTGTCTGATTCAATTTTTTTTAAAAATGGTTCAATTTTAGAAGTATGCAATTTGTTTTTCACTATGAAATCCCAATCAGACTTTAGTTGTTTCAATTTCTTATGGTCCTTTTGATCTTTTTGAGGATTTGCCTCTAACAGTTCAATCTGCCTATATAGTCTGATTGGATCTACAGAATTTAACTTTGTTAGTTGATGTTGTCGCTTCTGACGTTGTTGGATTTTATGCTGTTGCTTCAGTTCATTCTTTTTGAACTCTGCCGCTAGACTATAGTTTCCTCTGATCATGTTCTTCCCTTGGGTCTAAATTTGCTGAAGTATTATAGTAAAGATAGTTGATGTATTAACCTGAAGTCGCAAATTTCAATTTTTTAGTATATGTATATTTTTTTTTTTCAGGTTTTTCTTTCAAGTTAACTTCAATAGTTACTCCATCAGTAAACTGAATTATAAGAATAATGAATAGACTACAGCCTCCAAACCAGCCCCCTGTTATCAACAGTTTGAACCAGAATCAACCGACTAACGTTGATACTATGCAGATTCCAATAGACTCCTTAGAATCAATTAGAAATCGATTAAACCAAATACATTTATCACTTCGAAAATTATCCGATCAAATTAATCATCATAATAGGCACCCAAACCAAGTTAAGTTACCCAGCTATAGCCACATTCAAAATCAATTTCAAGTTCTCATCACCCAATTACAATCTGTTGCATCAAATTTAGACAATAATGAAAATGTATTGAAAAACACCAATGTTTATCCATTGCCTAGCTTCCCAGCAGCCCAGCATGAAGGGTTGGTGACCACCTTATTGAGAAAGAAACCATTACCAGAGGTAGATGAGTGGATTGATAAAGCAATTAGTGATGTGGAAAGCTTTAATATAGACATAGTAAAAGATGACGAATTTGCCAAATGGAGTTCATCGAAAGTACAAGAACTAAAAGAAGAATTTCAGTTTTACGGGTTCCACCTGGATGAGGAATTGCATTTCTTGAAAACAGAAGAAGGGAAACGAGAGACACAAGAGAAGCAAAGATTACAAAATGAAAGAGATGAAATTGAAAGAAGGATTACAGACGGAGGTAAAACTGGATTAAATTCGAATCAAGTATTAAAATTTATGTATCAAGGAATATTAGAATAAGCATAATACACACCATTTAAGAAATTAAAGGTAGCAAAGTCTAAACAAAGAAAAAAAAATTCTATATATAAGGAAGGCCGACACGTAGAAGTGATCATTCAGTAGCACCAGTGTTATTATAAGCATCATAAAAGTATAAGATAGCGAAAACGAAAAATGCAATAGCACCACCCAAGGTAACGTTTCTCATTGAAATTCTTTTAGCTAACAATTTACCACCAATACAAGCGGCAGCAGTACAGAAACCATGACCAATGATGGCACCCAAGATAACCATCCAGTAATCCGAGCCGGCTGCCATTGCAATAGTTGCAATTTGGGATCTGTCTCCCCATTCACCCAAAAACGTCATTACAAAAACTTGAATCCAAACTGGTGATAATACGAAAGATGCTAAATTTTGGAATGAGTCAAGCATATCTTCATGCCATTTTCTATTAGTTGGTTTAGGTTTGAAAGTCGAATCGGAAGGATTTCCCGATTCAATATCGTTAAGTTGTTCATTGATATTACTAGAAGCTAATTCTTCTTCAACTTCAGCCAATTCTTCATCAACACCCAAATCCTTGGACATTGATAAACCTTCATTTAATAATTTAATACCAAATACAACGAACAAGACCGATGCAAGGAATTGAGTTATTCTTTGAGAAATTAAAGTTGGTAATGCATGTCCAACAACTCCCGATAACACCGTCATGACTGCTAATGAAGAAAATGCAGAAGAGAATACAATGAATCTTGAATTTCTCATAGCCATTAAAGCAGCAATTAAGAATGTTTTATCACCGATTTCAGAAACAATAATCATTGAAACAGACATGATGAATGAATCATATGAGCTTTCGATGTCTTTCGTTCCTTCTTCTTGTTTTGCTTCAGGATTGGCATATGGGTCCAAAGGCTTTTTGGCATGGCTCGGAGTTGGATCATTATCTTCATTTTCAAGCTTATGAACATTTAATTTGGAAGACAGCTTGGAATAGTCCTCCTTCACTTCAGCATTGATGTCCGGTGACACTCCAGTATCCGATCCAGAGTTTAAATTAGAATTAGAATTTACTCCATTTGCAACATCCGATAAGGCATTAGTTGATGCCAAAAGCAAACTTGAATATATCAACAAGGCTGAAAACTTCATTTTTCTTCAAAGTATCCCAGTATTTCAGCAAAACCTAGAGTTCTAATGAAAAGACCAATTTTTTAAAAAAATTTTCGATCTCACTGATAAACAATTTTTCAATGGACAAAACGGAGCCAAATATGTTAAGGAGATATACACAGTATACGTCTATATATCCTTCAACAAGAAAAAGGAATTAATTCAAAGAAGATACTTCACTATCGAAGGCGAGATACCAGTTCTGTCGAGAAAAAATGGCAATAGTGTATCTTATCTAGTCTTATGGTGTATTTTTTGTTCCACGTAGTTTTTTTTGTAGGCATCGCCAGAAAACCTGTACACAGACGAAGATTAAGTGTTAGAAGATCGATTTGAGCCAACGAATGGGCTACAGATAGTAGTTGTAATGAATGGGCTACAGAGAACAAGTTGTAACGAATAGATTTATTAAAAAAAGAAAATGGAAAAACTAGAATATACAAACAAAGATTTTTGTTAAAAAAGATTGGAAAAAATAAAAAATAGTAAGAAATGCAGTTGATGATATACAAATAAATATAAGAGGAGTCTAATGAGAAATCAAAGTTTAATGATGGGCAGAAGGAATTGGATTGTCGATGACTTTACCTTCTTTGACTTTACCACCTTTAACCCAACCACCATATTGGACTGGTTCATGTTCATTATGATATTGGTTAATTCTTTCAACCATTAAAGGTCTGAAAGATTTGATTAAACCTTGAACTGGCCAAGCGGCAGCATCACCCAAGGCACAAATGGTATGACCTTCGATTTCTTTGGTCAATTCAAAGATCATATCAATTTCTTTTTCAGAAGCTTGACCTTTAACAAATCTATCCATCATTTTTTGTAACCAGGTAGTACCTTCACGACAAGGAGTACATTGACCACAGGATTCATGTTTATAGAAAGCAGAGAATCTTTGAATGGCTCTAATCATATCGGTTTGTTTATTCATGACAATAACAGCAGCGGTACCTAAACCAGAACCTTCATCTCTTAAAGCGTCATAATCCATTAAAACATTATCACAAACTTCTTTTGGCATGACAGGAACAGAACAACCACCTGGAATAACCCCTAATAAGTTATCCCAGCCACCTTTAACACCACCACAATGTTTTTCTAATAATTCTTTTAATGGGATAGACATTTCTTCTTCAACGGTACAAGGTTCGTTAACATGACCAGAAATACAGAATAATTTAACCCCAGCATTTCTTTCACGACCAAAAGAAGCAAACCAATCACCACCTCTTCTTAAGATGGTTGGAGCCACTGAAACAGTTTCAACATTGGCAACGGTAGTTGGTCTACCGAATAAACCAACACCAGCAGGGAAAGGAGGCTTCAATCTTGGTTTACCAGCTTTACCTTCGATAGATTCAATTAAAGCAGTTTCTTCCCCACAGATATAGGCACCCATACCACGATGAAGATAAACATCAAACGGATAACCAGAACCACAAGCATCTTTACCTAAGAAACCAGCAGCGTAAGCTTCATTAATAGCTTCTTGTAAAATATTAGCTTCATTATAAAATTCCCCTCTAATATAAATGTAAGCAGCACTAGCATTCATACCACGACCAGCTAATAAACAACCTTCAACTAATTTATGAGGATCTTTTCTAATGATTTCACGATCTTTACAAGTACCGGGTTCACCTTCATCAGCATTAACAACCAAATATCTTGGACCAACGTTCTTTTCCCATCCAGGAGGATTCATAAAAGACCATTTGAGACCTGAAGGGAAACCAGCCCCACCTCTACCTCTTAAACCGGATTTTTTCATTTCATCAATAATCCATTTATCGCCTTTCAAAATGATTTCTTTGGTTTTATACCAATCTCCCATCTTCATGGATGACTTTAAATCATGTCCATAATGTCCGTAAACGTTTTGAAATATACGATCTTGATCTTTCAATCCACCATGAACTCTATTTGGATTAGCAGCTGGATCAGCACTAGTTGCCAATGAACGAACAACCGGATAGCTTTTGTTTAGACTAGTACGCAACTGTCTTTGTAAATGACCCGAAGTCACTCTAATGTTACGAAGCATCATCTTGTTAAACAAGTATAGCAGGGGGTCTAATGATGAGTGTTGTCTGGATACTTTTTTTTGTAAAGCGAAAAAAAAAAGGCAAAGAGCCAAAAAACTCAATTTGTGATAACTTTGTGTTGGTAATGAATTTTCATTGGATGCTATTGGATAATTTTTATGGGGGGCTGGTGTGCGGGTGTTTCATCGAAGGAAGAAAGCACCCGTACATTTGTATATGTACGGGTGCGTTTCCCGACCGGAATTCTATTCAGTATCCGGGGGTGTCGACCCCCCTCGGAAGTAGCCAATAGCAAAATGTACGGGTGCAGATTTTGCATGTTCATTGGCTGTTTTGCAATCAACAGCCGTCTTTTCGTATATGAACTGTGGCAGGCCCAGCGAATACTTCCTGTACATGTAGCTGAAGGCTGGCCAGGAGCTGAAGGCTGGCCAGGAGCTGAAGGCTTGAAGCTGAAGGCTTGAAAAAAGCACTTATGGTGAAATGTAATACTTGTAGAAATACGTATGCTTAAATACAAACAGCTATGCAATTGGGACTGATTTTTTAGATAAACTGGCCTACGCTTAACTCCATTTGGGCTGAGATACTCAGCACTGATTAGATCGGTTTCTTGTTCACCGTTATGGGAGATTTGTGTTACTCGGATTTTAATCGTCCTTTGTAACGAGAATTTGGCACTTCCTTTTTTCCTCTCGGTTGATATTTTGCAGCACAATTCTATATGCTAGTTTCTGCACTTCCATGCTGGAGGGAGAACCCTTGGTGCTGGTATATAAGTCCACCACTTGTAGTGGGAAACCATCTTATGTTAATAATGGTTATTAAAAATGATATTTTTGATAAAAATTGTAATAATTTTCAGTATAATCAGACTAGGGTTGGCCGACGTCTCGATACTCCAGTCAGTGAAGAGCCCAATTTTCCATCCCAACGATAATGGAGAAGTGGAAATTGACATTACGTGGATCGACGATGGGTTCCAGCCACATGTTTCGAAGATCACCCATTTCACCATATCGTTATTTGGAGGTTCCAATAATGACATGCGGAACATTAAGACTTTGGCTCCCAATATAACCTTATCAAGTGTTGAAAAAAACGGTTCTGCTGCAAAACCAAACTGGAACTATCAGGTCAAGTTTAATCAGAATACTACCGGCAACGGATGGTATTTCTTTCAAGTTGTATCGACCATTGGTGATTTTGAAACTTACACCATTCACTATTCACAGAGATTCCAGCTACTCAATATGGCTAAGAATACAACCAATACCCACTGGCAAAACCTCCCTCCGCCTGCTGCCGACACCACCACCTCCCGGGCCACGTCCAAGGACAACCGCATGTCAGAGTACTTTACAGTCCCGTACGCTGGGCAGACTGGCTCAATCCGGTATGCGCCAATGATGCCAACCGTGGATACAACCACCACGAACAAGAGATGGCAAACCCGATTGAGCAAACCTTCCTTGACTACTTTTACTAAAGTCGACCAAACCGCTCCTACAGTTGCTTACACCATCACCCAACCGCAAACCCAGGTGTTTGTCACCAGTGCAAACACTGCAAAGCCCACGCAAAACCCTTCGTCGTGGTATCCTGCCAGTAAATTGATCAAACTGACTCCAAGTATTAAGTGAAGGGTTTCTGGTGAACTTTTCGCGGATGAAAAAAAAAGTTGAAGACACCTTTAAAATGCTAAGGTCCCTCTCTCTCTTTATATAATACATAGATGGCTATGATCAAAAGACTTAGTACGTTACTTGTATTGGTAATTGCATATGTATATCTTTATGGATCCCATTTTCGAAGTAATCAAGAAGCAGTATATGTTTTCCGAAATGAGAAATTGAATCACATAATAAATGGCAAGTCGATACCGGATTCTAAGCAAGAATATCATTATGATCCCATGAAGACAGGGCACCAAAAGCTAAGTGGGAACTCATACTTGATGAATCCGTTCCCCCATTTGAACAAAAATCAAATTGGTACTGAAAATGCAACCATGGTGATGTTAGTTAGAAATAGCGAGTTAGAAGGCGCATTACAATCAATGAGATCTTTAGAAGATCGTTTCAATAGACATTATAAATACCCGTATGTTTTCTTGAATGAAGTTCCATTCAGTGATGAGTTTAAAGAAAGAACAAGCTTAATGGCAAGCGGCGAAACCTACTATGAATTAATACCGGAAAAAGACTGGCTTCCTCCACCACATATCGACGAAGATAAATTGAATCAAAATATAGAAAAATCTCAAGATATCATCTATGGCTGGTCCAAATCCTATCGTAACATGTGTCATTTCAATTCTGGATTTTTTTATAAACAAAAAATTTTAGATAATTATGATTATTACTTTCGTATTGAACCAGATGTGGAGTATATGTGTGATTTCCAATATGATCCTTTCACGTTCTTAAGAGAAAATAATAAAGATTACGGGTTTGTAATCGCTATTCATGAATATGAAAATACTATACCTACTCTTTGGGAAACGGTTAAAAATTTCACCAAAGATTATCCTGACTTAATCCACCCAAATAATTCACTTGATTTCATAACGACAAAAGAGGTCGACATCAACTACGGTTTTAACATCAGTGATAACGACTCGGAATATAATCTTTGTCATTTCTGGTCAAATTTCGAAATTGGTAATTTGAATTTCTTCAGAAGTGATGCTTATAATACTTATTTTAATTATCTTGATCAAGCTGGGGGTTTCTTCTATGAACGTTGGGGGGACGCTCCAGTTCACTCAATAGGCCTCAATCTACTAATGGACAAAAACCGCATCCATCATTTCGAAGATATCGGGTATTATCACGTTCCTTACCTAGCATGTCCTACTTCAATCGATGTTAAAACTTCAAAAAGATGTTTTTGCAAAACTAGAGGTCTTGATCACGATGTTTTGACAACCCCAATCGACGCCGAGCCTTTCAGTTGCTTGGCCAGATGGTGGAGATATGGCAGTGGTAAGAAATTCCTCAATGAAATCGACTATACCTTCAGTCATTGACCTTTATCATTTTTTGCAGTATATATTTAATAGACGATCGTGTACCGACACACTTTATTTTTTTTTTTTTTTCCCTTCGTTCTTTTGAAGGCATCGCATCGATTTTTTTTATATCTGAAAAGTTTACCACTATTATCAGGGTTTGGTAGTTAACACAAGACATGGCTAGAAGAGGTACTTTAAAGAAGCAGTTGAAGAATCAACAAACCATCGATGCCAGCAATAAGGCAGAAAAGAAGGAGAAATCAGAACCAAAACCAGAACCAGAATCTGAGTCCGAATCTGAAGCCGAATCTGAATCTGAAGATGAAGTAGAAGAACCAAAACCAGTTCAAAGTAAGAAATCAAAGACTGCTGATTACGAGAGTCTGGCTTTGTCAAAAAAAGAACAAAGAAAGTTGAAGAAATTGCAATCCCAAATTGAAAAAACTGAAAAAGAAGATGAAAGTGATGAATCTGAAGAGGAAGAAGCCGAAGTCGATTTAGAAAAATTGGCTGCAAGTGAAAGTGAAAGTGATATAAACGGATCAGAAGAAGAAGAAGAAGATGATGAAGAAGACGAAGAAGAAGAAGACGAAGAAGAAGAAGACGAAGAAGAACAAGAAGATGTTCCATTATCGGATGCCGAAATAGATTCAGACGCTGACGTTGTTCCTCACACCAAATTAACCATAAACAACTTAGCAGCATTAAAAGAATCATTAGCACGTATTGAGTTACCTTGGTCTAAACACTCATTCCAAGAACATCAATCGGTTGTCAGCGACGAAGTTGTCGAATCTCAAATTAAAGATATTTATGACGATACTCAAAGAGAATTAGCATTTTATAAACAAGGTTTAGATGCGGTCAAACAATCCAGAGCCACTTTATTAAAATTGAAAGTTCCATTTTCAAGACCTTTAGATTACTTTGCTGAAATGGCTAAAAGTGATGAACATATGGATAAATTAAAGAATAAATTATTAGGTGAAGCTGCCAATAAAAAGGCTTCGGAAGATGCTAAAAAACAAAGACAATTAAAGAAATTTGGTAAACAAGTTCAACATGAAACTTTACAAAAAAGAGCTAAAGAAAAAAGAGAAACTTTAGAAAAAATTAAATCATTAAAGAAGAAAAGAGGTACTAATGAATTAAATAACGATGATGAATTCCAAATTGCATTAGAAGAAGCCACCCGTGAAGATGGCGGTGACAATAAAAGAAGAAAACCAAATTCTAAAAGATTAGCTAAAGATTCCAAATACGGTAGAGGTGGTATGAAGAGATTTAAAAGATCCAATGATGCTGAATCTTCTGCTGATGTTAGTGGGTTTTCAAACCACAGAAAAGGTGGTAAACCCAAGTCTAACAGACCAGGTAAAAGTAGACGTAGACATTAGGTACACCGTTATATAAAGACTTTGTATATTACATTTTAAATGCAAAAATGAAAAATTAAAATGGCTGTAAACGAGTAATTTTTTTTATTTTTTTTTTTTCTCTGTTGGTCTTTTGCGCGTACGAGGAAGATTTCACCAAATTTTTCAGATCTATACGAGGAAATTTGATCAACTACTTCTTTTTGATAACCTTCAAAGACTACAATGGATAAACAAGCCGCCAAAGACAGATTCATCAAGGAATTCGACCAATTGGTCAAGGAATTGCAAGAAATCTTGACCAATTACAAGATGCCTCAAGAAGCCATTGATTGGTTTACTAAGAGTTTAGATTATAATACCCCAGGAGGTAAATTGAATAGAGGGTTATCAGTAATTGATACTTATGCCATTTTAAAGGGAACTACTTCAGATAAGTTGGGTGATGAAGAATATAAAAAAGCTGCACTTTTAGGATGGTGTATTGAGTTATTACAAGCATATTTCTTAGTTGCTGACGATATGATGGATGCATCGAAAACTAGAAGAGGTCAACCATGTTGGTATTTAGTTGAAGGGGTTGGAAATATTGCGATCAATGATTCATTCATGTTAGAAGGAGCCATTTATATTTTATTAAAGAAGCATTTCCGTCAAGATAAATATTACGTTGATTTATTAGATTTATTCCATGAAGTTACCTTCCAAACCGAATTAGGTCAATTATTAGATTTAGTCACTGCTGATGAAGAACATGTTGATTTAGATAAGTTCAGTTTAGAAAAACATTCATTCATTGTTACTTTCAAGACTGCTTATTATTCATTTTATTTACCAGTTGCATTATCAATGTTTATGGTTGGTGTTTCAAGTGAAGAAGATTTGAAACAAGCCCGTGATATTTTAATTCCATTAGGAGAATATTTCCAAATTCAAGATGATTTCTTAGACTGTTTTGGTACCCCAGAACAAATTGGTAAGATTGGTACTGATATTAAAGATAATAAATGTTCTTGGGTTGTTAATAAAGCATTAAATAAAGTTAATCAAGCACAACGTAAACTTTTAGATGAAAACTATGGTAAAAAAGATGATGAATCCGAACAAAGAGTTAAAGATTTATTCAAAGAATTAGAAATCGAAAAAGATTATTATCAATATGAAGAATCAATTGTTAGTGAATTAAAACAAAAAATTGATCAAGTTGATGAATCAAGAGGTTTCAAAAAAGAAGTTTTAACTTCTTTCTTGGGTAAAGTTTATAAACGTTCTAAATAGATTAATCTACAATACCTCTTTTAATAATCTTTTTATTAATATATAATTTTACTATTCAAATAAGAAATAAATAACATGCAAATAGATTAAGCATTAGCTTTTTCTAAATCTTCTCTACCAGCTTTAGTATACAAGTATTCATTATAATCTCTAGCAACGGCCCAGATGTTCCAAACAATAACACCAGGAATTATAACAAATAAAGCTTGATTTTTAACTCTTCTGAAAACGTTAAAAACAGAGTTATATAAAGCTCCCTTTAATGGTCTGGTAGCATAAGGAGAAACGGTATAAGTAGTGACATACTTTTGTTTTGGGGAACCTAAGTGACCCCACCAGCCAAGGTAAGTACGAGGATGTGGTCCTGCCATGATATATTGATAATGGTAGAAGTAAGAACTAGTTAATTTCTCTCAACTTTTCAATGGCTTTTTTAATCTTTTTTAACTCGAGCTCAATTGGTTGGTTGGATGGCTGGGAGGAAGACCCGTACCACTGCACGTGACATTAAAAATTCCATCCGTGCACCATAAATATTATTTAAAACCTATACATTGAAAGACATTCTACAGTCCAGGTTATATTTTTAATTTTTTATTAGACTTTTATTATATCAACAGTATATATAATAAGGTACACAATTAAACGTTAAAAGGATTTATTACATTTAAGCAGAAGTTAATCTTTTTTGAGCAGCTAATCTACCTCTTTGTCTAGAATTTAATCTGATTTTCTTATCTTCTGGGGCTTTAGAGACAGCTTCTTCTTCTTCAGTTAAGATGACTTCAATGTGGGATGGAGAAGATTGGTAGGCATTGATTCTACCGTGAGCTCTGTAAGTTCTTCTTCTTTGTTTTGGAGCTTGGTTAACTTGAATGTGAGAGATTTTTAATTTAGAGACGTCTAAACCTTTAGCCTGTTATATGGGTTAGTAAATATTCTTTTAAATTTAAAAATAAGTTTGTTGTGTTTGCTTATACATACTTCAGCGTTAGATTGAGCGTTTTGTAATAAATCTTTGATAAAGTTAACGGATTTAGCTGGCCATCTAGCTTTGGTAACACCAAATTCTTTACCTTGAGCAGTTCTACCAATAGAACCGGCAAAACGACGGAATGGAATAGCTCTTTGGTGATCTAAAACTTGATCCAAATATTTTTGAGCTTTTTCTAAGTTCCAACCATTAACGGCTTGGGCAGTTTCACGAGTGTTTTTGAAAGAAACTCTCAAGTAAGAACCACGGGCAGAGGCAGACTTAGCTGGGTTGGTAGAAGTAACACCGTAACGAGCCATTTTTCTTAATGATGATATATCTTAATGGTTATAGAGCTTCAAAAGAAAAATTTAAAAGGTATTTTTTATTATTGATTGAAAAATTGAGTATAGGTCTCTCACTTGAAAATTTTTCCAGTGCGCTGCTCATTCTTTCTTTTTTTTTTTTTTTTTTGCTTTGTTTAACGTTCTGCACACTGGAGGAAAAACATCCATACACCCAGCATCCAGTTATGACCAGGGCAGAAGCCCTCGTCATCCACACGTGATACACCTCAGCAACTCTCGAATCAAGACCGAGTTTTCCTAGATTTCCAATTTGGGGATACGAACGACTAATTAGCAGCCTAATTGATAACCTCCACAATACGAGGATCAATGATAATACACAAACATCAAAGCTTATCATGGTATGATAGCGTACTCAGAGTGTAAACATGGGCTTGCAAAGTAGTAAGGGCAAAGGTAAGATTTATCGTAGAACGAGTTTGGGATTGTTGAGGTATAGTTTTGCAATAATACAGCAAACTGTTGAATAAGATTAAACTCTAGTTGAATATTACAATGTTAATTAGGTGCGATAATGAAACAATCTGAAGTAGTACTAGACGTTTTCTTACGAAACTTTTTTTCAATTCAATTGAACCTATTCCTACAAACAGTATACATATAGACATGTCAGATGGATAGCACACCAGTGGGTTCTTTCGGTGAAATATATTGGACCTTTATAAATAGTATAATGAAACTAAATCATATTTTATCAAGCAGACATGATTACAAAGCAATTGAAGACTTCCAGAGGAAGGGATGGATAGGAAAGAGATGCATCAATTATTATTTAAAAATGAGCTATTGCATAGCCAAACGAGGATGATAATTATTTTATCAGTAACTGAGTTCATATGAACGGTATACAGTGAAGTTTTACATCTTCAAGACACTTTCGTTCAAAGTTCCAATAATCATCGCCACGATCATTCACAACATAACTCTTATATTAAAAAGCTGATGCTAAGGAAACCAATAGTTGGTCAATCGATTGGCTGCTAAGACTGGGACGTGCGCCAACCAAAGAAGGGTATAACACTAGGAATAGAAGATAACTAATTGTTTCAACCCTGTTTAATAGCCTGTGAGCGAATTTGCCCAATTAGACATGCTGTTTTTAAGAAATTGTTTGCCTGAAGACAGTTCTGCGATGGTATTACCAAGTGATAACATCTTGCATCATCATGTAACGTCAAATTGATACGCTAATTGTAGAAAATATGTTGACTCCTTCCCAAAAGCGGAATTGACAGAAAGGCCATCAGTCAAACGTAATATGGGTAAGAAGATATAAACAAATGATGGAAATAATAGCGAGTCATGAATTGCAAGGGCATGAACTCCTCCGTAGCCCTCGATATATTTAGACTTTACGCACGATAAAACATAGAAGTGTCAGTTTATCTCTTCTGATTTCTACAATTGACCTTGTTCCTACAAGTGGTATCCATGTCTCCCATTATGAATTGAGCTCTACTTATATCAGTGTATAAATCCCTGACTAATGATTTCTTCTATTTTTCTTAAAATCTTATTTGGTAATACATTTTTTTTTTTAAAATATTACATTGACAATATGCAATCGGCTTACTATTTATTCCTTAAAAGGACAATACTTGAACCGATTCTGTTGTTATTTTGTTTTGGTTGTTAGAGTGGAGGTTGTATAGCAAAGTATGATTAAACGTTTATCTGAAATATACTAAACTTAAAGCCTGCTAACAAAACAAAAAAAAAAAAAGACAAAAAAGACAAAAAAATAAGGCACTAACAAAAAAAAAAAAAAAAAAAAAAAATAGAGAATCCTTTTTTTGTTTCTTTCAAATATTCTTGATTAAAATTAAGTCATTTGTAATTCCTTCTTCTTCTTCTTCTTCTTCTTTTCTTCTTTGTAGTATTAGCATTGGTGTATCTTAATGTTGTTGCTGTTTAGAATGGCCAAAATTGGTCTTTGCGATTACTGATGAGATCATGTATGCTATCTGAAAAGAGAATGATACCGGTAACTTTCCCACTCAACACTTACATTGTTATAGATATATATATGTGTATGTTCTTATACTAGGTTCTTATGCTATATGTTAATTGCATATGTCGTTATAAGTATATGTTAATTACAGTTATTATAGGTATAGGCTATACTATATACTGGATAGCCGCCGGTGGAATTGGGTCTTTTGTGGTTGCTGGTTCGCTGGAGAAAGTACATGTTCGCCCGAAAAAAGTGCAGGTTCGCCCTTCCTCAAAGTAGTGAGAAAACCCAAAAACAAGCAAGAACGCCCCTTTTAACAAAAAATCCACTACCAAATTTTTTTTTTTTTTTTTTGGCTTTCTATTCTGCTTTTCGAAAATAGTAAAAC